ACGACATATACATACCAAACATAACCAATAGAACCGCCCCCCCCCCCCCCCCGCCAACCCGGCACCCTTCCTTATCCAATTTTTTTTCTTCTCTCTTTCTCTCTCCGTATCTATACAACAAACAACACAAGTCCACAACGAACGAACCCCATCATTCCCACATCCTATCCTAGTAAAAGAAAGGAAGATAAAATCCCCATCATATCATCTAATATCATAATACGTCACAATTAGAATTTAATCTTCCATTCTCCATCTCTATCACGATAACAGATCCACCCAGAATCAACAGGGATGAAAGGCACCAGATTTCGATTGGTACTTCCAAAAAAAAAAAAAAAAGGAAAAAAAAGATAGACAATAGAAAAGAATATCCGAGAGGAGTTCTTTCATCATTGTGAAACAATGCCAATGAATGTCAATGTCAAGATAAAAATAAAATACTGTACTGAATGGGAGTACGGAACCGTGATAGAGAGAGAGAGAGAGAGAGGAAGAGATCTTTTCAAGCTCGCAGAGACCTACAGTTACCTACCTACCTACCTACCTACTACCCAAGAGAGACGAGCTCGGTGGAATACAACTGATGAATGGGTTAGGTGAACTGAACAAAGGTTTCTCTCTCTCTCTCTCCCTATGTTTGATTTAAAGAGAAGATCAAATTTATGAGTATCTTGATATCGGTTCTTCCATTCGTTATGATTTGATATGGTATGATATGGGAAAAAGCTAGGAGAGTTGGTCTATATTGGTATCTCGAATCTATGTGAAGAACCGCTCGGCGGGATTGGAACAGGCGGTGAAGACCCGGTTCTCTACAGTCATTTACAAAACGAAGGATTGGGGTCCATACCGAAAAGGTCCAACGGAAGGAATATCAGTCCTCGCTTTACAAAGACAGATTAGCAACCAGACTACCGGAATTGAATGTAGGTATGAAAGCACAAGTAGAAGTAGCAACATCCCTGACTTCTCGGGATCAAATGTCTTGGCCCAGTTTCTTGTGGTTGGTATGAAAGTAGTGGGATCTAACTTACATTCATCGAATGAAGAGCGAGAAGAAATCACACGGAGGAGAATAGACAAGACAACGAGTAGATAAAATGGGCATAAGGGGGGAGTATCACTTTTCAAATGCCGCACCAACGATGGGGGGATGGGCGATAAACAAACATGCAAGATGAAGGTCATGGAAGGTAAAAGAACAAACAAAAGTAATGTACAACCAAAGCACACCTCCGACGAAGCCACAACAACTCGATGCATGTGGCACCGAGGCATGACTTTGGTCGCATGGAAGAAAACGAAAAGATCTGTCGACCGGAACAGATTAGTGCAGAACGAAAGGCAACAGCACAGATTAAAGAAACCGAACAGAACGAGGTATTAACGCCACAATACTCAAGTGGAGTGTGGGAAAAGAAACCAATGTACCAACTTGACGAAAGTCAAGGAAAACAATCTATGAGTAACAGTCGCCAGATAAAATGCCCAAATCCGGAGAAAATGAGGAAAGATCGAACAGGTAAAGAGAGAGGCGGAAAAGGCGCAGGCGAAGCACAGGCGAGAACGCAAGAAAACAATCGTAATTGTCGTGACATCTTACTCCACAGCTTCGGCCGAAGGAATCACTGGAGTAAAATCCGACCCGATGGAACAGATCGTATCGAAGAGGAGAGACAGAAAATAGTGTCACATCGTGAAAGGACGCGCAACCCGAGGCGGTAGATGCAAGGCAAGCGACCCCCATTCGCCGGACACTTTTTTTGTAGGTTTTTGCTTTTCGGGCCAGAAAGAAGGAAAAGAAATGGGGAAAGAAGACGACCGATGGTACTTTTCAGAAAACAGACATAACCGAAACCGACGAAAGAAAGCGGGTAGTCATGCAGAAACACGAAGAAAACACGGTATCATCAGTAAGAAAAATAAAAGATCTAGAAGCGGAGAAGAAAGAAGTTAAAAAACGGTTTTTCAGTGGGCCAACGCAAAGGGGCAGCCGAGCTAGCCCCCTGACTAGCCAGCAACGATCGGTTGCATCGAGCCAAACGGGTTGGCACACATGTAGTGTTCCATATGCTTGGCACAGTACAAGCAACCACAGGATGACCCGTGGCCCGTCCACACACTCTGCGCGAACGGGAGCGCGTATGCGGGGGTGTGATGGTAGGATGGCGGCTGGGATCGAGGGGCAGGAATGTACTGTTGGGGCGGCACCCAGGTGCGCGAGTAGGGCGGGGGAGGCTGTGTGTACCATGGCCCAGCAGCGTAGTAATCCGGAGTGTTCGGTCCCGTATGAGGTGCGGAGGGAGGCGAATACTCCGAGGCCGCGGGGTTCAACCACGAGGTCTCGTAAGTGGCGCTACGCTGGTATTGCGGCGGGATCGGTCCCTCGGGTGAGAGCAGGGGCTTGGACACACGGTGGTTCCGGGGAACATTGGTATCGATGGGAGCCAACGCGTGGCGGGACTCCTGCGCCCGGGCCACGGTCTTGTTACGCCAGGTGTCCCAGTGGGAAAGCCATGACGTAAAGCCATCCTGCTGGTCGTAAATCCGGTCGTGGATCTTCCACTCGAAGGCAAAGAGCCAGTCGAGCTCCATCGAGTTCAGCTCGCCCACCGGGATGTTGCTCACTTCCGCCCAAGATTTGTTCTGGAAGGTATTGTCATCCAGGAACTTGCTGCCCAAGAGGAGGGCCACCGTAAGCATCCGGTAGACCTGGCCACTGCCCGAGTGAAACACCTTGGCCGACGAAAGCATCCGCATCCTACTAGACAGGTAATAGAGACCCAAGAGAATGGTCGAGCTCGGCAGGCGAGTCGAGGACAAGATCTGGTAGACGTATTTCCGAAACTGGGGCGGGACCGACGTTCCTGGGTAGACGCTTCGCGCGAAGTCAATATCTGCTAGGTTGATTTCGGTGATGTACAAAGCATACATTCCCTGGGCCATTTCAGCCACAAAGTCGGACATCTGGTCCATCTCATAATCCAAGTGGGCGGCGACACCTCCAGTAGCCTTTTCCTCCTTGCGCTGGGGCTCCGGCTGGACCATCATGTCTTGTCGTCGGTACTGGGGCAACACGGCGCTCTCCATCGGGGGCAACTGAACGTTGTTGCGTATGGGAGGCAAAACATTGGCGGATGCCAGGGGATTGAACATGGGCTGGTTGAGCGCGGAGTGAGCGGCGGCCATTTCTCTGCCATTGCGGACGCCCAGACCGGACTGCGAATTCATGGGCTTGGTGTAGCAGGTCGACTGGGAGTAATGCTCGATGAAATCACAGCCGTTCTGGGGGTAGCGAGGCGGAAACGCGGCCGAGGGGCCGAGGAGGTAGTAGGATTGATCGTGCTCCATCCTGCCACCGCTCAAGATGTGGGGGGGAGTGGGAGGAAGGCCCTGGAGGCCAGGGGCGAAGAAGGACGGCATAATGGTGGGGTATGGATTAAGAAAGAAACAGAAAGAAAACCAGTTCAGGACGGGAAGGCAGACGAGGGTCTGGGACTGTAAGAGAGAGATTCTCAAGTCAGCAAATCGGTTTCAATGGGACAATGATCCCACACAGCAAGGAGTCGAAAAAGAAACCCAAGAAGACACAGATACGAACCGTCTACACGTTCGCCACGCCCTGAAGCTGGGGAGAAGAGCGGTTGCTCAACGAGCCGTAGCTCTTGTTTTTGGCGAGAGAAGGTCTCTTAGTTGAATAACATGGAGGTACAATTCCACAACACGGTGTCGAAAGGAGCGGAAGAAGCGGTCGCGGCTAATGTCTCGGATGAGTGTTCCTTGCCGGATAGCGCGGTCCTGTTGTGGGCACGAGTCTGATGATCCTTCTTTTCCTTTCCGGGGCGAGTGGACAATTGATCGAACACGAGGCACTCGAAGGTTGGAGGCGAAAAGGACGGGTTGCGGCAATCACCGGAGACGCGTAGAAACGGTCAACGATAGCGGAAGCGGTAAAGGAGGTAGTGTGAAGCGAGGCACCGAAGAGACGATTGAATTCTTTGCTTTTGGGGTTCTTTTTTTTTCAATTTATTTAATGAGGAAAAAAATCAAGCAAAACCAGTTCTCGCGTCTGGTGGGATGGCCCCGATCCACGGCGACAACGATACTTAGTGAAAAGCTCGTTGAGTATAAGGGAGGCGAAAGTGAGATGGAGGATTGAGATGGGATAAGATTGAAGGGCAAGACGTGAGAATGACAACGGATGTGGAGGGGAGAAGGACAGAGGAGAGAGAAGAGGAGAGGGGGGATGGGGGAAGAGAAGAGAGAAGAGGAGGGAGAGAGAGAGCGAGAGTCGAAAGGCAAGGCGAGCAGGAGCCAAAGCCAGAGGCCGAGTGAGAAAAGCGAGAGGAAAGGGAGGGATTGCAGCTTAGTGGTCCGAGGTGTCAGAGCGAGTCTAGTCGAGTGACGATCCCCGGCTCACGTCCTTCACTTCTGACTAACCGGGCCCCGTCAGGATTCAGTACCACCAGCGTATGGCCATGGATCATTCGGGGTCGAGGGCGCCCAGTGGAGGGTCCTTTTCCTTTGTTTTTTATGTATTGGCTTTACCCTGAGACCCCCCTTCTATGATCCTCGAGCAGCACACCGGAATGAACCCAGGAAAGTCAAGTGTCAAGGAAATGTATCAGGTTTAGCAAGAGAAGAATAATCTATTTATTTTTATTTTTTGATTACAATTGTTTTAATTATGATGACCGTTGGATCTGCCTGGAAGCCCCCCGGCAACTGTTCTTTATGACGATGAACAGGTACCCATTTGAATCGCAACCAGCACGATGGAAGCAAAGAATTCGCCAGAACGATCTTGCTGAATGGTCCCCCGTATTGGGTGATGGAATCGTGATGACAGGAGGCCACCGTCAGGCCCAACCAGCAACAGAGCACCCGGATGAAGCAGGACGGCTTCCCACGGAGGAAGTAATACATGGGCTGGAAGGTTTAGAGTTTTAAAAAATTTTCCCTACTATTTCCCTTAGAGCCTGCTAAAGGGAGATGATGAACCGGTGATGATGGAACGGCAGCAGGAAAGTGATCAGGTGGGAAAAATAAAATAATAAAAAATAAAAAAATAATGATTTGAAGAATTAACAAATTAATAAGACAGAATATTAAACAGGAAAGCCAGTTAGAAAAAAAAAGGGTGAGAGAAAAGAGAGCCTGGAGGGAGGGGAACCACTCAGACTTGACCGACCCGACCGAGAGGCCTCCACCGTAACGCTGCTGAACGGCCAGGTTACTTCCATCGCAGACCCAGTGTATTCCCACCAGAACCCGCGGCCAGAAGGGAAAGAGAAGCCCGGGTCCATGGTTGAGCGGCTGACTTATCAACCATCGGCCTTAATATAGCATCTTGCACGGCACGCCGGACTAGATGATGAATACTGATGATGCCTAGGGAGTAGTACGGAGTAGGGATGACTCCATTTCCCAGGATCCCCAACCTCCGTGCAATAATACGAGCAGGTACCGTCGAGATGGTAATTAAGTGTCAGATGAGGGTGGCATGGCGGAGATGCTTCAGTAGGCACTGGCTGCAAATCCATCCAATAATCGACTGCACGACCTGCGGATGGAGCCCAGCCAGGCCAGGCGGACCAGACCCCTGGGCGGGAGAAGGGCTCGGCCGGTCAAACTGTTTAGGACTGGTGACTGCGACGGGTGACCTTACGTAGTGTGTGTGTGCCTGTAGAGATACACTAGGTAGGGGGTTCAGCGTTCACCGTTGGGTTGGCGGCTAGCAGGAAAATTCGTCGAATCCACCGGGGACTGAAGACACCGAAGTAGTCTAGTTTGGAAGTCTAGACGTTGAAATTTATTATTATCATTATTAATCCCTCCGTTCCTTTCCACGGCCCATGATTAAAGTGATGCATCCCGCGAACTGATGGATGGACCCAATCAATCCCCGGCAGTATCGTCATTCCCGTGATTGGCTGGGAAAAGGGGTGATGCCATACATTTGTGGCAGGACACTTATTGTGCTAGTACTTATTCTGTACGGAGTATTCCGTATTAGAGGCAGTAATAAGACAGAATGGAGGCAGCAACACCGATAAACCAGCATCCACGATAAAAAATAGCAGGCGGTACCTTGTATCTTTGTAAAGAGAAGTGTACTCCGTACAGTGCAGTGTAACCATACCCGATACAACCGTGGACTACCTGACTAGTGGGAAGTCCTCGAACTGCTCAACGAATGGGTGGGCCGTGCGCCCCCGTGCTAAATTAGAAAGAAAAAATGAAAAGAAAAAAGGGCAAAAAACGTGTTTGGAGTGGTACATCAACCTGGACTAGTCGGTCTGTGGCTTGGCTTATTGCAGGAGGCAAAGTTGGAATGGATAGGATCAGGCTGTTATTTATAGCCAGTCAGAGGGAAGACATCACTACGGAGTACACAGTAGGCAGATACTCATGGATCTAATACCCTGTCGGTACATACTCAGATGGATAGACAGTACTCCGTACAGAAGTGGCAATGCCGATTAAACTGTCAAGGCGGGCCATGCCACCAGACAGCCTCATTTTGAACTATAAGCGCAATGACACCACACACCACACACCACAGGCAGGCTGTAGGTCACCACACATGCAGCGACAGGACAGGACAGGTACAGAACCGAGTCAGTCTCTACATCATCGCAATCCGCTTGGCAGGAGCGGGAACATTCCATGCCTACATTCCTGCGGTTGCTCGACCAACACTGATACCTAGGTAGATGCCTAGGTACGGCGTAGTCTACGTAAGGTCGATGCCTGATAAAGCACCTTACTGAGCGGATTGGATTCCTTCGGTCGTTTCTGGTGGGAAAAGTCCGATCACTACGGAGTGGTCAGGTGAGGCTATTGCCATCCTCTCAGGCTGTGTGACTCATGGTCTGAGATCCAATCAGCCGTGCCTGGAGAGGGGTGGATGGTTGCAGATCGTGTCAACTTTATCCTGATAATGATCCTCAGATCTCAGAATAATATTGTAATACGGAGGACTGTAGTGGTATATCCCTCAGCGCGCAACCTGTACTGCACCTGGAGGAGGGCATAGTAACCCCACAGACAAAAGAAAGCATGAATGGATGGGATACCATAGCCCAGCAACCTTACTACCACCCATTTAATGACAGCCATAAGCCTGTAATCATCTATTGTACTCTAGATAGATGCATATTAACAATTCAATAATCACAACAATACCTACCCAATCCCAAGGTTAGACCCAAGGCCAAAGCACCCTGCCAGATACATAGACAATACGGAGTACGGAATCGATAGCCGCACGGCATCTCCCTACCGAGCACTACAGCCAGAAACATTCCCGTTTCATAATACACCACCAGCAGCCCCCCAACCACCACATTATCACATACATTATTCCAGCGTACGGTACACCACACCGTACTGTCTCACATCTCCTCAATCAACACACAACACACAAAATACACCGTACCCCAAACCCACAATGATGTAGATAAATAAATGATGACCAGCCACACAAAGCCAAAAGAAGCGACCCTACTGCAGGAAACAAGATCCAGTAACCCCAAAGTGGAGAGTGGTTGCCGGCGGCCCTGAGGGGCAAAAATCACCAACCCCCGGTTATCATGGCTGCCCGATCTGAACCATACACTTCCTTCATAGTTTCCTAGTGGCTTTACTGATTACTCACCTAGTTACGGAGTAACTAGTTAACTGGGTAACTAGGTATCTAGTTATGTATGCATGTGTAAGCAAGCAAGCAGCAAGTAACTATCTAGATAACTGGAACCGGATAGAAGGTACCAACCGACCGAGTGGTCAACCTGAGTCCCTCCCTCCTACATGCATTTAATTACCGGCAGCCTGTACACCACCCCCAATAATATATACAGGAGGGAGATGAGGAGGTAGTCATCCGGATTCGGCAACTGACAGATCCATCTACCTACATACATATGCAGTCATACAGCAAATAATGTACACAGGATGATAGTAATCAACCACTGAACTCATGAGGGATGGTATGTATGGATGAAGATGATGACTCGGACAGACGGATATGCAGTAGCAGCAGCAGCAGCACACCGGCCCGGTGACAGACTGACAGACAGACTTTCTGACTGCTGCTGCCACGGGTGAATCCGGTTGATAAGAACAGAAAAAGGGAGTGCATGAGGGGTCGTTCCGATCATCGGGAATGGTGCTGGTTAACATGCAGGCACTCGACCCCGCGGGAGGGAAGAGTCGGATGGATGGTGGGGGAGGGGTAAGAAGCACTACGAACACCACAGTTACGGGACTCAGGAGGGGCAGAAGGCAGACAAGTCATAGCCCCCTCGGGCTCACATCGAATCGAAACCCCAATTGATCACGCCGCATGCAACCACGTTCGTATTTTGTCTATGCACCTAACTCCAGCTTTTTCACCACGGTTCCGTCCCTCCCCCCGGAATGTAATCACAAGATGAGACTCTGGTCAAATGCAAGAACTCGGCCCGGCGCTTAAGCCATGCGCTTCCGGGATGTCGCGGGCGTAAGGACAAAAACAGGAAACAGGAAATGGACCCTCGGTCCAGAACGGAGGGGATATCATCGAGAAGCAGGGGTGGGGTGAAACAACCATCCACCCAGAGAAAATGGAAACGGAAAGGAAAATGACACGAGCATGGAGGGCGAAAGCAGAAAACAAAATCAGACTCCGTTCATGTCGTAGATCAGTGTGATCGCACATGTCCCAGATCACAGATCCCTAACACCGGCCCAGTCTCCATGTGCAGATGTTCGTAAACATGAAAAGCAAAATCCCAAGTCGTAAATTCGTCAGTCTAGTCTGCTACTCTATCCTGGAATGTCGCTGGCACCTATTCGTCCTTCAGGCTCCCGATCAGGTTGCGAAGCGCGTCCAGAATCACGGCCTCGTCCTTCGGCTCGCCCCCGGGGAACGAACTATCCGTCGCGTTGCCCAGAACACGCGCCCGGGCACTCTTGAGCACTTCCCGGATGTAGTTCTTATCCTCGTAGTCCTCCATCAGCACCGCCTCGAAGTCGTCAATCGCCTTGTTGGCCCGCTCATTGAACGACGACGCCTCCGAATTGTCCATGGGCCCCGGCCCGGGGTCGTGGCCCATGCCCATATTCGGCGGGTGCTGCATAGGAGGACCCGGCGGTGGCGGTGGAGGATGACCTTGGTGCGGTGCATTCATCGGTGGCATAGACGGTGGGTTGGGCGGCGGATAGGGAGACTGGTGCTGCGGTTGGGGTGGCATCGCCTGCGTCTGTTGTGACTGCTGCAGCTGCACCAGCTGCGGTGGCGGGTCCGAGGCATAAGGCGAGGTATAAGTTGAAGGGGTCGTCTGCGCAAAAGCAGGCGGGAGGTTGTTTCGGAGCGGACTGGGTATCGGGAAAGGGGTGGAGGCGGCGGCTTGAGTAGGGGGCGGATAGGGGCTCGTATGGTGAGGTGCGGGAGTAGGATTGGGGGCAGGGACAGGGGTAGGAGCTGCATAAGGGTTGGCGGGCATGGTCGGGAATTGGAAGTGCGGATTGGCCATGCCAGGCTGTCCATTCTGACTGCCATACGATGGATTCAGCTGAGGCATGTACTGTGGAGTAGCTGCCGGTGCCGACGGGGGCTGTGACGCTGGCGGAGGAGGCGAAGGCCGTCGCTTCTTCTCCTTTTCGACTGAGGCCCCTGGGCGCAGCTGCCATGACCATCCTTTCCCATCACGCTCCGCATGCATGAAGAGATGGCTGTTGCCATTGAGGTTGTGTCGCACACTCGATGTCCAGCCTTCGGTTTCGCACTTGAACCGGAAATAGGGGTATTTCAGCTTCAAGGCGCGGTAGATCTGCTTGAGTGTCATCGGAGTGCCAGCCTCTGTGAGGGCATCGAAGATGAGGACGGCATAGTTGTACGGCGGTTTGGCCAGATCCTCCGGCGTGTACGCAGACTCAGGCGGATAATTGGGTGATGGCGAGCGTGACGGCTTGCGCTTCTTGACTGGCGGTGCCTTGATGAATTCCTCGGGCCGGTGTTCCATGGGGAACTGGCCGCCTTCTGTCGACGGGAGTGGAAAATCCATCGGCGTGCCATCGGGCTTCTTCCTCTTGGTGTACTTGCGCTTTTCAGGCTTCGACCCAGGCGACTCGCCGCCCATGGGGTCCTTCGGTGTGGCTGCAGCAGCAGTAGGTGCTGGTGCCTTTCCGGCCTTGGATCGGTTCGCAGGTGGAGGAGTGACACCTCCGTTCGCCTCCCGCTTCGCAGCCAGCTTCTGTTCTCTTGCCAGCTCGGCTCGTTCGCGCTTGGACATGATGCCGTCCTTCGGAGGCCGTCCAGGGCCACGACGGCGTACAGGCTGTTGAGCGACCTCCCCAGATCCTTCAACGGACTGCACTGGTCGCGCTGATTCTGGCTCTCGGGTCTTGAGAATGATCTTCGTAGTCTTCGGGGCCTCCTTGTTCTCCGAACTATCAGGGGCGCGTTTTGGAGCCGCTGTTTCATTCTCACCGGTAGTAGAAGCCTGCGTCTTCTCTTCTTCAGCTGCATACGGCTCCTCCTCTCTATCCGCACCGGTTTCTCCAATTGGCACGTCGGGAAGCAGAAAGCGAATGCGGACTCCTCCAATCTGGATATAATCGCCACTGTGCAAAGGCCTTACTTGGCCCGGTGATAGCCAATCTGCCCCGATGAAAGCACCGTTCCTTCCCATTACCTCCATTTCAAACAAATTTCGATCGAAATTGTAAGCGATCTTGACATGTTTTCGGGAAATCCCTCGATGCCCGGCGGCACTACCGTCAACCGTCGCCGGGGGGTGAATGGGGATGGTCGGACACGCATCGGGTGAAGGAAGCAGGGCCAAAGCATCGACTGGCTTGGCATCTCCATTCCCTTCACTTAAGGACTGCATCGCCAGTGCATTGTAGTCGGTGGTCGATTGTAATTGAGCTGGCGTCGCATGCAGCGGAGCGCCTGATTCAGCATGGGACGAGACGGACGAGCGACGACTGAGATGATGTGGCAGATGTGGCGGGATATCCGGATCAAAGCCCATGATTCCACCTCGATCGCTGACGACGCTCCCAAGAATGCCGCTGCCCTCGTGCTTCACACGATTGGGCGTATGTGATGTGTTGCCACCGCTCGAGCTCTTAGCTCGAGACGTCCTCATCGCCTGACGGACCTGTATTTCGCGCTGATGGGCGGCCCGAGCAGCTCGTACATCACGCCCAAGAATGAAGGAATACGTATTGCAGTAGAAGTGGCCGTCATCAAATTCCAACTTCGCAAATGCCTGAATTCGGGGCTCGGACCCAGCGACCGAGCCGGCGATATCGTGAGATAAATGCCCCCCCGAATACCCAAGGGCGGATAGATCGGCGCCTTGCGACAGATAGGCCGCAGTGAGCATCTCATTCTGTTGTAATGCCTCGAACGGGGTCTTCGGAGCGGCCGTGATATCGAAGGAGGAAAAGAGGTCCGGGTGGTCTAGACTCGATTTCGAGAACAATAACGGGTCCGTCAGGCCTTCCACGGCATCGCCTGTCTTGATTGACATGCTGCCGCTATGCTCGGGGTTCGAAAACGTGAAATCGGGCGGTGGAACGGAGTTTTTCTCATCTTGTTGGTGAGGAGCCAGCGGTTCGGTTGATCCCGGCGGAAATTGATCCAAGCCTCCGTTGGTCGAATCTGCAGGTAGGGCCGGGGATGCCGACGTCGAATCGATCTGCCATTGGCCCTTCATATCGAAACCGTTGGTTTGGGGATGATCGGCCCCGTCCTGTGCTGGCGGCATTGGATGATCCTCGGGCCCAAGACCGTCGGCCGAGGACTGGTTTCCGAGCAGTTGGGCCAGCAAAGCACTGGCGGCAGATTGACGGCGGAAATCGGACTGGGCGTCTGGGGCGGCGGACAGGGAATGGGAGGAATCGTGGTCGGCGGGTTCGGACTTGACGAAGGGAGTGGTGGACGGCAGGGAGGGCAGGCCATTGGGAGGAGAGTCGGGGGCAGAATCGTGCAGAGCGCGGATTGCGGAGTCGCTGGGCGGGGAGGGGTGCGGTTGGTCGTCAGGTTGCTGCTGGGAGCGAGGGTAGTCGTACACGGCGGACATATTTGGCGCAGCATCCGGAGGACGATGGCCCACCGCAGACGCTGTCATGGTCTGCGACGACGACATGACCGGCGGGCTGGTCTTTGGGGGGGATTGGAGAAGGACGGGCTGGGAAAGAGGAGGAGGAGGAGAGGAGGAAGTCAAGGGCGGTGAGGCTGAGGCCCCGTCCACCGCGTCCTGTGACTGGTCGGCCCCGTCACGCCCCGGCCTTTTTTTCATAAATTTTCTGCCAGTCCGTGACGGTATTTTTGCCTGGATGCCAGGTAGGAGCGGATGATTACCGTCTCCGCGCTGTTACAGCTTCCCGTGAACGTATCAGCTGCGTTCCTTTAATTGTTTCCGTACCTGACCCCATATCCCCATCACTCCTACTCCTCCTACTCCTACTACTACTACAACCAGATACTGACCACCTCTACCACCACCTACACCCGACAATCACCACCCTCACCTACAGCGAACCACCACCATGCCCAAAAAACCCGTCAAACCCCCCAAACCCACCAAACAACCCCCTCCCTCCACCACCACATCAACCACCTCCACCACACCCCCCAACTGGCCCCCTCTCCGCCCGCTCCTCCCCTCCACCTCCCTAACCCTCGACCCCCTCCTCCCCTCCCAAATCTACCTAATCCGAAACTTCTTCCCCTCAACTCTCTGCAAAACCTACTCCTCCTTCCTCTCCTCCCTCCCACTAACCACCACCCCCGGGAAGCCCAAAAAAGGCGACGCGGTGCGCGTCAACGACCGGTTCCAAATCCAGGATGATACGTTTGCGGAGATATTGTGGAGTCAGACGGCGTTGAGGGATTTGGTGATGAGTGTTGCGGAGGAGGAGGAAGTAGAGAGGGGGGAGGAGGGGGGGGATAATGTGAAGAATCAGGGTGGGGGGAAGGATTTGAAGGAGACGTGGGGTGGGGAGCCGATTGGGTTGAATGGGAATATTCGCATTTATCGGTATTCGAAGGGGCAGTTTTTTGCGCAGCATTGTGAGTTCTTTTTTCTTTCTTTTTTATCTTGGGTTGGGTTTGATGTTGGTGGAAGGTTGGGTGTTGGGTGAGGCCAAGGCGGGGTGGAGAGGAGAGGAGAGGAGAGGGAGGAATCCAGAGGGACTGGAGGAGGGGTACCTAGTACCACTTTTGTAAAGTAGCACCTGTAGAGGAGCGTATGCTGATGCTTCGTAGATGACGACTCCAATGCCATCACCTTCCCCTCCCCCGGTCGCCCTCCCCGAGCCGCCCGCACCACCTGGACGCTCCTCATCTACTTGACCAGCTGCGAGGGCGGCGAAACCGTCTTCTATCCGGAGCCTACCCGCACCAATCGCAACCCGGAGCCCGTCTCGGTGGCTCCGGTGCCCGGCATGGCGCTGCTGCATCGACATGGGGATCGCTGTATGTTGCATGAGGGGAAGGAGGTTCGGCAGGGGGAGAAGTGGGTATTGCGAAGTGATTTGGTGGTTGCGCGATGAGCCGGGATTTGGGATATACATCCATGACTACAGACGGATCCTCTTACGATCAACGCGGCATCGTACATCTCAATATGTATCCTTCGTAGCCAACAAGCTATTATAAACATATAAGGCAAACACAGGAACAATCCAGGTGGTTTATCAGAGAGACAAGCATTCGAGAAACGAATGATGTGACAGCGCCGGGATGGCTGTTCCAGCGCGAAGCAACAGGGAACAGACCCGTATATTAAACAGTCCAGACACCCCGCGATGCCGATAATCGAGCACGACCAATGTTTCGCCGATGCATGGGAGCTTTTCAACCCATCTGTCGTAGATCTTAAGACACACATGCTCCCTTGGCTGGCCGTTCAACCAAGTACACAGAAAGGGTGAACAAATAACACAAGAAAGAGAAGAGTCACCACAGCAAACCACGCCAAACGCACTCCTCTTCGCCAGGGTCCCGAAGCGCCAGTGGCGCGCGTATTCATGTCCAAACCGCCTCAAGACGGCGTGGGTTTCTGTTCGTACTCGGCTCGTCGCATGATCTCCTCCACCGGTCCCAGTAGCCGCTTGAAGCCGTCCCGGCCCAGTTTGGCGACCTTGACCTCGGTCGTGGCAACAATGCTCGCAGCGCGCGGCTTGTCATCCAACAGGGCGAGTTCACCGAAGTAGTCGCCTCGGCGGTAGGACTTGACAGCGCCCTCCACACCATTCTTGTATGCATCTGCCTCGCCGGACTCGAGCAGGTAGAATGCATCGCCGGGATCGCCCTCAGCAATGATCGTGGAGCCAGCGGGATATTTGATGGCATCCAGGGCGTCTGCAATCTTCGCACGCTCATACGGCTTGAGGCTGGACAGCAAGGGCACCTCCTCCAGGAACGCCTCATACATGCGACGGCGCTGGAAGGCCGAGTCCATGAGGATCCGTCGGAAGGTGATGCGGTCCAAGGCCCACAGGGTACTCTTCGGGTCGATAGACACCACGGTCGCCGCACGAGGCGCATTGTACATGAGAGCCAGCTCTCCAAACGAGCCTCCGGGGCCAATGGTGTTGACCTTGTTGCCCATGCCGTCCGGACCAGGTTGCACCGAGCCCGATGGGTGGATCAGGACGTCAAAGTTGCCCTTCTCGACAATGTAGAAGTAGTCACCCGCGTCACCCTGGCTGATCACCTTGATTCCCTTGGCGGGGATGGGCTTCTCAACCAGAGCATCGAGGACCGTCTTGAACTGGTCATCATCCAGATGCGAGAAAAGGAAATTGCTGCTGACCGCGGTCTTTAGACGGGACAGCTGATCCTCTGACTTTTCATGGTACGGAGGGCTCCAGCTGTCTGAGCCGGCTGAGGTGGGATTCAGGGACTCTGCAGACACCGATGTCCGACGGCCCAGCGCATAATTATTGGGGAATCCCTGGTTCGCAGCTCCCGTGGGGCGGATATCTTCCGGGGGGAACTCGTCCGCCCCCTCGTCTTCCTCCCTGGACCCATCGTCGAAAGGACTCCGGTTGAAGCGAATTGCGCCGCCGGACTCGCCGTATGCACCACCGAAGAAGGGACTGCCGGTCGAGGAGGACGCAGGAGCGGCGTTGGCAGTGCGAAAAGTGGGATCGGTTGGTGACGTCACCTCGTATTCTTCATCCTCGGAGATCTTGTGAAAAGTTGCGGGTTTGTCGTCTTTGGTGCCAACCCGGAGGGATTGGTGGGTGCTGGGGAATGCACTCTCAGCCATGCTGGCGAAGGAAGGGCCGGAGAGGGCGCCGCTCCGGCCACAGTGAAGCGGGGAAGAAGGAAGATCGGAAGACGGCGACTGAAGCGGCCGGCACGCAAGGACGGAAATAGACTGAAGGAGGTCAGACGCCAAGCAAGACACGGACAAGCGTGAAGATGAAGAAATAAATTGAACGTGCGGAGCCAAAGGGAAGAAGGAGGGGGGAGTAGTCATCAGAAGAAAAGAAGATGTGGTAGCACAGCAGAGAACGAGGAGGGGAGGGGCGGGTAGAGAAACCGACCAGAAGGTCGTAGCTGAGCAGCGCTCCAGTCAAGGAAGCAAGATCATTGAATGATGATTGGGGTCTCCGCCAGCCCAGTGTGGGTATCGTCTCCAGCAGGCCTCATTGGCCGCCCGCCCTGGTACGCTTTTCGGCGTCGCGAGCCTCTGAAGCTTCTTGCGGAGGAGCTTCGCCAGCACCGATGTGGGCACACAACAGGAGGAATTGGCAGCAGGAGAGATAGATGGCACGACGCAGGAAACTCACCCGGGAACCCAGAGACAGCGCACCAAGGGATGGGGGAAAAATAAATCAGAGAGAAGGAGCAAAAGTGAAGGGTGAAACGCCAACACACCAGCGAGGGAAGCTTTGGAGGGGCAAGACGGCAGAACTTAAATGGGGAGTAGCTTCGAGGTTGACCTACCAGTTCCGACTGACTCGTCCTCGGGTTGCGGGTTTCGGTCGCGTGGGAGGTTGCCCGGCAGGATTGCAGGCTCACGGTCAGAGAAATGACGGGACACTTAGCGTCGAAGCCTTCTAGAGGTTTTAAGGACAACCGGCACTAGAAAAGGGGCGGTAGTGGTGATACGTAGGGAACTGGATCCGGAGGGGTTGCAGGAAAGGAGGGGGAGAACCATGAAAAGGCGGGGGGCAGCAAAGCAGGCAGGCTGGATGGAGGAGCCGGAAAGCTTGCATTTATTTAATATCTCATGATCTTCTACCGTACTTACGCCGTCTAGGGGGGTCCAATCGGACACAGAGGCATGCCTTTTCGAAATTTAATAAATCCTCATTCGGGTTGTCGTCTTTTCTCACCACTCAGGCCACCCTCCGTGCCTCATCCTCGACTCACCTCCTTAATTAAGGGTTGCCCAGGCCGGGTACACTGGTGGAATGTCTCGATCGACGTCACGGACACTCGCTAGCCAAATCCACTACTTCAATAGCTGAGTGCCCGGGTCAATAGTCTGGCCCGATATTATCAAATGAAATCCATAGTCCGGCGTAGTCGATCGTACTAGCCCGTCCCAGTGGTTTCTAGAAGGTGAAACCGAAAAGGAGACGTGGACGATGGGCCCTAGATTCAGTCCCGAAATCCTTCAGCCCAGACAACCGGGAACGGGGGAAGCTTCGATCGGATGTCTAGGGGGCTTCCAGATGTTTTCTAGAACATTGCGATATCCGGAAAGGGGGGAACAGACTGGTTTGCGTTGCGCCACCGGCGGTGATGGACGTGCCATGCCCATTAGACCCTTGACAAAGGGGGCGGGACCTATTAGTCAATGACAGCAGACAGAAATAGGAGAGACTGGCGACCAGCATCATCCACTTTCTGTTAGACGATGTGCGTCCTCGACGCGATTCCTTGTCATTCGTCAGGCCATCCGAGTGCGCGTGTGGCAAACGAGACGGCGTTTGCGTCTTTCTGGGTTCGGATGATCTGCTTGCTGAGGTCATAGGCAGGTCGACTCCGTTCGTTGACGTTGGCTAGAGCCGTCGTTATGACAGGACGAGTGCTCCGCCAGCCACTTGGGTGTCAAAGTTCGATCATCCCCACTGGCTGGTCAAGGTAACGTTTCCTCTCCAGCCTGGGCAGGCAATGAGAGCAACCAGAAATGCTCGACTCCCATGGAATGTCAATCCTGAGGTGCTGCTTCTGGCCATCCTGATGCGGTTAGCTTTCCAGCCGTTATCGCTTTGGGATCGCCGACCTCGACCATTCCTCTTCAAGATTAGAACAGGCCCGTGCTCTCTAGATCGGGCTAAGCGCCGGGACGCGGTTGGGTCGGTCTGGTCCCAGCCAGTTTGGGTGTTTGAGATCATCCACTTGGGTTCTCGTCGGCCGCTGGAGACACTCTGGGTAGCCAGAAGCCGGTCGATTTGGGAGAAACTTTGGGGCGGACTGGGTCAGGCTGTCAAGCCTGGATGCTCGGAACAATATAAGGTTGTCCGAGTGTCGCTCGATGCATGTAGGTACATGTTCTGTAATGTAGGTATCGATCCAGGTCAGGCACCGTCGACGTGTCTCATCCAGTAGAACCCCTCCCAGGCGCTTCTGTCCCTGGACGTGGACGATGGACAAATGGTCGGGAAGAGGGCTATCGCTACGGGCAGAAATGCGGCCGGGCACGAGCCTCTATCTCGATGGGCTTGGTCCCAACAAGGTTGTGACGAACGCCAACGCGATAAGCTGCCAGCTGTCGCTGCTCTGCGTTGTCCACGGGTTGGCAGACAGTGACTCAACTGTGGTGTATGAGGATCAGGCAGGCACTATTCCGTAGCTTCATCATGACCGAAGCTTGAGACAGTGAAAATTCTACGTGGGTGCTGAGCAGCGTCTCTGCTGGTGCTGATGTCCAACTGGCGGCCAAGTTCAAGGCGCTGCTTCTACTCCGTACTTCCTGCCAAAACGTCCGACCGGTGACGGTCTGTGTGCGACCGCCACCCCGCTTCATCCTCCCCATCTTTCCGCAAGCTTTATCGCCGGTTCCCAGCCTTCTCTATTTTTCCTGCCCCGAGCGTTCTAGCTCTCTTTCCCTCCGTGCTTCCTAGAATATCTACTGTGTACGGAGTACCGCTGACAGATTACGGCTTCCACCGCACCTATTGAGAGTCGGAGGATCTAACATCTCCACCGCCAGAATGGGGAGCTTCACGTTTCGATGGTAAGTGATCCCCTTGCCAATGTTTGGGCCTCCAATTGTAGGGAATTGTCTGCTCCACTGCCCTCCTGTGGAAATTCTATTCTATCCGACACCATCCGTACCAAGCGACGAGGGTGGATGGAACAAAGCCTGCTCAGCTCGAGCCTTTTGAAGTGATTTGATCGCTGACTGATGCGGCTCCTCGCATGAACAGGCCGTACAGTGCGAGCGAAGTGTTTGTCACTGGGACGTTTGATGACTGGGGCAAGACTGTGCAGCTGGACCGCATAGGCGATGGGTTCGAAAAGGAAGTTTCGTTACCGGCCACGGATGAGAAGATACACTACAAGGTGAGACCACGACGGAAGGCTCTGCACATGACCATTGCTATCCGGATTTGCTTGCTACTTGTTCTACTTTTTATGATGATTACGTCCTTGGATGGGGCATCGCGGGCGGCCGTGCTTTGCTTATCTTCGCATCCACGATGACGCTGCGGCCTGGCACTGACGTCATGTCGCCGCCAACTGGGGAAGCCGTGCCTCCCCCCCAAACTATAAGACTCATCTCTCAGCGTCATCATTGCATTGGTTCCATAAACTGACATTATTCTTTTCTGGTTCACAGTTTGTCGTTGACGGATTCTGGACCACCGATAGCGGAGCCCCCGAGGAAGACGACGGCAACAACAACATCAACAACGTGCTCTATCCTGACCAGATTCAGGAAGAATCAACAGATCCCCTACTGAACGGCACTGCCACTATGTCCGGCGTTAGGCCAGATTCAACTACCGCTGCATTGGCAGCCGGCATTCCCAAAGAGTCCAGCAGCAAATATGGTCAAAGCGGATATTATCCCACCATCTCGTCGGCCGCACCGGGGTCGACCACTGCAGGACTGGGCCAGGACGTACCTTTGGAGCAGCGGGCCAGTGTGCCGGGATCCTATCCAGCTACCCCAGCTAGTGAGACTGAGAAATTCTCCGTGAATCCCATCCCGGCCTCCAGTGGCACCGGCAACCCGATCAAGCTTAACCCGGGGGAGAAGGTGCCTGACGCCAGCACATTCAACCCCAACACCATTTACTCAACTGCGCGGACCGACCAGGCTGGCTATGAACAGGGAGGCAGCAGTGCCTTTGCCGGCTCCAACTTCGATGGCAGCGCTTTTTCGGTTCCCCCGGTATCTAAGAATATGATCCCAGAGTCCAGCCTTCCCATGGGTGATAGTCCGGAGGCTACGCAACCTACCTACACGATCCAATCTGTCGCACCTATGTCCACTACTGCTGGACTTGCTGCTGCAGTTCCCCTGGAATCCCAGAGGCACACCACGAGCGGACTGCCTGCGACAGATGTCCCGGATGTGGTGCGACAGTCGCTCTCCGATGCCCACAAGGACCCTGAGGCAGCCACTAGTGAGACGGCGGTCGAGGAGAAGAGGGAAATGGAAGAGGAGCTTCGACAGAAGGTTCCAGTAGACAATTCCCCCGGCACGCCAGCGCCTGTTATTACTTCCTCTCCTGCCACTGGACTGGGTGCCGGTGCTGCCGGACTTGGCACTGCTGCCGGGCTTGGTGCTGCTACTCTGGGATCACAGAGACAGACCGCCGGGGATGTCCCCGATGTGGTGAAGCAGTCGATTTCTGAAGGCTACAGGGACCCTGAAGCGGCCACTAGTGAGGCAGCAGTCGGAGAGAAGAAGGTGATGGAAGAGGAGCTCCAACAAAAGGTCCCGGTGGACAATTCCCCTGGCACGCCTGCACCTGCTATCACTTCTACTGGGATTGGACTTGGAGCTGGGGTGGCCGGACTTGGCACTGCTGCCGGGCTCGGTGCGGCTACTCTGGGATCACAGAAACAGACCACCGGCGGGTTGCCCGCTGAGGATGTTCCCGATGTCGTGAAGCAGTCGATCACTGACGCCCACGAGGACCCCGAGGCAGCCGTCAATGAGGAGGCCGTTGAAGAGAAGAGAGAGATGGAAGAGGAACTTCAACGAAGGGTCCCGGTGAACAACCAGGCTGGGGCGCCAGCACCAGCTCTCACGGCTGCCACTACGGAGACCGCACCACGGGCTACTGGCGAACCTGCGCCGGAGACTGCTGGTCCGGTTGGCACAGCTAGCACTACGGAGATCCCCCGGGCTACTGATGATAAGCTCGCTTCGGGTCAGGTCTCCCCCCGGAACACTGACTCCACGGATGGACCCACGGTGACCACCGGGGTTGGCACTGCGAAGACTTCTGCAGTATCTGGGCCGGGTGCTGTCGCTTCCGAGGACACCTCGCATCCCCCGACTGCTGGAGCGACGGGCGCCAGTGCGACCAAGACTGTTGACTCTGGGGTGGAGAGTGGGCCGACTGCCGACGAGACCACTACTCCCACTGCTGGTGCCACGGGTGCGAGTGCGACGAAAACCGCCGATTCAGCTAATCCAGCTGAGACCGAAGCGTCGGCTGGCACGACAGGCTCGGGGCCGACCAACGGCGCGGCGAAGCCGGCCAACACGACCAATGGCAAGGAGAAAAAGAAGAAAGGCTTTTTCTTGCGACTGAAGGAGAAGTTGAAGTCGGTTTGAAGACGATGGCTATGATAATGATTACGGTGTATGATGGGAGGATGGATTCTGTGCTTACTCGACTGGATACCTGATTGCATGGCTCGTATAGTTGCTACGGCTTGGTTTACTGGTGCTCGTGGAGCATGGTAGCTAGTATGATAATGTTAATGTTGATTATGGATATTTCTAGCTAGATGGGTATTGCGTCGCTGATGATGCCGTTGATTTTGACGGGGTAGCCCAAGACGCTGGAGAGTTAGCCTGATTCGCCGCGGGGAGTCACCACTTACTCTTTGCCGGTCTGGGTGAGACAGCAACCGCAGAAGATGGAGGCGGGGTAGCAGATGACCTGTATCATTAGCTATGAAGCAGTAGCAGTCCGATCGACATACCGCAGCCACGACCGTACACACAAACCCTATCCCATTAGCATTGCATGTAAGAAGGTGTAGAGAATACCTACCGAGAGTCGGACCCACGACCTTACAGCGACAGGGATTCTGGTCCGTTCCGCATTGGAAGCAGATGGGGAAGATGGGGAGGAAGGGAATGTCGCACATTTTTGGATTAGATATTAGACAGTATATGGGGATCAGCTTATGGAATTGGACCTGTCGAGGTAGGTAAGTACATATCTTTGTATTATGGTGGTTTTTGTTGTTTTCCAGGGTTGTTGTTGTTGCATGGGTCGGTGCATGATTCATGATGACGACAGGGATGTTACTTGTTTATCCTATCTACTGTGGTGTGTTTTGTGTATATTGGATTTATCTATTGATTGTTTTGTAGGTAGGTAGATAGATGGATAGGTAGGGTCTGTGAAGACTACACAGTACATAGAGTGCATAGAGTGTAGGTTTCTGGGTGTGATCTTGTGAGCATTCTGGCTGTACTCCGTACTCCGTACACTGTATCTAATACACTACAACCGCTGATGGATAAAACCAGTAATCAATCAGTTCCTACTCCGTACATAGTAGGCACCAGCCACTAGCAGACACACTCCCTAGGCACATGACAAAATCCACCTCTGTCCCCCAGCTCAACACCCACTAAGCAGTAATCCTGCACTGTCCTTGTCTTCACTCTTCACTGCCTCTGCATACTATAAATACCCCAACCTAGACAGAATCTCTACCTAATTATAATTCTAGTGTGACCAAATCATTACTCATAATATAGAAACTGTTGCTGCGCCTGACGCCGTAGGCACCCGAATTCTCAGCCCTGGAGTTGGATGGTTCTCGCGCCCCGCCGTGCTTGGCACCAGCCACGCTTCAGTCCAGTGGATTGATCGGTGGATTGGAATTCATTACGATATTCCCCTTTCTTTTATTCTTCGCTTCCTTGTGCAAGTATTTTTGTGGCTGTATGGTATATATACCTGAGTATCCTGTGCAGCTGTATATCTGTGAGTAAGAGAAATAATCATTGAAAAGAAAGGTAGTAGAGCCGCGCATCTACTGGATTTATTATTATTTAATAATCGGCATCTTCATCCCCGGATCGATCTCTCCACCTATCCACCCACTTACCAATACCAAGACCAGACCAGACCAGTGGCACTGGCAGTGGCACACAGTGTGACCCTCCCCCTGGTGCAGAGTACACCGACAATCAATCACTGCAAAGTTTGCAGAGCCACTCATCCACCACTACGAGCGGTTCAGCCCTACGCCCATCCATCATCCACTCTTTCATCCATGTCCACGCCCTACAGACCATTCTTCCTCCTCACACTCACCACTCTCATCAGTATATACTATTTCCTTCCGATACGAGTATCCTGTTTCCCGACTTGTCTGATTACTTACCCTATCTCAACTCTTCTCTTTCCATCAACCACAACCACACCCACACCCACCCTCACAACAAAGACCCAACTTAAGAACAAACGAACAATGACAACCCGTCTCACCCCCCTCTTCATCCTCTTCGGGATCCTCCTCATCCTAAGCATCATCGGCTACATCACCTACTCGATCATCCGCGACGTCACCCGCAACACGAAATCCAAAATGGAAGAAAAGAACGTCGTGTTTTCCCGCGACGGGATGAAAGTCGGGGTGAAGTTGGAGGATGAGGAGTATTTGGATCGGAGTCAGAGGTATCCCATAGCTTCGTTGTGTTTGATTTGCGTGCTTGCTTGCTTGCTTGGAGAAGTATGACTAACGTGGTGGTGTCTGGGATGGTAGTCTCCTCGTCAGCATGTGGAATCACACCGCCTTCCCGGCGTATAAATCCCGCATTTGGGATATGACGAAGCCGACGAATTGGAGTGCCGAGGAACAGAAGAGTCGGGTGTGGGAGGTTGCGGGCGATGTGGTGGATGTGGCGGGGAATGTGTCGGCGGGGGTGTCGGCGCGGTTGGCGAGTTGGACGGGGGTGGGGAGGGGAGGTGTTGAGGAGAAGAAGAGTCAGTAGATGTTTTATTGGGATATTGGTTGTGGGTTTGGGAGGTGGGAGTTGCATGGTATGCTCATTAGCTCTGCTGTCTATTTTATCTTTTATCTTTGTTCGCTGCTCTGATGATACATGAATGATCACTGTACTTTATATCCTCATCCTCATCCTCGTCGTCAATCTCATATCATCTCGTCAATCTAAATTCGCGTAATAATCATAATCCTGGTTCAGCTTATAAAACGGATCCGGCTTCGGTTCCCAGCTGCTACCATACCACGTCGGGGTCGTCAACTTCTCCGGTGTATCCGTGCGCTTCTCGTTCGTAAACACATGCTCGAACGTCTTGGCCCACTGCACCCGGTTGTTCAGACCCTCCAGACCCCACAGCTCCTGCAGGAAGTGCAGGAACGAAGTATGCGTGTACTGCGAGTTGTTGGCGTACATGGTGCCCTGGTCGTGGATCAGGTGGTTGGCGGGGACGTATGGGGAGATGATGAAGGCGGGGACACTATCATTGTCAGCTGGTTCGGAGTTTAAAGGGGTGGAGGGATGTACCGAATACCCAGACGGGTAAAGTCGTAGGTCACGTTGTGGCCGTCCGACAGACCGGAAAACGTGATGCCGTCTTCAGGCTGGGGGACGTTGATCGGGGTGGGGACGTGGTCGGCGAAACCACCGTGCTCGTCAAAGTTGATGATGATCAGACTGATTGGTTAGCGATGAAAGGAAACGGAATGGGGGGTGTGCTTACACGTTGTCCCAGTACTGCGACTTGCGCACCGCATCGTACAGATGCTTGATCAGCTGCTCGCCCGAGGCCATGTTGCTGGTCGGGTGCATCGAGTCGATGGTGCAGCACTCGGGGTTGTAGTAGGAGAACTGAGGCAGCGTGCCTTCTTCCAGATCGCGGTAGAATTGGTCCGAGTGGACTAGACGGTCCATGGCGTTGTCTTGCACCCACTGCTCTGGTTAGAACTATACCTCGGTGGAAGAGGTTGACTTACCTTGTACATGTAGGCATCGACAATGTCTGTCTCATAGTACTGCATTCATTAGCATCGTCATGCACATGTGATCGGTGGCACTTACATTCTTCCAGGTGATGTTCTTGTTGCTCAGCGACTCGAAGATCGACGTGGCACAGGTGGTTCCCGTGTAGTTCGCATACCACCCGGCGGCCTGGTAGGTGTTGTCCACAAACCCGCAGGTCGAGCCCGAGGTAGCGAATTGACGGTTGGTGTTGGTAGGTCCGGGGTGTTCCGCAAACTGTTCAGTTAGCATCATCAATGCAACAGCCAAGCAACACGGTGCTTACGTAGCTATCCCAGAAAGCAAAGTTCTTCGCAACCTCCACCAGGGTCGCCGTCTTCTTCTCATCATACGCCTTGATCACAAAGCCGGCCTCGCCTGGGCTGGCCTCGTACTTCTCCGACTGACGCTCGATGAACCCTCCCATGTTGGGCACATCGGTCTTGTTGGGGTACCACGTGCGGAAGATCTCATAGGTGGTACCGGCAAAGTTGTGATCCGGATCGCTCAAGGGCACCTCGGTCTCGAACGGCGCAGCACACACATTGAGAGGCTCATCCCAGACCGTCCAGTTGGGGTTGGTGTACTCGTTGCAGTAGGTGATGTTGCGCAGGTTGTCAATGTCGGTGTGAAAGTCCCAGTAACCCGCGATGTTGTCGAACGAGTGGTTCTCCATCATCAAGTAGACGACATGTTTGATCTGCTCAGTCAATACTAGAGTACCTGAGTAAGGACAGGAGGGTAGTGCATACGTTGGATCGGATCTGTCCCCAGGTCTCATCGTTGCGCCGGTGAGGAAGAGCGGAGGCCACAGTGGCCAGGGCCGAGAGAGTAGCCACGTTCAGCTTCATAATGCCGTTTGCAACTTGCTGCCTCTGAGCAGAACAGGCCAACCCGTGCGATATTTATCTCCATCTCGCATGACTCGAGCGGATTCGGACCTGGTCGGATGCACCATGGCGCCTTCGAGCGCAGGATCCACACGGCAGGCAGCGTGCATCACAGGTAATCTAGAAGCAAAAAAAAAACGGTGGCGATTATCGGTGAAAGCGAGCCATGGTCCAATGGCACGCGAGACGGCCCATCCCACGTGGTGGGGAGACAGCCTGCTCGCGTGAGGTATTGTCGCGAACAAGGCAGGAATGAGGAGAGTCCGGTCCGGATGTATTCCGCAGTGGGCAGAGTGAGGGGATTTCAAGAGCTGAACGCGACGCGGGCTGGTCAGCGCGGATGAATCCGATGGTGAATCTGCATCAGCTGCTGGATTGATTGGCCTTAATGCAGAGCGACGGAGAGAGCTGACCCGTCTAGGCCGGATGAGGGAGGTCGACATCTCCGCTCATGCAAAGCAGCGCCGTGAGATAGGCAACCGGGTAGCACAGCGGTCCTCCGAAGTAGTCGATAGTAGACGCATGCGGTGCAGCGTGCCTCCATCGTGCTTCTCGATTGCAGGTCAATTGCAGGGGTCGATAGACCGCCGATTAGGAAATGAGGGAGCCTGATAGGTCTGGCACCCGAGCCCATGACTGCACTAGGCCTAACCCGGCAAGGGCGCCTTCCTTAAGTGGCCTAAGCTTCAGGGACTCCGCAGCCGGTGGATCCCGGGCTTGCATTGTCCCGCCACCCCAGCCAATCAGGGGCCCACGTGGGGCATCGCGCCCCCCACGACTGCAGATGACGGCGAGCGCTTCAGGCACGTTGTCGGTCATCTCCTCTCCATAGGCCCTTGCTCGTGCGCCTGGCAGATGATAAGCTGCCCAGGACCGGGCACGAGATGCATGGCCGAGGGGTTATCCCCTGTCGTCTCCCCTCTGGTCCGTCGGAGAGCGCATATGTATTCCTGGACCTGGCCCGTAGACCGACTAGTTTGGCCTGAGATCATGCTGATGCGGTTGTTGATTTGTTCGCTCTGCTCCATAGGTCAATTGCTGCCAGCCGACGGTTCTCATTTCTACTGCGCGTTGCCCGGCTTTCGGTTTCCTGGCCAGCAGCAATCACTCATTCACCAGTGCGCGGTTTTTGGTCGTCTGCTTATTTTTAGTCTTTCGTCGCCACTGCTTCCTCAGTAGCAACTTTTCTCTTATCTGACTTTTCGTGAAACACATCCACCCTGTCAACATGTCGATCTCCTCCATTCGAGGCCTTTTGTCGAGTTATTCTCCCGTGTCCGAGGAATTCACTCAGCCCGATCTGGAGAAGGAATACCACCTGTCTCTGCGGAATGCCGACGATGGCGAGTCCAGCTCGACCCGATCGGTCTGCCAGGAGCGAGCGGAGAAGAAAGAGTCCAAATTCGTCGATGGACGGATCGTGTCCGACGCTATCATCGGTCTTTCCGATGGTATGACGGTGCCGTTTGCTCTGACGGCCGGCTTATCAGCACTGGGGGACACCAAAGTGGTGGTCTTTGGCGGAATGGCTGAACTGATTGCGGGGGCCATCTCCATGGGCCTGGGCGGTTATCTCGGGGCAAAGAGCGAGGAGTGAGTACCCCGCTTGACGGCGCATGTGAAAAGCTAACCCCCCATTAGGGAATCCTACCGTGCAACGTTGAAAGAAACTAAACAAGAAATCCTGACTGATCCGGCTTCCGTGACCGAGACTATTTCCGAGGTTTTTGCGCCATATGAGTTGCCCTCGGAGTTGGTTGGAGAGCTCACGCGACACCTTTCCTCTTCCCCCAACCTGCCCGCCTTTCTCATGAACTTTCACCACACCGTCCAAGAACCATCCGGATCTCGTGCTTTTGTCTGTGCCTTGACCATTGCGCTGGGATACTTTATCGGTGGCTTCGTGCCTCTTCTGCCATACTTTTTCGTCGGACCCCACGATGCATTCGCTGCCTTGCGTTGGTCGATTGCCACGATGGTCGTTGCGCTGTTCCTGTTCGGCTATGGCAAGACCTGTTTTGTGAGCGGATGGAAGGGACGTCGTAACATTCGACGAGGCATCATTGGAGGGTTGCAGATGATTCTGGTGGGCGGCATTGCAGCAGGTTCTGCGATGGGGTTGGTGAAGGGGTTCCAGATGCTAGCTGACGCCCACAGTCACGAGCATTGATTCATTCATTTCGGCATGGCGTTGTGGGACTAAAAGGGTTCGGAATGGCGTTGTAGGTCACTTAAAATTGGGACATGTTGATAGACCTATCATCAGAATTGGGTTGAGCTCGTGAATTAATTCATTGGGTTGGTTTGCAAATGAGATATTTTATAGGATTGCGGAGGTTCCTGCATCACAGGAATGTATGCAATCAGGAATCAATCGCGATATGAAGAAAGATCCTGCTTCTTATCATCTACATTAAGCTACTCACTTATCTAAACCGGCCATTAAGCCGACCGGACAATATCAAAGATGATGATCCCTAGCACCTTAACAATACCCTCAAGATGATCCAACAAAGCCAGACAACCACCTCACCCATATCCTAAGGCACCATCGTCATGACACAATCTACAAACTACCACTCTACACTCCAATTATACCATCTAGTATACGTCCTATTAATAGTACAATTAGACTAAGCCCTTTGTCTCATAGCAAAGAAAGAAAAGAAACCATCCCCGTCACACTTTATACCCTCAATACCCAATACCCATACATGAACATACACCATACACCATACATACTGTGCAACCTCCCAATACCCAACCATACCCAACTACTCCTTAGTCCATCATACATAGATTCCTCACATACCACAGCCCCATCCCCAGCCACAGCCCAGCCCAACCCAACCCCAAATAGACATCCGACATTAAGCAGTAGGCAGTAGCCTAGGCAGATCCATAACCGAAGTGCCACCCAGTGGCTGTGCATCATCCATCCCCAGATCGACATAGACCCGGCCCGCATACTTGGCATCTTAACGAGAAACTAGGATAGTGTGCGTGCGTGCATGCCAGTTAGGTGAAACACATTCCGGTATGTTTACTACCTGGTTCTGGTTTGGGGGCTCAGTGGGGGGGACGGGTAGGGCGGTATTCTTGATGGAGGTATTACAGGTAGGTATAAGGTAGGTAGGGACGGAGTAGGTGGCTGTGTATATACTATGTATGGAGTACGGAGTAGCTGTAGCTGTAGGGTCTAGGGCTAGGTAGGTACCAGGTACTACGGAGTAGGATGTCGGTGGGTGAACAGGTTAATTAGAAGGTACGTAAGGGGCTGTGTCACTCTCATGATACTTGGGGGAATATTATGTAGGAAGTAGGGACGAGGAAGGGAGTTTGAGCGGCATCGCTTGTGGAGGAAATGTCCAGTGCAGGGCTGGGGTTGGAATGGAAAATATATTGAGTGTTAAATGTTAATATTGAGAACGCCTTGTGACTTTTTGGTGGTGTGGATGGTATCTACTGTAGTATGCACGTGTTGTGATTGAGTCTTGTACGCAGTATATAATGTAGTGTAGATCTCACATGGAGCTACGGAGTAAAAGGGTAAGTGTTAAAGTATGGAGTAGGTAGTGTGTTGAGTCTGTCACTGGCACAGCACTAATCCTAGAGGCGATCAGCTCGACTAATACTACTATGTACTATGTACTATGGAGTCAGGCATGGCATGGCATGCGGCATGACCTCATGCCCTGACCCCATGCGGATGATCTGAAATGCTGATTCGTGCCATCCAGGCACGAGGCCAGACCATCAGGTGATGGTATGGGGCAGCGGTCAACAACTCATCATGATGAATAGTATGTATCATGTATGTAAATCGGTATGTACCTTACTGCTTGATGTCAACGCCGTCGAGGTAGAGGCAAACCGGTGTGACATGTGGCTGATGGCTGGCTCCGCCCACGGTTATCTCGGCTTTCCATGATGTACTATGATGTATACGACGTGGTACCCCATGTTCTCCCGAACATCCATGATGCAACCGAAGCGGGACCGACCCGGGGGTTTCTCTTATGCCCTTCCAATTCTATCGACTGTGTACTCTGTACTCCGTACTGTGTATGCTTCTGACGTTACTTGAATGTGATGACAAGCCACGGCTCGGCGTCGGGTGGTAGTTCTGGCTCAAGCTCATGCCGATCCACACGGCCAGGCAACCGTCAACTCAACCTCACGGAGCCAGACGAATACGAGCAGCTTCGAGAATCCCTGATTAGGGGTGATACTGTGACCCTAAAATGAGAACCATCCCTGCGGCTTCCATCGCACGGTATGCCAAGGGAAGAATAGTGCCTGCCTAGAGATCAATGTGGCTGGGATGCGACTGCGGCATTCCTTCGTCCTTTAATCTTACCGGGCTCAGCTACGGAGTACTATCGAAAGCACTGCCCGCTGTGCCACGCTGCGAATGGGTCGTCAACAGCTCCAGAATATACCCCATAACTAGTCACTGGCGCATCGTCTGATGCTGATTCAGCGGAGCTCAAACAGGCAAGAGGAAACCGACCAGGTCAAGACTATCGCGATTAATTTGGGGCCAAAGCTGTGATGACGCCGCATTCTGAAACCATAATTTAATCCCAACAATACCGACCACTTCATCCTTCTGCTATACGGAGTAGTCAGGTATCTGGTCAGCTGCTCTGCATTACTCGGATGCATTCTGATCACTTCGCCGGCGCGGGTTGCCGTGATCTTCCCACCTTCACCAGGTATCTGTATGGAGTATCGATGTATGGGATACCGCCCATACCATACCGGACCGTAATATTGCCGGCGCTTCCACCACCTCTCGTGTGCCCAATATCGTCCCCAATTCTCGACTAGACTGCTGCTTAGACTCCTATAGACCTGCACATCACTGCCTATCCTTGACCCTGAATGTCACCCCTAAGGTCCGGAGGACGGAAAATTGATTAATCATGGTGTTCTTGAGCTACTATGTAGCAACGAGGGGCATGCGTGGTCCCTGTCACTTCCCTCACCTGGATCACCGTGATGAGCAGGTCTCGAGCGTTGGTCGGGCATATGACAGGCGCAGGCCGTTTCGTGTTAAAGACGATGGCTGGTTGGGAGACTAACCTGGTTAGACTTTGGCTCGACAGCCGCCAGTGGACAATCCCAACCAGCAGCTGTTGGCTGATCGCTGTATAGCAAATATCAGTCAGGCTGGGCACGCGGCTATCGTCCGAGCTGTTGACCAGGTGGTACGGTGGCTACTCTACTCCGTACATACTCAAATTTGTCTAGCTGCACGGTCTGTCAACACCATTGATGCGAGCTAGCACGGGACCGGAACTTAGACTTCCGATTTAGATCCGGGGTTCAACCCGATTGTGTTCTGAATGATTCACGGAAATCCCGGCATGTAGCCATGTACAAGCCTTGCAAGCTCCCAGCCCAAAGCTCATCCTATCGCTGCCGGGCCCGATCGTGCCTAGCTTCCGCAGGGCGAGAGGAGGGTTGATGGTGGATAGATAATGCGCAGGAGGAAATTGTGACCAACCAGACTATTCAGGGACAGCGGGCCTTGGCTGCAGGGAAATCGGCGATTTCTTTGGCCGGCCGTGATGCCTGTGAGACCGTTGTGGGTTAAGCGAAATTGGTTCTGGAGATCCACCGCTTCCCATTGGTCATCAACGCTGACTGGTGGGCCAAGACGCCCAATCATCAGGGGCCGCCGGCATCCCAATGAAAATGAGACAGCCAGAATTGGGCGCATCGCTGGGGATTGTGATTTGTTTTTCTGCTTATGCCGGTGTCCCTACAATTAACTAATAGTACATGGGGTTTTCTCGACTGCGTGTCAGCATCAAGCAGGTCTCATAGGCCCCCTCGGAAGAGCAAGGTCCATGTGTCTGTCTGCTGCTCGGGGTTTGTCAACCTCCGTAATCTCTGTATACTCCGCAGTGGTATATCCCGGGTCATCCGTCCGGCTGGTGTTTACATAAAATATGCCTTACTGGGCAGATCGAGTCTGGGGCTCTGTGCTGAGCGGCTTAGCTCAACGCAACCGCAAATCGGTTCTGGCGGACTCCGTTGCCCGACCATGAAGAAAATTTCTGCATTCTACTGGCAGGACCTTGGTTCCCTCAGGCACGTCGGATCTCGCAGAACAACGCGCCGAGGCACCGCCGATGCGCGCTAGAGCCAACTGGGAATGGGCTCCTTTTCCCGACCCAAAACGGCCTAGTGGCCTTACCCGGACGACCCTGATTCGGGATAGCAGTGACGACATGATACGGGGCCAAACGGGTAATACGAGTACGGGGATCCAGTCAGGCCCCGTAAGCCGTACCCGCCGCCGTCCGTCGCCCCGTCGCTCTCTGGCTGATCCAAGCACCTGCAAAATCCTCATATCCCATTGTTCCCTTCACCTTTCTCTCTCTCTTCTTTTCTTCTTCTTCTCCATTCCCTTCACCTCCGCCTCTACCTCCTCCTCGCTATCTCTCCTTTCCTCCTCGTCCGCCTCCGACTCTCCGGCTCCGTGGCCATCTACCGCCCCCTCGCGACCGGTCCTCGTTCTTGGTTTCCTCTCTCGCCCTTACTGTCCGCCTTGCGTCAGAGACCCTTGCAACGTGACTCTCCCCGAGTATCCTCGTTTGGCCGCTGGAGACCGGAGCCTGCGCTCCCACTTCATATTTCTCCGCCTTGCAACACGTCTGTCGGCTTGAGCCAGCCAGCCAGCGATCGAAACGTTTTGTTCCAGGCGCCGTGCCCCTTTCACAACCTGTCACGTTGACGCCCAGAATCCCCCTTTCCGCCGACCTCCGCCTGGCGCTTCTTTGACTCCCTCGAACCCCATTCTGGCGACATTCTTCCCTTGTCAACTTTGCCGGTGTTGCTGGGATAATAAACCTAATCTGACGAATCCACGGAGTCTCTGGTGAGACTAGCCGCCGAGATGAATACCTCCCTTCCCTCGTGGAAGGATCGCACGCAAAACCAGTTCGGCAAGCTCCAGATCCAAGTCCCATGGCGGTCCATTCAGCTTCTGGTGCCGCATCGCATGCGACGGAAGATTCGCTCCAAGCTGCGCAGCAGGCTTTCTCCGACGTCCTCGATATCGACTCTGCAGACTTCGTTTTCGCCCGTGGATACGCTCCGATCGCTTCAGAGCCATCGGTGGACGCTCTATGACTTCCAGTACCTGCTCTTACTGATTATCGGTGTCTTCTCCCTCAGTGTGATGGGATCTCCTGGACCTCTAGGGAAGACGGCCATGTTTACAATGCTCCTCTTTTCTCTCCTGCTCCCGATCACCCGCCAATTCTTCTTGCCGTTCCTGCCGATTGCGGGGTGGCTGATCTTCTTTTACGCTTGCCAGTAAGTGCATCTAATTTTGATCCCGACGCGAAGAGCTAGGAACTCATTATCGATAGATTCGTCCCAAGCGATTGGCGCCCGGCCATCTGGGTCCGCGTGCTTCCGGCCCTGGAAAACATTCTCTACGGAGCCAACATTAGCAACATCCTGTCTGCTCATCAGAATGTTGTCTTGGATGTGCTGGCGTGGCTGCCCTACGGCATCTGTCACTACGGTGCGCCATTTGTCTGCTCCCTCATCATGTTCATCTTCGGTCCTCCCGGCACGGTTCCTCTCTTCGCACGGACCTTTGGTTACATCAGCATGACTGCCGTCGCCATTCAGCTGTTCTTCCCCTGCTCCCCTCCGTGGTACGAGAACCTGTACGGCCTGGCACCGGCCGACTACTCCATGCCGGGTAACCCGGCGGGTCTGGCTCGCATTGACAAGCTCTTTGGCATTGACCTGTACACCTCGGGCTTCCGCCAGTCGCCCGTCGTGTTCGGTGCCTTCCCTTCCCTTCACGCCGCGGATTCGACGCTGGCCGCGTTGTTCATGAGCCACGTCTTCCCCCGGCTGAAGCCTTTGTTCGTCACCTACACCCTGTGGATGTGGTGGGCAACCATGTACCTGTCGCACCACTATGCAGTGGATTTGGTCGGTGGTGGTCTCCTGGCGACTGTTGCCTTCTACTTCGCCAAGACCCGATTCCTCCCGCGCGTTCAGAGCGACAAGACGTTCCGCTGGGACTACGACTATGTGGAGATTGGCGATTCCGCCCGCGAATACGGCTACGATTTGGCCTACGATGGTGACTTGAACCTCGACAGCGATGAGTGGACAGTGGGATCGTCATCCTCCGTATCTTCCGGCTCCCTGAGCCCGGTGGACGACCACTACACCTGGGAGGGCGAGTCCTTGGCTTCGCCCGTCGCGGATATCGAGTCCGGCAGACATCTGATCAACTCCTGAGCCGCCCACCTTGCACCGACTTCCTGCATATACAGCATCCCACTTCTTGCATCTATTTATGACGGCGTTAGCACATTTGACGACATGCTGGGTTTATTGCATTGAGCCGATTTCGACACATATATCTTTAATACTGCTTCTCCGCAGACCAGGTCGGAAGGTTTCGATCTCCGTTTTGGATTGGTCACCCTGGATACTGCCTGTTTTTATCTCTCCCCTTGACCTACTGTACATCATACGCACACTTATCCGACTGCGTTGCCGCCCGATTCTGCAGCCGACCTTGAAGCTCCGTCAATAATATTAATACGATGGCTCAGTCTTGCCACGACTGCTGCCCGCTGGAGACATTCGCTTTCCGACTCGCCTGGTGATCCAGGACGACCACACTCGTTACTTCCTACTTTCGTCTTTCGCTCTTCATCTGCTGGTCGAGCCTTACTTCATTTCTTTTGCTCGGCCAGGTACATATTTTTATTCGTGTCGATCGCTCACATACTGGCGCCTGGGATTGGGACTCAATGAAAAGTTAATTGAGGCGCCCGGCTTGTTGCACTCCTTCGCTGTGCTTCAAGATTCAATGCTTTTTAATGACCATTGCATTGGCATATAGACAGAGGGTTATGATGAACCTTTGTATGGGGTCTCCACGGGAGACCGGTGTTGATTGTTATGTGGGGGGCTCAATGGAGCTGTTTGGGGTTGAGGGGACGTGGGATCCGATGTTGACGGAGGCATCTGCCCACACGTGTGCCTAGATTGTTGATTCGCTTGCTATGGGGACTTGACACCTCAGCTCTCACCTTGTTCCTAGTTGGTCCGTTCTCATGGAGCGGACTATTCTCACCACCGTTCCTATGATTCTACCACTGGATGTCGGATGTGTGAGGGGTGTTGATGCGTATCCATTAGCAACCTATTCTTAATTATAATCAGGTAGCGTTATGATTCATGAATTGTATTATACCGTCTATTCCATGTCTATATCCGATGACCTTCCCAGCCTATACAACCAGCAGCTCCTGCTCGGGATTCTACCAGTCTCAGCGCATACAACCCAACCTGCCGATTTATGCCCATACCCATCCCTCACATTCGGTTCATTCAAACATATATCACTCAAATAGACTTTCCAGTCAAAGTAAGACAATTATGGGACGTGCTTCTCTAGACCCATACTCCAATCCGGAAACACGCTACGGAGTATGTATATGTTTGTATAGTATTTGCGGCTGAGCTGAACGGATTGTTTAAACCGAAGTTCGCTGTACAGTCAGGTTACCAAGTCATCACACGACTACTAGTAGTTGCCAACTGTCTACGGAGTAGACCAAACTCCACCGCTGGGCAACGATAGTTTTTTGCTACTATGTATCTCCACACGGTGTTTCATCTGAATGATGAAATCAGCATCCACACCATTTATTCTTCCACCAGACGATGAGAGTTGAAACATGTTCACAAGCGGTTAGAGTGAAAGGAACGGATTGAATACCTGGGTGCTGAATGACGAATGGCACTCTGATAATGAAGTAGGTCACATTTCCTTCTTTGTCTTTCTTGATATTGACATGGAACCCACAGTGCTTTCTTCTCTGGTATGAAACACTGACTTTTGAACAGACCTACCAGTGGATCTTACATGAATCGGATCCCTTGGGAAATCCATGCAGATTCCTCTCGAGATTAACCTAGCAGAGCTAGGACTTATTGATTAGATATCAGTAGTGTGCTATAGAGAGACGAGTACTCCGTACTGATTATTTGAATTTATTCTTGACGTGGTATATTGGGCGGGGTATACGGAGTACTTGTATTGACTTCGTGGAGATGTTATGGATGCGTGATTGGTATCTTATCTATAGTGGTCTACTCTAGTCGATTGTATCATATTGTATCCGACGATCCACCCTACACCCACCTCATGTATCAGATCAGATAGTAGGTAGTAATCAGCTACATATAGTGTTGATAGGGGTGTATAAGTAAACAGGTACTAGGTAGATAAATGACCACTCCTAGGGACGAAGAGGTGGGCAGGCTTGATTGGGTGGGGTGGTTCCTGGGGGTTGGAGGTTGCGGTGGGGTATTTGGTGTGATGTGAATCGGGGTCAAAGTATCCCATTACCCTCCATGGTCATCACTATAATACCCCGTGTATATATCACTCAGGTACCTCCATACTCGGCACTCAATGCTATGTGTCATCTACTTTATATTTTTTCACTTCATGCTAAAAAGACATCTTCTTCACTCACTTGTGATTGCACTCCATCTATAGAATCATCTCCAGCACCAAGCATGACATATTCCTGACAGAAAACTCATCTACCTGTGTATGCATGCCCCAAGAGACTTACATCATACATTCGTTCCTACACCGCTGTATCTAAAACCCCTGAAGAACCCAGCATGGGGTATAAATAGCCAATGCACGAAGCGGTACTCCGTGCACGATGTAGTCAAAGGTCAGATCTCATCGGGAGCATAAAACCCGCAGTTAAATCTCCTCTACAGACTGGATGCTATTGGTAGGAATAGACTCTCCCTAGTCCCTGTCTCTTCTGCCAATCATATCCACTATACGCAGAGGGGATGGTAACTGCGGTGTTCATGTATCCGATCCTACCAAGCACTGTACTGATCTATCACCAATCATGTTCAGGGCACCGACAAGATGTCCACTGCGGTATCTATACAGCCGACAAGCTACGTCCAAGGAGCAATCCCTGTCTAATCAGATTCACTGCATGGATGGGATATCAACCGCGGTATACAGACATCCGTTCAACCAAGCCCCATACCTATCCATGCCCCAATTAGATCTTTGCTACGGACGAGATGTCAACTGCGGTATGCATGCGTCCGACAGTCATTTCCCAAGACACAATCCCTGTACTTTCTACCAATCACATTCCCCGTACAGGAGAGATCTTAAACTGCGGTTTTCTATGTATCCGACAAATCCACTCTAAGAAGGCAGGGGATACTTCGACCAATTACCTGTAGTCTCCAGGGGGAATGTCAATTGCGGTATCTATGCACCCGACAAAGCTAGCTACTCTAAGAATTGCAGGCATGGCAGGTTGCTACCAATTGTGTTTAGTCGCCAGAGGAGGTGGTACCTGCGGCTTCCATGCTCCCGTTCCTAGTACTATAGGTTGTACGGGATGTCTCTCTACCAATTAGCACTCTGCTACAGGTGAGATGTCAACTGCGGTATCCAAGCATCCGACCCAACTACACCACACATGTAGTAGGCTCGGGTACTTGGATACCGCAATTGACATCTCCTCTCTATGGGGGATATGATTGGTAGAGAGGTGCAGGGATTATCCCTCTAAAGCTGCTTGTCGGGTGTACAGATACCGCAGTTAACCTTTCCTCTGGGGAAGAGATTGAGGTAGAGAGTTTAGAAGGATCGGATACATGGAAACCGCAATTGACATCTCTCCTGCACAGGAGATATGATTGGTAGATTGATACAGGGATGTACCTTTAGAGCAACTTGTCGGGTGTATGAAACCCGCACTTGCCATCCCCTCTGGGTAGCGAAGATAATTGGTAGAAAGATAAGAGTATAATCCCTGCAGGGAGTATATTTACTATTCTGGCAACTGGTCGGATACCTGATTACCGCAGTTACCATCACCTCCATACACTTGACCTGATTGGTAGAAAGATACAAGGGTCATATTACCAAGACTGGAATCAGCTGACCTCCATGGCTGGGTTCATGTCTTTCTCTGAGGGGAGAGGGTGATCTTTCTAGACTGATACGAGTTCTTGACTTCTTTTACAGGTTTACATTGTTCAATTCGCGATTCTGGTGGGTAGGTATGGGATTTGGTCGGCCACAGCCGTGCAAAGGATGGATCAGGTTGACGGTGAAAGTGACAGATGAAGGATTTGTTTATTCTGGATCACCAGACTGATTAGATACGTGCGGTTAAGTGTGAACTGCACGGTGAAGACGCTCACTACTATACTCTTATGTGTCAATCACGCTCAACATCTCCCAACAGCCAATTCCCCTCTCGTCCCACCAGATGCGCCTCACCCAACACCCCCTTCACCACCAGCACCAGCTCATCCACCGTCAGCAGAAACCCAAAGTACGCACTCGCCGCCACGCAAAACTTCCGATACCCCTCATCCCGCATCATCTCCCCCGAGATCAGCTCCCCCCGTCGGCCCCGGGACCACTGGTCCACCGCCTGCTTGAACAACGGCGTGGGGAGGATTTCGGGCAGGGCATCCCCCGTCTTCAACGCCTGCTCGCAGATTCCCATCACCGCCATAACCTGCCCCACTAGCCGGTGGTCCAGGAGCCCCGTCTGTCGCGCCACCTGTTCCTGGAACTCCTGCGAAAGGGACGACGACAGCAGCAGGAGTCGGGCGAGCTGTCGATTCAGGCTGCGGCAGAGGGTATTCACCTTGCCCAGCGATTCACTATCGAAGCGGGAGCTCGAAAACTCGAACTTGAGCAACTGGATCGGTCCCTCGAGCGTGACCAAAGATTCGGCCACCTGCAGGGACAAGGGTTCCGCGAGCGCTCTGCCCTCGTTGGACCCTTGCCCCCAGACCGAGAGAAGAAGCGCGTAGTGAGTCGACAGCGTTCGCACGGTGCGGGAAAGCGTCTTGCAGACATGTCGAGAGGCCGAAGGAGGACGGGGTAGAAGCTGCAGGATGGCGGCCGCGGTAACGCCCACCAGCACCAGCACCAGCCGTCTCCAAAAGACGCTGTAGCCAACTCCCGGGTTACCATACTGAGGAATATGCCTATAAACATTAGTGCTGAAATTACCCGGGGAAAGAGGGAAGAGGGAGGGGACTTACGTATCATCATAGCTATACGCGATAACCAGCAGAAAGGTAGCCGCCCCGATAATGCCACCCTGCAGCAAGCTCGGCGGCAGATACAGTCGCACCCAGATGAGAATCGCCAGCACCACGGCGGTGATGGCCGACAACCCATACGGGTTGCCCGGTCCATTCGCGGAGCCGATATACCACGCCAACAGCCCCAAGACCCCCCCAATCACGGTCCCGGTGATCCTCGCGATCATGGAGAACGTAAAATCCGCCATGTACACGACCAGACCCGTCTGCCCCATGATCAGCGCCCAAAGTCCCTTCACGCGGTAGTAAAAGCTCGCACTGCGAGGGATCACGCCGGGAATGCCCAGGGCGATCGTGACCACGACCATCCGCAGAGCGTACAGACCCTCGTCGCAGGTGAACCAGTGGTAGATGCCGAGAACAGCTCGACTGAACGGATGGCGCTGCTTCGTGCGATATCCTCGGGTGGCACGGAATTTCTCCTGCGCGGACTTGGCGACGTCGTCGAGACTGACGCGATCCGGATCGTCTTCAGTCGTCTGCGTCCCCGGGGCTTTGACCTCCTTAGAAGACGCCCAGGAAGCGGCGTACCGAAGTCGGGTGGGCAAGTAAAGGCGGACCTTGGTGGATTCTTGAAAGACCGTCGATACCCGTGCGAGCAGGGCCTCGGTCTTCTCCACGGTGTTGGAGATGTGCTCTTCGAAAACCAGAACGAACATGAGCGGCCGGGATTGCTGGGCCTGGTCCACCATCCGTTGGTCGTGCTCGCCCATTAAAATCTCACTCATGTCGTTGATGAAGGCCGAGCGCGCCTTGCGCAGGGTCTCGAGTGCACTGTCACAGCGTTGCTGCAGCTGCTCCCGTTCAGCCGATTTCGGTTGCTGGAACCAACGTCGACAGTTCACGAGGTGGATACACTCTTGAACAACGCTCAGCCCTTCCGTACAAGCATCGATGGCCGTTGCGCTGGTCCGGGCCAAATCCTGGACGACCTCTTTGCGTAGCGGTTGGCTGTCCGGGCTGCGGAATCCATTCAGCAGCTCGGCAAGCTGGGTGAGCTGGTGCTCACCCACCTCGCGTGCCGGCTTCTCCTGCCCATCCGCAACTCTCTCGTCGACATACCTCCGCAGAAGGTCCTCCGTACGAGCCTGGCCAGCGATGCGAGCAATGTTAAAATCTAGAAGCGACAAGACCGCAAACAGGGCGTCTCGCAACGGGCCCTGAAACGACGCGACATCCTCCGCCCCCCAGCACCCAACGGAAAAGTCGAGGGGCAAGAACGCCAACGCAGGCACCATGCCTCGGTATTTTTGGATAATCTGTGCTTGTGTCACGCGCAGTTGGTCGGGGTCCGGTTGCTCCTCCTTGCCGAGTGTGTTGGCCGTGATCGCTAGAGGCGGTTGAAGAAGTCGGACGATATCTTCCATGTTATCCAAGACCACGTGCGACGTCGACTGAGGGAAGAAGAGGATCGAGCATGCCAGGCCAAGTCCGACTCCAATGGCGGCGGGTTTGACGAGCGTGAGGGGCAGGGTGCCCGCAAACGAGGGCAGAAGGGGGGTATAATTCAGGAACAGGTCGGAAATGATGATTGCAAAGATGGATGTCAAAGCGGCCTTGGGATTACTGGCTCGGAGTCGCGCCTGAGAATTCAGTATGATGCGCTATCGGGCGAGGAGGGTTACCCACCATGAAGTAGATAAACGTGCAGATGAGACAGAACGTGACGGCGGTGACCCGTGCATCTAGCATGTACCCATCGTAAACCAATCGCTGCGCGATTTCGGTCGGGGAGTACGTCGAGTTATGCGCCTGCGACACGGCGAGCTGCTGCAGCGCAGCCACTTTGGCCTGCGTCTCGGCCGCCGGTCTGGCCGCTTGGGCAGCCTTCATGGTGATGACGCCCCATGCCCAAGCTAGACAGATACCGATAAACAGAGACAGCGCACCCAGAAGGTAAATAAAGACGACCCCAGACGGGGGTAACATCAACAAAACGAGACTGTTCCACATTCAGCATATCAACATACAGTGGGAATCGGGGCCATGCGTACGCGGCAAAAAATGTTGCTGTGCCGATGCTTTCCAGCGAGGGATGGATAAAGATCAACAGACAAGCCACCCAGGCGGCGACCCAGCATCGAAAGAAAATCTTGAGATCGCGGCCATTGAAATGGTCCAGAAACGGGGGCAAGCGGCGTTTCTTCTCAACAACGGGGGGCGCCACATCCGAATCGGACCAGGCCGGGGATTCCTGCGCGTTTTGTTCGGCCATGATGGCCTCGAGCGGCTCACTTGGCTTTAGATAATCCACGTGGGCATAGGGGATGGTAGAAGGAAAGGATTGTTAAAAGAATGAGGGGAAAAGGAAAAAAAGCAACTGAGCAAGGGGTGTGATAAGGAATGACTGGGGCCAGATGGATGCACGAGGAAGATGACAGGCACGCAGTCGATCAGAGGGACCGGTTGGCATTTGAAGGTCCGCGGCAAACGTGGGTGCGCCGCCCAGGAATGATCATCTCATCATTAGAGTTAAATAGATCGGTTGATCCAACCAGGGTCCGGGGGGGGGGGGAGCTTTCCATGGATGCCCCGGTGCGCCCGGTACGGACGCATCGGGTGGGCTGTTGCCGGGGGCTATCAGGACTCAGGAGACGAAGGCTGCAGAATAGGGTCCATCGGGCCCTGATCCTGATGTCATACCGATCATTCTTGTCATCAGGGTAGATTTATGCCCGACATAGTAGTATTGCAGAGCCGGCACAGGATTGTGACGGGGGAGTGAAACCGGCGCGATTGATCGGCGATGGCTGGCCCAATCCGGAGCCTGTCGACGCTGAATCAGCGGTGGAGCCAAGTCGAGATCCGAATCCGAGGTTGGGTTTGAGATTGACTTATCCGTATAGATCGATCGCTGTGCTACTCTGGTGCCACTGTGAGCCGTTGCCACCCCTCACCCCTGGTCCATACCTACCGATGCTATGCCATCTTGCAGGCGTCTAAAGCTTATCCAGGTAACCGTTGGTGTTTGAGTTGAACCGTTACACGAAGGCCGTTTATGTGCAGGACATATTGGATAGAAGTGAACGCTGAAGTGGAAGAGGAATTGGAAGTGGAAGATGAGAGCGACGGCCAGTTCATGGTCGCTACGGTGGATCTCTGGTTTGTGCGGTATGTCTATCTGCCTGAGGCCGGGACCGGCCCGGGGCACGCCGGAGCAGGCAGTATGCCTCAATGTACAAGAAGAAAAGCATAGATGCAAGATCGGGCTGGCTGCTCACAATTCCATCTACAGCACCAGACAAGCAGCGGCGAAGAGTATACACAAAGCATGAGCACATCATGTTCAACCTCCTGCGCTCAATGCGATTTACACCCCAATCATTCCGTTGTCCAGCAAGCTGCTCGACGCCACAAAACTGAACCCTCCAAACAAGTCACTTTCCCCCACTCCATCAGCATGGCCGGTCCGCAGACCTCCCTGGCTGGACGCGTAGTGCTCGTCGAACGCATGCACGATCGGACTCAGCGGCAGCTGCGTGAAGTCCACCGAAAAATTCTCCGCCAAGGCGGGATCCGTCACCACCGGGTTGATTGGAGGCGCCACCTCGCGTCGCTCCAGCGCCTTCCAGTCGATCTTGCGGAAGAACCGGTGATTCTTGATTGTCTGCAGGTCCTTAGCCATGTGATACCCCAGCCGCTTTGAAGGTTCCTTGCGGAGCAGCCGGATCAACAGGTCCTTGGCATCGGGTCCCAGGAAATAGGGCAGGGTCAGTTTCTGCTTCACTATCTTTTCCTGCAGCTTGGCGTTGTTATTCGCCTTGAACGGAGGGGATCCGGTGAGCAGGTCGTAGCCCAGGGCACCCAGCGACCACCAGTCGCATGCTTTGCCGTACGGCTTTCCTTGGACCACCTCCGGAGCCATGTACTCGATCGTGCCCAGCGAGGAGTTGCAGCGATCGTCGTCGTTGAGAGCAATTTTACTGAGTCCGAAGTCGGTCAGCAGCAGGTGACCTTCGTGGTCCAGCAGGCAGTTCTCTGGCTTGAGATCCCGATAGATGACTCCCACATTTTGGTGGAGATGTTCGAGCGCAAGCACCATCTCTGCCATGTAGAATGCGGCCGCATCCTCGTCGAACATGCGTTCCAGAGCCAGATGCGTAAACAGCTCACCACCTTGCGCGTATTCCAGGATAAGGTACAGCTTCTCATGGTCCTGGAATGCATAGAACAGCTTGACCACGAACGGGTGGCGGTTGACACTCTCCAGGATCATGCGCTCCGTCTTGGTTTGCTCCACGAGTTTCTTGTGGACGGTAAGCGACGCCTTGCGAAACTGCTTCTGCGCGTACAGCTTGCCCGTGAGCACATGGCGGACCAGCAACACCGTGCCAAAGGACCCTTTACCCAGACAGAGCAGGGGCTCAAAGTCCTCGGCGGTCATCTTGCGGCACAGCTGGGTGCGCATGTCCCGCACGCTCGACGTGTTCTGCGAGATTTCCTCTGCAGCGGCATCTGCACTGACATAGTCATGCTCCAAGGGCACCTCGTAGCTGGTCAGGACCTCGGTCTGGTCACTGTCGGAGCAAACACTGGCGTTGCTAGGGGTCTCCGCGCAGAGCTCCGCAGGGCCGGTTCGGGACCCATTGCCGGACAGATTCATCGATTCGAGCTGAAGTTTAAGGGCGCTCACCCCGCAGCCGGCCGCTGGCTGAACCAACGGACTGCCCCCGTTAGCCCCCGGAACGCGCGGGTGCGAGCTCGGCGCACGAGAACTGGCCGCCGATAAATCCGAGTCGTCGTCGCCGGAGCCGCGAGGGGTGAACCCACGAACAGTCGAAAGGGCCGGGGCTACCTCATGAACCGCCTGCTTTTTCTTTTTCTTCCGTCGATCGGCCTTGGCGACGAGCGGGCGACCGTTCAGCTCCGGCGCCGGGAAGGGATTGCCTCCGTGGACCCCAGTCCCCTTAATCATCGGCCCCTGTTGACGCTGGGGACTGCGGGCGCTCATGCGAAAGCCGGCTTCGGGGGTGTCGCCCATAGTGATGTCCTTGTGGGCATGCGACATGTCGGCCTGAGGGCTGAACACATCGCTGACCGAGATGTCATCCTGACCGGTAGTGGTGAAGGAATCCATGATTGAGTAGGCTGTCAGATTTCTTTCCCCGTATTTGACCAAGCACTATCCAGCAGCCGTGGGACGAGAACGGCAACAGCACGATGCGTAAGCCAAGGGCGATCAAATGCACCCAGGCATCGACAACTAGAGGCACTAGTCGTGGTGAGACCTTGCTGTAATTCTAGCAACACCCGGGAAATTTAGCTCTCGTTTCCTCACGCACACACACATGCACAGCGCGGGGTATCCACCGCAGGCACTAAATCTCAAGCAAGGGGCCAAGGAATTATTGGTCCAACGTACACTGCGTATCTAGCACACAACCCGAGATGGCCACCTGCCCAGCAGGGAAGCTACCTGGAGACCTGAAAAATCCCTCGGGTATAGCACCAATTTACCGTCCGCCCTTGTTCAGGACGGACCATCGACCCTAAGCCAGATCACCTTGTCGTCAGAGGTGGGGGAACGAGCGGACGACACGGCCTGGGAGCCAGTCGAGGGGAACAGAGACAGAGACACCGGCGACGCAAAATCCGGGTGGAGGGTCAGCGAACGAGGGCCGGGAATCTGGCTTCCAGCGGAGCGGATAAGAACGGACGACGAAAGCGTGGGCAGCGCAGAAAGGCACATAGAGGAACGGCAACGGGGCAATGAACCAGACGATGGATGGGAGGAGAGTGTAAAAAATGGCACAGAAGGCACAGCGAGGGTGAAATCGGGTGTTGATCCCTTTAAAGAGGGGAAGGAAAAGAAAGGAAGCCGAGCTGAACCTGAAATGCTGGGTGGGATGGATGGATGGCTGCTGCCCGGCCTCCGCGCTGTTTTTTCCCGCCCGGCAGGCCAATCAGCGGGCGCCGGTGCTAAGCGACGCTAGTCCGGATCAAGTGAGATGACTTCACGTGTTCCGGTCATTGGATGGATGCACCTGATGATGTCGGAGGCTGCTGGGCACTGGGCGGGCAGAATATCCCTCACGAGGAAGGGAAACGAGGGGACCAGAGTCCCGGGGCCGTGGCAGTATGCGATATGGCATGGCATATACTATGGAATATGTAGAACTACTAGATACCGACGGTGCACTAATCAGCCCCCGGCAAGCTATACTCCACCGGGTTAAACACACTACTCGGATGGAACCCGGAGGCGTCATGCCTCTCGGCCCTCGAAGAACGCCTGCGACCGGGTGATTTCCACCCCCGATCCCTCCACAAAGGCCAGCGCGCTGGGCTTCTCGACTCTCACCGTCACCCGTTCGTTGCCAAATTCCACCGTAACGATGCGCGCGATAAACGTCGCCAGAGCCTCGACAGTCTGGAACGAGGTTGCCTCGACTCGCTAGCAAAGAAGTGAGATTAGCTGTGCGGTCATAATTAGGGACGTAACTACCAGGAAGGACTCACCTCGGCGACAGCCCGTGTCATCGCTTGGTAGGTGTTGACCACTGTAGACCCCCACGGCAGCTGTCCGGGTCCCTTGAACTCGAGGGAGACGATGACGGCCTGCTTTTCCACCCGCTCATGCGAGTTGACCCCCAAGATACAGTAGCACCGGATCCCATCAATGCGAAACTCCTCCTCCAGCACCACCGGGCACCGTTCCGACTCCCCCACGTTTTCCGAAATCGCGTCGTTGCCCTGTCTATATCCCCAGACCGTCACACTCCGATACTTGAGCCCGTCCTCGGCGCGTAACAGCGCCTTGGGAAGATGCAAGGACACCTCGCATTGACCAAAGACCCCGTCAATGGGGGAGGAAGACGAGGAGCTAAAGATAGCCGCCTGGGCCTGCGCCTGGGAGCTCGCTGACGCACTACTTCTTCGCTGGTGGGTGTTGTGCACATGCGACATCCGTCGGACTCCCGCGGCGGTCTCGTCCAGAAGCCCCAGGCCGCAATTGGCAACAATGCCCGCCGTCAGTCGCACGTCCTCTCCCAGGTCGCTTCGCATCATCTCATCGCGGCGGCTACCGTCAACACTAATCATTCGGTGTCCCGGGTTCTCGGCATGCTTTCCCATGTTGCGAATATCCTCCTCGAGGCGACGGTAAAGCTTGCCATAGTCCAAGGAGAGGGAGACATCGTCCGCAATGGCTGCTGCAACGGCGGATGAGTAGGAGAGCTTCAGCGATGCAGTGCAGGGCTGCGATTTGCCGGGACGGTGCCACGGGTCCGGGGCAGCCGGCAGGGGCAGCTGGATGTTGCGCAGACGCACGCTATCGAGCACCGGAGGGTGGGATGGAATGTGGACATTCACCCGCTGATCGGCCATGATGACTGGGGTGGGAGACAGTGCTGGGAGGAGCTGGAAGAAAGCTGGAACTAAGCTGCTGAGGAGTAAGCTACAGCTAGCAAAAGGTGGATGGGCTGTGACGTCAACCAGTAATGAATGCTAGGAGATAAGAGGCAACTTTCGTCGCACTGACCGGGTGCTGCAAGATGTCTAGTAGTGCCGCAGACGCATTGGTCAATGGGGCTGTGGGCTCTGAATCCAATCCCACTGGGTCGTGAACCTGCGCAACAACCAGCTGTGGGCGGAAATTTCGCTCGAGGACGGATGACGAGACGATGGCGGGGTTCGGCTTAGCGCGGGGAGCCTGGCCGGTGACACAAAGCATCCCAGATCCCTCGGCCGGTCCCATGCCTGGGCACAGCAGACGGTCAGACAACATGACGGCGCGCAATAGATTCACTAATGCAGTGGGTATCCTATCGTTTACAAGGTAGCTATGGTCTGTCCACGATAAAGGAACGTGGAGATAGATTTTAGTGGATCCAATATACACAATATTCCGGAGAAAAAAAGATCGACTTCATGGGTGACATTGAACAGGCCAAGATCCATCCACATCCGCAGGGTGACTTGTCGGTGGATTTGTGTAGAAAATGAGCAGACCCCTTGCGGCAAATGGGAGGCCAATCCGGAACTGTTGTCCACATACGCCTGCTTTGGGCCCGCGGGAACCCTTCCAGTTGGAGCCCGGGACCTGCAGGACGAGCAATCATGATCACATCAAGTGAGAAAAGCAAGTACCAGTGTCATTTCGTTTTCCATTTCCCGTTTCAACCCGACACACGCACAGTATTTTCGGCCGTTCCGGTCCAGGAGCTGACTTCGGGTCGGGTAAATCGAATCATCCCCGGACGGCCATGAGAGGGAACAAATTCACAAAGAGTACAAAGGGAACGCAAGCACAATGGGTATCCGCCATGCGCTGAGTGGAACACAACCAATTAACTAATTACAGGCGACTACCAGTAACCGCGGCGGTCGTAAGGCATGTACTCGCCCCGGGGCGGGCTCCGAGGACGTCCATAGGGCCTGGGAGGGGCGTACGGGTCTTCATAATGGCGAGGAGGGGGGGGAGGTCGGACATCATAGGGGTCATCATAGGGACGGCGTGGCGGAGGGTAGTCTTCCATCCGAGGACGAGGAGGAGTACGGCGTCCATATCCATCCCGGTCATAGTATTCCCTTCGGATTGGCACAGGGGACCGTTCCCGATAGTGAGCCCGGGGACTGTAACCACGCGGGGCAGGGAATCGACGGTCGTACTCTTCCATAGGGGGGTAGCTCCGACGCGGGGACCGAGACCGGTAGGGATCGCGCATCGCACGGTCATCCGGGTGGGTTTGGATCTGAATAAAAATATGAGAATCTCGACCCGCTCTGGTCTCAGGTGCCACAGGTGCTTACATCGGCGATGCAAGTCACGCGAGAGCCTTTGAATTCGCGTCCATCCAGCTTCTCGATGGCAGTCTTCAAATCGTTTGCGGTCTCAAACTCAACGAACCTTGGTCAATGGGTTAACTGGGCCTGTTAGACCTGGTAGGAGGTTTAAAATTAACCTACCCTCTGCCGAGTTCACGACCGGTTTCGGAATAAACCACATCCAAGCCGGATTGGCGCGCAAAATCTTTGAGATCCTAGATAATCCCATGGTGTGAGTCCATTTCCAGGTGAAAGATTGGTATCCGATGGTGCCAGGTGCCAGGTGCCAGTAAGTAGAAAAGTACAACACGGAGGTGGGCCAGTGGATGAACCAAAAGAGCAAAAAGAAAAGAGGTCGCCAGCGGAAAGTATCCTCATGGCCGCAGGGCTTTCCATCCTGGACAGGGTCGTCCAGCTTCGGTTCCCAACTCCCAGAGCTGAGTTTGATAATGGGAGGCCGCCTTTCAGCCTTCCTTTCAGTTTGGGGGTCCGGAGGTGGTTGGTGACGACCCGTACATCAAGAGGAGCCGATCATGGTCGCCATAATTCCCTTGGACCGCGGAATGTGGAGACACGCATTGATAGAGGACAAGAAAAGGACAAATCAAGGAACAGATATCGGCCGAGGTGCAAGACGTCCGGTGGATCCTGAGGAAAGGGGACTTGGGCTGCTAACCTGCCAACTTGTTTCCGGGAGTCCAGAAACCAACATGCGAAAGATTGTGCGACGCGGGCGTGGCATGTTAGGACGGTCCATTGGGCCAGGAAAATTCTCCTTGCGGCGCGGTCCACGGGCAAACTGCACGGTGAGCCGCTCGCCTTTGAAATCACTACCGTCTGCATGGGAAGTGGGTCAACAATTGAAGCCCCTCGAGCCGGGGATGACGTTAATACATACGGAAGGCTAATGACCATCAGTACATCTGCGTGCGCGACGCGATAGGGCGATGGAGAGGATAAAGCCTTACCGGGTACGACATCTCTGGCATCCATTGCATCCTCGTATTCGATAAAGCCGAAGCCATTCATAAGTTTGATCTCTGTGATCTTTCCGGAACCATGGGTGCTGAAATGCTCCTCGATATCCTGTTTGGTCACTGTAAAAAACACACCACGGCGCCCGGTTAGGCGCCGTAGCTAGATGTCAGCCTATTGCGAACGGACTATAATGGACAAACAACTGAGACAACTTGATCTAGATTCCGGAAGCTGCCAACCCGGTATCCAGAACTGAAATTACCGTGCACAGAAAAGGAAAGAAAACAAAGAAAAGTCCGCTGTCATTCCCCGGGATAGGGACAGGAGCGCAAGCCACAGGTGTAGAAAAAGGTATCTCTGTTTACTCAGGGGGGGGGGGGCCAATCCAGACGCATGGCGATCCAGCGGAGTATCCCGTTTCTGTGGCGCAGATGGAGGTGGACAGGAAAGGCAACATCCGAATCGGGTTGAAGAGAGAACAAGGAGACCTATCAAGGAGACTTGGTAGATGGCTTCATACCATTGCGGGGGAGATTCCCGAGATAGAGTCGGGTGGACGAGACTTCAGTCATGGTGGCTGGTGGTAGTAGTAGTACTAGAAGCGCGCACAATGGTTGACGATTAAGCCTCGGCGGGTAACAGTCAAATCAGTCAACACGTCTGGCCTCGGGGGGGATATCCAGATCAATGACGGCACGGCGACCGATGGAAACAGGGCCTGAATAGTCAAATGGGTCGGAGTCCTGGGAATGGAATCAAGTGATGGTGGTGGTAGCGACAGTTCCTGGTGTCCGGGGAAAGGTGCGAGACCATAGAACGGTTCCAGAAGGTAACGGTGGGCCTGGCGGGTGAGAGAAGCAAGGAGATCGGGCTAGCAGGCAGTTCCCGACTCTGACGCGCACCCGGATCGGGTTCGAAGAGCGTTCTTTGAAGGAGGAAGAGGAGAGGGGAACAAGGATGGGTTTAAGGGAAGCGAGGAAGAGAGGAAGAGAGAAAGAGAGAGAAAGAGGGCGCACAGGCGATGGGGGGAACGGAGTGAGAGGAGATCGTCAGGTCAGCGGGAAGGAAAAGAGGAGAGCAGCCAGCAGAGGCGCGGATTGAGGCTGACCGCCCAGCTTTGCAGACTTAAGGGAGGGCATCCAATGATGGGCGGGCGTGGGCTCCGTCCCGGCTGCAAATCGCCTCACTTTTCCTCCTCGGCGGGATCCACGTGGCCCCGCCCTGCCTGCCAGTCAGCTATCTACCACTCATCCTTATACTCAATACACAGTACGGAGTATACGGTGCATATATAGAGCAATGCTCAAAGGCAACCTGCTAGCTTGCAATTGCAGCCTCAGGGGTCCCGCTGCTTGATCCAGACCCAGTGGATATCCCCGCCGGCATCCACCCGGCATGGAATATAGCCTTCTTCAGCCTGCAGCCGGTCCTTCTATATCTAGGGGGTTACTCGGTACATAGAAGATCATATATGGTGTCTACTCTCACTTATGACTGTGATCCATTGGACAGCCCTGAGCACTCAACGCCTTCCAAGCTCCACTGCAAATTCTTCCATTGCTTCAATCCTACGTGGGAGAACGCCAAACTCAACAGCTAGCTTGGCATACTTGATGAGAGTTCAATGTGGTCCTGCGGCGCAGTCGGCCAAGCCTGCAAGTCGTTAAGCATTGCCAAGTGGCTTGTATGACCGCTTCTGCCGAATCAGAGCCTCGGATATCTCCAGCCTTGCACTCGGGTTCTCCGTCCGATATCGAAGCGGCATGGTGATCCACTCAATCTACAGGCGCCGATCGTCAGGCTTCTTCGTTGTTGCAGGACGGGCATGCACGTCCTGCGAGGCGAGACAGCCAAGACCTCAGAGTTCTCGCGGTCGATGCGGGTCGATGTAGGGGCCGGTAATTTCTGTTCCAGGGCAGGTGGTGTTGGTGAGTGAGAACGTCGGTATCGGTAACCGGAACCGGCGTGCTGGTCAGGACTCATTGCCCAGGGTATAAAAGTCCAATTGTAACCAGTCCAGACAAGCTCGGAGAAGCTTCCTCGCGATTAGCTGTACCAGTAGACTAGATCATACTGCTAGGATGCAACGAGTTCCGCTATCAAGACCTCCGTGATAAACGGAAAGATTCTCGATGTGGACGTGACTTAGGAACTTGAAGAAGATGAACATATGTCCTGGTGGAAGAACGGGAAAGAGGATGCCCGGACACTGCCAACCTCTCTACTTATTGGCTCACGAGAGCTAAACAAAGAGACAGTCAAGTATGATGATATCCCTCAACTCATTAGTACTTTGAACGACACAATTGTAAGTCGCAGGCGGCTGATATGACGTGTTTTGTAGATCCCCTCTGGCAATATTTCAAGCCAAAAAGACAGACAAGAACACCTAGTACACCCGCACCGTCAGTAAACCGGTTGGGGTTCTCGGTACAAAAGCCCATAGGAACTAAAATCTCCCTTTGGGCCACCCCATTCCTCCAAATCCACCGTCACTCGATCAACCTCCTGGAATCCATGCTTGAGATACAATCCCAAGCCTTCCGGGGAGGCTTCCGTGTAGGCCGGCAAGCCAAGTTCATCTGCTTTCCGAACCCCCCATCCCACCAACAGTCCTCCAAGACCCTGGCGTTGGTATTTGGGAAGAACATATAGTTCTTTCAAGTCTACCGGTTCATCGTCAGCCAAATTCTTCACCTTCAAGGGCAGAAGCTGCCGGGGTGATGGTCACTTACGGAAGAAGTCTTTCTCCCCAAGCAGCTCTGCCCGCTTCAGATACCGGGCTCCCCCGGTGGCATCCATTAGGGCACCGTTCATCGTAGGGGGGCGATATCGGTTGGCATAGCCCTCTTCCCACTGAGCCTTGGTCTGGCCCTTGTTGTGCGCCCACCAGGTATACGCCACTGGCTGATTGGTGGTCTCGTCGGTGACCAGCAGGTACGTATTCTTGGATTCGCCGAGCATCGGGATCATGCGGCGGATCTCGTCATCCTGTCCATCCGATGCTCGAGTTGGGGTCTCGATTTTGGGCTGGAGGTGGGGTGGCCAGAGCAAGGTCCCGATGGCGCTGTTGTTCTTGGTGTTACTATCGTTCTGTGCAGCCATCTCGATATCCCAAATAGTGCGAGCGCCCTCCTCCGTTGCGGGGACAGGACTGACCCGGAATCCTCGCTTGTCAAGTGGCGCCATGAGGGAGAAAGGTTAACTATGAGCTGGGTCAGATAGTGTGAGTAAATGGGAATACAAAAGATGATATGTCCTGAAAGAGGCGCGGAATGAGGGCATTTATAAGCCCAGTCTTCCGTCCGTGCGACAGCACCATCGATGGTTGTAGCCTGGCTTGGTCGTCATCCGGACTACGTATGGCGGCTGGGGCTAGTTTTCGAACCAGGGAGTGAGAATTGAAGCCATCTTCAAGGCGATTAGCCAATGGGAACCGAGGAGAGGGGACATGGCTTAGGCAACCACGCATCAGGGACGATAAGGACACGAAGCATCAAGGGCGTCGATTTCAATGCAACAGCACTACCATCGGATGGGACGGACTCCGGAGATAGCAGTCATTATTCTGGCCCGTCTGTCTTGGAGAGGCTTATCGAAGAGCACGTGGCATTTGATATCATTCCCCCCAGCCATTGGATGGAGCATCCGTCACAAACACTAGGCTTCCGTCATCCCAGAGCTACTGGTCTAGGTGTCCTTTCACTCATGTCATTCGGACTTGACCTTGCTGCTGCTGCGAGCTCGGGGTGCATTTCGAATCAGTATATCGTCGCTTGCTTTCCGCACAGGCATGGATTTCCAATCACAGACACAAGCCCAGACGCAGTGCTGGCGGCGAGTCCGTGAAAGAGAAAAGAGGCCTTGGATAAGTACATGGAGATGGGACTGACAGATCGGTATAGACGACAGTTGTCTGTATTGTGACAGAGATGCATGCCTGATGCGCGGGTAATGCTTACAGGCCTATAGTCCTGTTGGTAGGTTAAACTAGGCAAGGTGAAGGGTTGTCGGTCGAGGATAATGGGTTATTGAAGGATATGTGTTATTCCACCATTTACTGCAGTTTCTGTAAAGCCGGGAGTGGAAGATTCTAGGCAGTCACCCGACTTACCTACTACTAGGCCAGAGGCACCTTGTATGCCAACGACCTATACCGGTAAACAGGCTTAGTAGGATATGCAACTCCTACTTCCTCCTTTCTTAAGGACCCTCGACCACCTATGAGATATTCTACAAGGACAGTCCAACCAGGTAAGGCAAGCACACTGGAGCCTTCAGTCGTCGTCAACATAACTAACGTTACCCGTCTTTCAGTTAAGGTTCAGATTCTGTCTGCCTAAAAGTGAGTTCCACCATAGTGAATCTTGAGTCTAGAGTGGAACACCCAGCCAGATACAATGACCAAAATAGGGACGATCTCGTGTTCCACCAGATTCACTGTCTTGTAAGCCTTTCTTTTCTTTCCGGTACCAAAGCCTTCTAGCCGACTTGAATTGAAAACAGCACCTAGTCAGGACATACCCTACCCCTACCCAATACTATGTTATGACCTCCCAAAGAGTTGACCCGGTAATTCTCAAACTCAGAGCTTACAATCCGGAAGCACCGTATTGCCATGCTCTACCACCATCCATTGTACCGGAGATGGGGGTATCGTCGCCATGAGCAAGGTAAACAAAATCAGCAGCTACCCGGAATTCAACCCCCAGCCAAAGTACCGCAATTCGAGAATCTTGCCAGGTGGGCTGACGAACACGCTACTTCGAGGCTGCCCTACAGGCTAACATCTAGCTATCCCAACAGATTGGGCGTTTTTCCCCCCTTTTTCCTACCCCCCTCCTTTCTCCGTGAATGGCCAGGACAAGAAGAAATGGTCACAAAACGAACATGCCATCATTCCTACACCAATAGGACAGAATCTTCACATACAACACACAAGGAACATACCCTGCATGTATCTGTACATCTTCGGATCCCCATTATTAATAACCTCACACCCCCAGTACATACAGAGACTAAGTGCCCAAGACCATACCTTTCATAGACCCTCTACAAGTCACACCCAACTTCCCAGCTGAGATTGTCCGTTACCCGACCCTTCACAATACAACCTTAAACAAGTCCTCCAATTCTTCCCTCCTTCATTCCAATCCCTCCAAGTACTCAATCAATCTTCATACCTTGGCCTGAAAACTCACTTAGCAAGCCTACAGTACTAGCTAGACAAGTGAGTGCATTGACCTATGACTCATACTCATACTCATACTCTATTACTCCAGTAGCCTAAACAGAACCCCTCTCCCTCACTCTAAGCAAGCCTAGTAAGCGTCCGACTCGAAACACAAATACAAGGCCCTGTGTCTTCATTTTTATAGCCCATACCATACCATACCATACCATGCCATGCCTTTTTCCCAACCCAACCAGAAGACTATTCCAATTCACACACTCTCAGCGCATCCCCAAAGCAGAAATCCATAAACGGACAGATATATCGTACCATACCTCGATCTAACTAGTCAGTGGACAGGTTCACCCCGCGGGTGTGGGGATCTGCGCTAGGCTGTGCTGGGACTAGTTACTCCCAAGCGGAGGGCTTGGCAGGGCTGTGAAGAACATCGCAGAGCTGAAGGTGGGTCATGTTCAGCTTCCATGTCTTGAGTCATAACTATTGTGTCACACCAGAGTGAGGCGATTGGTTTTGCCACAGGGCGTAGGGAGGGGCGAGTGATAGTATGGAATACGGAATATGTGTTGAACATTTCTTTCCCATGTAAGCACGCACGGGTTGTTCCAATGGGATATCGCCAAAATTCACAAAAATATATATACATAGTACATGGTCCCATTCCGGTTCCATCCGGTTGCTTTTGATATTTCCGGGTCGCAGGCATGCCAGCCGCAAAGCATGATCAAACATTAGTATGTAACGTCACAGGGGATACATCCAGATCCAACCCAGTTCCCGTCTATTCCTTGGTGAGAAGTGTAAAAGACAGATACAACCCAGTCGGGCCAACTAGGTCATAAAGTATTTCGGGCCCTCTCCACCTTGGGGAGTCTGCCAGTTGATATCCTGGGTGGGTACCTTGATATCGCAGGTCTTGCAGTGAATGCAGCTACAGCCAGTCAGTATAAAGCGAATGCCTCCAAATGAAAAGCTGAAGCACTTACTTCTGAGCGTTGATCTGGAACCGAACACCATGCTGCTTGCTGGGATCCTCCACGTACTCGTAAACACCTGCTGGGCAGAAGCGGTTCTCAACACCCTGGTACTTGGGCCAGGCGACATCCGTGTGCTTGTCCCAGTCGGCCACCTGCAAGTGCACCGGCTGGTCTTCCTCGTGGTTGGTACCCGTCCGGCTGACGCTGGTGAGAATGTCGAAGCTGATCACCCCGTCCGGCTTGGGATACTCAATCTTGTTGCATTCAGACGCCAGCTTAGTGGCAGCAGCGTCCGTGCCGTGGTGCTTGAGAGTCCATGGCACCCTACCCTTGAGAACATAGGCTTCGAGTCCAGAGTACAGGATACCACCGTAGAGTCCAAGGGGAGTGCTAAAAGAAGGCCGCATGTTGCGCACCTCGTACAGCTCTTTCCAGATCGACGACTTGCGCAGGGCTTCTTCATAGTCGAACAGGAAAACCGAGCCTTCCGAGCTACCCTGAAGGGCCGAATAGGCGGATTCGGCGGCAAGCATGGCGGATTTCATCGCGGAATGGGTGCCCTTGATCTTCGGAACGTTCAAGAACCCGGCACTGTCGCCAATCAGGGCGCCTCCCGGAAAAGCGCATTTCGGGATTGACTGGAAGCCGCCCTCGTTCAGCGCCCTCGCGCCATACGAGATGCACTTTCCGCCCTCCAAAACTTCCTTGTAAAGCGGGTGATGCTTGAGCTTCTGGAACTCGCCATAGGGCGATAGCCATGGGTTCGGGTAGTCCAGACCGACCACCAACCCAATGCTAACCATGTTGTCGCCAAAATGGTACATCCAAGCGCCGCCGTAAGTGTCCTTGGAAAGGGGGTATCCCATGGAGTGTGTAATCTCGCCCGGCTTGAACTTCTCGGGTTGAATTTCCCAGATTTCCTTGACTCCAATCCCGTAGGTCTGCGGCTGGCTATCGCGCCTCAGGTCGTACTTCTTGATCACCTGCTTGGTCAAGCTGCCGTGACAGCCCTCTGCAAGGAGGGTGACACGAGCGTGAAACTCCATTCCCCGCTCAAAGCTATCCTTGGCCCTGCCGTCCCGACCAATGCCGAGATCATTAGTGGCCACACCAAGAACCGAGCCATCGGACTTCTTGTAAACTAGTTCACTGGCTGCGAAACCCGGGTAGACTTCGACGCCCAATTCCTCGGCTCTCTCGCCCATCCATTTCGTCAGCTCATTCAAGCTAATGATGTAGTTGCCGTGGTTGTTCATTTGTGGCGGGGCGGGGATCGGAATCGACGAGTTCTGAGTCAAAAAGCGCATCTTATCCTCCTTCGCAGGGGTCACATTCTCGAACCGTGAGGGGTTGTCCTCCGACAGCCAATCCGGAAACAGCTCGTTCATCGCGCTCGGTTCTAGAACGTTACCAGAAAGGACATGTGCACCCAGTTCGGCGGCCTTTTCTAGCACAACGACACGGAACTCCTCATTGCCAGCTTCGTTGGCCAGCTGCTTCAGTCGGATGGCAGCCGCCAGACCAGCAGGGCCTAGTTTGCGGTGAAGAAGGTCGGTCAGTCACTGGGGCCTCCACCACGTCTTCTACTGCTGCGGGAGAGCGAATCGGGCAAATCAATTCTGCTTACCACCACCGACAATACAGACATCGACCTCATCCGACTCTCGGTCCAACTGTCGAGGATCAAAATTTCCATGCTCGTCCGTCAATTTTCTTGATAGTGACTGCGAAAACGCCCGGGTCTGGATTGGGGGGAAGAGTGATGTGCGGCGGACAGTCCTCCTGCCCGATGCTGCCAGGGAGCTATTGGAGATCCGTGCCGGGTTGCTGAGCGAGGTAAAAGAGGCGGAAGCTCTCGTCAGACGCGAGAAAGAGGGTCGCATTTCGCGCCTCAGAAGAGGCAAAACGGCTCCCTTCGAAGCCATGGCGGAGGGAACAAGGGAGGGGAGAGGTCACAATAGCGTTGATGGTTGGACACCTATAATTGGGTCAACTGCATGGTAGGATAGGAGCAACCGGCGGTGGAGGACAGCGCGCAAGGACAGCGAAGAAGGATGAAAGCCAGCGGATCAAAGTCCGGAGGAAGGAAGTGGGAACCAGTTTTAAGAAGGCGTGTCGGTCTCGTCTCCGTCACCGGCCCTCGGAGCTGGCGAGAAATGAGGAGTGACTAATGGCCGTGGGAGAAAAATTGGCGGTCGGCCTGGGGCATCTGGCAGTACCCGAGGCTACGTCGGCCAATAGGAAGCCTGGCGATGGGAATCATCCTCTTCTCGCTGTTCCGCCCGTTGGACCCCGTGCCTTCCCGTCGGAACAGCGACAGTACGGAGCAGCCTATTCCCCATCCCTCGGCGGCTATATGTTGATGCTCCTACAGGCAGGTTTGGGGGGGTGGGATCCTCTCTTCGAGCGAACGGACCGCAGAGAAGTCCCCTCGGAATTTACTCCTCTTGATCTAGGAGTATCACTAAAGTTCTTTAAGGCTGAGACACGGGTCGCACCTTATCGATGATACCGAAGTGGAACAATTATCATCATCATAATAACATATCATAAGTGAGATAAGACAAAGTACGACGCAGATACACAGTATAACATGGGGGCCTACGGATGCTGCATCTCTACATCGTATGCAGCACAAGGGGCAACGTGACCGATGATCACATGAAGGCAAACGGGGCGCCAGCAATCGGATGACGACACCAGACCAAGGCTGTGGATGCACTGGTCGGCCCTCTACGACGCTGACAGCCATGTGATGCCACCGATTTTTTCAGGTGCCAGGATGTACTACTGTGTCCTCCATGTGCTGCATGTACAGATTCCGGATCTTGCACAGCCTGATAGTTGGATTCAACCAAGAATCAGCATCCACCAGCATGACATGCCTTCGGAGGTATCCGGAGGAGTTATCTAGTCATGATGTCCTCCGTCTGGCATTTAACATTTGACATACTACCATGGTATGTGAAACTGAAAAGACTGAAAATGAGTGTTGGAATAGAGGACAGCTGGCCAAATTACGTACGGGCACGGATGTAGCCGCTGCCCGGACCCCATGTTGCATGCGCAACGCGGGAGTTGGGCTGAGCTTGTTGGAAAATGGATACATCCATGTTATACTTGAGATTTCACGGACCCAGGTTTGCATCTATTTATGTTCAAAGAACACCGACAGCGCAAAGCTACGATCGGACATTGGTGGATAGCAACTGGCCTGAGATCTGGGGTATGGCTAGGCGGCAAGCAACGCCAAATGAGAGGCGGGAACCCCCCAAGAGCAACCCCATGACGCGACCGACGCGACCGGCGCGACCGGGATGAAACCTATCATCCCTGACAGGTACGCGGGTTTGCCCCGGCGACTCATCATCTCTGAGATTTAGGGGCCCCAGAAGGCCTCGGACTCAAAGATGGGATTATTCCTCCATGGCGTTAGTGAAAGAAAAATTCGTGTCGTTGTTCTATCTAGTGCATAGAATATTTTGGAATCGTTGTTGATCGTCGATGAATGGGGTCAACAAAAAAAAAAGTTCCCCAGGCACACACCCCCGGAAGGAAGACAGGGCATCAAAAAATTAAATAAATAAATAAAAAAAATAAAATGGAAGGGAGTGAAAGGATCGATGAAATTTTTGTTCAGTTGGCGACCGCTAAAGCGGCAAGGCCGAGAGGACGGAAGGCGCGTTGTTGAAGGGGACGCCGAGAGCAGTAACGCGGCATGATTGGAAGGCAGAAGAATGGATGGGCTTGAGGGTGGGTCGGTCTATCAGTTGCAGGAGCGACGCGGACTGGATTGAAATGAGTGGCTGCAAGTGCCTGCAACCATGGCGCTGGCCGGGAAAAAAGAGTAAGGGGGCGACAGCCAACGAGAGCGGGCACACGGCGGTGGGGCTCTCAGACAATGTGTGCTGAGTGGACCCGCCGATCAACAAACCAGAGATGACGGAATGGCGCTTGCTGGGGGGGTTGGCCACCCAAGAGCCGCTAGTGAAGCGCTAACATGCAACGAGCAGTGCCAGAGCAGCCAAATCCATGGGTGGGAGCGACCTCCCGTCGCTGCTTTTGCCGCCGCCGCCAGGCCCAGCCCCCCTGACGCCAGCAGCCCCGGGCGCTGTGAGTCAGCCTATATAAAGGCCCAACCTCCCACTTTCCCGTCGATGTTGGAATTTTTGATTCTGGTCTTGGCACCGCCCGGAAAGCCATACACCTCTCTTCCCGCCCGCCATCCTTCCTTCCTCTCCCGTCTCTTCACTGCCACCAGGTCGAGCACAGGAATTCTGCTGATCTCAGCTTTTTTTTCCTGCTACCGCCTGCCAGTCTGAGAAGAGAATCTCGTGACCTCGTGAAGTGATAATCAAGGAAGCTAAGAAAGAACCTAAAGGGGAAATTTTATTTTTCCTCTGATATACTCTTCTTACTCCGCAGTTTCAGATTCAGTTCCTGAAACAGGAAGCTTGCAGCCTCAGGCGCGCATCTTTCAACACACTCTCTCCAAACGCAGATAGACATCTCCAATCCAAACAAAAAAAAAGCAGACCAACCCATCCCATCAATCCACCTTTCCCAAAAAATTCAGCGTGCTTTTTTCACTGTTCACATTCCCTACATCTATCATCCCGCACCTGTTCACTGCTTCCCCCATAGTTGTGAAAGTCGGCTTCTGGAGTTAATCTCTTAGAAAACACTTCACTGTGCTTTTCTAGTCCCTTGTTGCTGCCCTCTACTCTCCCCTCTCCTCCCTCCCGTCCTTCCCTTCCTCTTCCTTCTGCCACCGACTTCCCCCAAGACCTCAGCTGCACCCGTCTCTGATCCCATTCCGTTAAGATCCTGAACGGTGCTTCGCTGGATACCACCCAGGGCAGTGTTGCTGTAGGGGAGACATTTACTTGTCCATCTCCTACCACCAATCGGTACGTTATAATATATTCTACCTGGTTCCGACCTCACGTCTCTTTCTTCTATTCTCGGAAAGACATCACCCGTGAAACCTTTCGCTTATTGCGATCGGTGCTCGGGGAAACCACACTATCCATTCATCTCTCATCGTCTGTCTACTTTGACTGACCTCGAGTGGCGCGGGTACAGACTGCTATCTCAAAAGCTTTTCTATCTCAGCGTTGGCTGGTCTACGGCCCGAGTATCATACCACTCCCGCCGCGATGGATTCTCTTACCACGCATCCGTCTACTGCGCAACAGGCCCGGGCTTTCACGTCCCCCGCCTCTCTGTCCTTCCCCGGTGGTGCTGGTGATCTGACCCCGCCTTCCGATAAAGACGGAAACTTGGCCATGGCTCAGGGGGCGAACGGGATGATGAACGGTCAGCAGCAGGGAGCAAATGCCGCTAATGGCAACGGGGTGGCGCCCGCGACTCCAGCTGCGACCCCTGGTGCCAACACGCCGGGAAGTGGCATTGTGCCTACGTTGCAGTGAGTATACTCTGGCTGTTTATATATTCTGGTACACCAGATCACTGAACAATGGATCTATCTTTGAAGAAACATCGTCGCGACGGTCAATCTGGACTGCCGTTTGGACTTGAAGACGATCGCGCTCCATGCGAGAAATGCGGAGTACAACCCAAAGGTATTATATTCCACACCTCCCTGAGCTTGCTATGTCAGGGCGCAGTGTGGCTGAACTGTTCTCTCTTCCAATAGCGTTTCGCGGCCGTGATCATGCGTATCCGAGAGCCCAAGACGACCGCTTTGATCTTCGCTTCAGGCAAGATGGTGGTGACTGGTGCCAAGTCGGAGGATGACTCCAAGCTGGCATCCCGGAAATACGCGCGTATTATCCAGAAGCTTGGCTTCAATGCCAAGTTCACGGATTTCAAGATCCAGAACATCGTGGGCTCCTGTGACATTAAGTTCCCCATACGTCTGGAGGGTCTGGCCAGCCGCCATCACAACTTCAGCTCCTACGAGCCTGAGTTGTTCCCCGGTCTTATCTACCGTATGATGAAGCCGAAGATCGTGCTTCTCATCTTCGTCAGTGGCAAGATTGTCCTCACCGGTGCCAAGGTCCGTGAGGAAATCTACCAGGCGTTCGAACTGATCTATCCTGTGCTTTCGGGTATGCATTGCTCTCTGCACTTCCTCCATGAGGTGACGTCTTGCTGACCAGTTGTAAAAGATTTCCGTAAAGTCTAGAGAGCATCACGCTCGACAGGAGGATCTCGACTTCATGTCTCCACCTTCAACAACTTGTATTAACACGGCTTTTTTTTCCCTTGCACTGGCCCGCGAGGTTGTACTATGAACGGACAACACGCTTCAACCCAGCACGGCTGATGCTTTTTCTGGTCCTTTTTCCTCTTCTACACCTGCACATCACGATTTTCATGCTAGCATTTGTACGGCGTTCTAGCGATTTGGCTTTCCTTCCCCATATTCTGTTTCAACAAACATCACCAAAGTGTCTCACCATCTTAGATAGTTGCACACCGCAGATTCAAAGGGGGCGGTACTGTGCGCTGGTCGAATGGTTGCCTCCTTCCTTTCTAATTACGCTCTGGACCCTGATACTCGGCTGCTCGGATGATTTGCTTGTCGAGTCAGATGGAACCCTGCTCAAAAAAATTTCTGTTCTTGTTTCTAGATCGCTACGCTTTGCTACGGAAGTGGATGAATACACCGGGAGAATGAAGGGGTGGGGTCTGCCCTCGTTCGCAGGTGGCATAATCATGAATTCCCTAATTGTGGGTAGAAATGGTAATGAAATGCATCCGTCAGTCATTTGCATCGATTAATCCTTAGTTTTATACGCGGAGGTTCGTAGATACTTCATGCACCAGTTTCCCCATACCAGACCTTTGGGTCTTGTTAGGGTTACTATTGATGGTTGTAGGGTGTCTTTGGGGTTCCAGCTTTTCTCTTAGGATTGATTAGGAACTTTTATGGTAGGGTTCGTATACTAGAATAGTGATATTACATCTGGTAGTTTCCGTTATGGGTACTGGTAGCAATCTACGTACTACTATAATATATATATAGTATGATTACATCCGGCCAGCCAGCCAGCCAGCCAACCCAATCACAGAGCACTCCTCCGCTGAGCCTTCTTCGTCTTCGCCAACTCGTCCAGCAACCGCAGGCCCTTCGGGCCCGAGCGACTTCCATCTTCGGTTCCGTCAAACTCACTCTCCGGAACGGCCGCAGGCCAGGCCCATAGGTTCTGTAATTCGGGGTCGAGTTTGCGTTCTAGGGCGTCTACGATCTTTTCGCCGAGGACGGGGAGGAATTTGTAGCCGTGGCCGCTGCCGCCCGTGGCGAGGAAGAGGCCGGGGTGGTTGGGGTGGTAGGTTATGATGAAGTCGCCCTTGGGGCTGGAGGGATCGGTTGTTAGTGATTGTGAGGATGGGATAGGGGACGGAGAGGGGAAAGCGGGACTGGAGGACTCACGTATCGGTATACCAGCAGACTCGAGTCTGGACGAATGGTCTGTCCGCAAAGCTGGGGATCAACTCCTTCAATGCATCCCGGAACGCTAGCTCGCCTTCCGCGGGAATGGGCACCCCGTTCTCGGGCAGACTGATTTCCATCTTCTCGTCCTTGGTGCCGGGCACGGCAACCTGGACTGGGTTGACGTAGCCGTAGGCGTGTCGCGCAACCTTCAGCAGGTTGTTGCGCGGCGGGATGATGAACATCCCTGTTGCGAAGTTGAGAATCGTCGGCATATGTTCTAGTTGCTTCTGTTCCTCGTCTGAGATGCGCATGTACGCTAATGCCTGGCCCGTTTGGACCGTGCGACCTCGCAGATCGACAAGCTTTGCGGTCCAGGCTCCTGTTGCGAGGATGACCAGGTCGGCTGTGAGGGAGGATCCATTGGCGAGGTTTACGCCTGTGACTCGGTCGTTGCTGTACTGGAGACTGCTGACCTCGCCGGTCTTGAAGATGACTTTGCCTTCCTGGTCGAGACGCTGCTTGGCGTATCGGACGCCGGCCTCGGCGTCGGCCCAGCCTGAGCCCCAATTTACGTAGCCGCCTGCGACTTTGAGATCGACTCCGTAGGCTGGGGCAACCCGCGTGACGTCGGATTTGGTGGGGAGAAGCTCGACATCTTGGCCGGGAATTTGCTTGACGTTGTGATAGCTCTTAGTTGCGTAGTCGCGGGCGTTGGTGCTACCGGGAGGATAGACGAGGAGGAGACCGTTCTGGGTGTATCGGCCTTCTTTGCCCCAGTCGGTGTTGCGCCAGAGTTCGAGGGCATCAGCGGCGAGTTGAGCGTAGTGAGGTTGGGAGTAGTCGGCGCGGATGATACGGGAGGTGTCGACGGAGGATCCGTGGGGGTTGGGAATTGTGGGGGAGGCTTCCAGGAGGGTAATTTGGGAGTTGGGATGACGGTGCGAGAGGGCCAGGGCCGTAGATACTGGATTAATGAGCGATTGAGCTCGTGGGGAAATCCGGGGAAGTGTGGATGCGGTGTGACTTACGGCCGAAGACCCCTCCTCCGACAATCAGGATGTTGGGGGGAAGAGACATGATGTTAGTGCTGAGAGAGGTGGGGAAATGGGAAGTTGTGGAAGCGAAGATATTATATATATAGATGGGATGGGCCGATAAAGGCGGTTGGCAAAGGAAATGACAAGCGCGCTTTTCCACGCTTGGCGCTCCAACTCCGATCTTCCTCCGCATCGGCTTCATCCGCTTCTTTTCTGCCATCGCCGCCTGCAATTCGAATCCCCGCCGCCCAATGGCTTGACTGCGTTGTCCTGTATTCTATTCTTTTCCTCGGCGCGATCTGCGTCACGTTCTTCATTTACAAGGATCCCGCTGCATCACACATCACTCCGACATCAGCTGCAACCATGAGCGCACCTCGAGTTGGACGAGCCGCGCTGAAAACGGCCAGGATGCCTGCTCAGGGCCCGGCTTCCAAGCAGGCGCCCAGATTCCCGACCGCAGATGGCACAGGGTCAGTAACACAGCCATGTCTCCCAGCATCATGCCACATCGCAATGCCGCCTCAACTCCGCGTCATCACTGTCCTCTCCATCAGTATCAACTTCAACACCGACTGACACACTGATATACATAGGCCCAAAACCCTCCCCAAGCGCGCCAACCCCCACCTCACAAACCTCCCCTCCGCCTCTTCGACATCCAACACCCCTCCCATGTCCCCCAAAGTTATGACCATTTTGGGCGTCAGTGCCCTCACCCTAAGTACTTACATCGGCTACCTCTACGCCTCCTACCGCCGCGAAGTCACCCAATCCCAAACCCTCTCCGTGCCTCACGATGTCTCCGACCGCTATAACCACACCGCGCGCACCTTCGACGCCGACGTCGAAATGTCCGAGAAGCTCATGCGCATGGGCTCGAAGCGCGCCGAGCTGATCAATCACGCGCGCGGCGACGTTCTAGAAGTCAGCTGCGGCACCGGGCGCAATCTCGAGTACTATGAGCTGGGACAGCGACGGGGACAGGACCGCCAGGGGCGCGCGGACATCCGAGGGTGTCGGTCAGTGACGTTTGTGGATTTGAGTCCGGAGATGGTGGAGATTACAAAGGCGAAGTTTGCGAAGCTGTTTCCGGAGCACAAGGTGCCGGTGGATTTTCGGGTGCAAAACGCGGGGGATGTCCCCAGGCGTACTATTGATCCTTTACGGAAGGATGATGAGGGATACTATGATACGGTTGTGCAGACGATGGGGTTGTGCTCGATGCCGGATCCGGCCGGTACGTTGCGCCATCTGGGAACGATCGTGGAGCCGCGTCGGGGAGAGATCTTGTTGCTGGAACATGGCCGGTCGCATTATGATTGGCTGAATCGCGTGTTGGATAATTTGGCCCCGGCGCATGCGGACAGACATGGCTGTTGGTGGAATCGGGATATTGGGCAGATTGTGCGCGATAGCGGGCTGGAGGTGGTCGAGGAGAAACGGTGGCATTTCGGGACAACCTGGAAGTACGTTCTCCGGCCGAAAACTGAGGGTGGGAAGTGAGGAAGATGTTGTATATTATTTTGACAGATTGGATGACTGGATGTACTATATATATTGCATAGCGGGTGTTTAGATAGTTGCCAAATAGCATTGGATGGGAAGCGATCTATAGATCGTTTTAAGCTGCATTCCGCTACACTTCCACGGCTCCAGTTATGCTGACCTATACTGTCTTCCATGCTAGCAAACTGTGCACCCTAACCACATGAACGATGAATATATGTGAAATCCAGTCTAATATGTATCACTAGGCTTCATACATCATTCGTATATTCACAACAAACACGAAGACAAAGAACAGCCCCCCAAAAGCAAATTTTAAAGCATAATCAACATGACAGTTGACGCCTCCATACTTCGTATGGTCAACGCCGACCCGAGATATCCTTATCCCTTATCCCCAATGAACAAGTTAGGCTCCAGCAAACATCCCACCTATACCATCCACCAGATAAACAACATCCCAGCGTAATCTGCCTACACAACCAACCATCATCCATCACACCAATATCCATCCATCCATCATCCATCCATCCATCCCACCCAACCACCATCTATAACAAAATATCATGTCACGCGACACCAAAAACAAGGCAAACAAGCCGATCACCAGCACCACCATCGTCACACCCCAATCACTAGGGCAACAAAAAAACCCCATCTAACCATGGATCGGTCCCATCCGAGGAGGTGATCTGATCGGATGAAGTCAATATGGCGTTATGCAGATTTCATATGCGGGGTAGAATGTACTGTGTTGTGTAAGTTGTTGGTCCGTGGGGTTAATTAGTTGGTTGCTTGGCTGTGCTTATGTATGGATGTAGGTAGGTACATGTATATGTACCTGGGTCCCTCACAGGGTACAGGTGCATTATGTAGTGTATATTTTATGCTAGAGTATGCACTATGTATCTACGTAGATGGGTGGGTAGATTCGGGTAAGTAGGAGTACGTAGTTAGGTAGTCTGATGTAAGTATTACCGTTGAATCGGAGAATTTAATCCTTTAGGGGTCGACTTACGTGGGAGAGGGGAGGGGGTTTATGTGCAGATATTGAATATATTGAAGTTTTTTTCCCTCCCTTTATCTTCCCTCTATTGCAGTGCAAGTACTGTGTAGGGAGGTATTATGTATAGGTACATGATGAACACAGGTAGGTACAACTGACGTAGCTACCGTCCTACGATCTATTATTAACTTCTTGTATCCATCTACGATTAGCCCAGTTCGGAGGACGGAGCACCGGGGTCGGAGACTGATTCATTCTATTGACTAGTATCCGTACACCGTATGCAATTCGCATTAATATCCATAACCCAGATGATAGATAGATAGTAGATACATGCAATAGATAGGTAAGTAGGTAGGCAGGTAGGTAGATTGTTTGAGAATACGAGCAAGTAAACCAGACACATCATATCTATGCGCATGTGCGTGCAGGTAGAGCTGAAGAGGTGGGATGATGACGATACACACCCACTATGTAGTACTTCCAGCTGCAGATGCACGCCACGGAGAGTGGAGATGATGCATGGCTGATGCATATGTACATATCTACTCCGTACTCCGTAGTAAGTATTCAAAGCATGTGAGTTGTTGTTATACCTGGTACTTTGTAGATAGGTAGCCTGTTTACTGGCATGCTGGACTGCAGGAACTATGATAATTACATACTATGTATGTACGTGCATAGTGTCGGGTGGCTGAGGCGGGGCCATTGTTTTGTTTCTATCTTATTGTATGGAGTACTGTGTACACAGTATGTGTTTGTTGCACTAGAACATGCCTGGAAAAAGACTCCGATCGTGTCGTTCCTAGGCAACGAGATGTAAATACTTACACATGTACTCCGTAAGAGGCAACAAGACAGGTATGGAATTATCCGGAATGATATCGACGGGGGTCCATCATATGTTGCATAAGGTTGATCCCTTGCTGAGATATGATACATCACTCCCTCCCGATCTAGAGCATCCTGTGTCGAATCTGCCAGGAGCTGTGTTCATGTCCTGCAGCAGAGCTGAAAGCTACACTGTATACTGTACAGTGTACACTGCACACTGTCTAGACTATTAATTGTATAGATGGCTGTACCCATGCTGGCGACAGCCTCGCCGCGGCATCGAGTGGCGAGCCTGTTCCATGCAGAGGCGCGGTGCCCTTTGTCCAGCTCGGGCCTTAGCGCCGCCTCGAATCCATCCGATTGGGCCCTCTTCCAATCTTCTAGACGACCGGCATCTACTCCACTGTCGCCGATCTGATTCGCTATAGGTCCTAAACGGCGACGCTAGGAACGATTTTCCTTGGGACCGCTCCAGTGGGTGGGGCCGGTCAGGTGCGTTGATTCGCCCGAGGTTTTGCCTGCCTCCATTTCTCCTGTGGGCTAGTGCATAAGTCAGTAACTTGGAAGGGCTAGCGCCTGCAGCAGCGCTATGCGCTAGTGTAAGGCTCTTGGTGGTTTTCCTTCCTTTCTCGAGCTTTTCTTTTGCTGGCCCTTTTCTGGTCTTGAGTTTTCGAGTCCCAGGCGCCCATGGCCAGCCGGCCAGCAGGCCAACACACCAGCACACCCACTTGTCATGGACCAAACCCGTGTCTTTGAACTAAGCTGCGTCGTACCATGGGAACCTCCAGAGCTATGATGCACTTACCCGTGGAGGTTGCCGCCGTTTTGCCGTCATGGTGGGATATAGTTATCTAGCCAAAACGCGGGCAACAAGACTCGTTCGAAACTAGAGAGAAACATCGCCGGTCCCAAAAATGGTCCGATATGGACGGTCTGTCGGTGAGAAAGCGGCAGCGGATTAGCCTGGAAGGTCAGGGCTGGGCTGTAGGTAGCCTTGATCGCGGGAGGGATGCGCCTGGCCGGCTTGTTTGTTTCTCTATCTATCAGAAAATTTCTGCGCAGCAACCAGGGCCAAGGGCTCTAAGCTGCAGTAGCAGTAGCTACCCGATTCGCTCTCCTGGATTGACTCCACGGAGCATACTCCATCATGGAGTCCATGCAGAACCTCAGTTGATCACGGTCTCCCCCGCCAATCACAGCGTCAGCCATCCATTCTGGTCGTCATAGACACATGGTTGGCTCCACCGTACTTTTTGCCCCTTCAGTCCGTCGGCCTGTTAGTGTCGCTTCTCGCCCATCTTCCCGGCTGCTGCGCCGGCCGGTGTCCAGTTGATTCTTGCCCTCTGCTCTTGACCACTGCTTTGTTGCGACACACGGACGTCCTTTTTCATTCAGGAGGAGGAGAAAGCGGTGTAGATGTATCTGTTTAGTCGCTTCTTAGTATTGTATTCCAATGTGGGGGGAAAATAGATAGATCCAAGAGAGCGACGACCAGAATCCCTAGAATGGAATAACACAAACAACGGAATCTCTTATTCTTTTTTGTCCTTTTTCCCTTTTTTTTTTTTTTTTAGGAAGGGGGGAACACGGATGGATGGTAGTAAAGTTCCCTTCCCGGCATTCCTGGAAACCCCAATAAAACACCCCATCGTGAGTCGGACCAATAATCGCCACCGTAAAACATCCACCCGTTTTGCCCATTTTAATTTTCAGCCGGGCGCGAGCCAGCAGGAAAAATCGCGGTGGAAACCCATCCACACCACGGACGGATTCCTCAGGCTTCAGAGAGGAGTTATTATTATTTCCATTACTATTACCATTACGCTTGAGCCCTGGCAATTAGCAAAGGGCAAGAAAAAGGACCATCGCTGTTGCTTCCAGTTCCGACGGTCAGTGATCGGGGTGGTTCCTCACTGGCCAACGACCGTTCCGGTGATTATTCCATCCATTCCATCTTTCCCTTCCCTCTTCCTCTTGTTCCGTGCAGCCGGTCGGCATCTCATCATCATCGCCGCCGCCCATCCCTCCCTAACTCAACTCTCCCATCCCCATCCCCATTCACCCCCTGCCCTGTTCATACTTCCTGTCCTGTAACACTTCCCTCGTCCCTTTCCCTTCCCCTCTCCCTCCATTCATCCACATCTTCCCCCCCATCTTCTTTCCATCTTGTCATCATTGTCTCAGTGTCGGTCTGTTGGTCTGTCGTGTCTTGTCTGTATCTGTGTTATTAGACCTTTATTTCGTGTTATTCATTAGTTCTACTTTACTTCTGTTCTATACTGTATTGTTCCTCCCTCGTGTTTTTGTGTGGTTTATCGGTATACTACTACTACTTCCATTATCGCCTATCGTTCTCCTATTCCTCTGTACCCTACATTTACACTACACTCTACACTCCACCGTCCCTTCTTTCCGCCTCACCAGTCATGCCTTATAATACACGTCGCAAGTCGCTGTCGCTCCCCTCTCTGGGAATTCACCTCCCTAACACATCCCGCCGCTCTCCTTCCGCCACAAAAACGCCTCACGCGACCGACGACCAGCTACCTCCTTCAAAGAAAGTAAAGCGGTCGCACGACTCGGGGCATTCCCTATCGCCGGAACCTTCCTCGTCTTCCACTGCGCGCACCTCCGATGGCAAGGAACACGCCGCCCCTCTACGTCAGAGCGGGCGGCGCGGCCCTCTGGAACAAACGCCACCGCCATCCCCCACTGACGGCACTGTCGCGCCCAAGATTGACACCGAAGGGATCAACGACGACATCGTGGTTGGTGTGATCGAGCAGTTGGAAAAGACGGGGAATCGTCCTCACTTGGTCAAGGAGCTGGCCGCCGTTCTCATCGCTTTGAACGAGAATGTCGCCAAGTACGTCGCCATCTATCCCCTCCCCCTCATCCCTATATCGCTGGCCATGCTAACATCTGTTCGTCTATAGCTCTGCGAACCCTGCGGCTCTTCTGTCTTCCCGGTTAAGTGCCTACATGAAGCGCCCATGGACCGCTCTGGCGCCGTGTCCCCTGGCAAAGGAGCTGGTCCCCATTCACCCACGCAAAGTGTACTACTACCTGACAACATTACCCCGTCAGCCTCTTCCCGAGAACTCGGACGATGTCATCATCCCAGGTGTGGAAGGAAAGGACATCACTCCTAGCGTCTCCAGCGCCGATTTGGATGAAGAGGACGCCCTGGCACGGGAGCGGTCGCGCCTGAGTCCTAGTCCAGAAGTGGACTTGTCTTCGCCTGATTTCGAGGAAGAGACCATTGACTTGGACGGTCGCACTGGTCCCGGCGGTGCATCCAGATCCGGCACCGACTTCGCCGACCATCACCACGCACGGTTGATGCACTCTACTCGTGCTGCTTCCCCGCCATTGGAAGGCGACGAGAAGGAGTTCACGCAAACTGCCAGCGCTGTTCGCGAGCGGGCCTCGGAGCAAAAAGTCAGCCAGCCCCCGACATCCGGAGGTGGCTTCTCTGCCCTCTCGGAAGGTCTGAGCGAGTTGCATGATGGTACTATGAGCATCTCCGGTTCCGTTGTGGAGGATAGCCCTCTTTCCTCTATTAGTGGTGATCGGATGTCGGATGACCAGGATGACGACTACTTCTCCCACAGCCGCTACCAGGAGCAGTCCCCTCTGCAGGACCATTTCCAGCAGCAGGATCTTGATGAAGCTGCCGTGGCTACTCTCTTCGGCACATCTCCTTCTCCGTCCCTCACGTCTGTGGCCTCATCCTTCTCGTCTGGCACGAGCGTGGCCTCGGATGACGGGCTGGACGTTGACACTCAATCCGACACCGTCGGATGCACTCCGCAGATTAGCCTCCCGGAGGACCCGACCGTCGTGCCTGTGTCTGCCCTCAAGCGTTCAATCGACATGCTGAACAGTGGGCTTCCCGATCTGGACATGAAAATGTCCGACTTCAACGACCAGGAGGATAAACTGTCGTTGGGCGCCAGTGCCTTCTCCCACCCGGATGTCGAGATGGTCTTTGATTCTTGGCGAGAGCTACAGAGTCCCGAGACCGTGGAAGTGGATGAGCTCGATGAGATGTTCGGGGAGATCTGAGCATGCTAGTCACCGTCTTCCTATTCCACCCAGCGATAGACTAGAGGCGTTTGGGCCGTGCGTTGCTTCTCGCGAGGCTTCTTCACTCTTTATTTCGGGATGTCTCCCACCCCGAAACTCCTTCCATCTCCACTCCCGCTCTGGCTGGTTTGCTGAACTGGCCGTCCACCTCCACCTCGACACTCCGATTGACCTAATCTTGTACAGTTTAATCCGTTTAATGCCTGTTTCGCAACCCCCTGCTACACCTTCTGCCATATTGGACCCCGCCCTCCCGGGCGCGGTCCCTGCGCGTGCCGCGCCTGTACATATATACTTTACCTTCCACCTGTCTCCGACTCTCTTGATTTCTAATATCCCCTGACTGGCTGTGATGGATCTGATTGAATGTTTCCTTGGGGGGTTGGTTTGCAAATGCTTCTCGATGAATGGCATGGAGTGACGGAGACCGAAGCAGTTGACGATGAGAACGGCCGAAGGGAAAAATTGAAAAGGGAAAACGGGCGAAAGAAAATCGGGTTATGTTTGATGTCTGACTATGTATGCTTAGCGCCTGTGGCCTTTGAATTTCAAAAATCCCCGCAAGGGTTAGATCTGAAGAGAACTGTTGTGCCTGGAAGACTGCTGGATCTGCGGCGTAAGTTGGACTGGGACGATGGGTTCTCGGCGTCCCAGCCCGGCCCTGATAGAGAAATGACGTCTGCTCTGCTGGACGGACGCACGGCCTCCCGCATCCCGTGGAATGTGCCTCGCAGCATTGTGGAGAGCGAGGGGATGACTCCGGTTGCCCCTGACTAACTGTCTATTACAAAGAACCTGCTGGGCACCTGGAACGTTGTGCGAATCCAGGAGGACCTGGCTATGAGATCAGCCCGAGCAGCTGGGATGGGCTAGAACGCGCCGGAGGATTGGGGCTATCGGCATCGGCCGTTGGCGTTGGCCAATGCCTTGTCCGTGAGCCACTGGCCCCTACTAGTAACTATTAAAGGCTGCAGCCGGTCAGCTGTCCGGCTGTCTAGCTGTCAGGCAGTCCACAGGAGTGGACTGCCTGGATGGATTCCTCAGGCTGCCTCAGGGACGGGCAGCCGGGAAATGACGGCATCAAGTCATGCTGACCTAACCCCGGGCGGTCGCTCGCCCTGGAAGGTTCTGGTTGGTTGGCCGGCTCTATACGAAGGCCTTCACTCGTCGCCGGCATGATTCTGCCCATCCCGTGCCATGTTTCTTTCTTCCTTATCCCGCCGCGCCCCTCCTGCTCTTCTTCTTCCTGTCGTCTCAAGCCGCCATTGATCGGCTTGGGCCAACGGATCACTCTCGCCATTCCTTTTTTGCTTCTCGTGTAGCTCGTTCTTGCTTTGCGCCTTGCCTTCGCCCCCTTGATCTCGGGTCCCCGAGCTCGGCTCGCAGCTAGTCCTTGACATTATGCTTCATTCCTCCCTGGTATCCTTCCCGTACAGCCGGCCGAAGTATTAGCAAGCCTGAACCATCCTTCGCCTTGCAAAAGGATTTCGGCCCTCCCCCCCGATCTGTCTCGAAAGCCTATTGACAGTCCCTGAACACACGTGACCGGGCCTGGATTGGGATTGCGATTCGACTCGATCGTGGTGGCGTTGCCCCTCAGGAACCACCTGTCCGTTGATAAGAGGATGGAGACGCCATCTGGCATCCCCCAGCCGGCGCAAGGCCTGTCGCAGGGTGACATTCCTCTTCGCCCGCACACCGAGGAACCGGCCGTAGTCCTTCCGATGGCGCATCCCCCGGCTCTTCCAGGCACTTCGTCGCATACGCCGCAGAAACCCAACCTGGCCACCCGAACTGTGAACGCCGAGAAGAAGCAACAGGTCTCCTCCACCGCCGCGCCTGGCAGGAAAGTGGCTATTCCTAGGCAGCGAGCCGCCGCCGCCCCACGTTACAGTCGACGGGTCCCCTTGGCATGCGAGTCGTGTAGGCAGCGGAAAACTAAATGCAGTGGCGATACGCCCGTGTGCCGACAGTGCAAGGAGCTGAGAATATCCTGCCATTATCCGGTTTCATGGCGGGAGAAGACTAAAGGGTATGTTGGCCTTCGATAGTTTTGCCGCGATGGGCTCCTCATAGATGGTTGACTTTGGGTTTGCAGGGAACTAGATAAACTTGCTGTCAAGGTCACCGACTACGAGAATATACTGCGAGATCTGGGTACCTTTGTTGATGGCCGGGCTGCGGAGCGGATCAAGGCGGTGCTGGACAAGGTTTGACTTGCCCCTCCTGGCTCTCCTTTGATATCGTTATGGCTAGCTTGGATCACTAACACTGCTCAGCATCATAGTAATGGAGAATACACCCAATCCAGCTCGGCAACCCCCCAGGACGACGGCAATGATGATGAGGTGACCTCCCCTTCATCCATCGGATCCTTGGATGCAATCGACCGGGTCGAAGAGGATGTAAACCGCACCCCGAGCTCCAGAGCGACGGGTTATATGGGAAAGAATTCCGAAGTCACTTGGATGCAGCGCGTGCGCATGGAGGCCGAACAACGTTCTCACAAACTACCTGGCCCCTTCGAGGCAGACCAAGAAGGCGAGTTTGCCATCCACTCCGTTAATTACCACCTTGATGATATGGACATTTCCGTACCTGGCCCTGTGCACGTGTACTGGATGCCACCACGAAAGGTGGCAGACAAACTTTTCGAAGATTACTTGGAATCAGTGCACCCATTCTACCCTATCATCAGCCGTACTCTCTTTAGTGCACAATATAGGACATTCGTCGAGAGTGCCGCCCGTCCAGGGGACAAGTGGCTGGCTATACTGAACATGATTTTTGCTATCTCCGCCAAGCACGCCCACCTCACTCGGGCCCCGTGGCGTGGCGATGAAAATGATCACCTGGTGTATCTGACGCGAGCTCGGATATTGAGTATGAACGGCGATGTGCTGTTCAGCCACCCTGATCTGCAACAGGTGCAGGTCGAAGGCCTGATTGCCTACTATCTACTTGCCTCGGATCAGATTAACAGGTAAGGCTTGATGATGACGGCCTCGCCACGGCGCTTGCTCTGACCAGACTCAATAGGGCTTGGCGAATTGCTTCTTTGGCGATTCGTTCCGCAGTCACTCTCGGACTTAACATGAAGAATTCCAGCGAGGGAACGGCCAACATCTCCAAGGAGGCCCGCTACAGGGTCTGGTGGTGTCTCTACACGTTTGAGCATATGCTTGGAATCATGACGGGACGTGCCTCGTGCATCAGCGACGGCATCTGCACCACTCCGTTTCCCCTTCCTTTCGAGGAGGATCAGCTTCTGGAGCCCGCGGCATCCAAGCTGCTGGACGAGCCCGAATTGCGCCAGGAATACATAGAGACGGCACTCGCCTGTATCTCTGTACGACTAATGCCATCTAACCCTAAAGGGGGCCGAAATGCACAGTTGACAGATAAGCCTCGTGACGTGACGTGGCTTAGAAGCCTTCCTGCCAGCAGCGCCCTCGGCTTCCTTTATTACGTCGATCTCGCTGTGATCTCACAGGAGATCGTCAACCGTGTTTACTCGCTGGATTGCGTATCCATTCCTTGGAGTCATATTGAGAACCGCATTGGTGAACTGCGAGCCCGAATCGACGTGTGGTACGCCAATCTTCATGAGTCATTTGACTTTACTCGGACCGATGATCAGCCCACGATTATGGTCCGTAGCAAGCTCTTCCTCGCCTTTCACTATTACAGTGCACGAATTACCCTAGGACGCCCCTGCTTGTGTCGTCGCGACGCACGACAGACCGCGTCCAACAAGAAAGAAACATTTAGCCACGAGATGGCGGTGATCACGCTGGAATCCGCGCAACAGATGCTCGACTTGATTCCCGATGTGCCTGACGCTGTCCGTCTCTATGATATCTGCCCCTGGTGGTGCATTCTGCACTACCTCATGCAGACAACAACCGTGCTGCTTCTTGAATTATCATTTGGCAGTATTCACATGCCAGATGAAGAGGCGAACTTCCTGGCTTCAGCGAAAAAGGCTATTCGCTGGCTCTTCGCCATGGCTGAGAATAGCCTTGCCTCCCGACGCGCATGGGAGTTGTGTTACGGCAGCCTCCGACAGATCGCTACCGGTATGAACTACGACATTAGTGATTTGCCCGCAATCGGCTTTGAGGCCCAGGCCCAGACCCCAGCATTCAACCCTACCCAACGTGTTTCCTCGACTCAGCCTGGAGAGACTGTACACACGGGGCCAACATTTTACGACCCCGCATCTGCTGGTTTCAACCACACCGTGCCAGTATCCTCCTCCCAGGTTACTCAAAATACCGTTATGCCCCTCACTCAGGATGACCAACCATTCCTGGGCATGTCAATCCCATCCTCCAACTCCTTACCCACGAATTCGGATTTGAACCCCGGAGGTGACTCCTATTTCCCCTACGACCCGATCAGCGGCGAATTCATCCGCTCCTTCTTCCCCTCTTCCACCGACGAGGAACAATGGGATGGAGTATGAGCGTCCACCTTCCCGCTCCCTCCCCATTTCATGTAATTAGTCCCTCCCCATGCTCTTTCTCCTTCTATGCGAGCGATATGACCTATACCTCTGCTTCTTGACTTGACTTTTACATTCTTCGCTTCTCTCAATTCTGTATACCTATCTTCATCAACGATGTAACGCTGCGGCTGGAGTTCTACGGGGATTTGGTGAAATGGGACGATACAGGCTGGCACTGGTGCCTCAATAATGAGATGGGATAGATGGATGGAGCTCGGGGGTTTTGCTTGTTTTTTTTTGCTCTGTAGGATATTTGAAAATTACAAGTACCTTGCTTATCTTACATTCGTTTTTGATATTGTTTTCTTATGACCGTACCTGCATGGGTAATCCAAGGTCATCCCATGAAGGGTCACGTGCATGATTAAACCAAGTCAAGGCTCCGTTTAGTAATCTTTTACTAAACTAGGTATCTCGTGTGTAGATTACGCATGATGGCTGATAAATGATCACTTATACATATTACATATAATACAATATTCCTTATATGAACAGGCCGTTTTCTATCTTTCTATATTATACATATCATCCCGGGGAAGAGAGGATGGAGGGATAGGTGGAGTGAGTGATCGGCCACGCTATGATGCCGCAGTAGCAGTAGCAGTATCAGCAGCAGCGGCAGTCTCCATCTTCGTGCGCTCTCGTTTCATCTTGCTGAGCTCTCGACGTCGGCGGTACAAGAGACCCCCGACTTCACGGTTGATTTCCCGACGACGGACGCCGAAGGACTCGAAGCGCTCGATGCAGAAGTTGAGGACGTCTTCGGCTGGGTTAGGGGATGATGGCGGTGGTTGGGTTGGGGAGTCAGGGTCGGGTTGTGATTGGGCTTCGTGCTCGTTGTATTCCTGCAAAGCGGCCTGGGCGATAATGCGGACGGTGTTGGGGTTGGGGATAGTAGCTTTCTTTTGGAGCTGCTTGAAGTATTTGGCGTCAAAGTGGGGATCGCCTTTGGAGCGGTTGCGCTCTTTGTTCAGGTACATGCGCACGATGCCGCCTTCTTGGAGACGACGGAAGGTCGGGGATTTGCTGTCTAGACACCATTCTTTCCAGAAGCGTTGACCGGCTGCGCTGCCCTTGGTGTCGACGATGGCGGAGAGGAGGGAGTGAAAGGCGGTGGCTGGGATGTAGGGGACGGCGGTTCGTGGGGAGGCTTTATAGGGGAGGGTATTAGTGGCAGCGGTGGCGACGTCGTGAAGGGCGCCGGGGACGGATAGAAAGACGCGGTGCAGGCCGAAGAGAGCGCGTTCCTGGAAATGGGTCTGCGCGAACTGAGTAGGTTCATTGAACTCTCCCTGAAGGAGACGGAGAAGGATGTCTGTCGCGCGGGTGAGGGATTCAATTTGTTCCACTGGCGCTGCTGAGTCGGATTGTTGTTTGGTTCTCTCCTCTAGACGGATGATTTCACCTGCTAGGGCGGTGGCGTTGCTGTGGCCCCAGGATTTAGTGCGGTGGTCCCGGATGAACTCGAGCAGCATGATCACCGAGTCCCACTGGTGCATGGAGATGCGGAAATTTAGCAGTGCACGTATGGTGTTTGATGAGAGAGGCTGCTTGAGGGACTGGATGACCGCGTCGCAGAGTGCCGAGTTCTTAGTCGCAGTAGCATAACGGAGGATAGACGGAGCTAGGGCTTGGTTGCCGTATGAGCTCGGTGGGACCGGAGGACCATCGGCGTCGTTGGAGAAGAAGAGCCAGTCGCCAAATGTGAACGCTCGCGACACGGTAACCAGGTCGATCAAATCGGCCAGTGTGATGCTCGACAGCTGCGGCATGGATGATTCGAGCGATTTCGCGGAGTCCAGTTCATCGGCATTCAAGGTAGGGAAGGCGAGACCAGGTTGATCTACGCGAGATGAGAAAAAGTCGTCGATGCGTTGTATCTTGCTGGTATCAACAATGGCTTGCAGCCAGGCAAATGCGTTCAATGCGTCACCGCAGAGCCGCTTCTTTGAGTAGAACCTGATGTTGTACTCGATCAGGCCGGCCAGCGCAGACGTCTCGTCGTACAGCTGCGACAAGCTCAGCCGTGCCAAGTCGTCCTTATCGACGTGGTGAAGGTCTGCATCCCAAGGTGGAACCACGCATGGAGTTATTCTAAGGAAGTCTTCGAAAGCCCGGGGATCAGCGTCCGGTTTTAGGCCGCCTGATTCCATAACTCGTACAACGAACCAATTCGACGCTCTGCTTGTGGGTAGTAATTGTTTATCGGCTGTTGATGGAGCAATGGCGAACTTGAGACGGGAGACATAGCGCAAAAGTGCGCTTGGTGACATACCCCGAAAGCCTAGCCCTTGATATACTTGATTGGGAAGGTTATCCAACAGTGCCGAGGCTACTTCGGCGCTCATGGTTCGCTTCCCCAAGCCATGGAAGGGCGTAGGGTTGTGGCGTTTTCGCAGCATCATAGGGCGCTCGTGGTGGCCAGGCTGTCGCCAAGTTTCCTCCTGGTCGATCTTGGTTTGCCATACCGACCCAGACTCATCCAGTATCGGCTTCCAGCTCTGGAATTTCCAGGCCTGGTCTCCCGTCTTCGCCACCAGCCTGTCGATTATCCAGACCCCCTCTTCAATATGGCCATGTTCCACGCAGCACCACAGTATGAACTCAAGCCAGATCTCGGGCCCAAGCTCACGAACGCCCATCTTGAAGGGAAGATATGGCGAATCCTCCCCTGCTGCAGCTGCTTGAGCAGCAACCTCTGCTTCGTGCACCAACCACGCGGCATCCGATAAGACACTCATGATATGACTGGAAAGTAAATGTATCCCGGGAGGTCTAAACGAAGCTTGGTAACTATCCGGAGGGACATATTGATATACCCTATCTGAGATGGCCCCCGAATGATGCAAACGGGCAAGGATCTGAAACACATGAGACATAGCCAACTTCGATTCGTTGGGAGACGCATCGGCAGCATCAAGCACGATGGAGCCCAAGCCCTGCCAGACCTCGGCCATGAAACGTCTCGAATGATCGTCTGCGAATGGCCGCTCGGTGAAGGCATCGAGACTCGTCAGGTCCGATGATTGTGGCCGATTGGGAACTTGCGGGAGTTTCAGGGCCGGTTCCACAGTCCTACTAGTGAGCTCGTCAAGCGAGAGCCCAGAGTCCAGTCCCCAGTCATAGTTGGACAAAGGCTGAAGGGGAAGAGAAACCTCCTTGAGAGAGTCTGCGGCATCAAGGAGTCGGTTGATCAAGAATTGTACAGCAGACCAATTATTCAACCGAAATCCGACATAGGTAAGAAGGTCGAGTTTACCCGCGTCCCGCGCATGCAGTAGCAAGTTGGACAATTCGATGGTCTGCGCAAAATATGCAGCGTCGGTCCGTTCCGTAGCGTGAGACTGCGAGTCCGAAACGTCGTCGTCAGCGCATCTCCGCAACGATGGCGGCAGGTACTGTTCCAATAGCGCGACCCAGGCCTCTGAATTGCCCTGTTCGGGTCCAGAGACAGGACATCTTTTCATTTCCATCCTAACATAGCTTTGTAGCAACTGTCGATTGATCGGGGGACCAGCCCCGACGGAGAACTGGCGACTCCATTGTCGCCTTTCGGGGAACGGTCCCCGGCTCGAGAACCCGGTGCGAAGGGGGGCACGAAACGACAGGCGACGAAGAATCGAAGGGGGAGGGCGGATCAAGGAAGACCGGCGGTCCAGGCACGGCAGACGGGCTGGACACAGGCACCTTTTCATGACACGACGGAGGACCTGGCGGAGACCTGCGGGCGGAGGAATTCCAAATCTCGATGTGACCGTCGGACGGACGTTCTGTGGCGCATGTCTAATAGTTGAGGTAATTCCGCATATCTCGATCTGGGCAGACAAGGCGCAACCTGGCGAAAACCAGTGACTGGGGGCTGTTGGAAGGAAGCTCTGGATTCTGGCTGTCGAAAAGCTTCGCGGAGAAAATGATCCTGCTGAGTCAGCGCTTACCATCCAGCCAATCATTGCCTCGATATTTAGTTCACGGATGACCGGGCTTGACTAGCCTTCTCCGTACTAACTACACTACGGAGTATCCTAATCGCTGCCGGTATATCCAGTATGGCAGATAATAGCGCGAGATTCAAGGCAGCTCAGGGTAGAGTATTCGCGCGATCCTCAGGATAACAGTAAGGAAACAATTGACTCACTCAAGCCACAAACTACTGCTTCTCATAGATGTACCCGAGTAGAAAGAGCCTGGCCATTGGTTGGTAGATTAGGCTTGGCTGGCGAGCCAGGGTGACATAAGGCATGATTGTCACTGAGTTACCTTGTATTGTTCTGCCTCTGCGTCTACCCTGATTGTTCACCTAGTATATCGCGTACCTATTTTCTCCAAGAACAATGATGAACTTGTTGTAGTTGGCTCGCTACGAGAATCAGTCCCATGCGCTGCAAAGGTTCCAAGTAACAGTGGCATTCAATGAAGGCTCTAGAAAATAACTAGAAGATGATTAGGATCCACCCTGATTAGATGTAACGAAGTGGCTTCGAGCAAGACAGGCGTTATCTACCCATGAATGTGTAAGTGGAATGGTGCCTGTTATGGTCAAGGTCGAAAATCCAGCCATGAATCATCGTAGAGCTCCTTGGCTGTTGGACGCTCTTCTGGTTCCCAGCGAAACATTCTCCTCACAAAGTCTAGGAAGAGTTTTTTGTCCTCCCCATGGAGAAACGGCGTGGCGTTTGAAAGATTGAATTCCTCTGGTGGGATGAGACTCGGGAACTTGAAATCCCCTAACGTAAGACTTAGTACCTGGCATGTAAGAGCTACAGAATATAATACCTTGGCTGGAGAAATATCGGGAACAAACGCCCTCATCAGCCCTGGCCAGTAGTTGTTTGGAAGGCGGACCCAGCAGACGAATCATTTGAGCTATGTGAGCTGCCCGGGAATAGGTGTTGCCTGTTGGGTCTAGCCCATTGAACAGAACTTCATCCGCAAGGAGCTCCCATAGCTTCCCAGAAAACGAATATCAGTGTCATGTGTATACGTCTTTCTCGAGGCATTTACCATGGTGCCCAAGTTCCATATATCCGCGCTGTATGTCCATGTCGCTTTCAAAAGTACCTCTGGTGCGCAAAAGGGTTGAGGCTGAATATCATGATTGTGAGGTACTGAAACTCTACCAGAAACAGCAGAGCTGAAGTCACTAATATGAACCAGACCTACCCCTTTTCTCAGGTATCCAAAGTCAGGGCGAAACTGAAATACAGGGCGGCCACCGCCATCCTTGAATGGAGCAGGATCACTTTCCTGCTGACGGACATAAGTCTCAAGGACGGTAGAGTCTTCAAATCCCAGAAGAAAGTTGTCTGACTTGAGATCTTGACTGAGCTAGCAAAGAAAATGCTAGATACGAACAAGTTCGAAGTCTACCTGTGTGTATGATGTTGCACTCCGAATGGAGGAATTCAAGGCCTAGAAGCAATGATTTTTAAAAGGGCTTCAAAACAGCCGAAGGTACACCGTTGCTCCCAAGGTGCTTTCCCAAAAGCCAGAGTGGTTCCCTTAATGGTTCAAACACCAGGCATAGATGATTTCCTAGCCGGCCTTGGATCTCAAAGGACTCCTTTACTAGCCGGACATATCTTCTACCCTCGTGGCTAGATCGCAGACGAGATATTTGTTGCGACATCTCTACTTCTTCATGCGCAGATTTCTGTTCTTCTTTGCCACGATTGGTGATTTTCAAGGTCACATATCGATTCGACTGCCACATCCAGCTTCATGAAGTTAATAGAGATGTATCCGAGAGATGTTCAAACTAACCGAGTCACGTCTTTAGCCAACCAAGCGGTAGAGTTGGTACCCCAGCAAAGCTTTGAGATGATGCGGTATCGGTTGCATATGGTCTCTCCGATACGAGCAGGATAGTATGTCTTGGGATCATACTACGGACTTTGATCCTCCTCTCGGATGAAGGGGGAGGGCATGGATCGTGGAGCCGATGCCTTGTGATTTGACGAGAAGACTCGTGCAAATTTAACAGGAACTCGACGGTAATAAAACATTTAGACGGAGGAAGATTGGGATGGAAACCTGGGTCACTATACAATTACTCTATCAGGCCGCCCTGAGACCGGGGATCGGAGGGGGACCATGATTTTCCGTGCGCAGAAGGCCACCCCAGCCCCCAAGGTGGAGTGCGCAATACTGCAGTACATTCCACTTGTGGGAGAGACGGGGATAAAAAATCCAGCACGATAGGGTTTGGATATATGGAACATGTTGGTGAAAGGCAGTTTATGTACACTCCCACGTCTAGTAGCAATATCAACACTAATGGTGCATTTCAACGACAAAGGTATCATCAGCAAGGTAAAAGCCACAACCCAACAACCAAAGGTAACCATAACAAGAATGTCCAAGCAGCTAGCTCCAAATAGCGCCCCAGTGATAGACAACTGACACCAGTAGAATGAACCAAAGCCTTAAGTATTTGCCTCTCGAGAGCCTGAACATATGCATCCCTCCACTAGCCGTTGCGTTCGGCCAGAAAGGAGGACTGCCCGCCAGATATATCGCACCAAACTCCTTGCCGCAATCATCAATTATCATACTCGGACCATCGTCGTCGCGTAGCGAAGAACATGTGGTGTCATGACACGTCCAACAGGCCTGCCGTGCTCCCGTTGACTTCAAAGCTCCTCGACTTCCATTTCAACGTCCTCATCGGCAAACTGCATGTCACCTCCTAGTTCCTGCTCGACTTCATCGACAACAAAGCTCTCGTAGTCTTCAAGGCCTTTCTGGACATGAACCTTGAAGCGGATCACGTCGTTCAGCATGCTTTCCACATTCGTGTGCAGCTCTTCCCGCAACGCATTGGCGCGGAGCGTCAGTTGTTCGTACTCAATATTCGTATTCATCTCACGCTGCTCCATCAACTGAACGCTTTCGCTCAATGTGGCTCGCATCTTAGCCAGCTCCTTCTCCATCTTCTCAATCTGTGCATCGGAAGCAAGCTTTTGTGTCGTGGTAATCTCCTTGAGCCGTTCGAATTCCTCTTCAGCGGCACGTCGCTTATGCTCCAGAGCCTCAACCTCGCTTCGCTTCTCGTCCATTGCTTCTTTGATATTGTCCAGAAGATTGCGTCGTTCCAAGTCGTCATCAATGGCGCGTTTCCGGCGTTCGTTGATCTCCTTTCTGAGAGACTGAAGATTGCTGCGCACGATGCCACGGAGATCTAGGTTCAGCAAGTGGGCTGGATGATAACCAGTGAATGGTTCTGCTAACAGTCGGTCTCCCTCTGGAGAGATCCGGTTTGGCATGCCGCCGATCTGCGAGGAGGAGAAATTGCTTTCATTGACGTTCAGACTAAGCTCGAACTCCTCGCCCTTGGCATTGACCGCCGACGAAGGAATCAGGCTGTTCTGGTATCCGAGGGTGTTGTAGGCTTTGACAATCTCTTCCAAATCCTCCAGCTTCTTACTGGCTTCGGCTTCTTTCGCCATGACTCGCGCGTGCGTTTCTTCCAGCCGATTAACAGTATCGTCAAGACTCCTCTGCAGGCGTTCACGTTCCGTATTCATACGATCGATATCCTGGATAGTTAGACCTTGTTGATCCACGCTGGCCTGAAGTCCAGACCGCTCCTCTTCGGCGGCTAGCAAGTCTGCCTCGGTCTTCTTGAGCTCGTCATCCAAGAATTTGATACGATTATCGTATTTCTCGATCTTGCCCTGAACATTCTGGTTATAGTCTTCAAACTTTCTTTTGTCGTCTTCCAAAATCCTGAAATGCTTGTCGAGCTTGGCCATGTCCGGGGCATTTTTCTCCATCTCTTCGATCTGGTCGCGTAGTGCTCGGTTCTCTGCTTCAAGAGACTCCATCTCACGCACATATTTCTCATTACCCTTTTCAAATTCCTGAGCCATCATCTCGACGTGGGGGACTAGCCTCCTCTCGGCGGTTTCGTCGTCTTCATCCTCCCCGCCTTGTAGCCAGTCATGGTAGGCACTTGTGAGAAAACGGTAGATAATACGGTCACCTGACACATCTACCCCCATCTCTGCGCAAGCCTCGTCATACTCTCCAAGCACGTATCTATCCATCATCTGCGCCAGTTGCATCAACCAATGCAGCATACCGAGGAATGTTGGCCAATTTTGACCACCAACGGCCGCGATCTGTGATTTGGTAATGCCCTTTTCATAGGGATAGCGTAGTTGCTTGAGGATCGGGGGAACTTCCGCATCCATGGCCTTCAGGAACCGGTACCCGGGATCAATGCGATGGTAGAGCCACTGGAAGATGAAGTTGAAGTCCTTCTGAGTTGGGGACCTCAAAGTATTCTGCCCCAGGGAGTGCTTCATCTCGAGCTCAAAGTTGTTGTGCGTCAAGTATTCCAAGAGCTCTTGTCCGATGCGGGCTTGAAAAGACCGATCCCTGAGTGGTCGCGGATCCCTCGGTACACCAGCCACTGTAGGGACCTGGGTGAAGAAAGATTGATGACCCATGGCACCGCCCATAGAGGGCCTTGAGAAGACGCTACTCCTTCGCTGCAGTCCCTGCGATGCTGCATTTGACGACGACATGGACCCTGGAGCAATGCTTTGGCGCCCGACGCTGGGCCCATGGAAGATGTTACTAGACACGGAGCGCCTGACCGACGAGAGGCCGGCATCGGCACCCAATCCCCCACCGGAAGAAGACCGCTGGAAGTTCGGCTGTTGAGGGCGACTGGCCGAGTTGAGAAGCGACATGCGGTGCTGTGAAGAGAAAGGAGGGTTTTGGTATCCGATTGAACTGGTGCGCTTCAGGGCGGAGGAGGGCTGCGGAAGAGCAGAGTAATTCTGGCTACCCATTGCCATGGACTGTACCGCTAGGTTAGGATGATTGTAGAGGGGCTGGTCTGAAAAAAGAAGGTACATGCCTCCCGGGGTCGCCTGATACTGAACAATCCTGTATCCTGCGACATGATGACGGAGAGCCGCGACTGCGGCTGCCAAACTCAAGCGCAAACTCTCAAAAAATGGCAGGATGGCAGCGTAAGTGCGCCTTGTACCCAAAACCGAAGATACGCGATGCAGCGCAAAGCTGAAGATCGGGTCGCAATAGGAGACGGGAGAGTTTGGAGGCAGTAGCAACCGAGCGGGCCATCATAATAATCATGTAAACAAGACATGCCACTTTCGGCTCAGAACAGCAGGCGGTGGGATACCGGGAACAACAGATGGGCCGAGGGGATCACTTGCCGGATCGGGCACTCGGAATCACGAGACTCTGGGGAAGCCTCCGCCGCGGTACGAAACCATGTAATTACCAGCGGAAGTTCCGACCGAGGTCCATCGCTCGCTCGCCGCCGGTGCTCTCCATCGCCTCCTCATCCTCCTCTTCTCCTCATCGTCCCTCTACCTCGTGATTCCTCTCCCAACAGCCCTCCGCGCTTGATTCAACCTCCTCCTACCCAGTCAGAGCCAGAGCTCCTGGGGAACCCGCCATCATGGTTCGCGAGGAGCTTATCTCCTCTGCTGTAAGTCTTGCGTTTATCTGTGATATCCTGGCGCCGGAGTCGGAGCTGACCCTCATGATTGATCGCTAGGTCACTTGTGCGTACTCAATGCATCCCTGATAGTGTTGATCGATGTATTTGTCTAATACTTCAGCAGTTCTTCAAGACCAATCCGTGGCCGCCTCTCCGATTGAGAAGCGAGTCGCATTTCTCCAATCAAAGAACCTGACGAAAGAGGAGATCGATGTCGCTCTATCTCGGGCAGGTGAAGATCCATCTACGGCAGCGGCCGTAGCCGCAACATCTAGCTATCAGCCAGCTCCCCAACAAGCCATCTACCGACCCCCTCCCCCATCTGCTCCAGGCTATGGCTATCCTCCATATGGTCAATGGCAGCCTCCGCCAGAGTGAGTTTCTTTTTGCCAGGCTTATAAGGTAGTGGGCTAACTTTATGTCGCATAGGCCGCCGAAACGGGACTGGCGTGATTGGTTTATCATGGCCACGGTGATGGGAGGAGTAGGATACGGACTTTACACTATTACCAAGGTCGGTGTCTCTATCTGTTCATTGATCCATATATTGACATATCTTCAAGCGATACATCTCGCCATTAATCGCACCCCCGACTCCACCCCAGCTAGAACAGGATAAAGAGCACATTGATGAGCAATTCAATCGTGCGTTTGCCCTAATTGAACAGCTTTCCACAGATACCGCAACCCTGAAGTCGGCAGAAGAGGCGCGAACTGAACGGCTGGATAGCGCTTTAAGGGAGGTAGAGAACCTCGTCACTGACATGAAGAATGCTTCCCGACGACGAGACGATGAGACCCGTCGCATCAGCGATGAGGTCAAGTCATTGAAAGATGCGATCCCTAAGGCACTGGAAGGTGCTCGGGAAGGCAACGAGACACGGTTGAAGGAGCTTGGTGCTGAGCTGAAGAGCCTGAAGGTCTTGCTGGGCAACCGACTTGGTGGCAGCGGCAACGGTGCCAGCCCTCCTACTCCTGGACGATTCAGTGGTGTTCCCCTGCCTAGTGCTTCTCGACCCGCGGAGGAGTCGACCCCTGCTGCGACCAACGGTGCGCCCGCAGTGCCCGCAGCCGTGTCCACCGAGCAGACTCAATCGGCACAGCCGAGCCCGAGCGCCAGCGCCACCTCGCTGAGCAACAGCCCTCTGTCGCACTTTGGCCGTTCCGCATCCATCCCAGCGTGGCAGATGGCCGCGTCTAACCGATCCAAGACTGCTTCTCCCTCGACTCCTTCCACCAGCACTCCAGACAACACGGCTAGCGCGGCGACTGAGCAGAGCGCCCCGGCCAGCTGAGCAATCTAAATGCTCGGTTTCTTCAGCTGAATGTTTATCTGTGTCGATGTAATTAGACGGAGGTGATAACACGAACTTTACGCATGATACGTCGGCGTTCCTGATGGGGTGTATATTATGTAGCACGTGAAAGAACTACATGTCGCAAAATCGAGGCTACCGAACATGTGAATACAGCTCATTCTCGGCCAGGCCTGACTACGTACTCCGTAGTACTATGTAGTTACATCTTTTAATAAGCTCAAGAAATACTCCCAAACATAAACCACCAGAGGAGTAAATCACACTAGATCAGTCGATGGCCAATCCGCCGCAACAAAAAGCTTGGCACTGGCATCCCGAACCATCGCCGACGTCAGTCTACTTACTTTCTCCGTTCACCAAATCACCTCCAACAACAACAACCAACCCACCACTCCCAATCCCAATGGACACACACCGAACAGAAAGGATGTCCTCCCGCGACCACCATCCCGACTCCCGCTCCCACAGAGACCGCACCCACACCCGCTCCCGCACGCGCTCTCGCTCCCCGACCACCACCACCTCCCGATCCGACCGCCACCGCAGCAGCAGACACCATCACCACCATCGCCATTCCCATCACCGCCACGACCGCTCTCGAGACCATGACCGTCACCGTCGCGATCGCCATGCCTCGCGCCAACAAGCAGATCCAGCACCAGCGCCAGCACCGGCCCCCGTGATCCTCCCGTTCCAGGCGCGCGAACTCACGAAATATGATCTGGAGCACTATGCACCCATGTTCGATATGTATTTGGATATTCAGAAGGGGATTGTTTTGGATGAGTTGGCGGAGGAGGAGGTGAAGGGGCGGTGGAAGAGTTTTATGAAGAAGTGGTATGTTATTAGATGATTTTTTTTATTGGATAGGAAAGGTGTTGACATGGGTGTCAGGAACCGGGGAGAATTAGCAGAGGGTTGGTATGATCCTGCTACGTTGGATAAGGCGAGGAAGAGTGTTGCGCAGATGCAGACGAATACTCGTCGGGGTGGATCGCAAGGGGATGAGAGGGGGAATGGGGATGGGAATGAGGAAGGGCCCGAGGAAGAGGAGGAGGAGGACAACGATGACGATGAATATGGACCTATTCTGCCCACTGGTCGAAGCGGAGGATATTCTTCGGGCCCTACGATACCCACTATGCAGGATTTGGAGCTGCGGAAGGGTATGTTACCTACCTACGGGGATTTTTCGACCAGTGGGGGATGGAGGAGCTAACAAGGAACAGAACTCGCAGCAGAAGACGCCGTCGCTGCACGCCTGGACTCGCGCGCCCAATATCGCAGCGAACTACGCTCTCATAAGTCGGAAGTCCGACACATGCAGGAGGAGGTAGCGCCGCGTGCAGAACCGGGGACTCATGAACGGCGCATGGAGAAGCGACAGGAGGCGGCGGCGAGTAATCGGGCTTTTGCGGAGGCGAAGCGCGGGGGATCACCAGAAGCAGCGCCGGAGGAGGAGCTGATGGGGTCGGGGGAGAATGATTTGGAGGGGTTCAAGAAGGCCAGGGAGAGGGAGCAGCGGAAGAAGAATGAGCGCGAGATTCGGAGGGAGGAGATGCTGAGGGCGCGGGCGGCGGAGCGCGAAGAGAGGTTGCAGCAGTATAGACAGAAGGAGGAGGAGACGATTGGATGGTTGAAAACGTTGGCGAAGCAGAGGTTTGGATAGACTTCTTGGATGGTTGGTGTAGTTCTATCGTGCATTGGGTCTGCTGGTCTTAGGGTCAACCACTGGGAAACCAAATAGAATACGGGCCGCGATACTTCATGCCCAGGTCGCAACGGGTGAAAGGTTATATTCACACAATGGCGATCCCCATGGTGAAATGATGTTTCGAGTGTATCCCATATTGCATGCCCTCCTCGCCACGGCGTCAGCCAATGTCAATAATCAAGCCCCCGCGAATCTGGTTTACCTTATTCAACCGGCGGCAAGGGTTTGCTCCGTCTCTGGTACCAGAGCCAACCACAGCAATGGAGTCTGCTCTGTTGACACCCCCCATTCCTGTACAGGATCAACTCGGCGGCTCTGCAAATGCTCGCTATGGCCAGGAAGGTGTACCACTCAAGCGAACCACCTTTCCCCCTTGTTAGGACTTGTTACTGAACTATAGCAAATGGCGCTTACCTCGGCGGGCACAAAAGCGAAGTCCATGCCCTTGCAATTTATTAGAAATGTGCCCTGTACAGCTGCAGTTGGTATCACAATTGTCTGATCAAGTTCACTTTAGCAGTGCGTTGGGGTCCCCAAGCCATTCGATCCTGAGTATATCTATTGAAACGATCATTCTCCGGGGTTCCCGCACGGGCAAATTCATTTGTGCATTGCTTTAGGACCGTTGGTTGTATTGCTTCCCTACAGATATACGAGTTCAGGCTGCATACTATGTGCTACTTTAGGGCTTGGTGCACCTGGAATTTCTTGCGTTGTAACTATAGAGTAGACGCCTTCACCCACTGGGCACTATAATTGAACCTGAACGACCTCCATCCTTTGCACCCTCTATGCTCGCGAACCGGAAATACCACGCTGCCAATCAACAATGTACCTTTTGGCGCACAACACCAACCTACTCTAGGCTCTAAGCCATCATGTACAGGTGCGTCTCGAACAGCAGCCAGAAGCACCAAAGCTGTGACAAATATGGTTACCTGGGACTAAGTACGATGACCCCATCTACAGGCGGGGTAGAGCGCTTGGGGTCTTTGGAAAGATGGACTATCGAGACGTGATTGAATAGACCACTAGTCCAGCACGGTCATGGCATGCTCGCGAGTGTGATATCGAAATACAGCACACAGTTTTTCCATGCCATTGGCCGTTTCAAAACGCTTGTGCATCCTGGCATTCTGCTTAGCGGCGCAATTGACTTCCGCCTTGTTTCACCATGATCATCTGGGCTCCAGAGAATGTGGCAGGCGCAGGAGCTGTCTTGATGGGCGCCTACACAGTCCGCCCCGGGCCGGAACTACGGTGGCCCGAGTGGCAGCCTCGGGGATCCGCGCGCTCAACCGCCGTCACATCACAGGGGGCCACTCATCTTCCCTTCACCCACTACACCTCCATCATCATCATGTCTCAGCCTGCGCAGTAAAGCAGCCTTTTTTGAACCGACTCCGCTGCGGCCCCTTGGCTTTTCTTAACATTTTAAACCCATGAATAATGTGTCGACCCCCGCCTACACGTCCTTGGTGCTATATTCAAAGTATAAAATTAGGCCCGAAGCAACACTGCCGGTTAATCTCGAACTCTCCAAAGCGACCCCATAATCACTGTTCCATCAGCATGGACTCCCCTCAGACAGGTAGGCGTGCCCACTCGGTTGCAACATAATGTATTGCTCATCAATGTTAGACTGGAATTCCAACGACGAATTCTTCAAATTCACGCGTGGTCGCTTTATTGTAGACGAGTCGGAGAATCTCCGAAAGCGAGAGATCAGATTTGACCTGAATAGACTCGCAAGTGTCGCTGCTGAGTCAGTCGGCGCAGCTCGATGCATCTCCATCGAAAAGTACCCCGACGGCATGTTCAACAAGGCATATCTCATGTCCATGGACGATGGTCAGGAAGTCGTCGCCAAGGTGCCGAACCCGAATGCCGGCATCCCACACTTTACTACTGCCAGTGAAGTCGCCACTATGGACTTCGTGAGTTTCCTCCTGAAGACCATCATTACTGAGTCCTGCTAACGCGACTAAGTTGGGAGGCCAGAAAAGTTCTTGGCACCCCAGCGCCTCGTGTCTACTCATGGAACTCGCATGCGAGATCGCACCCAGTTGGGGCCGAGTTCATCATCATGGAGAAAACCGAAGGTGTTCCGCTGTCTCAAGTCTGGGACACGCTGAAACTACCTCAGAAGCTTCAAATCCTTCTTGCCATGACACGTCTTCAGAAGCAATGGCTGAGTGTCTCATTCTCGCATTACGGTAGCTTGTACTACGCGCGAGACGTGCAGCCACCGGCAGGCAGTCACTACGTCAAGGATGGCGAGGCCGTCAATGACTCGGAGTTTGTCATCGGCCCTGCTACAGGCCGGGATTGGTTTGATGCCGGCCGATCACTTTTGGATATCGAGAGAGGGCCATGTATGTCGCGGCACGTAATCATTTTTACGCGATCGCTGACAAATTTGCAGGGGCTTCTTTGACGCAGTACCTCCAAGCAGTTGGAACGCGCGAGACAAAAGCAATCCAAGCTTTGAACCCCCCCAAGCAAATCGCCTTGTTTCGTGGCCCAAAGCTTTACCAACCAGACGCAGAGAAGAAGCTTACTGCTCTAGCATGGTATCAACAAATTGTGGATGCCCTTATTCCAAAGGACACTGCCATGACTAACCCGCGCCTTTGGCATAATGATTTGCATGATGACAACATCTTCGTGGACCCTCAAAACCCCGAAAAGATTACGGGGATCATCGACTGGCAGTCCTGCCATATCTCGCCGCTCTTTAACCACAATCCTGATCCGGCCTTCCTCCACTGGGATGGCTCAGAGCCCGAGACGCTCGACCTGGTACCAAGGCCGAACCTCTCCGAGCTTTCCCCAGAAGAAAGGTCTGCGGCCGTGCGTGAGTATACCATACATAATGTGTTCATCGGATGGCGTAAACTCATGCACGCCAAGAACCCCGACCTGTATCGAGTGGTCAACTTCCGAAAGACGCCAGCGTATGGACTGATATTTCTCGCCCACCGCATGTTCGAATACGGCGAGGCGCACTTCCAATCGCTTCTAGTGGATATGGAAGACACCTGGGGAGAGTTACCTGCTATAACCAGCGACGTCCCATTCCCGGTCCACTTTTCGGACGCGGAGATTGAGCGGATCAAGCGGGACAGCGATGGCGCGGTAGCAGGGACCGAACTGGTTGCAGAGGTCAAGGAACAACTGGACGATTTGTGGCCGGATAAGGGGTTCATTGAGCACGAGCGATACGATGATTGCAAAGCTGCTCTTCACGAAATCAAGAATCACATCTTGGAGCAATTGGCCGAAACCGATGAGGAAAAGGCGGTGTATGAGCGCTATTGGCCGTTTGACTGATCTCTAGCGAGTCATATGGCTGTATATTTTTTAAAAATTTGGCGCTCAGCTAAACATGATGATGGTGTTCCACCAACTTCTCAACTTTTATGGGGGGAGGTCTACTAAGTGCCCATGCACTGGACAATGCCGGTCAACGCTGCCAGCGCACTGTGCGGCACTCCTCAACTTGTGAAAGGACGCGAATCTTCGAAAGTCTGGGTGTCGAGGTGACATTGAAACCAAACGATCCTTGTTTTCGCCCGTAGGGCAAGCAGACAAGATATCCAGATTGTAGAGGGAGAACTTCAACCCTTGACGCAAGGGATATGCAGTCTTGTATTTTCTGCTCTGTAGCTTTTATCAATGGACAGAGTAGGGTTCTCATTCAAGACTTTTGAGTACATCTTGAGCAATCTCATGTCCTCGGAGCGTTTGAATGGAGCAGCTAGGGAGTTCTTATGTTGAATATAATAGAATGGCTCACTCTTTCTTCTACTACATGAACAACATCTCTACTACTGCCATGCGCAAACCAAAACCAGCCTTGTTGTATTGTATGAAATAGTAACCATTTTTCTTTTCCATATTCCCCCACCTTCCAACCAACTCCAACTTTTAGTCATCTCTACTGTCTAACAAACAAATATCCCCAAAACGCCCTCTACCCCATCCTACCCATCACAGTTACCTAATTCTTCCTCCCCAGATCCAAATCCGCCACCAACTTCATCATCTCCGTCCCCTTGGACTCCTTCCCCCCCAGCCCAAAGAACGGCTTCACAGCCACATCCACCGTCTCCTCAAACAACCTACCCACGACCGCCTCCTTCAGATCCTCCCCGGTTTGCGCGAAATCCGGATACGCATTCAACTCCAACAACCACGCGTTTCCAGCCTTATCGACAAGGAAATCGACCCCGAAGAGCTCGAACGCATTCGGCAAGGTCTGGAAATGCACCATCATGCCCCGGGCCGCGGCCTCGAAAATCTCCCCCGTGACGGCGCAGATCTGGTCGAAGACATTCTGTTTCCAGTGGCAGGTAAGACCGGGGACATAGTCTTCGAGTTGCCAGAAGCGACGGACGCTGTCTTTGTTGGAGCTGCCGCCGTCTTGGAAACAGGTGTTGGTGAGGTGGCGGGCGAGATCTTTGACTTCGTCTTCGTCTTCGTAAGGGGGACAGTAGGGTTTGGCGGCGAAGAGGGCGAGCATTTCCTTGAAGACGTAGACTTTGAGGGAGCCGACGGCGAGGACGTAGGTGCGGATGTGGAATTTGCGGTTGTGCGAGGAGGGGATGAGGAGGGGTGGGTCGATGTAGGGTTGTGCGATGAAGTGGCGGAGTTGGGAGGTCACTACGCCGTTGTTGTTGTTGTTGTTGTTGTCGTCGTCGTCGTCGGGGTTGTTTTCGGGTTCTGGTCGCTCGGAGCCGCTCTCGTCGTCGGAGTCGTCCACTTCCCATTCTTCGAAGATCTCGCGGAGTCCGTCTTCGCTGTTGAAGAGGCGGATGCCTTGGCCGCGGTCGCTCATGCCGGGCTTCAGGATCCACCATTCTTTTTCTTCGTCGGGTCGGGTCTCGTTCTTGTCGAGGCTGTCGCGGAGTTCGTAGGCCTCAAGGAGGGCGTCGTCGAGGAATTCGGCGTAGTCGAGCTCGAAGTCGAAGGCGAATTTGAAGTGCTTGGCCAGGACGCTCTCCGGGTGTTTGGTGACCCAGTTGGTGACGGTGTTGGAGAGGTAGTGCTTGCGGATCAGCGCTTTGCGGATGATGTAGGCGTTGGCGAGAGAGGTCGAAGAGTGCACCATGACGTGTTCGAACTCCAGGCGTTCGTATTCACGATACTGGAAGACCGGCGTGGTGCGAGAGGGAAGGTCGGACAGAGAGGAGATTGCTCGACATTGACCATTTCCAAGACGTTGCTGGAGCGCCCGCTCCATCAGACTTTGGACATAAGAGTCGTCGCTGTCCACAAGAGTATAGAATGTAGGCTCAGTATTATTATCCGGTCTACATGAGATGGATCTATCAGAATACCAGCCAACACAGACAAACCAAGAGCAAACAGGCAGAGGGGAGAAAGCCACGCGCGCGATGCATAAACTAGCTTGGATATCTGACAGACGCGCAAATTCTATGTTATATGCAACCACGTTGTAGACTCAGCATCGTTCCACTCACAGCGTAATCTCCCCTTGGATGCCGGGTGTATGCATGAAATTGGCCTTCAACGGCGTAACACTGCGGCGCATTAGCAAAGAAGGATAGCAGAGTGATCGGGTCGCGACAAACCTGGTCATTCCCTCCTTCACCGTCCAACCGTCGTTTCCAGGCGCACTCTCGTCAACACTTCTATACACATCCGTGAAGTTTGGCGACCATTCAAAGTGCTTGTGAGGAATGCGAGACCTCTTCACCGAAGCGGCTCCATCCACAGTCTGGTGTCGGACATCATGCTCCTGCTGCTCTGGCGTAGCGGTTGATGCAGAGGCATCGACCGCGCGGAAGCAGCTGCCTGACGACCACCGGTTATCGAGCATGTTGGTGTACAACACCTTGCTCTCACTCACACCGGGCTCGAGCGGGACATTGACGGTATACAGATCCACACCGTCCGTCCAATTCTGGTGGAGGTACTCGATCAACCGAACGGAATGGCGGGATGCCTCGGCGATGACAATGGGGTCATGGTCGCGGGAGCTAAAGGCGTAGGAGAGGGCAATCGCATGTTTCCCGCAGACAGCCGCCTCCATCGCACCACCGATGGTGCCACTCGACATGGCGAACAGCGCCGTTGTATTGCGGCCATAGTTGGGACCGGACACCACGAGGTCAACCGGACCCCGATCCTGGAAGTAGTGGTACAGGCCGATCTGGACACAGCTGGCGGGCGTGGAGTTGACCAGAATCCATTCATCTCCATCGTAGTTTTCATCGTCGCCCTCGTTCATGCCATGGGGGAATTCGTGGGTAGTTCCATCGTCCTGGTGAAGAGTGCCCGGACGGAAATAAGTCGGCTTCACGGCGGCCCCAATCAGGTGGGCTTTACCGATCCAGGATCGTTGCTGGTGCGGCAGAACGACCGACACGGTGTGTCCGGCGGATTGCAGCGATTGGACGAGGGAATGGATGTATGGGGAGGACTGGTTGGACGGCGGACCGTCATCGTTGACAACCTATGAAAGAACGAGGGTCATCAGCATGGTGCTCCCAAGGGAGCACGGTAGAGCAAACTTACTAAGATATGCATTGCGTCTGGCTGGAGCGAGGGGACGTGAGGAGAGAAAGTTGGCGGAGGGGCAGAACAGCGAAGACTAAAGAGTTGGGCGGCCGACCGTTTCCCCGCTCTTATCGATAACTCCTACATCGGAGCCGCTGCTTCGTGGCTCATCCACGCTAATTCGCTCGTCATTCAGCTGCGCTATGTACTACTTGGGGTATCTCTAACTAAAGGAATGACTACTACATGGCCTCCTAGCCCTGCCCCTATGCCTGGTTGTCTCGGAAGTGATGGCTTCGTCGTCTTTGCACGCCTCGGGCATGAGCACTCTCCACCGCCGTGCCAATGCCAGCAGCCCCCGAAGGCCCTTCGCCTCGGTCCTCTCGCGAGTCCTCTTCTGCTTCTGCTTCTGCTTCTGCCAATGCCTCACTTTCCTCTTCCTTTACCGCCTCCTCCTCTTCCTCTTCCTCCTTTACCTCCTCTTCTTCCGAGTCTTCATCCCTCTTGATCTTGGGTGCCTTGCTGGACGATTCCGGTATCTCTGCAGGGAAGATCGGCTCGTCATCCTCCTCAGCCTTGATGGGTGTGCCACTGCGATCCTCCGCCTTGACAACAGCCCGAGGCGGTTCACCACCGCCGCTCAGAAGCGTAGCCAGGATGACCCACACGACTCCCGCCGAGACCATGGAGACACTCCAGAACAAGCACCCAAAGACGACAAATGACGTGAGTCTCCAATTATACATCACCCACCTAACCGTCCTGTTAGCTTCAATCAAACCAGAAAAGCGACCCGTAAGGGAACCAGAATCATACCGTAATCCCGTGAACCGCGCCCTGAACATCACCTTGGCCTTGTACACTTGCATTGTCTCAGAGCTATGGATCTCCAAGCGCAAGCTATCCGGTAGGTTACGCCATCCGCGAGCAAACTGAACCCGTTCCATCATCGGCACCTGCAGTGTTTCCGCTTCTCGGTGCCATCCTAGCACGTAAAAGGGCATGAAGGAGAGTTTGCTAGCAGTGTCCACCAAGGGCGACGCGTATGTAAGGATCGCAGGACGGCGCGATTGGGAGAGGGCGGCCACCGAGGTATTCAAGCCCGTTTCGGCGGACGCAGATGGGCGGGAGAGGAGGGCCAGATCGAGCATGAAATTCCCCGCGGCGAGGTTGGAGGGTGTCCGTGGTAATTCGAGTTCCACCTGCACGTCGTATGGCTGGGACGAAACCAGGCCGGAACCTAGTGATGCGGTTCCCCAAGGGTATCCGTCGCTAATGAGCCAGAGCGCAATACATTAGCCTTAAACAATTCCCTGATGACAGTAGACATCCCCACGTGGACACCGGTGCTTGCGCGACTCACCCAAACTGCAAGTGTACAATGCGTTCGAGGCCGACCTGGGGAATGAACCGGTAGTAAAAGATCCCGTACGCGACGGTCGAGATGAAGATCATGAAGATGGCCGTAAACAGAAAGATAATGATGCCCAAATATGCCTTGAGAGCTCGCTTCGACACGAACGGACGGACGGTGGCTGCCATTGAGTGCTGTGTTGGGGAGGCTCGTTAGTCCCTTCTCCGGCCGGTCTGGAGTAGTGGAGGGATAGTCACCATGGCCCGTGATGCGAACCCGCTGGAGGGATCGGCTTCACCTTTTCCATATCCCGTGTCCATTGTGCCTGAGCGCGTTCTGGCGGAATGGTGGTGGTAGGAGGTGGAAAGGCAGCACAACGGTCGTGAAGAGGGACGGATCGCGTCGACGTCACCGACAGACCGCAAGCGCAACCGGCGGAGAATCTCCCCGACGCCGATCCTCCTCGGCAGCTTCCCAATTCCAACTTCTTCACTCCCCTCGGGAAATGCGCCATGGTTCTACGGGGCTCGAGGCACAGATACTCGTGGACTCGTCTTTTTATAGCTCAGCTTATCGTTACAGACTACCGGAGAGGTAGGTGGAATGGAAAACACCAACATGAAGCGTAAGAGACAGGCAAAAAGGAACAAGATATAAGCACCATGTAGCGTTGGACCATGCTAACACGTCCTAATATGCATACCCCTCCCAGAAACCCAACCGAAACAATGAGAAATGATGTGGAACAGTACAGCATGCCAACGGAAGATAAGAAAATGAAACTGGAAAAAAGAAACCCTTCAAATCATACACCCCGGTAAAGACCCGTATTTTCGCGCTGCATGGTCATGAGCGGCAGCGACAGAACACCATCACAGTCGGTCATCTCGGCAGAATGCAAGGCATTGAGACATGATCAAATACTTCGTATTAATATAGTCGGAGAAGAAGAGGAGAGTATATCTCGGAAACCGCTCAGGGCATCGCCCGCGGGCTTTGCTGCTGGATGTGCTGCAGGAGAGCATCAAACAGACGTCCGATCTGAGAACACCAACGTCAGCTGCATATCGAAAAAGAAGAGCTTGAGTGATAGTCAACTTACCTCAGGCGCAGCCTGAATAAACGGGAGACGGAAGAAGGTGTAGCTCCGGTTCTGAAGCAGCTCCTGCAGCGTAATGATTAGACCCCAAGGGTGAGGCCGGTGAACAATAAGTCTCTCGAGGAGCACCCGAATGATCTGCTGGCGAATGTCGGACTCATCCTGCTCCGAGTAATCGGTACCGAAAAGGCGGGTGATGGCAAAGCTGAAAAAGTATGTGTGGCTGTTGGGATACCGGAGCTGGTTGGCCATCGCACTCAGCAGATAGTAACGCGCCTCAGGCCTGAGGGCCTTCGCTAGATTCTCCAGAAGCGCTGAGTGAGGCGAGTTGTCGAAGGCCGCGCGAATGTTGCCCTTGGAGGCATTGGCGGAGACGGCACTTTGACCCACGTAAAGAACAAGCGCGTTCAGAAGGACCACGTTGACATTGATCGGTGTGTAGAAAAGGCCGGTTTCCTTGGTGAGAGGATTGTAAATGGCTTCGCAGATCTGTTGAACGGTCGTCTCCGATGCGCTGCTGCTCTGCAGCGAGCTGTCAACGACACTCTTGATGTTGGCCTGCTCCAACGGCCCCGCAGTATCGCCGGCAATTCTTGGGGCTTCCCGCATCTCTTCCAAACGCTCGACCTTGAGACCCTCTCTGAAGGGGTCTGGAAGTTTATGGAAGGACGATGGATACGCGCTTAGAACGAGGTTTCGAAGCTGAGCGCAGTGGGCGGGGATAACATTGCAGAATTGAAAATGGTTCTCCGCCACGAATTCAGGGAAATCATGGTGCAAGATCAGCAAGATGCGAAGAACACCCTTGTACAGGTCCTTGGCAACGTAAGAAATAGAGGCTGGCTTGAGCTGCTCGCCAATGTAAGAGAGCAAAGCCTGCATGATTTCACAGTACGGTCCCCAGCCCGCCCGCTCTGGCATGTTCAGCATACCAGACATAAAGAATCTGTGAGAGACCAAGGACAGCCACCCGTAAACAAATCCCGGGCAGTACTTAGGCTGCAGAGAGAGGAATTTGTTTGCAAAGGCGAACATCATGTCCTGATGTTGGTCGCTATGCTGAAGTCCGTTCATGGAATATTCACAGAGAATGCTGGAGAACAGTCTGAAGAAGACGCGTTGATTGAAGGCCTCGCCCCTCATGACGTGGTGATGGTTCAGAACAAGCACAAGAAGAGAGAGAATAGAATTGAAGAAGGCTGCCTTGCTTGTCTTCGCAGCTCCTGTCGATTCACCTTGGAACTTGACAAGTAAGACCACTAGTTTTCCGAGAGCGTCAATATAGAGGAACGCTTCGTCAAGACTGCCACCAGGGTTCTGCGACTCGTGATCGAACATTGCAACCGAGATGTCAATGCTGAGGCGGAAGAAGAGCGCCGAGTCTTCTTGATTGTCCATGACCTGTCGCTCGTGCAGATCCTTAAGGAACGAGTAATAGGTGCGGTCAATGGCACCAGGAGCCTTATAGATGCCGATCCATTCGCTAAAGATATACTCCATTTGATCCCGCTTGGACCTGGCTTTGTCACTGAGAAGTGGGTTGACCACCTCAGGAATGCCAGATTCACGCAGTTTGCGGATAATCTCGTTGGCAACGGTAACGTCCGAGTCTTCCGCTAGCCACTGGCTCATGGCCTCAAGGCTGCCCGAAAAGTCGGACCTTAGTGCAGAAGGCTCTTCGCTGAAAAGAACACGGTCCATCAGGTTGGAAAGGACCTCCAGAGAGGCAGTGTTCTTTTGAAGGATGAGGCGTGTCAAGATCATGTCAACGCGGCGAATATCCATTAGGCCGGCATCAATGAGTGCGACTGTGACCGGTACGTTGAACATGTGCTCGTCATCAACTTCGGAAAGAACGGCCCAAGTGTAACGAGCAACCAATGTCGACATATCGCACAGTTTCGCGAGCAAGTGAACCAGAACTTCAACCTCTAGTGTGCCGAGGGTCTGCGAGTAGAGTGTGGTACAAATCCTGAGGCACGTAAACCTAGCGAGTTCCTCGCCATTGGGAGAGGCAAGGATAGTGCGCAGTGCTTGGTTGTACTCCTGTAGGACAGCGCTTTCCCGACCAAGGTCCCGAATACGTTCCTCTGGGGCGTTCCGAGCGGCCTGCTGCAGCTCAGAAACAATACTCTCCACCTTCTCACGAGGGCTCTGGGCCTCGAGGAACCCGTTGAGCTGAGACTGTGCGCCCACAAGGCCAGATTGCTGCAACCGAGCCTCTTGCTGGGCTTGTGGGGTTCTATGAGGAACCGCCGGCTGCTCTGCAGGGGTAGAGAGGTTAGGAATAGGCGAGTATGGCTCCTGGAGGACATCTGGAAGCTGTCGACCGGAATCGGTGGAAACATTCTGAACGTGAGCCGCGCCCGGGCCTCGGGCCTGACGAGCAAATTCCTCATAGATAGCCAATTGCTCTTTGTTCAGACCTCCTGCAGCCTGTCGATAGGGTTCGGGAATGAAAAGACCCCAGCGATTCATAGAAGGGTCAATGAACGGCTCAGTGGGCCGAGCCGCCCGGTGACGCCGGCGAGCTTCCAGTTGGGGTTCAATAACCTTCTCAATTTCAGGAAGCGACTTTTCTTCTGCAGCTTTCTCGACGATACCGCAAGCAGCGTCAAGGTTATCATTGACACACATGAGAATCAGCCCCTCCGGCATTGGCTGGTCGGAATACTCTTGCTGAATCATCCGAATGTAATTGGTCATGCTCACCTTAAGGGGCTCTTTGCACGTCACAAGGGCCAAGCTACCAGCAAGTTGCCTGACCATTATGCCAGCTGCATGCCGCACTCTTTCCTCATCAGGCTCCATTGCAAAGTCCTTCGAGACTAGTTGAACGGTAGAGATAGAGGCAATTGTCACGGAGCGTTCTACAACGGGTGTGATGATCTCTGCAATGGCACGCTCGACGGCGCTGTGCACTATTTGCCGAAGAACGTTAGGGTCAACCATGCTGCTCGCCGACGACGGGAGAACAAGGATCTTGTCCAGGCTTGGCAGAGTCGACATGATAGCAGCAGGGGATAGTCTTTCATGGGGTATCCTCTGGTTGATGCTCGTGAGAGCCATATCCTCGAATGCTTCGAGGCCGTCAGGGATGTTGGCCGTAGACAGCGCATCCTCGATATGTGCAGAACGGTCCCGGATCATGACAGAAGGCTCGATGGTCTTGTGATCGAGATCGAGATCCTTACATAAGACTTCAATTTCGAACTTCAAATTCAACTTGAGTTCGGCGAAATGGTAAAGTTCCATTAGCAACGCAAGAATATCCATCAACCAAGGGTTCGGAGGATTGAACACGGTAGACTTGGTAGCTTGGACGAGCACTTTGCAAGTGAATGGAATCACGATCGTCAAGCGCTGGCTGTCGAATCCCTCCAAGAGGAGTCCCCTGAAGTAAACATTCTTATGCTTAATGGGCTTATCCTTTGCTATGGTCAAGGAGCCAAGCCATGCACCCAGGTTCTTGAGATGGCCGCGCTCAGTGGATGAGTTGATCGTCGCCTCGGAGTTGAGGAGCTTCGACACACTGGCGTAAGTTTCTCTCAGGACTTCCGCCCACAGCAACTTGTCGTTAATGCGGTCAAGGAGGTCAAGGTATAGCTGCTGGAAATTTGGCTGCAGTTTCGCACGCTCCTCCACGAGATAGGAAGCGAACCATTGATGATGTTGATCACGAAGAACATCCGTGAGATCACGCAACTTTTCATCGATGTTTTGCTCAGACACATTGTTCAACACGAAAAGAATCTTGTCTTGGACTTCCTCATCGGGTTCGCGATAGACATCAGGCCGGATAGGCGAGTCAACATGAACGGAAATGAATTTTCGAGTCGACCCGTCAGTAGTGGCAGTTTCATCAACATTCCCGTTCACGGCAGTACCGGGAATACTGTCCACCCTTCCAGTCTCGTCTCTGACTTGACCTCCTTGTTCACGTAGCACCTCCTCGGCCTTCTGGTAGATCGTCGTGCCTTGAAGTGTCGGAATTTGCAGGAGTAGATGACAGAAGCCAGCCCACTCGGGAAGACGGTTGATCAGCTGCTCGATTGCTTCGACACCGAACTTGTACATGGGATCATGGATTTCATGATCACGCACCGCCTCGAGAATCATGCCCAAACCAACCTTCAGAGTGATACCGTCCACAAGCCGGAAGTTGATGATACCGCCAAACATCACAGCTGTCTTGGTCAACGCCTCCAATGGATATTCATGGTAACAGTGGTATTCATCGATAAGGCCGTGGACCATGCAAGCGAAGAGGTCCTGTTCAGCTGGTTCGCGAGAGGACTTATATCTCCTCATTAACTCAAGGATTTCTCTCAGTGACAATTCCTCGTGGTACATCTTGCCAAAAAGGTCCTGCATTTGCTTGTCCACAGCCTCCGGCAGCGCGTTTCCGTTCTCGCCGTTGGCATCGATAATGTCGTCGAAACCTTCCCCGTAATTGATAAGCCGTGGATAGGTCTGAATGCATATCCGTTGCACAGGGGTGAGATTCTCGCGATCGCCGACATATTCCTCCAGCACCGAGAGTAGCGTGTATACCGTTTTGACCGAGAGACTGACCATCTGGGGAGCGGGCTGTTCTTTCCTTTGCACATGAAGTTCATCTTCCGCCTTAATCCTTAGGAATTTGGATAGTAAGCTTCCCATATCCATGGGACCCTTCTGTGCCGCATTGCGAACCCATTGCTCCAAGTCGAAAGGCCCTTTACGATGAGCGTAACATGCAAGATCCATGGCAAGTCCATTCGTATATCCGAGAAGATACTCCAGCCAGCCAAACTCAACAGCATGTTCATAGATGGCAGCTGTAGAAGTTGGGTCCTGAGTAAAAGTCGTAAAAAGCTGCTCTGCCAACCACTGGCGATCTTGGTGCCACGCCCCATGTAACGCCAAATGATAACCCTCTTCCTGTTTGAGGATAAAGACGATCAGGGTTCGTAGAACGAAGTTCTGCTGAACACTAGTCCATGGCTGGGGGAGAGCCAGGGCCGAGCACAGGAAAACGGGTAGATCATACTGGACGACAGCCTTGATCAGTAGCTGACTTTCAGAGACGCCCCACGCTGCCTGGGAAAACAATGCCAGATCGAATATAGCTCTCATGGCGTCCAATGACCGGAGGGGCGACTTTGCAGCACGCTCACCCTGCAGTCGAACGAGCTCAGGACCGTCAGCAAAGAAGTCGGAAGGAAAGGTAGCGCGAAAGTTGGGTATCTGCGACACATCTGTTCTGGAAGCAATGAAGGCTGCCAGGAAGGACATCTGCGTGTCGCGATGCTCCCAATCGCCACCCCACAGCTTCTGGACGTCTAGGCTCGAGTCATCCGCGGCCGCAGCCAACAGGACAGAGTAAATCTTTGCAAACTGCCGAGCCTCTAATCTCAGACCGTCACGGTCAAAGTTGCGGAAAATGAGGGGCCAACTAATCCGCTTCTCGCCATAGTGCGCCTGGACAGCCCTGAGGAAAGTATCCAGCGAGAACTCACGCCAATATTGCGAGAGCACCAGGAAGAGAAGCGCATTGGCAATATGTTCCTCACTCCAACATTCAGAGCCTGTTGCATTGATTGTCTCGGTAACCGCGTCGGGGTTCGACGTTGCTTTCGGGCCTCTCGAGTGGAGTTGGCGAACAAGGGTATATCTGGGGTTGATGAAATTGAACATTTGCAGGGCAGACGCAACCTCGAATGGCATGTTCACGCCCAACGCGCGATACCGTGCGTTAGCCGCGTACACCAAATTGCCCTTCACCTCGTCTGTGAAAGTTCTAGGCGGATACAGTATGAATCGTTCAATCGTCATGCCAATGAAGGAGTTCTTAAACTCTTTGGTGGCGTCTGACGGTGTTGCAAGGCTTGTCAAAAATTCACCCACATGGCTTGAAAGATAAACATCGGCTGTAAAACAGTGATTGTCAGTTTAACGGACACCCATCTAAAAGCCCAAGTAACGACTCACCTTTGGCGCGCAGGTCTGGCTTGTTGGCGGTTTTAAAGGCCAGGGCGAGGGAAACCTTCACAATGTGGTCAAGTTTGAAATGTTCCAAAAAGGTAGAGAGATCAAAATCGCGGAAGATATCGCCCTCCGAAGTATCCACCGTCTCTGCAATCTTCTGGGCCTGCTCTATATCCTGGGACACTTTCTGCATCTCCTGAACCAGGAGCGGGTAATTGCCAGCATTCTCCACAGACTTGTTGACCCCGGGAAATATCTGCGGGGCATTGCCCGTAAGCAAGCGACGAAAGTATTTTGAAAAGACCTCCATCCCGTTGGACTCGACAAGCTAGTACCATGTCAGAACCGCCATCGAATAACGGAGGTGTTTATGTGTTGTTCCCTGTCACATCGCGTGTGCTTACCTTGTGGATCTGAGCAGCTTTCGTTTCCCACTTTTCTCTGCCCTCTTTCTCTGTAATGGAATCTAGGAGCAGGAAAACCTGTGCGATAGATATCTTGGTCAACGACGACTGGCTAGCGTGAGCAGCAGAGCCCGAAGCTGCTGAGCCCGGCTTATCAGAGGGAAAGCCCGTAGGTGAGTTCACGGTTGTACCGGACAACAACGGAGAGAAGGTGGCGCCTCTGGAAGATCCCGTCCCACCTCCGCCTCCCCCGGAGCCTCCACCACCCGCGACAGAACCCGCTGCGGAAGCCAGATGTGACCCTGAAGATGGGGTATGAGCTCTAAATTTGGGTGAAGAGAGAGACTGTCCGGGTTGCTGGTGCTGTTGCGAGCCAGATTGAAAAGAGGCGAATGGTGAGGGTGTGGAGGCTGGCGAGGGCACGTTCCGACCAACAGGATGGCCTCTAGCGGAACTCAGAACGGCGGAGAAGGAGGAGGTGAGAGGAGACGCGGTCGAACCACCTGGCCCAGGGCTACTGGACTGCGGTGGCCCCCGAGAAGCTGAGGCGAGCGAAGAGAGGTTGTTGGTCGCAAGTGGAGTCAACCCACGCCGAACACTGGACTGGGACACGGACGGACCCCAAGGAGATTGCTGTGACCTTGCCGGCCTGGTCGAAGAGGACTTATCGGTGCCAGAAGCAATCGACGATTGGGAGGAAGGAGGAGGGGGAGGGAAGGTCATCTAGGAGACGCGATCATTTGATCTGAGGGCGAGCGACAGATTTTTATTATTTGTAACAAAAGTAAAGGGGTAGATGGAGCCAAGAATGATGGAAACAATCGTGAGACGTGCAACAAAGCGACGGATTCTGGCAGTGGCAGAGCAGAGACCGATGGCAATGAAGAGGATGTTGCTTCGTGGCACAGGATGGAAGTTCCGATGGGTGTGAATGACGGGCAGAGAAAGCGAGGATGAGTGGACGTGCGGGTGGAGATGCCTGAGGAGCCCACACTAGGCGGCCTTAGGCAGGCAGAACAGGGGAACTTGGCAGCTCTCTCTCTCTCTCTCTCTCTTTTTCTCTTGGTCGGGGGTCCGACCGGCAGCGACGCCTCAGGAGTTCAGCTGCGTCTAGGGGTACGGACTACGGGGTGGTCGATTACACTTTAGGTAAGAAGGGACCGATCGGACTGGAGTCCCAGCTGCGTCCTGCATAGTAGAGATGACCTATGTATGTTTAATCCAAGTGCGGCTGGAGGGTACCCTGGCACGTGAGCATGACGGGCCAATGCGGTAGCTTAGATAACAACTGACTCAGCAGGCGGCTCTGGGAACTACTATGGAGTTAGTAGTGAGCTGCCTAGTTATCACTCTCCCAGGGACAGTCAAAGTCTCTAGAGGATCAATTACCTTTCCATAGAACCCCCGGCGGTTTGAATAACGAGGTTAGTTATTGATGCCCGAATTTCAGCGTGGTCACCGACTTTTCTGCACCAGGAGAGCTAATGGACCGAGCTACCGCCTCTCACTATCTGCTCCTCGTGCTAACACACGCCCCCAACACTTTCAAACCCACGTAGCCGATCCACCGCATTAGATCTTCATGATCACCCAACAGCAGGGCATCATTGACTAGATATCCGTACTCTGTACGGCGTAACGATATAAATGAAAGAGGTGATTGTGTGCGAGACCAGCCACCAGCCACCCCGCAGGCCAAGAGCCATGAATAATGAAACGCTAGTCCGTAGCTAACCCTTTGGGTCACGTAAAGGCCCAAAGACTGCCAATCGAGTGCGAAAGGCGTCACCGGAACAGCGATCCATGCCATCTGGCTGGTTCTGCTCAGTCGCGGAGAATGATAGCCACCGGCGGATATCCCTTGATGGGCCTCGCGGCAGATGAGTTGGTCATTGGGCTGCCTGACGCCGCCCCGTGATATTACCGCCGGTTGCCCCGAGAGACACGGCACCGTAAACATGACAGTGTCAGCCATCTCCATTCCAGAGCGAAGCTTGTGGTCAACTCCACCAGATCCGGCTCAATCGTACTGCTTTCCCCATTCCCTCCCTGGATTCTGGTCTTTCTCTTTGCTCTCCGGGGACATCTAGGTTGCCGTCTTCGTTCGGTTTTCAGTCACCGTGGGGTTTTCGTATTGCTCGGCGCTGTGACAGCCGGCTCTGCGTTATCCTTCAAATTGTCTTGATCCCTTGATGCCCATAAATCAATGAGCAAAGGCTGGCCGACGCTCGACACGCTTACGGGAATATAATCCGACAAAAATGCCAGGAACAGTTGCAGAGGGGCCAACAGTGGCCATGTCCTGTATGGTGTCTCATGAAGATGTATTAGCTGGGGTCATGCTGAGCTAACGCCTTCGTCTCTACAGTCGCCAATAATTTCTGGGGCAAGGATGACGCCGGAGTTGGGCCAATGTTGGACCGAATGCACACCTCTAAAGTATCTTGCGATGAGTTAAAAACTTTCTACAACAGTCCGTCATCCAATATTCGTTACAGTTTGGGAGGGGCACTCAGGTTCTAACAAGTCCAACAGTTCGAGCTGCCATTGAAGATGAGTACGCGCGCAAGCTTCTGGCACTATGTCGCAAGCCACTAGGGTCAACAGAGATGGGTTCGCTCCGCACCTCGTTTGATACGGTTCGTGGGGAAACCGAGGCCATTGCCAAGGCCCACGCAGCAATCGCGGGCCAAATGAAGAGGGAGCTGGAGGAGCCATTGGTTGCCTTCGCAGGCGGTTCCAAGGAGCGAAGAAAGATCATTCAAACAGGTATTGAACGATTACTCAAAACTAAAATCCAACAGACTCAAACAGTAAATAAGGTAAGTTACTCGGCGGCTAAGAACAGGATTGAAATACTGAGTTGCCGCAGACCAGAGATCGATATGAGCAAGATTGCTTAAGAATCAAGGGATATCTTGCACAAGGGCACATGGTCATGGGCCACGAAGAGCGTAAGAACAAAGCAAAGTTGGAGAAGACGCAAATACAACTTGCATCCAGCAGCAGCGAGTATGAAGCAGCTATCAAAGTCCTCGAGGAGACTACTGTGCGATGGAATAAAGAATGGAAATCAGCTTGCGATGTATGTGTGGCATACAAACTATACCCATCTACTGATGCCTGAAAGCTGATAACGCATGCCAGAAATTTCAAGATCTTGAGGAGGAAAGACTGGACTTTACGAAGAGCAGCCTGTGGACGTATGCAAATATTGCATCGACTGTCTGTGTTAGCGACGATGCGGTATGTTCACGATCAGAAAACCGCTGGATTTCCACTGACGCTTGCTAGTCTTGCGAGAAAGTCCGTCTTTCTCTGGAAGATTGTGAGGTCGAAAAGGATATCATCTTCTTCATCAAAGAGAAAGGAACTGGGCAGGACATCCCTGACCCGCCCAGGTTCATCAACTTCTGTCGAGGCGACATCAACGATACGAGCTCGGAAGCATCTGAAGAAGAAGGGTACTCTGTAGCCCAGTTCCAGCGAACGATAAATCCGGCGTATCGCACTTCATCACCCCAGCCTTCATCCTATGAGGCGCAAATTGACCCTGATGCCGAAATTGCAGCTAAGATCAACGGTCCTCCGACTCCTACAAGCAGGGAAACCACAGTCACTCCGCAAAAGGCACAACAGCAACCGATGCAGCACCCCGTACAGAAACATGTTCAGCAGCCTATGCAGCAACCGCCGCAGCAACCAATACAACAGCCTGTGCATCAGCCGCCAATGCAGCAGCCAGTGCAGCCGCCGATGCAGCCAGCCGTGCAGCAAGCTATTCCCCAACCGATGTCTCAGCCAATGCAACCGCCGATGCAACAACCCGCTCCCTTGGATCTACGACGCGGGGGACAACTTCCGCCAAACTACGACCCCAATCAGCATGGCGAGATCACAAAGGTGCCACACAATGCCTACCCAACAGACGGCATGACCATGTTTTGCAGGACAGGTCCACCATCGGAGCGCAGCTCGGGAACAAACAGCGCTTATCGCCCATCAAGCCGTGATTCCCAAAGCGAGGTCTCCAACCCAACGTCGATGTCCAGTCAAGAGCCGTCAAGCGCCAGACAATCTCCTACGAAGCCCACGAATGGCGTCGCTCTTCCAGGTCTTGGGGGAGACAAACAAGTTCAGAAGAAGAGGAGCGCATTCTTCAGCAACAGTCCCTTCCGACGCAAGAGTCGCCATGATAAAGACCGCCACTCTGGGCCATCCCAGGCACCTTCTCGTGGCACCTGGGAGTCCCCGTCAAAGCAAATTAGCCCGACCAAAGCTTCCCACTCCCAGCAACCTATCGCTATGCCCGACCCGAACCGAGTATCTGGAAGCCTGGAGCCCGTGGATCCTAGGGCAAACTTTCAACTTAATGTTGGAAACAATGTCTTCGACGTGGAGTCCCCAGACAAGGATAAGAAAGCATCCCAGCCCCAGGCTGCCAAAAGTGAAGAGGAGCTAGACCCTATCGCGCGAGCCCTCGCAGATCTCAAAGTGGCAGGGAAACAATCGACCACCCGCGTATCTGCCGACAGATACCACGGCATTTCTACTCCAGTGCCATCGGTAGCTCCTATTCCCGGATCTGTGGCCACTCCACCACCGTCTTATAATGACTCGTCCCTCAAGCGCCTGGACGCTCCACAACCCGCTTTCACATCGGCACAGATGCAAAAGACAACTCAAAGATACACCGGCCAGGGCCAGAGCGTGCATCGGGGCTCGAGCAAACCTCCCTCGTTGTCAAGTCGACACAGTGGACAGTCCCAGGAGGTTCCTCGCGCTCGGTCGCCTGCTACAAGGCGAAGTGCAAGCCCCAATGTCAGCCCTCGGGTGGACACGCGCATGGGCCAGTACAGCAGAGCGGCAAGCCCCAGTCCATCCTCGTATCAGTCAAATAGCATGAAGGGCCGGTATAGCCAATCTCCAACCATGGCGACTCCTCCGCAACGTCCCGTGGATGCGGCCTCATCCGCGGATTACGCCAGGCGAGGGTCTTCGCGTGCCGTGTCTCCTCAGCCTCAATACCGGCAATCTCCCACCATGGCATCCCGCGCGGTGTCCCCGCAGCCACAGTACAGGCAGGCTCAAAACACGATGCCCCGTGCTGTATCGCCTCAGCCACAATTCAGGCAGCAAGCCCGGCCTTCCAGCGCTGGAGGCATGGAGCTTCAGCTGTCCGGACCACCCGACATGTATGCTGGCAGTCGTGACGGGTACGGCTCTCGGCGCGGCAGCGGTAGACCAATGTCATACTATGATGACGCCGCGAGTGTTAGGAGCCGGTCCAGGAGCCGGACAGTTGCAGTTGCTGATCCCAGCCGACAATTCAGTCGCGACGGTCGACCCATCCTACATTTCGGTAAGCACCCTCCCTACTTCATAACCACCAACATCAGCTAACCCTTCTCCAGCACGAGCCATGTACAGCTACACCGCCGCCATCCCCGAAGAGCTCGGCTTCAGCAAAGGCGACGTCTTATCCGTGATCCGCCTCCAAGACGACGGCTGGTGGGAAGCTGAAATCACCACTGCCCGGGGTCGACCCGGTCTGGTACCAAGCAACTATCTGCAAATCATCTAAACGACAACATCAACAGTCAATGCCCGTCTCATGAACCAACCAAAACCACCTACGACCCAAGCATGTCCTACCTAATCACGCGTTCATGATCATGATACCAAATTGTGTTCATTTCCTTTCCCCGTCATCCAATCCCTCTCTAATCTTCTGTGGCCACCACAACCCCCCTCCCCTTCCCTTCACCGGACATTCTTTGCCCTTTCCCCCGTCCTTCACCTAGTCAAACTTGGTTTTTACCCTGGTGGTCCCCTACACCGTCTGTTGGTTCCAGTTCGGTCGTTACCGAGAATTCGCGATACCTGGCGTCTATCTGATTGTCTAATACGTTGATGTCTTTCTTTGGAGATACTGGATCTTTGTTTTGTTTCTGATGTCCCCGGCTGTTCTTTATCTCTTGCTTTTTAGCTACATTGCGGTATCTGAATAATGAGTTCTGGAGTATGGTTGCATTTAGCTCCTGCGTATACGTACTAAGCCTGCGTGCTCGTCCTTGAATATCTATCCATACTCTGCATTGCATTCGTAGATAATAATGCTATGAATATGACCATGGATGACTCGGGAAATAAAAGAAACAAAGACGAAAAATGGGGCGAAATCTATCGCAGTACGGGTAGCAGAACAAATATTGAAAAAAAGAGGGGGGGGGGGGAGCAGGGTAATATCAAAGAAAGAAAAGAAAGCAAATATACTTCCTGTCAAAAAGGAAACCAAAACCAAAATACCTTCTTTGAAACGCCAAGTGACCTGAAAAGTAATACCGCAAACTGGCCCCAAAACATATGTTATACATGGGTAATAAAGAAATCCTAGCCTTCTCGACCGGGACAAGAAGAAGAAAAGGGAAAAAGAAACAGTCCGAGTTCAGCAAGCTATCCACCACCCTAGTCAAGGTCATGCTTCCCATCCAAATATGGAATCCACCGTTCAAAACCAGCAATATCAAGGTTGCTTGCTACCGTCCACCAATTAGTCGGCACGACCGCATCCATCCACCATACACTTAAACCCCCGTGGGCTGCGAAGACAATACAGTCTTCCATCTTTGCAGTAGGGCTGGGTACAAGCATGATACCCAGTGATGGATATCCTGTCCCAGATTATTCCAGTCGGGATTTTCTTCAAGAGATGAGGCTGGAAGGAGTCACAGCCCCCGTTGGTGTCGGATGGGGCCAGAAGTGCGGCTGCTGCCTTTGCGATGTGGCAAGCTAGGAAGACATGGTCGTTGATGTGCCCGCAGGTATTTGAAACGCGCTGGACATGGCACATGATCAAGAGGGGTGGTCGATGTATCTAGTAGTGTGTCTATTGTATAGAAGACGCAATTGGCGTCATCGGACTGCTTAAGGTCAGGGCGGGTCTTTTGTTCGACAGCGGTAGAGTCTCTTGGTTCGGGTATTGATCTTCCGTTCGAATGAAGGAGATATTTCGCGGATTGTCGCATTGGCGGGCCTGCGGAAGTGTGAGCTGAGGAGTATAAGTTTACCTGCTCTGGGCTCAAAGGCGCATCTTAACAAGCAAAGATGGTGAATTAGTGAAGGCCGCCAAATGCAGTCCTATTTCACAGACGCTGTGAATCTTCATGTTCGGCATCACTACACATTGGATAGCCCGATAACGCTTCACAATAATAAAGACAGCTATAAGCCATCTTGAAAAGTAGACTTTGAATAGTCATAATAGAGCATTGAAGAGATATTACAATTCAAGTGAAGACGATAAACAAATGAAAGGTAACAGAAATACATAGCAGAGTATTATGCACGCTGGACATGTGGACGGCATATTATAAACACATAGAAGGCTCCGTATTATGTTCAACTGACACTGTACAATGGAGGGCTCACCGATCCATGGTCAGACTTATCCGGCCAAGGTGGCTTGAAAGCCTGCGTCGGGCGCCGATATTAAGACGAGTTCATTCATCATCAACGAAAGAATTGGCGAGGCGACCAAAAAGTGGGACTTCGAAGTGTTCGAGTGTGTCGACTAAGATATGATCAGCTATTGTTTTTTATGCGCAACCACCACACTCACCGTCTCGATAGGCACGCATGCTCAGAAAACCGATCATTACGAGATCGCAAATAAACAGTACCCAGGATAAGAAGCTCGACCAAGAGAAGATTAAGTGGAAAATCTGAAGAGCATTAGAGATGCCATGGACGCAGCCGGAGGAGTGGCGTGACTTACAAACATGACGGTGAAAAGCATGCTTGACTGCCAGGCGTGGAAGCTAAAACAGGTCAGAAAGTCTAGAGAGAAGAGGTTCTTGAGCCTGGTGGATAAAGCCTACCGGACATAGTCACTCTTGTGTTCTACCAGGAGAAGAAAGACACCACCCGCGGGAGGGAGAAGCAGATATGCCAGCATAGCTTCAACATCCATGCGGATGGGGAGACTGGTGTCAAAAGCTCCCAGGTTCCACCGCCCACTCTCCACATCATTCCCGAAGCCCGTGTTTCCATGTCCACTGGTATCTATATGGCCAGCACCAGCGAACTGACTGGGAGATGGGAGCCCCGGGGAAGCGAGTCCGGGGACGGGAGGAGACCCACGAGGGGACCGGACATTGGGGGACTTGACGCGATTCGCGTCGGCCAGCGACGGCGAGAAGGCGCGTTCGACCTCGGGTGACTCGTCCTGGTAGGGAGCAAAGTTCATCTTGCGCGGGGGAGGGAGATGCGGACGAATGCAAGAGAGCAGAAGGCAACGTCGTTTCACGGGAGACGCGCTTATCGGCCAACCGTAGCTTTATCGGTACCTCCGCCTTGGCGCTGCAGTTCGTCGCCTCAGGCAGACAACTGCCCCGCCGTGGATTGAACGATGGAGGATGGATCGTGTTTACTTCCCGTCTCGCCTCGCCTTGCTTTGCCTCGCGTTTCGGCGCGTCATCTTGGGTATCATCATATCATCACTGTCATTGGCTTTCGTCTGAGGTTCTTTCTCGTACTGTACATGTTGGTCACCGCCTCTACGCCCTGCCACGCCCACGCGCAATTCCTGTACCCCGCGCAATCCCACTGGCCGGTCTACGCGTCGTGGAGGTCGTTGATGATTTGCCAGCCGTTGACGATGCGGTCGTTCTCGTAGTGCAGGAGCTTGTCCCTGAGTATGAGACACTTGGGGTCCTTCCCAGACCGCTACGCACTACCTTTCCGCGAGTGGCTCCACGCGTAGTGCGGGTGCCCGCAGCCAGCGTCCTCTTTCGCTGGTCCTCTTCAGCCTTTCGGGCAGCAGCCTCCCTTTTCTGTTGAAGTTCACGCTCACGTCTTTCTGCAGCCTGTTGCCGGAGGAGTTCTTCGTTCTCCATTTCGGCCACATCTTGGACCGCGCCTTGCCAGTTGGGATTGAGGATTAGCCGCTGGTTGTGTTCCGTTTGGGAGAGGATCCGAGTCCAAGTATTGAGTAATGTAGAAGCAGAGTCTAGGGTTCGCGAGACGGTCTATAGATCATCGCTGGTCAGCAATCGCAATGGAAGCACCCAGTAGCAGGAAGGGGGGATATAGACATACATCCATGTTTCCCTTGGCACAATCGAGACTTCCTAGCAGACCCTCGATAACCTGGTTGATCTTGCGGACACTCTCTAGTTCACTGCGCAACGCAGCCTCCCGTGCCTCCTGGCGGTCAAACAACGTTTCGCCTCCGTCGTGAGGAATGGTGGGTTCCGGCGACAAACTCTCTTCTTTGACAACCCTGTGATGTAGCTTTTTATTTCCGCGTTTGGAAGGGGAATTCCAGAGATCTTCTGTGTCATCGTCGGAAAGTTGGAGCCTGTCCATTTCCTCTGCGGTGGTACGGAGTGTCATGGTGCGTGGGTGGTGGGTGGTGATGATGATGGGAAAGGCCGGAGAAAACAATGAAAATGAGCGGTAGTTGTTTGTTTGATCAGGAACTTGGAGGGAACCAAAGTCGCAGCAACAACAACAGCTGGCGGAGGGAAAGCAGCCAATGGCGAGAGGGACGGGAGAAAGCCGATCGACCGCTAAGTATCGTGGGGCAATTTCAGCCACTGGATTAAATGGATGACGGAGAGACAAAAGGTAGTTACGGATGTCGCTAGTAACGCGAGACTAACAGGCTGGCGGCCTGAAAGCACGGCGGGCAGCGGAAGATTAAAAGGTGTGGCTGGGCATTCCGTCGCGCCTCGCTTCGGTCGGCCATCCACTTCTCAGTCTCTCTCCCCTTCCCCAGTTCTCCTCCCTCACATCCACATCCACTTTTACCACTACGCCTTCTTGGTTTATGACATCCACGCCATTGGTCTCGTTCTCTTCGCTCTGCTAATTCGATATCCACGCGCTCCGTCATATTACTCCCGCCGTTGGTTAGCACGTTGTTGGTACCCGCTCTCCGGTCGGCTTGTGGCTCGTCGCGCGTTTTGCTCCCCTTGTGTCTCCCTTGGACTCGTCCCTAGCTGCGTCCCCTCGACCACCACTCTTATATATTCCAACTTCTTGGACCCATATCCGTTTGGCCAGCTGGTGCCTGCTGCCAATTTGGAGCTGCGGTTTTTGAGGCTGTCGACGCCCACCTAGGATCTATATCAGCGTGTTGACGTATCTTCCAAAATGGCGACCACACCACCACCCCCTTCGACGCTGCGAATGCCCCCTACTCCGCGACTTGGAGCCAAATATGATCAATACGAACCATATTCGACGCGATATTCGGCCAGGCTAGCTAGCCAACGCGCCTCCAGAGAGAGAGAGTCTCGTACGACTCCCCCGCCTAGTTTCCCGAGCTCGAAGACTGCGAAGAAGTACGACATCAATGAATCAGAGACCCTATCCCCACCTAGCTCAGTCCAGAGCTCTCTTCGGAAGCAGAGGTCGGCCCGAAACGCCGGGTTGTTCGCGACACATTCACTCGAGGACCCCTCCAGCACAGATGACTCGGACCCCTTCAGCGGCCCTGAACCTTCCTACATCCGTCATCAACCACGATCACTCCGACCGACCATGACCGACGGAATGCTGCCCACTCCGGCAAAGACGCCCCGAAAGAAGGCTGTCGCTGATGTTGGGAGCGCCGCACGAGTGCTCTTCCCTCCTCCCAGCTCCAAGAAGAAGACCAAGAAACACACGGGATTCTCGCTGGACAGTTTTAGCGAGGATAGCACTCGGGGTGGGTCTGAGATCCAAATTTACACCGACTCTCGTGACCGGATCCCAGAAGTCGACGAAAGTGAGGAGAATCCGTTCTACAAGAAACCCGTGGCTAGCAAGACAGCTACTCGCGCCCCAAGACGCAAAGAAAGCCGCCGTGACAAGGAAATCGACGACTCGATTGACCGTGAAGATGGCATGGTTTACGTTTTGTAAGTTCCCATCAGTTTTCTACCTATATCTGGCTTATGTTCTAACCATATCTCGCAGTCGCGGCAAGAAAATGTTCCGCAAGTTCACCGATGACCTGGAGAGCGACAGTGAAGATGATGATGACTTGGGCTTGTTGGCAGCCCGCCCGGACCTGATCGATTCGTCGATCACGGACAATGTGCGCCCTCTGACTCGCTCATCGATCAAGCCTCGTGTGCTGTTCCCCACTACAGAGGAACAGATTCCGCAAGAAACTCATCTGAGTGACGTGGATGAGGAGGCGGCCACTGATATCGAGGATCATCTACTCCATGATGAAACCGAAGAGGCTGAGGAACCTGCCGTCGATATGGAGATGCAGCAGCGACTAGTCACCCCTCCTCCTCATTCTACCATCGAAACCCCTGCATCGCCGGGCGCGACCATGCGGTCATTGCGTTCTCGAACCAAACGAGAGGGGCCGGACCATAGCGACACGCCCACAGTCTCCGAGACCAAGAAAAAGCGTGTTAGTCCTTTCGACGGCTGGCTGCGCAAGAAACAGACCCCTGCCGTGACTGGGACCAAGGCCAAGAAACGAGACGCCGAAGCTGCTGGCAGCCCCGGTGGCCCCGCTCCCAAGAAGTCTCGAAGCAATAAAATTACCGCGTCGTCCGTGTGAACACTTGAGCCCATGTACAAGGATACCGTGTATCTCAAGGGTAGAGTCCTGAAGCCGTCGGGAGCCGGGTGTTCTTTCTTTTCCTAATACTGCCGTCAAGGATTCTTTTCAAGAAACTCGACGAGCATCTTTGTTTACAGCGTTCTTATTTTTCTGATTTGATATTCACTGGCGTCCTTGAACTTCAGGTCGGCTGTCTTAGGTTTTTAATGTGTCCGACTGCCCTCGGTTTTCGTTTGTTTGATACCACCTACAAGGACAACATCTTTGTCTTGAACATACATGACTCGGTCAGTCGGCAAGGAAACAGGCGCGAATTGATGACTACTACATGGGACGGACGGATCGGGTAACCTGGCACATAAGGAGGAGTTTTGCTGGTTTTCTTATTTTGCGTCAACCCCTCTGATTTATGTCTTTCTTTCTTTGTTTTATCGGCGTGTTCTCTGCTCCCTTCGGCTAGTCGGGTCCATTATAGCCTGACCTTCGTTACTTAGCTAGCTTGAGACTACTCTCACCTACCCCGATACCAATGAATATGAAATTGTCATGTCATTTTTCTTTTCATTCTACGACTAACCGTGGTAAGGGATGGTGTATATTCATAACACCAGTATAAATATCATCTAGAAACCAGGAGTCGCTTGATATCGCGACGACTACACTGAGATACTCAACCCCGCACTCGCAAGAAACATCACACACACACCAAGGATAAGCTTTCCTAAAATCAGATTCAATGGATATCATAAATAAACAAAAGTTACTAATACACTTGCTCTCTCACACATAGTCTGCCAGAAGAGGAGGGACGTGGATGGAGAGAAGAAATGGGAATATTCATACACAGAGAGAATTAAGCAAAGGGAAGAAAGGAGTGATGGAAATATTTTAAGTGAGTAGGTAGGTAGGTAGTTCATGTGTGGTGGAAGTCAAAGTCAAGCGTTCATTCATTCGTTATGGGTTGGGTTGGGTTGGATTAGGGAAGGGAAATGAGTGAATTCCAATGCTCTCTGAGAGGTCCTGATGTGGGGTTTGAATTAAGTGAATGTTGTGGGTGGGATTGTGTCATTTCTTCCTGTTAACATGTTCTTTTTATCTTTGTTGGCTTTCTTAGGGGGCTGGTTGTCGCTCTGTGAAATGACTGATCCACTGGCGGTCAACTGGAGGGTATCTATGTTTCGTAACACTGAAAAGGTTTTCTTTTAGATGATGTCTAGTTCATCGTCGTCGTCATCATCATCATCGTTCATTGGCACCATGTCGGACTTTCCTCCCAGGCTATCGCGTCCGGCTTCCTTGATGCCATGAGATGTTATAAACCGGGTCTTTTTGATACTGCTGCTGCGGGGTCTGTCGCCGTCATGGGCGCGCTTCAATGGGCTCAGCTTTATGGTGTCTGCCCTTCTGAAGCTCGAGACGCCCAAATTATGAGCAGGAAGCGGATCCGCGGCGCCTTTCTTTGCCTGTTCGGATTTGGCATCGGGACGTGGGGATGAGACGTTTTCGCTATCGCGTGACCGAAGGTACTCAGCCCCGACGCCTCCAGGACGGGAGATCAGCCTGTGTGTGATATCGCGTTCGCGTTGCTTCTCCGCGAGGCGCTTGCGAAAGCGCTCTTCTTTGCTTTCCATACCACGGCCCATCATGCCAGCAGCGATAAACGGGTCGTCGCTATCCGCATCGATTAGACTTGCAGCAGATTGGCCACTCGGGAGGTGATGGAAGGACGGACCGCTGCCTCGGGACTTTGGAGCCGGTGCAACGTAGTAGGTGGATTGAGACTGATAGTCGTATCTGGCACCGTTCGGCTTCAATCCGTTCTGCGGACGGCCTTTCTTGTCCCCGCTGTAGAAGCCGGTCCGAGAGCCTGATCGGCCACCGGGCCCATACATGCCTGTGCCGCCATTCACGCCCATCCGATGTGCCTGTGTTCGACGGACTTGCAAGTCGACATGGAAGTCGCAAAATTCTGTCTTCCGGCCATCGACCCACGAGTGGCATGTCTTGCCGTCCTTCCTGACGGCCTTGCAGAACCCGATGTCTTGCGCGTAACCAACCTCTAGGATCTTATCGTCGGATGAAGAGATGGCGAGACTGAATTTGTTGGTGTCTATCTTGTTCTTAGGTGGTGGCATGATGGTAGGGTTTAAGATGGCAATGAGTATCCCTTCAGAGATTCTGTAGTAGCGTGGAAAGGCTGTATCGAAAAGAAAGAGATCGATCGTCCACTTCAAGTCTGTAAGGGTAATCACCATGTATTGGCTACTGTTGTTCGTGCCGTCGTCGAATGGATCAACCTCCTTCTTGGTCGCATTGCCGGGTTGTTTGATTTGCCTAGGCTCGGATTTCGACGCGACGATACCGAAGACCACAAAGTCCGTGTCGATGTCCTCCGGCAGCTCAAAGTCAGGTGCCTTCACTGTACGAAGCAGATCGGGAATCCGGAGAGCCTTCTTGTCTTCCAGAGTTCGAGTTAAGAACGAATGGGGTAAGATGCGGTTTGACAGGTGCAAGGAAGAGAAGGCCTCGAATTTGGAGGAGTCACCGCTCTTCTCGCCTTGGGACTCATCAGTAGCACTGTGCTGAGAGCTGCCAGGCACTTCTGACTCAGACTTCTGGTTTCGTCGGTGAAAGTACGGCCTGGAGTCTTTGGGTTCATTTTCATCATGTTTCCGCACGCTTGGGGTGATCTGGCTTTGACTCCTTTTCAGCGACGGTTTGAGGTTATTGTATGATCGTAGAACGTCGTCTCGACTAAAGCTTTCGGTTTGTCGAGTTCTCGTCGGTGATTTTGGGGCGTCTTTCCTTGCCTCAGCGGCTGCCTTGAAGGCCTCCACCTCGGCCTTGTCAATCTGGAATGCAGAGCTTCGATTTGCCTGTATCTGCTCTGCCCGCGCTGCTCGTTCTCTTCGAGATACCTCAACGGATCGACTCTCGGCCATTCGTTCACTGAAACTCTTAGGACGATTGCGTTCACCCACGGTTATTGCCTGCAAAAGATTGCCAGAATGAGAGACTAAACCATCTCGCGTCCCCGGCCTACTTGCTGGCTGACCTGCTCCCTTTGAGCTTGGTGGGCGCCTCAACGATACATCCCTGCTTCTGAGGCCTTTATCGATGCCCAACACATACCTCCGCGGAGACACGGGGTCTGTTGGCGGAGCAGGACGTCTTGTCGGTGACAAAGGAACCTGTACGTCATCGTGCTGGGCATCACTACTCGTCCGGTGTTCGTTCATGTTGCTCATCAACTGGTCATGGGCCTGTGAGGAACCGATTACTGAAGCGGGTCTAGCGAAGACCTCTCCGTCGTGCCTGTCAGGATTTGGCGTCCCCGTTTTCGCGCGGCTCTTCTGCAGTTGCTTGAGCTTGAGTCGGGCCTCAATGGCAGCCAGCTTCAATTGTAGTGTTTCTTCATCCTCGTCCTCCTCGCCATCATCCAGCCCATCGCTTAGAAGTTGTGATGCCTTGGATCGTAAGTCAGGAGTCGTGAGGGAGCGTTTCAGAGGCGAGCCCAGGTTTTCGCGCCGACGCTGCATGTCTTCATACCTCTTGCGACCATTCGGGGTACTCAAGAGGGCCTCCCGAGGGGACTTTGGCGGCCATGAGATTTCGGCCACTGTAACAGCCTCACGTCAGTCATTGCATGCCATTGGCGCAGAAAAATCTCGAGAGTAGCAAAAGACACTCACTTACTGCTTGTCACCGCATGCGCTGAATCAATTCTGTTCTGGTCCGGTCGAAAAATGTAGCAGTCAAATTCCGATCCGGTTACGTTATTCCCTCGATCGTACTACCCTTGCCATATTCGCCTGACGAAGGGATGCGGGGAAAGCTGTTGCTCTGGGGCTCTGGGATCGGGATACGGCCAGCAACAACTCATCCACCTGACGTGCAAGACTCTGGCGACGAAATAAAGGGGGCACCGGGACCGTCAGCCTGCATGCGATGAAACGCAAGGGAATGAAGTGAGCTGCAAGTCTGCAAGCGCCTTTAGCCTTTAGTTTCCTTCTCGCCCGCGGCCTGAGGCCCATGCCTGCCTGCCCGCTGACTGGTTCGGGCCTGCCACAGTCCTGATTGGCCAGCGCGTGTCGCGTTCAACTGGCGAAAAGACGCGTTCCGATCATTGCAATTATTCCACTCATCACAGCGAAACTCACTTTATCCCTTGACATGAGACCCCGGTAACGATTCATACACCTCGAGCTTCGCCAATTGACCCCAATGACCTGCCTATAATCAACCACTCAACCCTCCAGCACCACCATCCACCTCTCCTCCCATCACAATGCGAACCCGCCGCTCAGCCGCTCCCTCGGAGCAACCCGAACCCCAATCCAGCTCCGAACAGACCTCAACACCAGCACGAGCACCAACCCAAACCACACCCCTCAAGACCTTCATCCTCCCCTCCTCCGCCAGCTCCGACGCCCGCTTCCTCACCCTCCCCAACCCCCGAACCAACGCACCAACACGCTACTTCTTCAGCCCCAACCTCGGCGTCTACGAATTCACCGTAATCGCCTCCCCACCCCACACCCCCCGAAGCACACTCTTCGCACCCACCAAACCCAACACAAATCCACAAGCCCACATCTCCAAAAAAGCCGAACTCCTCGTCGCCACCCCCATTGACATCCTCTTCTTCCTCGTCCCCCTCCTCTCCGCACCCCAGAAAACCAAAACCCTATTCCAACCCCTCGACGACATCATCGACTCGCAGGACGAGCTCCCCGCCCACTTCCGCCATGTCCTCTACGATGACACCTTCCGCGCGACGCTCCATGACCGCACCGCTGCTATTTGCGACTTCGTCGAAGCTGGCGATGAGAAGATGTTCCGGTTTAATGAGATGAAATTGCTCACGGAGCTGGTTTCGAAGGCGGATAGGATGGTTTCGATGGGCTTGCCGCCGAGTTTGGAGGAGCGGTTTGTGAAACAGGCGCTTGCGACGCCGTTGATGGCGGTGAAGAGGGAGGATGTTGCTGCTGGGGGCGAGAATAAGGAGAATGAGGCTGAGGGTGAGGCCGAGCTGGAGAAAAAGAAGGCCGCGGACGAGTCTACGACGACGGAGCAAGTTCCTGAGGGATTAACCGCGCCGGATGGCGTTGCGGATCTATTGAGGATATCTACGGCGTTGGCGTTTATGAAGGAATGTTATCTGTCGAAGGAGATGAGTGCCCGGATGGATGAATTGCTGGCTGCGCCGGAGACTCCGAGGGATTTTAAGCCGATGCGGGATCACTTGGATGTTGTGGCGAAGTTGCGCGCGGAGGCGCTCGCGTCTCGCTCGCTAGGGGATTTCAGCCGGAAGCGGAGTGCGGAGGATCAGGAGGCGGCTGAAACGCGAGCGGAGAAGAAGCGGAGGCAGGAAGAAGAGGAGAAGAAGAAGAAGGCGGGCGAGTCGAGGGGAGTGCGCGACTTGAAGAAGGTGAATACGACGGGCATGAAGAAGATGAGTGATTTCTTTGGGAAGGCGGCTGTGAAGAAGAAGACTTAGAGTTACTGCGGTTTTGCGTTGGGATGCGCGGATACTGTTGCAGCATTGGTCGCTGCCAGTCCCGATGGCTGGCGAATTTTGGGTCTGCAGACGCTGTTGGGTCTCGACTAGAGCTGACCCTGTATGGACGGGCATCGGTCCGGGAATACTGCACCTCTTAAAGGCAAGTTAAAGGCAATTGGCGTGGCACCCAAGCCTTTTGCTACCAGGAGTCCAGTGATGGACATGATGGCTGTAGACGTTACTGCCTTCATGCTTATAGAGGTAAGATATACTCAGAGCACATCGGTGGTCACCGAGAAAATAGTCCCATTTGTACAGATACTTCACGTTATACACAAGTGCATGGGTTTCCAATGAACACAGAACTTTGAATCTGTGTTTGCAGTCTGCAGGAGAATAAACCAACGCTAGATCCAAGACCATCATGCCGACTAGATGAAACATTATATCCAAGAAAACCCACCTTAGACCTCGACCTGGGCAATGGCTGCGCCCGTGACCCTGTTGTATGTTAGCATCATGCAGTGTACCGATTCGAGGCAGCAGGGACATACAGGAACGAGCCGTTAGAGGGCTTACTGATGACCATCGCTTCGGTCAATTTCTCCTCACTGATGTCCGGGAACCTCTTCAGGTAGTACTCTTCCTTCAAGGCCTTGGTAACAGCCTCAACCTTGGACTGAGGAAGCATGTGAACGGTGCAACCGCCCCATCCAGCGCCGGTCAGGCGGCTACCCAAGGTACCCGCCCGGCGTGCAATGTCGCAGATCTCGTCCACTTCCGGAGCGCTGCACTCGTAAAGGTTGCGGCACGAGGTCTGGGATTCATTCAGAAGTTGGCCCAGATACTGGATACGTCTCTCGTCGAGATTCGTCGCCTTAGCGAGGCACGCCTTGAAGTCCAGCACCCGACGAGCCTCGGTGAAGCAATGCAGGGCGCGCTGCCGGAGGAGGAAGCGGTCTGCTTGGACAGGGAACGAAGAGAGATACTTAGCTTCGAGCTCAGGGACTGTAATATTAAGGAGCGTGGCAATCTCCTCGCGAGTGTATCCTTGTTCTTGCGTCAGGATCTCCATGGTACTCTGGATCACAGAATCAATCTGGTACTCCAGGGGATCTCCCAAGCGGCCCTCTTTGCTCATCAGCGCATTGTGGAAGTTACGAAGACTGAAGCCGAGAGAACTGTTGTCCTTGGGGAGGGTCAGTCCATTTCTGGCAGCCAGGACCACAGCGGCGAGCGTGCACTCAGCGACGCGAAGGTTGTAATGACGAGGGGCGGTCTCAGCCTTGTTAGAGGTGACGAAGCTCTGCGCCATGAGGAAAGTAATTTCCTCATCTGCCTTGGGGATAGGAACATGCTGAACGGAGAAGTTAGGGTAGAACTGGGTATACAGCAAGTATCCTCGACGAGAGAAAATGGAAGCGGCTTGGTCCATTCTAGCAGTAACAGAGTTAGACCAACTCAAATAAGTATGTAGGGTGGTAAATGATAGCTTACCCTCCCGAGTAGACACCAACTGCGCGCTCAGAAACCACAGCCAGATCAAGCAGATCCTGTTTTGAGACATCATGGTTGTTGGCCTTCATGACTGCCAAGGCACTGGCGCACACGAACGCGGCACTGCTAGAGATACCACCACCCGGAGGCACGTTACCATCCAGGAGGACTTCGATACTAGCGGGGACGAAAGAACCATCTGCATTGTGCTTGCGCAGAAATTTCAGGGCTCCCAGAAGCCCGGCCTTGAAGTAGTTGACCCATTCATGCTTCTTTGGGTCGATCTCAATGTCCGTGTCGTGAGGCACGGTGAACTCGCGGGTAGGGAATTTTTCAGGGTTAACATTGGAAATCTTTACAACCGACTCAGAGCCTGTGGAGGGGATGACTTTTACAGCGATGATCACGTCCACGCTCACGGCGGTGGGAAGGACATCATACAGGTTGTAGTCGATGTGCTCGCCGATGATGTTGACGCGACCGGGACTGCGGGCCACGAAATCCGGGCGATGGTTGTACGACTTGGTAAACTGGGCGACCAGATTATTGAATCGATCCTGGTGCTGAGGGGCAATCGAGGTGACCGAAGCGTCGTCGGTTGCGTAGACCTCAGCGATGGATTCCGTCTGGGGGACGAGTTCCTGCGGGGTTGCCATGGCGGGGTAAAGATGCAACAAGAAAAAGAAAAACACGGATGACAGGCCAGGCGGAGGGAGGAAACAAGAGGAGGGGAAGGGGCAGGAGAGAGAAGAAAGAAGCAGTCAGCCGATATTAAATAAAACAAGGCACCGTCGGTGTTCCTGAACCACTAACTCTACCGGAAGAAATCAATAGGAGAGGGAAAATTCGAGCTGATGGTGCTCCGCAGAGACCCTGATCGGTTCCGGATGGAAGCAAGTCACGGGCGGGATGGCATGGCATGGGCAGCCCGTGATTGCCTGAGAGCCGGGGAAGAGTGGAGGCCCGGAAATGACACCAGTCGTTAGCCAGGCGTCTCCGACTGGTTCACTTCTCCGTTCTCCGTTCTCCGGTCTCCAGTCTCCAGGCTTTTCAACCGACCCCGTGGTTTCGGCTGATTCGGGATGTCCTGGACGTTCTTCGGTCGGGAAACCCATCTGGTCTGTCAACTGCAAGTCAATTCGTTCTCGTCTTCCCTACGTTTTATGTTTGGCCTCTTGTGTTCCCACCACGTCATAGCTGGGAATTTTATTGACAGAGACTGCTTAATTGCACCAATTGACCTTCCGCTCAATAATCCCGCAAGCCACCCAATTTAGCCGAACCCAGATGGCCTCGGTCCTGAACGCGTCCGGGTGGACACAGAAGCTGGGCCGGTTGTACTCCGTATAACAGCCCATTGAGTCACCGACCGATAGTACCTAAGCACCTCAATGAAAATATTTGCCCTAATCTAGTCAATTTACTGGGGTTTATCGTTAGTCTGGTCGACCGATAAAGCTAAGACTGACACCATGGAAATGCGGGGTATCGATTTTCTCGTACCGAACGTTATCGCATGACTGGGGATCAGTTGACTTAAACGTTCTTGATGGATAGTTGGACACCCAACCCAGCAAGGAGCGGTCAATGTTCGATAACTGATTTGCTTCCATCTCCAAGATTTACCTCATAATGTGTTTGGGGTTCCGATCTCGGAAGAGCCCATGCAGGAGACTAATCGCGCTTAATGTTTGCTTCTGAAGGATTCGACCATCCGGAGCATTTCTCCTACAGTGAAAGTTGGAAATACTCAGACGCTTTACAGCTTATGCTCTTGCGGAGGGGCATATACAGTCACTCTACAGAGTACCCTGCACCTACAAGGGCTCTTATTCGGTCGGTGTCAAAAGTACAGCCGGGGTACGGAGTACGAGCAGACTGGGTGGCATCGCGGTTCCCATGCACATTGTTGCTGTGGCTGGAACTCTGCATGTCTGACGCAAGGTCAGACTAATTGCAGGTAGCCAATTTCATCAGCTTAGAGCTTGCACAGTAAGCAGTTGGGCAATATACGAATCTTTGTGGTTGCGAACACTCGTATTCGAGATCGCTTTCATGTTCCATACCTCGTAGGTTTGACCAAGTAGAGGTATGGTATGGTTACTGAGAAGGAATATATCTCCCACTGTCTCGACGATGCGGTGGCTAAGTGCCAACAAACAACCCCTCCACGGAGAATTGCTGAACTAGCAATCCATGTGCATGCTTTTTCTATGCCGGATACCTGCATGTGATCGCAACGCATTGAGCTATATTCGGGCATTTGCCTGCGGGTGGGCTATAAAAACGGCCAAAAGGCCCGTGATCGTCATCATTAAACGGCGGTTGCCCCCAGTAAGGGCTGTAGAGATCCAGATCACTGTAGGGCTTACTCTCCGGTAATTGATTACTGTAGTGAGCAATAAGCCCCAATTGCAACTTGCGAAAGGATAAGGGCATTGATTACGATGGGGATGGGAAAAGCGTCAGCGCTTGACCGGCTGGTTAGATCTCGGATGGTGAAGCAATTGAAGCCTTGACCAGGAGCCTGCACTGCTCCAATGGATGGAGAAATGTTTGCATGTGCAACGCGAGCTCACCATCATCCGCATCCCTCGCCTGTTTTATTGAATGTTGCCCGGGGTTGCTCTGGTGAAGAAGGCCAGCCGAGTGACTGGCACTCCAATCAGGTGATGGTTTTCGCGTCCGGACGCCGATGATCGGAGCAGTGGGCGGGCCGGGGCCAATGGGAGGGCCCAGATTATTCGACTCCAACGGGACTAGGCCGGGGCGGGCTAGCGTGCAACCATAACCGTCCCCGAAGTCTGAGTCTTCGCTCCTGCCTTAAGGAACGGATCTTCTTGCTCACTTTCCTGGTCCCGTTCTTTTTCCCGTTGTGAGCACTCCCCTTTCCCATTCTACAGGCCTGGCAGTCATCCGCCGTCAAGATGATGCCTATGAGACCTACCCAAGGCGCTCTGCGCACTCTGCACTATCAGAGATACCTCGCCTCCGGCAGAAGAACTTTTACCACGACTTCCGTGGCTGCGACCGCCTCGCCCCACCGCTTTGCTGCTCAGAAGAGGTCGCAGAGCACCGCAACAGCTACTGCCTCGTGAGTATCCCGGCCGGCAGCATCCAACCCGCCTCTGGCCATCATGATCGGATGCTAACATGTGTGCCAATCGCTCAGAAACTCAAGACCGGTCCCGAGCCCTGCTTTCAACCAGGAACCTCACCGCAATGAGGTGTCGCCACTCCAAAATCGCCAGGTCCCCGAACTGGACGACTCGTACGCGGCCCTATTACGATTCCCATGGCTGACTGGAATAGAGCTGACATGGTTCTTGGAGCGTAAACAGTTTCGTCGGACTCAGTGGTGGTGAAATCTTCCATGAGATGATGCTTCGTCTTGGCGTCAAGCATGTCTGTGAGTCACGCTACCTTTTTCCCTCGATTTACCGGTCCCTCAAGACGGTAAGGTTGACCCACCACCTCTAGTCGGTTACCCCGGAGGCGCCATTCTCCCCGTCTTCGATGCCATCTACAACTCCAAGCACTTCGAGTTCGTTCTCCCTAGACATGAGCAGGGTGCCGGTCACATGGCCGAGGGTTACGCCCGTGCCTCAGGAAAGCCCGGTGTGGTCCTCGTCACTTCCGGCCCCGGAGCCACCAACGTTATCACCCCCATGCAGGATGCCCTTTCCGACGGTACTCCCATGGTCGTCTTCTGCGGTCAGGTGCCCACCAGCTTGATCGGTACCGATTCTTTCCAGGAAGCCGATGTCATCGGTATCTCCCGGGCTTGCACGAAGTGGAACGTGATGGTCAAGTCGGTCGCCGAACTCCCCCGTCGCATCCAGGAGGCTTTCGAGATTGCCACCAGCGGCCGTCCCGGACCTGTCCTTGTCGACCTGCCGAAAGACATCACCGCCGGTATCCTCCGTAAACCCATTCCGATGAACAGCACCCTCCCCTCCCTCCCCAGCGCTGCGACCATGGCCGCCCGCGAATTGAGCATGCAGCAGCTCAAGGGTACCATCAACCGTGTCGCCCGCCTCGTGAACATGTCCAAGAAGCCCATCCTGTATGTCGGTCAGGGTCTTCTCGCTCGCCCCGATGGCCCTCAGATCCTGAAGGAGCTGGCCGATAAGGCCTGCATCCCTGTCACCACCACCCTCCAGGGTCTGGGTGGATTCGATGAGCTGGATTCCAAGGCGCTGCACATGCTGGGTATGCACGGATCTGCGTATGCCAACATGGCCATGCAGGAAGCCGATCTGATCATCGCTATCGGTGCTCGCTTCGACGACCGTGTGACCGGAAACATCTCCAAGTTCGCCCCCCAGGCCAAGCTGGCCGCGGCCGAGAACCGTGGTGGTATCGTCCACTTCGAGATCATGCCCAAGAACATCAACAAGGTCGTCCAGGCCAACGAGGCTGTTGAGGGTGACTGCGCCGAAAACATCCGTCTCCTCCTTCCCCACCTTGAGGCGGTGCCTGAGCGTAAGGAGTGGTTCGAGCAGATCAACGACTGGAAGGCTCGTTTCCCCTTCTCCCTTTACGAGAAGCAAACCGCCGAGGGACCCATCAAGCCCCAGGCCTTGATTGAGAAGCTCAGCGACCTCACCGCACACATGAAGGACCGCACTGTCATCACGACTGGTGTCGGTCAGCACCAGATGTGGGCTGCGCAGCACTTCCGCTGGCGCCACCCTCGCACCATGATCACCTCTGGTGGTCTTGGAACCATGGGATACGGTCTCCCGGCTGCTATTGGTGCCAAGGTCGCTCGCCCCGAGGCCCTTGTCATTGATATCGATGGTGATGCCTCCTTCAACATGACCCTCACCGAGCTCACCACTGCTGCTCAGTTCAACATTGGTGTCAAGGTTCTCCTGTTGAACAACGAGGAACAGGGTATGGTGACCCAGTGGCAGAACCTGTTCTACGAGGACCGTTACTCGCACACTCACCAGAAGAACCCCGACTTCGTTCCCATGGCCCAGGCCATGGGTGTTGCCGCAGACCGGTGCACCAAGCCTTCGGAGGTTGAGGAGAAGCTGAAGTGGCTGATTGAGCACGATGGCCCTGCTCTTCTGGAAGTGTTCACTGACCGCAAGGTGCCTGTACTCCCCATGGTGCCCGCTGGCTGTGCCCTGCACGAGTTCCTTGTTTATGACGAAGGTATGTTGCGCTCATCTCCCCCTGCTTGGTGAGTAAATGCTAATATGAGTTTGTGATTTAGCCAAGGAACAAGAGAGGAAGGCTCTGATGAGGAAGCGCAAGGTTCCCGGCATCGTCTAAGCAACGCCGCTGACGCTAGCGATGAGTTGCCATGCCTGTTATTTGATAGCTGCAAAAGTGCCCACCCATTTCTTATCTCTTGATATCCATGGCGTTTCTGGCAGGTTCTAAAACGCTAGCGGGTGCCGGTCCGCGCCCCGGAGACTGGCTCCAGTCGTCCCCCTCCTATCAGGGAGCACTGTACTGAAAGATGCAGGGAAGCGCATAGCATTCTACAGTGGGCTCCACTGAGACCTGTACCTGGCCACGTGGACCGGGGCGGGCTTCTTCTGATTCGGATCTGACGCTGGGCTGGATCGTCTTTACCCTTTTTCCTTTTTCCACGTTTTGGCATGCTGTTGATTGCATTGTGGCTCACCCGAAAAGTTGCCTCGTTGGTGGTTGTGGGGCCCAGCTGTATATAATCCTTATGTTGCTGTAATCTTTGTGTGACCTTGGAAATATCATGAGGCATTGAAAAGGGGAATCTGCTGGTGTGATCGCTAGTGCTGACCGGGGCATGCGTATGGTAAATTAGCTTATCTCTACTAGTGCTCCGCGCTGGCGTGCTACCGGACTCGAAAATGTGTACTATCTCTATAGTCTGTCTTAAAGCTGCATCCGCCATGATGGGGCCAAGTGAGGTGATGGCTGAGGTCTCTGGTTGGACCCTCCAGTCTCACGTGACAATCCCCCAACCGGCGGCCGCCCGCCTGTTTTTCGCCGCCGAACAGCCGCGGTTCGTATCCGAAGCACTAATCTGAGACTAGTGAGGGATTACATCGAGTGCTGCTGCTGGTGCAGTGCAGACGTCGGAGCTGCCTAGTAGGGCTGTCACTCTCCCCTCCGTTCTCGCCTCCAGCTCTCTCCCACCGTCTTACCTTTCCGTCCACACATGATGCTGCGCTTGTTCCCTTAGCCCCGACCAGTGCCTCTACCACCGTTGTATCCACTCTCTCTTCCTTCCACCACATCATGGCCTCGGTCCCAGGTTACCCGGCCTCCGGCAGGCCACAGCCATCCGACCATAATACCCCATCTACCCCCCAGAACGAGGTGTCTGGGAGCGTGATAAGTCGCGCTTCGTCGGCTGGATCGGCTGAGGATCATGACACCGTCTTACTCAACGGCCCCTCCGATACAGCCACTCATGGATCCCCGACTACTACCAGCCCGCCCACCGTCGATTCGTCCAGTTACGAGCCGCGCCGGTGTTGGATTTGCTATACAGATGAGACAGAGGAGTCGCCCCTCAATTCACAATGGCGCTCACCGTGTCCTTGCGCCTTGACGGCCCACGAAGCTTGCCTGCTCGACTGGCTCGCCGATCTCGAGAATCCCCGATCTCGGAGGCGCAACGGCCATATTGCGAAGATGGTGTGCCCGCAATGCAAGTCGGAGATTGTTGTGTCGCGCCCACGCAGCTATATCGTGGATATCGTGCGGTTGTTTGAGCGCCTCGCTGGCCGACTGGTCCTCCCGGGCATGGTCTTCACTCTGGGCGGCACCGTCTGGGCGGGGTGCTGTGCACATGGCGTTTATTCGATGTACTTTGTGTTTGGAACCGAGGAAGCTAGAATGATCTTGGAGGAGACAGCAGACGGGGCATGGAATTCAGGCCTCAACCTCGGGTTGCCTCTTATACCCCTGGTGTTGATCTTCTCGCGCACCCGGTACGCAGATGGGCTTCTTCCTGCCATCCCCGTCATGTTTTTCGCTACGCACCAACCCGGACAGGAGCTGGAATTGGATCTTTGGCCGCCCAGTGCGGCAGTGACGTTTGCTGCTCTTCCGTACCTGAAGAGCTTTTATGGCACCCTTTACGAGAGAATGTTTGGCAAGCTGGAGAGGAAATGGATTGCAGAGGTGCAGCCGCGCCAGTCGGATATCAACGAATTCGATGATAATGCGCCGCCAGAACACCCTGAGCCGGACCCGCCCAATGACAACGGACTGCTGATGGAGATTGATTTGGAACTACAGGTTGGGATGGGCGGCGACGACGGACCACAAGGGTTGCTCGGGTTCAACGGCGGAAACGCGCAGGGTGAGGGACAAGGGCAGAACCAGGATGGAGGAAACGGGCAAGCCTTGGGCCTGGCTCGGAGGGATGACTTGATCCACGACACAAGCAGTTTGGCCGACATCATCCTCGGGGCGCTTGCGTTCCCGGCCATTTCTGCCTCGATGGGTGGCCTGTTGAAGTATGTATTACCGACATCGTGGACGACACCATCGACGCTGAGCAAGGCCAAGCCGGGGCTGCTGCAGACCCGTTGGGGCCGGAGTGTGGTTGGAGGTTGTGCGTTTGTGCTTTTGAAGGATGCGTTGGTCTTGTACTGCCGGTGGAAATTGGCACAAACCCACCGACGACGCAAGGTGTTGAACTACGATCGATCGAAGAAGCGGGTGACTAGTAAGGAGTGATGGATTGGTTATGAGCGCAGTGTAACGATGCATTTCTGGCGTTATTCTGATTGATCGGATGGTACTGAGATACACTCTTTGCTGGTTTGCGTTTGATATGAGCGATGATCCATCGGTAAAGCAACCGAGTGGTATGCAGCATACTGAAAATAACACAAAAGATCTCATCGCAGAGAATAAACAGTAGAAATAATTCAAAATCCGTAGTGAAATATACTCTCTACTCTGGAGTAAGCGCGCTTATTCTTAGCGCGCGGCTGATAATCAAAGTTCCGCTCCGAGTCTCTTCCATTCTCCCCGAACTTCTCCAGGCCCTACCTACACCTCCACCTACACCCTACACTCACCACTCTCACTCAACCACCACCCAGGGCCACGGGAACCACCAAATACCAACATGCGCCCTCTTTCCCCCGTCCTGGCCTCCCTGGCCAACGTCTTCCGCATCCCCATCACCCGCGCCCCCGTCCGCCCAACCCTCACCAACGAAATCCTCTCTTCCACTTCTACTCCTACCTCTCCGCGCTCCTTCTCCACCACCTCCGCCCTCTCGAAAAGAAAAGAAAGTGGCTATAGAGGCGATCGTCGGATTCGTACGTCTCCCGCCTCCCAATTGACCCTTCCCTCTCCCAATCCCTTCCCCTTCCCCTCCCATTTCAACCCCAATCCCAATTCCAACTCCCATCCCATCCTAACAGAGCAAAAATATAGTATTAATCCGCTACTTCCTCCACCACCCCCTCACGCCCCGGCCCCTCCGCTTCTCCCGCACGCGTTTCCTCCGGCACTGGACGATCCACCGCGCCTGGAACCTCTACCAAGCGAATCAGCGTCGGGCCCACGAGCTCGAACTCCAGCGCCAGTGGCAGTCCATGCAAGCCGCGTGTGAGGAATTGCGTACGGGGGCCGGTGATGGTGGGAAGTTGTTTCGGAAGAGTATGATTAAGACGGGCGTGTTTAGGGATTTGGTTCCGATTGAGTATGCGCGGTTGCAGACGGAGGGGCCGGCGAGGGAGGGGTGGAATTTTGAGTGGAAGAGGGATTAGATTTCATTACTATCTTTTCAAAGGTTGGGGGGGGAAGACGGGGGATGATTGTGCTGCTTGTATGTATTTATGGTTGGATGTATAATATATGGTTCTGTTCTTTACTTTGGTGGTGGTGATGATGATGGTGATGGCCTACATTACCAGTACAGAATGATACAATTTCAGCATACAGGGAATAAGAAATACACCGCTAGGCAGTAACAGTAGAACACATCAAGGTAAGGACAGACATCGCACGTTCCAACCCAAGGAGAGACTCGGCAGCATCCGGACCAAGGGTATCGTTGAACATGCCAGGCAAGATTCCACAAAGAAGAGGCCCTCCCAAACGCCGCAAATGCAAGATATATCGATCAACGTCCGTCGACCACCCGTCCCCCTTTTTTTCAAATCCAATTCAACAGACTGGCCCACGCGTGCGACGCGTGGCAACATGCGCAATAACCGCAGAGCGAAATGAACCGTCGTGGCTGGCATGCAAAATCGCTGAAATACCATCAGAGTCGGCGACATATATAATCGCAAGTCGTTATCTTCCGTCATAGCACAATGCAGCACGAGCTCTTGCGCTTATCGAACGTCAGGAGCGCCGCACGCGTCGCCGCCTCGAACACATCGTCGACGCCCTCGCCGGTTAACGACGAGCATTCTAGATACTTGCGGGCTCCGATCTGCGTGGAGATGTCGCTGCCTTCTTTCGACGTCACGAACTTCAATGACTTCTTTCTCATCTCCTCGACCGCCAGAGGATCTTCCCGCAGATCTTTTTTCAGGCCGACGAGGATAATCGGGACACCCGGACATCGTTCGTTGGCTTCTTCAATCCACTAGACGAGCCGGTCAGCACAGCTGGCAGGGCCAAGGTGGTCAGACGAACCTTATGTTTGACGTTCTCAAGCGAATCGGGCGTGTCCACGGAGAATCCAATCAGGATCACATGCGCCTTGGAATAGGCTAGTGGGCGGAGTCGCTCGTAATCTTCCTGACCGGCAGTATCCCATAGAGCCAATTGGACCGAACGGCCATCCACTCGGCAATCCGTCACATAGTTCTCAAATACCGTGGGGACCTGGTAACGCGGCGACAGTCAGACACATGCACGGGGTGGGTAGCGAAAAGGTGATAGTTACGGACATAATGCTACACATCAAAATCATATTAGCTCAGAACCTTGGTCATTAAACCCTCATCGCGCAATGGAAGACTCACAGTTGGAAAGTAACCCAGGGTGAAGACACTGAGCAGACTGGTCTTCCCGCAGGCACCGTCTCCGATGATAACCAACTTCCTGCATGCATGTCAGACCTGTACCCATTCGTCTCGGACGAGCGCCTGGTGAGGGACAGCGGGTGGGCTGATAACGGAAGCAGTGATCGGTGGGAGATAACATGATGGCCTCTGTAGCCCGGGCGGCGACCTGGCGGGACGTACCTTCGCATCACATTGTCGTTCTGTTGCTGGGCCATTTTCGATGACCGGGTAGGATCTCGAGATCCCTGGAGCGATGCGGCGAGAGGGAACGAATGGGCGAAGCAATGCGAGGGCGCTGACGAGCCCTGGCGGAACCCGGAACGAAGTAAGAATCAGGCAGCAGGCAAGGCTGGCTGGATGGGGCGATTAGTGCAGGGCGACGGTGGAAGGAGGGGAAGAAATTGGATGGTAAAGATGCCCCTCCCCCTCAGATTAAGAGATACAGGTGAGGAGGCAAGAGGAATGATGCAGAGCCGGGGAATGGAGGAGCAGCTGGGATAATCGGGGTCTTTTTGGGGAGGGGAGGAGGCCAGTCCTTCTGGAAGGCGGTCGCGCGGGTGAGGCTGACGGGGTTACTTACGACAGGCAGAACCGTGGTTACGGTATGGAGTACAGTAGATACTGGAGTGGTACGGATGAGCAAGGCACAAAGTAAACAACCACTGGGCCGCTGCACCGCAGAGTCCATGAGGGGGAATCATCAGGCATCACATTATTATATATGGCATCATCCCCCCTTCTCAGCGAATGGCCAGGAACTCCATCGAATAGCATAGGGCCGCCCAGCACCGCGACCACAACCAATCCCACTGCACACTAATGACTTCCATAGTAATCAAGGAAAAGGATGGGATCGACCCAGTGGAGGGCACAGCTGAAGAATCGTCACCGCACGGCCACTTGTTACTAAGGTTAGAGATTTGTCTCAGACGTTGCAGGCTAGACGGTGGTTATTTCGCGATAGTCGCTGTTACTATTATGAGGGTGGAGAGCCTGTTGGTCCAGGGGAGGGGGATCGAGCCAGGACCAGGGGCATGCGCTGCTTACCATTGGACCCGGCTCCCCAGAAGCGATATTTATAGACTCGGATGCTCTGGCTGCAAGAACCCCGAAGGATGGGCAAGTCCGGTTCCATTGGTCGTGGTTAATTGAGGTGAGGGGAGCAATGGTGCGCGAGAAGAGACTGTGCGAGTCAGGGCACCTTTTTTTAAATTCTTCCCACGCCCGTTGTTGATCAGAGACATGTGGACTCCACTGTACTACTACTGACCTGGCAGGCTCAATTCTCAACCGTCAACAAGCTTGTCGTCCAGTCCTTCTTTCCCCATCTCTCCCTATCTGGATTCTGGGGTGTTGCTCCTCCCGGACTAACCAGCGCGCCCTAAATCCTGGCTGACAGCCACTTCAGGGGTCGGACTCACTATGGCTGAGCAGGTCCTCAACTCCGGTCCATGCATGACATGACATCTTTCTGCATCCATCCCTGCGTCCTGAGGTGTCGGTTCTTGTCCGCCCGCCTCGTTCTACTTCCTCCTGGGCGTCTATAGCACGGCTTCTTATACCCTCTAGAGTTCCGGCTAGATTCTAGACTTGAGCTACGCTATCTATTTCCAGAGCTTCCAGCTGGTCAAAAAATCATTTACTCTGAGACATTGCTTCTAGCTGCATTAAGGTAATGAAACAAACGGAGATCCCCGAAAACCTCCCTCCCCCCCGGTCATCCACCAATTATTTACACTCTGGTGAACAAATCTCCAGCACACTCCAGCATTCAGATCATAACCTCATCAATATCATAGACCAGATGCTGCTGCCTGATCCCCCAGGACTCCAACCCCAATCGGTTATATAGTCCATAGGTAGCCCACGCCATGTACTCCTTCATCCTCAATTTCCATGGGCTGACATCTCTCCGCGCCTTCCCATTCTTGGTCGCCAAAGTGGAGATCGCCATGATGCGCGGTCTCCGGATTGCCTCATACTGGGCAAAGACATCATCCAGACTCCGTTCGGGGTCGCGCAGTAGCCGCGAAAGCAGAAACACATCTTCCAAAGCCATGGACACTCCCTGACCCGCATGAGGCTGCATGGCATGCGCTGCATCTCCAAGCAATACCGTTCGAGAGGTCGACCACTTTCCGCCCAGGGGGAGCCGGAAGACAGGATAAAAGCCAATAAATTTCGTCCGGTTTACCAGTTCTGTTAGCGTCTCGCGCCACTCGCCCTTGCCCGTGTCGAGGATATTATGAATAGTATCTTTATACTCCGCAACCTCTCGCTGGCGCCGCTCCTCCCACCCGTCTCGTGCATTGCCAGATTCTGAGTGAGGAATGGGCGTTTCCCGCGAGAAGAACCAAAAGAGCTTGTCCCCAGATGCGGAGCAGGGCATTGTTACCAGTAGCCCATTACAGGTCATAAAGGCGTTTGCTTGTGTTCTGAGCGCATCCGGAAGGTTGCTGGACTGGATGATGGATTGGGTTCCGGCGATGCCAGAGTACTCGGGCACAATGGACGGGTCAACATGCAGTCGACGGACACTAGAGTGAAGGCCATCGCATCCGATCAGCATATCGGCAGTGTCAGTCGATCCGTCAGAGAAGGTCACAGTGACATTGGTTGGTGACTCGGTGACTGAGACGATACGCTTATTGTAGGAGACAGGGATACGTTCTTCAGCAACGGCGGTGAGAAGAACATCCTGGAGATCTCTCCGGCAAATGCGCAGATATCCGAAGCCCGTCTGCTGGTGGGCCCAGGAAGCCATGTCGACCTTGGCGATGTCACCGTTCTGCAGTGAATGGATCTCCATGTGGGTGACGCAGGATCCGCGTGCGAGAAGGGCCTCATAAAGGCCCATTCGATGAAGCAGACGCATACCATTTGGAAAGATTCCAATGGCGCCACCCATTGTAGTCGGTTCCGGGCGTAGTTCATACACTGTGATGGCGATGTTGTTGTTGCGATGCAGCTGGAGTGCGGCAGCCAGGCCGGCAGGGCCTGCTCCGATGATAATGGCCTAAGTGGTTATATTAGCCAAAGCCTTATGACGAGGAAGTTGAACGAACCTTCTTTTGAGCAGGCATCTTGTATGAGGGCTTGTGTCTGGAGAACCGATGGTTGACCAGCGCGAAAAGCCATCTTATAGTCCATTCTCGCCAACAATATCCAAAAGAATCGGGTTTAGGCTCCGCGGATGTCCGTGGAGGGAATTTCCTGATTAGGTTTAGGCAGGGACATAATGCTGGGGGGCGACCGCCGTTCCTGTGGTTCCTGTTTCGACTCTCGTGACTCGTACCTGATCCAAGGCGATACCGATCCGACAAGTGGCAAGCCCCGCCGACCTCAAGGCGATCAAGGAACATCCTATCCAGCTGCTTTGACTGACACTGTTCAGTTTAGAATTGCACCTACCACGTGATTTAGTCGGGGCCGAACATCATCCAATCAGATTCAACTACCGCGGGTGCCCGACCGTTTCTCCATGATTGAGCCAGGCCAGATACTGCAAGATATTGTTCCACCCATATCGCAGTCATGTACGGAATGCTGCCTACAGACTTGATCATACTATAACGGTCTACTAGTACACCAGGGTTTGATGCTTCATCCACACCGCATTGCCTGCCGTAGTGACAGAATGCATGAAGAATTACATAGTATATTCGGCTAAGAGGGAACCAATACTCCGCACCGCACTCGCATCTACACCCATTCACACTGATGAGGATACATTGCTCTTATCGGGATGCGGGCCTTTGATGCTATTGCTTATCATCTCTATGGAAAACCAGGAGAAAATCATGCCCTTAAGAGGGAGAAACATCCGCAGAGGGACAGATAAGATTAGTCGGCGATGTCTGCCTATGAACTAGCGACTTAACATAGTTATCTCTAGCTTGACGCGCTGCTCCACTGCCCAAGCTCAAGTCAACATGCCTATCACCTGCCTCGAAGCTATCCGTCGTGATCTCCTACTCAGGCACTTTCCGCGGCAATGATCCTGTCGGCCATCTCGGGAAGCGTGTCAGCCATGACTTCCATCTCTCCAAATAACTCCACGATGGGCTCTTTCTCCCAGATGGAGCAGTATGCCCCTTTGTATCTATGTACCTAGTGTCAGTCGTTCCCGTATCTCCGTGATAACAAGTCACTTAGCGCATCTGCACTCACCCCGCACGGCGAGCCGCCGAAACGTCCCACATATGGCCAGCAGCGAACCAGGGCTGCCCATTCTCAGACAACTGCTCCAGGAGCGGTTGGTATACCTGCAAGTCGGGCTTGCCCACACCCTGCGTATCGCAAGATTTCAGGTTCTCTGCAGGCCAGGCAAGACCAGCGTTGGCAAAATATCCCCCCACTCTCGCGATGTCCCCCGCTGTCAGCGCCCAGACAGTGAACCCAGCATCACGCAGCTTGGTGACGCACTCGATCGCTCCGGGACGCAGTCCTAGCTTTGCGTACTCTCTCATGATAAAGGCAAGATCGCTGTCCGTGGCAAAGCTTCTTGGGTTCTCGATGCCGGCCATATGGAGCATCCGGTAAAATAGTAGCTCGAAACAGGTTGCAAACGGCTTATACTGGCCCGACAGGCTCAAATAGGTGTACTCTCGTTCCGCAACCTCGATCCAGGTGTATCCTAGCAGAGACGGCTTGATGCCCTCTGCACGGAGACGGTCGCCCAGTTGGGTGTCAATCGCATCGAAGAGGACGTCATACGACACCAGGGTGCCGACAATGTCGAACACCACGTTCTTGCTGCCAGTCATAGTGTTGATCAGATGTAGGGGCCAGCTAAGCAGAGTTAGAGGAATAATTGTGTTGGATGATCGAAACTTTATGGGCAAATGCTCGCTTTATACACCCGACTCCGGACTGGCCGACATGTGTCATTCAGCAGATGACCAGCCACCCCACTCTTGCTCCTCTTTGCCCTCAGCTTTTCCTCATACGGAGAAAAAGAGGAGACTCGGACTACTCCGCACGATTATCTACAACTCGCTATTAACGCCGCTGCCATTATCACAGTCTAGCTTATCTCCGCAGCAGGATGACCATCCTGCTGCTGTCTTTCAGATAGGACGGCCAACATGGCCAATGATATTGCCATCAGATCCTCACTACGCTCACCGGAATCAACTTATAAAGTGCCGCCTAAATCCCCTCCTCGACAGCCACGTACGCAAAAGAGAAAGAGAGAGTAACCGATCGTAACTATGACGAAGAAAGTGACCGATACCCTCACCGTTGTCGATCCCGAAAACACCGATGTCATCAAGGGAGAAAGTGAGCTCTTGGGAGCAAGTGAAGATGTTGGCTATCACCGATCGCTCGGTCGTCGTCAGATCATGATGATGACCTTTGGTGCTGGCGTCGGGACCGGCTTGTAGGACCGCCTCTCTATACCTGACCAACCACTTACTGACTGCTCCTATCCGTCCAGATGGGTCGGTACAGGCACTGCCTTGAAGTATGGTATGAATCTCTGAGGGCAAGCTACGAAGAAGCTTACGCCGCTAACCACCGTGTGTAGCTGGACCTGGTGGGATCGCCGTTGCATACACGATTACTGCGTATGCCTACCCAAGTACGTGACAAGTATGCATTCGTTGACCATTGCTCTGTCCTTGTTAGGCTCGTGGTATATGTGCAATATACCTCCATCGGAGAGATGACAACATTTAAACCGGTCCATGGCGGATTTATCAGACAGTGTATCGAGTACGTGGAGCCCGCCTTCGGGTTTGCGGTCGGCATCAACTTTTGGTTCTCGGTAGGCAGCTCGTCTCAACTCGAAAGGATGGATGTCTAACTGATGATTGCCAACAGTGGGTGCTTTGCATTCCCGCCGAAATTACCGCGGCGGTCTCCGTGCTTGAATTCTGGCCGCAGACGGAGGTTATCCCTCTTGCAGCATATATCACCATTTTCCTGGTTGTCATTGCCGCGGCCAATGCATTTGGCGTTCGGATCTACGGCCATGTTGAGTATATCATGTCGTTTACCAAGTGCCTGGCAATCGTCGTCATGATCTTCTTCATGATCATCATGACTTCGGGGGGCATCCCAGGCACGCATGGTGCGATCGAATTCCGCTACTGGCGCAATCCCGGTGCATTCAACAATGGTATCAAAGGGATCTCCAAGGCATTTGTCCAAGCACTGTTCAGCTTTGGTGGCGGCGAGCACATCGCAGTCATCGCTGGAGAGGCCAAGGATCCTCGTCGGACCATCAGAAAGACAGTGTACCCAGTCTTCTGGCGTATGTTTTCGTTCTTTGTGGTCAACATCTGGCTTGTGGGCATGTGCGTTCCTTACAACGATGATAACCTCATCAATGGCAGTGGCACAATGGGGAGTCCATTTGTCATCGCCATTGAGCGGGCCGGCGTGATGTGGCTAGCACATATCATCAATGGGTTCATCTTCCTGACGGTGATCAGTTGTGGAATCACCAGTGCATACATTGCTAGTCGCAGTCTTGCTGCATTGTCCGACATGGCTATTCTGCACCCTTTCTTTGGTCGGAAGGACTCTGCTGGCAGACCATATGTTTCTCTGACCATCAGCACTGTCCTCGGAGGGGCCTTGTGCTATCTGAACTGTAACGCCACGGGGGCTACCGTATACAACTGGTTCTCTTCTCTGGTACGGATCTACCCGATGCAAGTGTCGTTGCCCTATATCTGACTCTGCTCCTAGGTGTCTGTCTCAGCCCTCTTCCAATGGTCCAGCATCTTCATCTCCCATATCCGATTCCGGCGGGGCCTTGCCGCGCAAGGCATCAGCACACGGACGCTTCCCTTCCGAGACCGGACGGCTCCTTACTCCCAATACCTGGGCCTCCTGGTGGTTCTTTTCATCGCAGGCTGCGAGTTCTACTTGGCGTGCTTCCCCTTCGGCGAGCAGGGGTCTGCAAAGTCCTGGTTCTCATCGTACATAGCTGCCCCGTTATTCTTCCTGGATTATTTCGGCTACAAAGTGAGTTTTTATTTCTCGGGTAGACTTGGGGTAGGGACTGACCGTTCAACTAGATCTACTTCCGCTCCAAGCTAGTTCGTCCGATAGATATGGACTTCACGGCGGCTCATGTTTTTGATGAAGAGGACCGGGCCAGGGCGACCGTTGGCTACGAGACCCAAAGCCGGACAGACAAAAAGATCGGACAGTCCATCAAGGATCTGGTTTTTGGTTGAGCTCGAGCGACTCGGCTGTATTGGTTCACGTAAAGAGACAAGAAACCGGAGACTGGCGGTCAAGAAATACTTGAGCATTTACACCTAGATAACGTCCTCATTAAATACCCAATCTCATGAGACTTGCAGGTGTCTCCGCTCACATTTCGTAAAGTGAAGCCCGCTCCGGCTACTATTTATATTCGACGGGGTGGGGAGAGGCGTCGCACAAAGGAACACCCCAAAGCCAAGACATAAACCCAGCGCAACCATCTCCATCTTCTCGTATTTATTTCTCGCCAGTTTCTTCATTGAAACTCCATACAATCATCTTATCTCACCTCTCATACTACTGGCTTAAGCAGTACCACGGGCGGCGCAGCTTCCCTGCATAGTCTCGGTGGCTACGGAGCACTATCTACTTGGTGTCAACGACCGAACAAGGGTTGCACCTGTTCTTGCAATAAGGGTTTCTCCGACCCTGCGTGGCTGATTTCAGCTGCGTCGCCTGGCAGGTGGCTTCCGAGCCTTTATCGGTCTAACAGTTGATCTGTTGCAGCCGTGATCCTGATGTCAACCCAACGCGCCCATGGAGGGATAGTGTGTGGATGCTATCGCAAGATCTGCCACGCATGCTGACGATTCCATCATTAATATTTGAGTGTCTCAGAAGGTCTCAGAAGGTCTCAGAAGGACTCTTGGTATCCTTTTTCCTTGTTTTTATTCGATACACAGAGACTCTAGATACGAGCAGGGTGTGAATAGGCCGCGTCACATACTTTCACTTATGCTTCAGGCAACGAATACAGATCTACTGGCTGAGAATAGCTTAATCACTTTCTGATAACGGCCTAGACCATTGCTTGGTCAATCAGGAAATAAACTCCAGGTCTGGCCATGCCCCTCCCTTTCCAGGCACCAAGTCTAACGTTCTCGTTTCAACAGCCCCCTATCAGTCCGCTGCTGACGACGCGACCACGATGCAGTCCGTACACATGGAACTCGATGTGACACCTGTCACTGCAGATGCTTCAAAGATCGGATGATAATCCCAGTTGCTGGACGGTGGACCCTTCATAATATGGCTGCCTCCTTCCATACGCTACGGATGGTGATTGCTGGGGAAAGCGCTGCAAATAAGCTCTCGCAGCCACCCGCCTTGAAACCATCGGGGCGTTTGGCAGCCGTTACGGAGTGGAAGTTTACTAGGGCCATCTTTTAGCCATCATTTTGGGGGGTTCTGACGACTCCTGCTAGGCTATTCTGCACGCCGTCGCTTTCTCGGGCGCAAGAGGGTGCGCCATTGCCCGCTCTACGAATCAACGCATCGATCGGACTGGAGACCCAACGGGCTCTCCATTTCGCATCTCCCAATGGTGGTCTCGTCAGGCGGCCTCCACGGAGTTTTTATGGAGATCCTTAATCTCTGGGCATCGCTTCCTTCGGCATCCGCTGAAACCGTCACCGCTTATTTCCAAGCGCAGGTCCTAAAGACGACGGCACAAACAAAACATCAAAATTGAGACTGGTCAGACGGTTCAGGAAGGAAGCGACCGGTCAATGAAGTCATGGGATGTTCAGGATTTCCTGTATCGGCTGAGAAATGAATCCTGTGTCGTGGCTCGAGCAATGAGGTCGCAGGAATTCAGCGGCCTCCACCCACAAACCATGGTGAGCCGGCCCGTCAAGACGTCAATCTCAAATTCCATCTGGGCCAGCCGCCGGAACGTGCCAACCTCTGTGTAAGATACACCGGGGCGGAAATGATCTGGAAAGGACAATCACAGATGCAATTGTGGAGCAGACTACTTCAATTCCACGGGCGCAGTTGGGCCAGGCTGATCGGCATTCTCTAGTCCTTTTCTATCATTCCACTAACGAAATAGTCGAGACGAGTTGCGGAGTCCCACGAGCACGCCGGCCACCCACGCGCCACATGGTGCAGGGAAGATAGGGATCAGGGAGTATGCATATTTTCATGTCATACGATAAGCCGGCGGGAACAGAATCAAATCCCTCGTCGACGACCGCACAACGGGGGCCCCTAAACAAACGCAGGATGGACTGGGAATCACCGGTGCAAGTGCCAACCGGCCCGCCAGTCGTCATGGGCGCGGAACAGCGGCCTTTTCCGAGCGAGCCCACTCGGAGGGCTAGTGAAGAGTGACACCAACTGAACCTTCCTGCGGTCCGCTAATCCCATTCATTACACAACCCGTACAACCATTGCCCGGTTAGTTACCAATTCTGCACGGCACAGGTTGGCCCTCTTCTGTTCCTGGTCCCGGCCCACGGGCTTAGGCGTGTATGGTGCAGGCACGGGTCGTCCAGCTGTCGGTCCTTTATCCAAAGACCAGCTTAGTGCAGACTTATGGGATCCCCACGAGGGGGTGGAAAGGTGCTTGCTTGCATTCGGGCTGTGGCATTTGCTTGACCTAAGCTCTTCTGCAGATGGTGTACTAATTGCCTACCCCCCTCAAGTGTTGAATTAATAGCCCCCCCACGGCAATCCTCCCGGGTGGCCATATCATAAACGCATCCCTTCCCTCGTCCTCCATTACGGTCTCGGACACCGGTCCGACATCCTCTAACTCCCACCACTCGGACACTAGACTGCCTTTACCCGTTCTCAGAATGGCTGCTTGCAATGGCACGGAGTCGTGGGTTCGAGGCGGGGAGGAGTTCAGAGGGCAGCGCCTGCTGCCCGACATCGTCGACTACTTCGCCCATGAGGAGCCTGATCGCGTATTTGCCGCCATTCCCAAGTCAAGGAATGTTGCAGATGGCTTCCGCGATATCAACATGAGAATGTTGGCGACGGCGGTGAATCATATGGCTGGGTGGGTTGACCGCGCCTTTGACGGAGTCTCCAAAAAGACAACCCTGGCTTATATCGGCCCTCCTGACCTCCGCTACCCAATCCTGCTGCTAGCGCTCATGAAATGCGGATGGACAGTATGTGGCCATGCTCCTCCACAGACAATGCTCGCACACTGATTGATCCATACAGGCGATGTTCGTCTCTGTCCAAAACACTGCGATTCAGAATCTAGGCCTGTTGCAGGAGGCAGATGTCCATGGGCTTCTCTACGCGGATTCCGAGTGCCCAGTCGCAGAGAGTCTGCAACAATTCGACCCATTTATGCCAGTCTTACAGCTACCGGCATTGGCCGAGCTCTTAAAGTCTCGGGCCCCTCCATTTCACTGGGCGGGCTCGTTTTCCGACCTCCAGGACAAACGTTGCCTGATTCTGCACACCTCCGGCACGACAGGTCAGCCAAAGCTGGTGAATTACACCCACGGTACTCTATCCTGCGCCGACAGGGACACATTTCTGCCTGTCCCAGAGGGGCGGCGTGCGCAGAATGCGGACCAGTTCAACTTCTCCCCACCCGGACGTTTCTACTCGCCCTTTCCCCCTCACCACGTAAGTTGCCATATGCACTCTTAGAGATTCACAAACTCATGGATTGGGCAGCTAGCCGGGCTCCATGCCTACACTCTTATGCCCCTCTTTTCACATACGGCCGCTTTTGTCATGGGACCTCTTTCTGTCCCACCGAGCGGGTCCCTGCTGAGCGCGATTTTGCAACAACAGCCGCAGATCCGAGCTATCTACGCTCCCCCATTCATGATAGAGCAGTGGGTGCTCGAGCCGGGAGCCTATGACCAGGCACGACGTCTTGATTTCATCCTTTTCGGTGGAGGGGCACTGGCCCCTAGGGTTGGGCATAAGCTGAGCCGAGTCACTGACGTGCGCCAAATGTATGGGTCTATGGAGACTTGTCATATCCAGGTGCTCATTCCTCAGCCCGGGGAATGGGAATACCTTGAGTTCAACAAATGTGAGGAATACGAGATGCAGGCTGTAGGTGATGGTGTGTATGAGCTGGTGCTGCACCCAAACGAAAAGTCTCGCTCGCATCTGTCGTTTGCTCATAATTATCCCAATGTGCGCACGTGGCGCACGAAAGATCTATTCATGCCTCATCCCACAAAACCCGGGCTGTGGCGCTTCCACTCCCGTACCGAGGATATCATTATGCTGGAAAACAAACTCAAGGTGTGGCCGATTCCCATGGAGACCATCCTACGAGGGAATCCTCATGTGGTCGGGGCTTTGATCGTGGGGAATGGTCGCCCAGAGCCAATCCTCCTCGTTGAGCCCCGGCAAAGCTCTTACACGGAGATGGGCAAAGAAGACCTGCTGGATGCTATCTGGCCGTCTGTCGTCGAAGCCAATTCGGTTGCCTCAGACTATGCGCAAATCCGCCGGTCGCGGATCATCCTATGCCCACCCCAACTCGGCTTTTTCCGGACCCCTAAGGGGACAGTCATGAGAAAGCCGACCGAGTCCTTGTATATTGATCTCATTTCTGCAATCTTCAAGGAAGAGGATGAAGAATCCAGCGGCGATGAACAGGAATACTCCGGTGACCGAACGGAGGTGGGAATGCGCGAAGATCAACTTCTGGCTGCGACCTAGATGTCCCATACTACGAAAAGCTTTTTGCAGGTTGAACGAGAGACGAATTATTACTGTTATGAACGCTTCGGATTGAGACTGAAGGATTTGCAATACACTGCCGATTTCAATGCATGCCATCTAGCCAGCCATTACCAGAGGCATCTTGGGGCGGCATGGCTCACCAACACACGTTCGTGATCAAGCCGTTCAGGGGAGCCATGACCAGGAAGGAGGATAACCAACGCCGTGCCAGGTCCGTATTAAGTCTAGTGACAACTATGAGCACCAGGAACCGGAAGCCTCGCCGACTGGAGGAACCCACTTGGGCGTTTTGGTCGAGTCTTCTGGTCATGTTTTAGATGGCTTGCGGGCATGCGCCGACACCTAACCGAGTCCTCCAATAGGCTGCCCGATGTGTGCTAGTTGGAGCTTCTCATTGGTGCATTGGCGGACACTTTGCAGGCGTATCAGCCAGAGCTGAGGTCGGAGGGAAACGGCACAGACCATGATTTGGCTGCAACACAGTAGGGTCAGCCAGGAAAGTCACAGTTTGCACTACATTCTATTCTGTCTTCCCTATTTCCTTGATCGCTTGCCTTAGCTAGAGCTTAGCCACGTTGCTACTATTTGAACCACTTGGCCATCTTCACTGGTCCGTGCAGTAAAACCTAGATGGGCCTGATGTATGTGCTTTTGTAGGTATCTTACCTGGTTCGAGACCTACAACGTTCCCTCGCACCATGTTTTCCATGAAGGGAGCTTAAAGGGAGTGAATCTGTTTTGCTCGTTGTTGGGTTGTCCAAGCATTGTACGTTCATGATTAACTTAGATCTCCTGCATCTTCCACTTTTACTGTAACCCTGTCATACCCGGAGCTTCCTGCACGGCAAGGTGACACAGCGAGAGATGAAAGTCGTACAGCGATGCCTGGCATCTCCGAGGTATCACATTAACCTGAGCTTGGATACAGAGGCTGGAGATCCCTCTGTACTTAAAAGACGGCGATCGCCAGCAGTGCTGGATGGGCCCATGTCTCTGTCCGGGGGGGGGGCCATGGGGTTAATGCAACATCTCAACAACACATGGTCAGTTCTCTTTCACCCAGCTAGAGATCAGATTTATGTGATGGGCTGAGTCCCGGAGAGTCAGCCAACATCATGTTTGAATGGGGTTGTAGCCAGGCAGCGTCGATCATGAGATCCCCCCTCTTTGAGACCCCGCAGGAGGGGAGCGCTATAGCGTCCCCCCCCCCCGGCCTTCCCCGTGGGCGGACACATAGCGCTCAACACCGACATGACCCGTGAAGGCAGCCAAAGCCGACGGCCGTCCGAGTTGCTGCAGGTTGGACCATAGCTAGCGACCGAGCGAGCAATGAGGCCAAGCCAGTGAGGTTCCGCTAGCTGGGAAGGTGGTCGGCAAAGTGCGCCCCCTTGACTGGACGCTCCTGGCTGGCGAGGCGCTTACGCCGGGGAATGATCGGGGGGCGCGTGATTGCAGCATCATGAATGGAGGAGGAAGAAGAAGAAGAAGAGGGGAAAGAGAGCAGCAAGAGGAGAGAAATGAAGTAGTAGAGGTGAATGCAATGCGTGGCACCTCGCTTGCGGCGGCTAATCCAGTTGCGGCCAGCGGCACGGCAACCATCCAGAGCCCAACGCCCGGCGTCAAGATCCATCACCATCCAAATCCATCATCTCCAGCCCTCTCAGTCGATCTCACACTGCCTGCGCGTGTCGCCGACGCTCCTTCGACTCGGATCGGTCCTATTCCCCGCTACGCCACCTCGGCCTCGTCTCATCTGGTCACCCCCCGATCGCCTGGGATTGAACGCCAAAGCCCCCCCCCTCTCGGTCGTGCGGTCCCGGGTCCTTTCCACCCCTCTCCGCCCTCGTTCCCCGTTTGTCGACGCTGGGATCCCTCAATTCACCTGGGCGCCTCCACTCGCAGCCTTTCGCTTGCCTCAAGTGATTCACCCGACGCCGGCGTTTACGGCCCTCTCTCAGTCTTTCAACTTATATCTCCCCTTCTTCGCCCGTCCGCTGTCCGGTGAGCTTCCTGTGCTTCTCCTACCTGGCTACCTCCTCCGCCGGGCGTCTTGCTGACTTTTTCCTCCGGAACGCTTCCCTAGCATGGTGTTTGGGTCGGAAGAACCTAGGAGACTGAGAATCCCGCCCCCTTCATCCTCCCAGCTCATCAGTGTCTTAGCCTCATAAGACACGCCCTCGATGGCTCCGCCGCAAACGCCTAGGCCGAATCCCGGTTCCACCATGTCCGATCTTGCGTCGACCTCCATCCCTGCACACACCACAAATGGCGAGGCCCATGCGCCCAACGACCGCGCCCAACTTCCCTTATCAGACTCCAAGCCCATGTCGGTAAACCGCAAGAAGCAAAAACGCAGACAAAAACAGGCGGCCCGCTTGGCAGCGGATCGTAAGGTCGGAAATGGACATGCCGCCGCGGAGATCACCTCACCGAACGGTTTAAGCCCTACCACGCCGGAGAGTCCTGGATCCGACGATCATGATATCGAGGAGGTCGCTCCCAACGGCGACACGCACTACGAGCAGACACATGACGCGACGCATGGACAAACCCATCCTCCGGATCGGTCCAACGGGCAACCCGGCCATCCAGCATCCACGACTTCGAAATCCAAGAAGAAAAAAGGCAAAAAGGGTCAGACAGGCTCCCAACCGCTGGGCGATGAAAGCTCCACCCCGCTGTCCACTCCCTCGGTCTCCATGTCACACCCTCTGCCCCCGCCGTTACCGCCGCATCTCGGACCTCATACGATTCTGAAATCTAGCAAGGACCGCAGCATCTGGAATACGTCCACGCAAGAAGAGCGCGAGAACATCAAGACGTTCTGGCTCGAGCTGGGTGAGGAGGAGCGACGACAGCTGGTCAAGGTCGAAAAGGATGCGGTCTTGAAAAAGATGAAGGAGCAGCAGAAACACTCGTGCAGCTGTACCGTGTGTGGGAGGAAGCGGACTGCGATCGAAGAGGAATTGGAGGTGCTGTATGATGCTTACTACGAGGAGCTGGAGCAATACGCGAACAACAACCATGGCTCGTTCGAGAAGGGCCCGCCGATGATCCCGCCTCCTCGTCTATACCACCCGCCTCTACGGTCGCCCGGTCAGCATACACGGACACAAGGTCAATTTCACCCCTCTCGGGGCCGGATCCATGAGGTGCAGGAAGACGATGAAGACCTGGAAGAAGAAGAAGACTACGATGAGGAGGATGAGGAGGATGATGAGCCATACAGCGATGACGACGAATATGAAGATGAAGAAACCCGAGCCGCCCGTGCGGATTTCTTCGCCTTTGGAAATAGTCTAACTGTCAAAGGTAGGTGGAGCCCTCAGCTGGTTCACCCTCGTTCTGAGTTCATACTAACTTGGTTCCTCCGCTGGTAGATGGCATCCTAACCGTTGCGGACGATCTGTTAAAGAACGACGGGAAACATTTCATTGACATGATGGAGCAATTAGCTGAGCGTCGAATGCAGCGGGAAGAGGATACCCAATACGGGATTGCTGCAGCCCACCAATCCCTCCATAGCGGTCATAATCACGGTCCCCTTGATGATGATGATTATGATGAGGAGGAGGATGAGGACTACGATAGTCAGGAGGATGAAGAATATGAGGAAGATGAAATGGTCAGCTCCGGGAACTGGCCGGGTGGTGATGCCGTGCAAGCTGACACGTTTCTGCAGGACGCCATGACGGAAGAGCAACGCATGGAGGAAGGTCGGCGCATGTTCCAAATCTTTGCGGCCCGGATGTTCGAACAGCGCGTCTTGACAGCCTATCGGGAAAAGGTCGCCGAGCAACGCCAGCAGAAGCTGATCGAAGAGCTCATGGAGGAACAAACGCGGAATGAACAACGAAATGCCAAGAAGGCTCGTGAAGCGCAGAAGCGAAAGGACAGGAAGAAGCTTCAGAAGCAGGCCAAAGAGGAAGAGAAGGCGCGGAAGGAGGCGGAGAAGGCGGCCGAGGAGGCTGCAGCCAAAGCCGAGCAAGAGAAGAAGCTGGAAGAGCAGAAGAAGAAACGGGAAGAGCAAAGAAAGAAGCGCGAGGCCGAGCGAAAGGCCCAGGAAGCGGAGCGGGTTCGCAAAGAGGCCGAGAAGCAAAAACGACTGCGTGAAGAGAGAGAGCGACAAGCGGAGCTTGAAAGAAGGCAGCGTGAGCAGAAGGAGCTAGAGAAGAAGCGACGAGAGGAAGCACGGCAAAAAGAGGAACGCGAGCGAGAGCGCAAGGCCAGGGATGAGCAGAACCGGAGAGATCGCGAGGCCGCCACCAAGCCTGAGCACGACGGGCAAAAACGAGTATCGCATGCAGGGCCGGTTCCTATCCCCGCCAATCTGCATCACCACGCCCAGGGCCTTCTGGCACATTTCCAGTCGCCGCACTTTCAAGTCGCTACGCCTGTCGTCCCCAAGGCTCCGACTCCTGCCAGACCGCGGCAACCATCCCAGCAGGGCTCCCACACGTCGTCTCCACGGTCCCAGCCGGCCAGCACGGAGCCATCGCAGGTCTCAATTTCTCCGCGATCGATGGCGCCTTCCCAGTCGTCTGGCGCATCGAGCGTCACCTCAAAGCAAGGCCATGGGCAGCCGCCGTTACTTCACCACCCACAGCCATCGACACCATTGTCTCCCCTGGGCGCATTGAACAGATCTCATCCCCCTGGGTTCTCCCCGTCCAATCCGCCTGGGCTGGGTCTGGTCTCACGTCCACCCATTGGTCATGAGTTGCCCTCCTACCCGCCTCATTCCGGGCCTCTGATGAACCAGCTGCGAGGGTTCCCGGCGCCAAATGGTCTCCCTGTGCTTCCAGGCATGAACGGAACTCGTCCGATTCCACCCGGAAGGGGCTTCCCGCTCGATCCAGGACACGGCCTGTCATTCCACCACCAGCCCATAGCCAACGTCTTCTCTGCACAGCCAAGTGGACTGTCCCATGCGCATTCCAGGCAGCCGTCCAGCTCGTTTGAGCGGTCCCCTCTTGACGCGCATGCATTCCCGATCGCCCGGCCCAGCCCTATCAAACGTCCGTCAAGCACCCAACAAGACCAGAACAACCGCCCCGGGCGGCGCGATGTGGATGACCTGAGTGCGCATCTGGGTAGCAGTGCTCTTCTGGATGACACTGATGTTCCCTTCACCTCCAATCTCTCCCAGTCTCTCCCTGGCGCGACTGCTCCGGGGTCCTTGCCTGGTCCGGCCCGAGCTAGCTTTGCAGGCACGTCCTTGTTCACAGACCCTCTTGGTGAGTTCCCTGACAAGTGGTCATCCCTGGCAGGCGCTGACAGCTTCCCCACAGCGAAGCACAGTGGTTTCCCCATCGGGCAAAGCATCGGGAGCAACACATGGGGTGCGCAACTTCCCTTCGGTGCCTCTCCCTTCCCCAGCGCTCCGACATGGGGAGCCGGACCTGGTCAGTTCTCCCTCGACATCGGTCTTCTCCGTGCTATCAACTGACGACACTTCTAGGGAGTGGCTGGTCCACCAACGCATTCGCCCCAGGAGGTCACCATCGTGCTCACGCCTCCCGGCCCGTGACGATACGACTTCTGGTCATCCAGGCCTGCAAGCAACTCAACACGATGAGCCCGTCCAAGGGAGCAAGCGGATACCACGATGTGAAAGTTGTCCTCCGGCAGGTTGACCAGCTACGGCCGGCCACTGAGTCCCCCATCTCCCTGAAGGAAATGCTGGACATCTGTGACACGGAAGGCAACACCCAAAACGGAGGCGGATCGTTCTCGATCAAGAGTGACGAGACGGGTGAATATGTCAAGTTCGAGCCCGATACCAACAGTGCCTCCTCAGGCCACAGAGGTAGCATTGTTCCCGGTGAAATCGGCAGCCCCGTCCCCAGCAGCAGTCTGCCAGCGTTTGGCGGGATCGGCACGTCAACTCCTTCAGTACTACGGCAGTTCTCTTCTCCTACGGGCTTCTAGCCACAGACCTATCACTTATGACACTTTCTTCCCCCACGCCTGAGAACGGACGCATCTCCTCTACTCCAGTACCCATCCTTTCCCTTCAATCTTCCCATCCATCCCAGCGTCCCATCATGCCGTGGGGCCATTTTACTCGTCTTCTTCCTCGTCTTATGCTCATTCTTCATCCGAATATCTGCCTACGCGCTACCGCGACCTGGCCCCTCATATCCTATCCTCCTCTTCTGCGTCTGATAGGTTCCATGTTTCCTGGCTCTCTCCATGTTCGAGTTCCATTGCCATCTTCCTCTTTCTGCCTTCTCATTGACGGACATAAATCATGTCATGTACGTTATGTCGTTTCTTCTTCTTCCTCCTTTTGCACGCGCACGCTCCCACCATCAAGGTGTCTTGAAACCTCTTATGTAGCGATTCCCATGGAGCACACATCGTCATCATCATCTTCATCTTCATCATCATCATGATCACCACATTTCCCATTCATGTTCGTTGGACTCCCATGTTTAACAATTGCATGATCGAATCGGATCAAGATCTTCCCCACCTATCCTGGGGTATTGATCTATATATCTATCTGATTGCTTTGTCTGTTCACTTTGGGTTGATTGTCTTGGTCGTAGATTTGTGTGTGGCTGTGTAGTTTTTTCGTAGGTCTGGGTGTTTTGGGGTTCGGGGTGTGTATATGTGTGAGTATGTGTGTATGCATACCCAGGGGTCTTGCAAGGTATGAGCTATCTAGTTTAGATATCTTTTTCACTTGTGTTTTTCCTCGTCTGATACGAATACCGGTACTGTGAAGAGTGGCCTGATCCTTCGGAGAGGGATACATACGGACTTACATACATACATCCTGACATACGGTCTTCCTGTCCGGTTGGTATCAGATTGGCTCTCTTACACAGATGTGGTATAGATCCAATACCGTAATGGAATCTCACTATAAGAATTCGTCATTTCTATTTCGGCCTACGGTTCATCCTAGTGCATGGCTCTAAGCTAAGTGTCTAATAGAGATAGGTTGGTTTGAGTTCAAGATAAAGTAAAAATAGAATGGGTAACTTTCTATCGGAATTCAAATTTCCTCCTAATAGCTGGAGAAGAAAGAAAGAAAGAAAAAGAAAGAGACAGGGTATGATGATGATACACTGATTGATATACTCGATTCAAGAAGATGGAACAAGACAGGTCAGGGGTTCATTCATAAAGGAAAGGAAAGGAAAAGAAAAGGATGGAAAAGGGAATCTTACACGCACGAGGCTGGAAGAAATGGGGAATGGGAAAGAAGCAAGAAGAGTGGGATACAGGGTTGGAAACATCGCTCATTCATATAGAAGGGTTGGGTTGGTCGTGCATCACTGTCTGGGATCGGTGATTACACCTTCGAAATCTCGGGTTCGGATGTAGTCCAGGGTGCGCTGGAAGTGACGCTTCGGGCCCTCCAGGCTGGGATTGGGCTCGTTTTCGTCGGTCTGCAGGTTCGAGTGAATGAGCTCGATGAGACCGTTGAGGTACTTGGTGGTGACGGTTTCGTTCTGTTGGTCGAAGTAGTAGACGTAGCGGTTGAGGATCTCGACGAAGAGTTCTACGGAGACTGCGGTGTCCATGCAGGCGTCAGCGACGCGGAGAGCACGTTGCAGGCATTCAAGGACGCGCTTGCCGTCGCGGTAGAGCTATTCGGTGTTAGGGCGCAAAAAATGAGAGTGTATCAGAGGGTGTAGACGTACGTTCTTGGGGTCTTCCTCGCCTCGTTGCGGGTTCTCAACCACCCACCAGAGGTGGCTGGCTAGGTATACAGCGCGACATTGGTCGGGCTTCTTGAGGAGCTTGCTTCCGTGCAGGGCGGCCTTGGTGATGAGGGTGTCGTAGTTCTCCTTGGAGAATCCGCGAGTGCCATGCAGGGCTCCTGCAATGACACAGACGGCCTGGAATTGGGCGCGCGAATCACTGATGGAGTCCTCGTAGATGGTGAAGGCTTGCGCGAAGAACTCGTAGCTGAACTCTTCGAAGCCCGTTTGGTCGGCAACTTCTCCGCACATCACGAACAGGCGCAGGGACAGATCAGCGCAGCCGGGGTTCACACGCTGGTAGAGGTTGTTGACACACTGGTGCATGAACCGGTAAAGCGCCGAAGACTGCGACTGCCAGTTGTCGTCGTAATGCTCGCGGGCCTTAAGTTTGCGTGCCAGGCGTATCGAAGCTGTGACCAGGGCTGGTGTTGTGTATCGGATTCGCTCATTGCCGTCGAGGTAGGCCTTCCGGGTTGCTTGGAGTAGCTGGACAGCAGGGTTAGCCAAGGACGTGGCATACGGAAGGGGCAATTACCTTCAATTGAGTATCGTTTTCTGGTGCCTGGACCAGATGAACCAACCGTGCAAGCCATCCTTGCTCCTCGATGGTTTCGTCGGTCTCACCCCGGCGCTGAGACTGCAGCCCAGGATAGCCCATAGACTGCTGTGTGCCCTCCTTGATCAAGACCCTCAGGGCTTGCAGGACACGATCGAGATTCTCGGTAGTGGCGATGAGTGTTCGGTTCTTGAGAAGACTGCGCGCGATTTCGCCTGCGACAGATCGCCGGGTGGTGTAGGATTGCGAGGTCAGAAGCGGGATGTAGTGAGGCAAGGCTAGGGCTGTGAAGATGGAGGCGTAGGAACGGAGAGGTGCAGTGAGGAGATGCAGGAGGTTCTGCTGTGTAGGGGCGGAGTGCAGGTCGGCGTGATCCGTGTACGCTGCAGTCTCTTTGGTCGCAAAGTCAAGGATCTGGTCGACAAATTCCAGGCGATCCGGATAGGTGTTGAGTGCCAGATTCACAAGCGAAACAAGAAGCGCCATTGTGTCTTGGATAGGGAGGCCGCGGCTCTTGATCAAGTTGACCACTTGCTCATAGAAGATGTCATACAACTTGACATCGACAGGAATGCCAGCCTTACTGTCGCCATTGGCCTTGGGCTCGCTTTCAGTCGTGGCTTCGGCATTCTCCTTCGAAGGCTGCTCCGCGCCATTCTCTTGTGTTGCTTCTTCAGTTGTGTCCTCCTTCGTTTCTTCGGATACCGTGAGGTTCCCAAGGAGCTTGGTGACAGCATCCTCTTCTCTCTGTTTCCTTGCATCTGGGTCGGCGGACGATTCGGTCTCGCGAGCGGCGTAAGCCGACAAACGGTCCATCAATCCAATCACGATCTTCTTCAAGTCCACATGCGGGTTGAGTCGAGCAATTGCGGAGAGCAGGAGATCGAGAGTATGCAGGTGGAACTCATCGGGGAACACCTTGGTAATCACTATATTCTCGGTCAGCATCCCATACCGGCAACGAGGCAATTTGGCACTGACCTTCTAGTAAATACTCCTGCGCCAACACATCCCGGCATTGAACGACCTGCTCCAGCAGCGCCTGTAGTATGCCGGATTTGTACCCCTCTAGATCGACCAATTGACTGAGTCGCACGACATTGCTACCAACAAGCAATTCGAGTTCCCGACGCTCCTGCATCCGCTTCTCTCGCTCGCGCGAAGGGCCCTGGTGCTGGAGCCTCACCCACAGCTTGTTCATCTCGACGAAATTCGTCAGAACGAAGTTGATTGAATCCTGCAAGTTGCCCTCCGGACCATCGCTAGACCCCGTAGGCAGATGATCTCTAGCCTGTCCGGACAGGTAGTACCGGAGGAACAACCCGCGAATGGGATGCTGCACGCCCCGACTCATCTCCATCATGTCCTTCATGATCTCTTTCACCGGAGCATCCTCCACCGACATGTATACCGTACCCACGGTGATCATGAGATAGAGTCGCGGGATGATATTGCCGGCATATTGAACGAGTTCGTACAGATCCGCCAGGTGGTTGACGGGGTGGTTTTCTTTCAGGTAGACGGAGAGATGTCGCAGGGCATCGAAGACGGCCATGTACAGTTCGTAGTATTGCTTGGGGCCGAGGCTAGGGGTTCGGAGCTCGGAGACCAAGGTGGACCTGGGGCAATTGGCGGCAGACGTCAGTTATCTCGGCCCCAATTCCACTGCTGCCTGCGAAGCTCCCACTCACCCGCATTTCAAGGCATCCATTAATTTTCCAGGCGTTTCGAGGCATTTCCGCATCATCTGCGACTGTTGCCGCACGACTCCCAATGCCTCCTCAAGGAGACGACTCTGGTCTTCGGGGGCCGCTACCGGGGTGGCCATGGTGGATGTGATGGGATGATGTGAGGGGAGTCGGACTCAGTGGCTTGAATCGGGCGGTAAACACCTGGTCGGAAAGGGGGAGGGGTCCAGAGGGGGAGGCAAGAAGGGGGGCAGCAGGGACAGACGATGCGCTGGAAGGGCGAGCGAAGAATCCGACAGCTCCTGGTCCATAGACAGGAGAGAAAGAAGGGACAAGAAGGACAAGGGAAAGTGGCAGGGAAATGTTAATGTGAATGCGGACATGCGATCAGAACGCCAGGTCGGCCTGGGGCTGGGCGCGGTTATGTAATCCCGGCCCGTACGTCACGGGCACGAGGCTCTCGCTCTTGACTCCGGCCGAACTATAGAAATCCATTCAACCTGATCTATCTGATATAATATCCAAAAAGAACCACAATCTAGCTAATATGTACCCGAACTGAAATAGAACCCATTACCCCCCACCAAATAAAGCACCCATTCTGAAATAAAATCATGAAATCGCCAAGAAAATTAGAAGCAAAGGAAAGCTGAAAAAGCAAGGAAAAGGAGGGAAATAAGACAAACGCCCCATAGATGCATGTTTTCATGACCACATTGCTCATCACCGCAGTCATGCATGTCGTGATAAACCGAAATTGTTTGTAAAGAGAAAACTGCTTGCTCTCTGTCCATTAGATTCGTCCGCTGTTCCGTAAGCGTCGTTGGAAACATCCTTTTGATGCAGAAAAATAGTAAGGAGTGGAGATGCGCGGGAGCATTTATGCAACGACTCCCTCGTCCTCCGCCTGCGAGGCGGTCTCATTTGAGCTCCTGGCCATACGCGGAATCGCGGCTTTCTCAGCCTCTGTCAGGGCCCGAGCCATGGGCTTGGTAGCAAGCTTGGTGGTATTTTCGTGCTTGAAATCAGAAGCAGCGTCAACAGCGGCATCGAGAGTCTGTCGGGACTGAAGGACGGTGTCATTGGAGCTCCTAGCGTAAATCTTGGAAGCTGCATCGGTGGTGTTGTCAACACGCTTGATAATGGTACCGGCAGCAGCATCATTGTGAGTAGCATTCAGCTCTCGAGCCTGAAAAGCCGTTCCGTTCAAGTCCCTACTTGGGTGGGAGATAACCTTGCTGGTGTTCAGGTCACGCTGTGCAACATCGACACCACCAGCTGGGATCTTGGAAACAGTTTCGTTGCTGCGAGCAACAACCCCAGAAGTACTGTTGAGGGCCTCGGATTCGTGAGTGGCAGGCTGACGAGCCATCAGCTTGGAGATGGTGTCGTTTCCTCGGGCAAAAACCTCGGAAGTGGTATTGCTGGTCTCAGATGCGTCGTGACGAGCCATCAGCTTCGAAATGGTATCATTGCCCCGGGCGAAGACCTCGGAAGTGGAGTTGCTACGGGCATGCAGAGCGTAGTCCGTCTCATTGCGCGAGTCAGACCGACGATCAGGGGTTGCAGTATGCTCACCCAGATCCGGGACGGTGTCGTTGCTGCGTGCGACAATCGCATGGCTTTCTGTGCTGTTGGTGGTGGCATCGGTGATGGATGTACCAAATCGACGGAACGCTCTCTTGGTGCTGTTGGTCTCACGGCGCTCAAGAGGAGCATCGCTCACAGCCGGTCCAACGGTCCAGGATGAGTAGGAAGGACCAGGCACGACAGTAGGTGTGGATGAGGGGTATTCAGTGACCGTGATGGTGGCCGGGGGATTGGTCGCGGTGATTGTTTCGACAAGAGGGGTGGAGGGGCCTGCGACGTTGACAACTTTGTAGGGAACATCCCGGCGTTCGAAGGTGTCGTTCCCACGAGAATTGAGGATAGGGACTGCGTGGACAGAGAGGGAGAGAGCAAGGAGGAGCGCAGCGGGATGCATGATGATGCTGGATGTAAGGGAAGGCAGGGCAGAAGAAGGAAAGAAAAAAAGTCAGATATTCTATCAGATCAAACCTGAATGCAAAGCCGTTGATACTTGTTAATCCGACTAGAGGAGTTTGAAACTGGGACAGCAGCAGAGAGGCGCTCTCAATTTATGATGTCGATTCTCACAGCGAAACATCACACCGACCAACCAAGCCATGGAAACAAAGTTGGCGCCTAGGAAAAAGAATGACGACGGGCAAGGAAGATCTACACGGCTCCGACATATGTATATGCCATCATACACGGCACAAAGACCCATCGTCGGGAAGAAAAGGTGCAGGCTGGTACAGCACGATGCTGTCAAAGGAGGCTGGGATGGGCCGATGGAGCCCGTGCCAGCCACGTTGGGTTGGCAGAAGCGAGCTAGAACCTGGAGATCGCCGCCGTCCAGCACGGCAAGGACCCTGGCTGTTGTTTAGTGCATTGTTCCAATTATAGCCTGGCCAGGCAACATGATTTGCGAGTCCAATGGGGGGTGGGATGGAGGAAAGGTACTCCGTTCGTGGAGTTCAACCTCTGAAAAGTTGACGCTCGCTCTAAATTAAGCCGGGAATCAGGGATCCCGTCACGGACCCGGATTGGCCTGTCAGTGTGGCTGGGGGCCCACTTCTGGCTGTGGCGGCTGCCTTGATTGGCTTGACCACCACCACCACCACCACCACCACCACCACCTCCTCCTCGATTGACTATCAACTACTCCGTATCGACTATCGACTATCTGGATATACTCTCTACCGAGAACTCCCTCCAGCAACTTCGACCTCTTTCATCTGCCTGGATCACGCAATATCTGAGCCTCGAACGCAGATCTCCTTTGGGTACGTCATATCCAAGAACCAACCCACCATTTCGCAGCTCGGGGCATTACCAAGTCAGCGGTGTGTGCTACCTTCATTACTACACCTTATCTCAACTGCACGTACGGTATCACGAGAGAGAAACATGGTCTATCAACAACACTAAATCCAGTCAATCGGATGCAGTTGTTGCACCACTCAGCAGCCGAGCAACCACCGAAGGCTTATCCCAAACCAAGACGGTTCACGTACTATGAGCGGACTGGATCTCAACCAGGACAACTAACCAAGCACCATCCTTGCAGGAGATCGGCAGCATCGTGGGATATCACATCACATCACACGCCGCGTCGCACAGTCAAGCAGGGTCTACAGGATCCCGTTGCCGTCGCCTATTATCTGCCAGATCTAAACGGATGCCAACTCAGGTTTCGAACCTCCCGATATCTACTACGGAGTACTCCGTATGCATAGGAAGAATATGCATTCTATTACCGCAATGGGCATAACGTGTACGCGTCCAGCTGGATGCAACAGCCTCCTTCGACCTAACGGCCTGTTTGCATTGCTAGGTAATTGCTTCTATTAATTCGCACCGTGTCTGAACTGTTTTCCTCCGAGCTCTTGTGCCGCCGCTTTTATGGAAACAGCACGTGAATTTCTGTGCCCGACGATCCAATCACTCTCTGAACATGCACTGCCTTCGTGAAACTAGACTTCCAGCCTTGTGATTCGATGTAAACAAGCCAAGATTGAACCTTGGACAGCCCGCCTCTCACATCTAGGCAGCTCTCATCTTCTCCACTCTTCAGACAGTTGATCCACCAGGGTACGCTGATCTCGACATCAAGATGGCGTCCACAACACCCGACGACGTACCCACAGTGGCTTTGCCCAACCCCGTACCAAAAGTTGACTTGAAATCTGTCCCCAGCCACCCTACCCCTACATACCTCTTCCGTCTCGTCGCACCAGACGGTGTCGGAAGCACGACTACGTCTGTTGTCAGTCCTTGAGATCTAATAAAGTCAGAAAACAATCATCCAGAAGATACCTTCAGCCTTAACCAGACGAAGGCCGCAGCTCTTGTACACGAACATCTCAATTGGATGTCTGATGATTAATGCAACTTCACGAGCTGACCAGCTCTTGCTTTTTGCACTGCAGTACTGCTTGTATCGACATGGGAAGATCGGGAGTAAGCCGGACCTAAGTAAAATACTACTACTTGTTCTTGACACTCGTGGCTTCCCGGACAACACCTTCATCAAAGACCTAGATATCATAGACACCTTCAAGGAACACTCAGACGGTCTGACAGGTTCTCAGCCCTCCGTCGCGGAGAAACTTGGGGCAACAGAGTGTTCTATTTCGGTGAATACCTGAGCCAGGGTGAGCTAAAGATCCAAGGGAAATGCGCAACGGCCTCTCTTCAGCGAATGATCGACCTCGGGCTAGTTAGTTATGCCCTAGGCTCGGAAGCAAGGACAAATGATATTTTTAGGCACCTCGAGTTCTCGACCCTCGAAGAGACTTTGCACGCCTTCCTTCCACAGACCCGTCTGAAGTCGATAAGGCGATCAAAATTGCACAGTGCTGTTTTACAATCTGTTGGATCGTTTTATTTGTAGTTATTTTATTGTCTCTCAAGCCAAGAGATCCGAATGATGCTGAGATGGTATCACGTCTTTCGGAAATACCTTCACATAAGAGCCTAAGTTGGTGATATCTACTCGATTCTAATCTAAGAGCAAGCCAAATGAGCTAAATTTACTCTAACATATTCATAGTGCCTAATCATAGTATCTTTCGAATCACCCAGAAGATGCGTGCACATACATATACATATATACCCTACCCCCCAATTTTTCATACACCTACATATCTATATCACACAGACCCCATTTATTCGATCTTCTCCATCGCAAACCACCCCAGTTACAGCGCTTAAATCACCACCTAAAACTCATCTAAGTAAGTACCTACCTACCTAATCTAAGTAATATTAGTGTAGTACTTGGTCCCCCCCCCCCAACCCCATCCAATAAAACTCTTCCTTAGCACGCACGCATCCTCGCCGGCTCATTGATCGACCATGCAAGCGCCACACCAGTGTGTCGATCCCAAGGAATACCTCAACGTGTCGGGCTCGGGCTGCGGTGTGACGGGGGTGAGCGGCTACAGCCACAGCCGAGGAGATGCAGTGGATAGGATGAGTTCGTGGCTAGCTTGCATTTGGTGCAGGGTACATGGTGCATGGTGCAGGGTGGGACGCGTAAGAATATTTCCGGGGGTAGATAGGGGGGAAGGATATGCTCTGGTGTTTTGTCTCTTTCTTGCTTGGTGTGTGTGTGTGTGTGTGTGTGTGTGTGTAGAGGAGGAAAATGGACATAGAGTAGATCACCTCAGTCAATCAGCTCGTGATTACTCACGTATCAGTCAAACCGGTATGCAGATTAGTCTACCAAGGGTATTTTTGATTTATATCATCTCCGGATGATATAAAGCTCACTTCATGCTGATATCCAAACTGGCTATCAGATCAGTAAGTTCACCGACGATCGTGTCCTGGACCGCCTGCTGCAACTGGGGCTGGAGCTTTCTGAGATCAGCACTCCATCCCAAGTTGAACCTAGACATTGGGGGTCAGTTCAGTGAAAGTGGTCGTATCCATGTCATGAAAAGAAGACAATACCGTGAAGCCCCCAGGCATCATCTAGCCAGGGATGGAGTAGAACTGCAAAAGCGTAGAGGCCATGGCCGTGCAAGCTGGAGTGGGTCAGCGTTCCTGATTGTGGTATCCAGTGTCCGTCCGAGCAGGTCGGACACCATGGACAAGGTCCCTTAAAAGCCTGAATAGGGTGGCACGATCCCGAGTGATCCGGGACAAGAAACATGGCAATAGTCCTGTCAGGGCAATCAGTGATAGGGCCTGTTTTAAGGGCTTGACTCAATGTAGAATTACAAGATTCTTTGCTTGGTAGGACGATTTCTCATTGATCTTAATGATGTTGACTTTATTCGCGCTCGTAATCCGTATCTTCAAGTGACATGCAGGTGTGCCTTGCGTAAGATCCGTATCTGCGTTGCTGCCTCGTCTGTACTCGGCTTGGTTGCCTAAGCTTCACCACGGATGCCCAAGACGGCGAATTGGTACATGGTGGCACAATTTGAGGCACGGTTTGAACATTTGCCAAGCGACTGTGCCCGCCCGCCATCTAAGAATAAGATGGCCGTGTTCATTTTTTTCTAGGTATCTTTGAAGCACCGTTACTCACCTATTTCAAACTCACGGCGCGTTATATAGTATACAAAGACCATACTGGAGCTAGGCGGGCTCATCCTCAGGCGGCACCAACACAGTCTTCTTCCACCGGTCTGTTAGTATGCATGAGACAAGAGCTTGTTCTGCCGTAGTGAAGTCTCCCTTCCAGCACCCCAGAATAACATCTCCCCCAAAGGCGTGAGATACGTCAGGGAACTGTCGTTTCCCATATCGAGCCTCAACTTCGGCATCGGCATGATGCTGCCGTTGAATTCGCGCTCGAATGACCGCAGGATCGCTAGAATGCAAAACATCTGCAGGCTCGACCGGATAAAGCTCATGATACGGAAATAAACCCGGTGGTAAATTCATACAACGTAGAGCCCAGCGCAAAGATATCTGACAAAATCGTGTTTGGCATCTCGTAATCTCTCGGTAAGCAATGAGATGCCTTTTCATAGCCTAAGGCTGGATGTCCAGGGTACTGGGAAGAGTTGAAATCACCCAGGCGGACGTTGAAGTCATCATCGACGAAAAACTGTCATAATGCCAAATCTGAATGGATAATATGACGGCTATGGATCATAACGACTGCCTCGATGATCTGTTGGAACTATTTAGATTGGAGATCGGGTGTGATCGTGTTCGTCTGGAGGTAGCTAGCCAAATCACCCAAAGGATGGTATTGAATATCCACATAGTCTTGCCTCCCTGGAGAGAGGCATTCAGCAATTCGGGGGTGGTTGCCTAAAATCGTATAAATGTTGGCTTCACGGACAACTGGCTGGATATCTTCCTCTCTTCCACTGCGAGGTGCCTTGCTGATTATCTTTCCATCCACAAGATAGACTTCAGCGAAGATTCCAATCTTTAAAAGCTTTTGGTTCTCAAACTGCTCGAGGACCGGGCGATGTTTAGTGGTGATAACTATGTGTGAATTGTTCGCAGGAGGTGGGCCGGCGGTCTGGATGATACGTTAACCTTCAGATCGGGTTTCACTTGGTCAGGACGCACCGTACACTAGTATGTTCATTATCCGACCGAAGGTATAAGTTATTGAGCAGCCTTTTCCATGATCGGAAGACGGCCTCGCAAAATCCTGAAATATGGCGCCACAGCGACGACCACCATACCGGCCACTGAAGCGGGTGGACGAGGGAGGGCATATCAGTTCAAGACATCTGTCGATTCCAGCGGTATAATCCAGGGGTCTGCAAAACGCAAGATACGCTTGGTGATCACCCCAGTCCCTAACTATTCTCCACGGCCGCGACCCACATTACAGTGCTCCCTAGTAGTTTCTCCTAGCGGCTAGACTGTTCCGCTTCTTAAGGCAAATTCAAACTGTGCTAATAGTTTAAAAAAAAAGGTATAAGTCACCACCGTGCGCCCACGGCTTGCTGACGACTGTGAGGCTCTTCGTGAGCTGATATTACATTTTTCAATTGGTACGGTGCTGGATGTTTCGCAATTCGACAGCATTCCATTGATGGCATTAACTCTCTGCGGGGATACTCGTGTGCGGCTCAGAAATGATAGCGCTTGACTTTAAATTCCTCAGCGCGCGCAACATCAACTCACCAAGGCCTAGAGAACATGGGGGGTGTACTGTGTGACGAAAAGGCCGTGGGTTCCACTTGAGATCAAGCCTTGAAACTTCATGTAAGATATCCGGAGCTGAAAAAGATCTCCAAATCTGCCAAGTAGTGAAAAGCACGACACGACTTAGTCCACAGTTCGCTGAAGTCTACAAGTCCTGAAACACGGACAGCGCTATGCTGAAGAGTTGGAGTAAGATCTCCTGCTTCAAGGCACTCAGTGGTACTAAGTCTGGAGTGAACAGAGCGGGAGCAAATTCTGCATTAACTTCCTGCAACTGTCTGAGACTAGTAGAGGTGAGAATAAGTTAGCTAAGTAGAAGACCTCACAGGAAATGTTCAGTAGCTCACAATGGGTTCTTTAAGTAAACTGAACAAGTGTAAAATCTACTCAAAGGGAAGATCGGAGTATCTGAGCCCAGATTAAACTCAAGCGGCAAAGATTGTCTGATCTGTCATCAGTCAGCGTATGCTGGAGTAATCCCCGAAACGAATCACCCAATGAAAGCCAACAATCTTGGCCTTGAAATTAATATCTGGGATAAAACACCAGGATGTTATTATGACCTACGCTATATCTTTTATTTGAATGGTGCGCCCCTAGATGTGAGGCCTCAGCCTCAGATGTCTCATCACGTGACTAAATAACATGACCACCTATGATCTGACAGAGAAACTTGGGTAGACAAAAGATTCTCATGACCAGAAAAAAACTTTTCTTTTGTGTCATAATATCTTATTACGCTATCATCATCCTAGGCAATAAAAAAAAGACTGGCCATCACTCACCCGGGATTGTAGGTGCAGTGGTGTGGTCTAGATCCAGTAGTAGGCAATAGATGGGTAGGATGTTGCGTTCTTATTTCCTCTGTTCGAATTTGGGGGTCGAAAGAAGAAACATGGACTGCATCCTGCACGCCCATGGCAAGATCTCCGCTGATCAACGGACTAAGCATGCATGTATGTATGCATGATATTCAGACCCCGTCCTGTCTACGTAATGCTTTCAGCGGTCGAACAAATGTCTAATTTTGCAACCAGTGGCCTATGACTCACACTATCATTGGATAAAAGAGAAAAAAGGTATATACAGTACACTGTGTAACATCACGACAACGCCAAATCCTCAACCCGGACCAACCCACAGCCCATCCCCGCGGCAGCCCATCCAGCGCACAACTGGTTCGGATTCCACGAGAGCACAGTGACGTGGGTCTCCTCGTCGTAGACAGTGATCACCGCTGTTCCATTGACCAATTTAGGATCGCTGGCCAAATTGCGCACCAGACTGGTGTGCTCGGCGCGGTATCCGTCGTGGAACCGACTGGTGCCCGGGCCTTGGTCATCCGGGCTGCGCGCCCATTCGTGCTGGAACCAGGTCTGTTGCCATTGTTTCTCCTTGGCGTGCATCATGCGGCGGAGGGGATTCGTGGCTTGCACGGTGCCGCCGGTGCAGCCGACCAGGATGCTGGGGTGCCAGAAGCTGCAGGTGCTGATGGCGGAGATCATGCTGGGGAGGCGGGCGACGGCGGTGGAGGTGAAGAAGCGGCGGACGGCGAGGAGACGCGCAAAGTCGTTTTCGTCGCTGGAGACGAAGGAGTGCAGGATTGGCGAGTAGGAGAGATGAGGGGTGCCCACGCGCATGCGGTTGGCGCTGACGGTGTCTTTTTGGTGGTCGATGATGGAGGTCAGTCGGGTTTCGCCGTCCATGGACGTGGTGCTGATGATGTAAGGGTGGGTTGGGTAGGCGGAGGCGAGGTTGAGGATCCAGGTGGAGTGTAGTTGGTGGTAGAAGTAGGGGGTGGGCTGTGCGGGCGAGGATTTCGACGGGACGATGCTCCAGATGGCGACGAATCCGTTGGCGCAGCCAACAGCGATGTCGCTTGGAGAGAGCCATGTCACGGATGTGCATACGGTCGAGGGCGGCTTTGCTTCGAAGACGGGGGAGTGCAGTTTGTCTGAGCAGTCAGTACGGTCTCTGGCGTCGCTTGGTTCAACTTACAGAATTCGGTCTGGTTTGGATCACGACCCAGCTTGACGTCGACGACCCGCACCCAGCCATCGGACCAGATACCTGCTAACAGGCCGATGTTCTTTTGCGCGTCGTAGTCGTCTTCCTCCCGCGGGTCTCGGGGCATCGGGCACCAGGCTATTCGTCTCAGATCACCCCAGTCGGTACATAGAGCGAGGCGTAGTCGCGGCGTGAAGGTCATATCGATCGTCTGGGTCAGAGACTCGGCCCTTTCGGCCTTGAATGCCCAAATCTGCAGGGCCGAGGGATAAGGCGCAGATGGTCTGAATGCAGGGGCTCCTTGGTCCTTGTACGGATCTGGATACTGTTCTTTCTGGTCCGGTAGTATCGGAGCCACGACCGACAGGTACTGCGTGAGGCCAGTCTGATTCGGAACCCACGCCATGCACTGGACTTTGCTCCCTATGTTAAGCACCCAACCCTCTCGTTTTCGCTTCTTCCTGCCCTCCGATTTCGTACCCGCCCGCTTCCCATCCTGCTTCTCCTGTTTCAGAGGTTTAGACGCATCCTCTTCCCATGCCTCGCCGAAATCGAGCACATCATGCTGGGCCAGGGAAAACACCTTCTGGTCGTCCACCGGTCCAATGAGGATGGTATGGTCCCCTCTAGGCCTAGGAAAGTAAGTCGGACGAGCCTTACGCTCATCAATTTTCTCAACCCGCTGCCTCTTCCTGAACCGCTGGCCCACATCCTCTGCATAGTACCAGTCCCAGCCACGGGAACTCTCCCGTTTCACATCCTCGGGATCCAAGCCAAACGACTTCCCATAGCCGTAATCCGGCATCTCATGCGACTTATCCAACGACGACCGAGTCGGAAAGGTCGAATCACCGCCCCGATACCACCGATCCCTCGCACTTATAATCGACAGGATATCCCTCTCATCCGTCCCAAACGTCACGCGCAAATGGACCCCTTTCCCGACATGTTCGAGGGGATTCCACGACCCTCGCGAGTGCGTTTCCTCGCCCGGCACCGCCAGACTCCCATCCGGTTTTCGTTTCTTGATCGGCTTTGGCGTAGCGGTAGTAGCGGGCTGTTTGCGCCGACGACCCTCGTCGACTTCTAGCACTGAAGCATCGTCATAGTCTGCTTCTTCCTCATCCTCATCCTCGTTCTCGATGGCCATTTCCACATCATTATCATTGTAGTCGTCATCGTCGTCGTCTTCATTGGCGTCGTCCATGTTGAAATCATCGTCCGAGTCGTCCGCGGCGACTTGCTTGGCCTCTCCCTTGCCCTTTTTGGGCTGCGGGGCTGCGGCTGATGTCTCCTCTTCATCGCTAAGAAATCCGGCCGCCTCGAAGGGATCATGGATGTATTTCGTCCTGGCACCGGAGGCGCGATTGGATCTGCGTGGGCGAGGCATGGTTAGACTAATGCGGTATCCGGTGGAGATGTCGTGGCATGGCGCATTAATCGGGCTCAGCTGATGGATGGGTGCGGATGACAATCGTGCGCTAGCTATTGGCCATGCTGCTCGCGATGGTGTCAAACTTTTCGGCAAATCGATACGCGAGGTCCAAACCGCGGAGATTGAAGCTGAAAGATTAATGGAGACTGGAGCTATGCTATTTCCCCGATCGGGGCAAGGGGCTTGGCGTCTGGCACCAAGGCATCGATGCCCCACCCGACGATACCGAATGATACTAAATGTTACGGTACTATCGAGCACTATTGATTGGCATGGCGATGCTACACCACGCAAGGAGTAGCAGATCGACAAACAGAGCTGTATAAAGTCGGCAGCCCACCAGCTTCATGATAGCTGCACACCTGCCTACATCCGCTTGCAATGGCTATTCAGCGGATTTTCTCTTGCTTGTCTCTCCGCCTAGTGCTACTATTCGTGCTAGCGACGATAGACCCCGCCGATGCGGCAGTGGGCCGGCCTGCGCATTCCCTCCAATCTATCGCAACTGATAGTCATACTTCAACATCCCATCTAACTCGCGACTCCAAGCAGTCCTCCACCTCTTACACCCCAGACTCCGTCTCCCTTCACAAACGCAACGAAACTACCACCACCATGGCCAACCCCGGCATCCTCCACCAATACGTAAGTCCCTCCGTCACCTCTACCAACCCACCTACTAACCTCATCAGGCCCCCGGGCTCGTCGCCTTCGAATTCACCACCCCCAACACAACCCCCCACTCCGCCAACGCCCTCCTCTTCGTCGGCGGGTTGACCGACGGCCTCCTCACCGTCCCCTACGTGCAAACCCTCGCCTCAAATCTCACCTCCGACCCCACCAACACCTGGAGCATCTTCAACGTGCTCCTCACAACCTCCTACCAGGGTTGGGGCGTGAACAGTCTCGACCGCGACGTCGAAGAAATCGCACAATGCGTCAACTACGTCCGAAAACTCAAAGGGCCTAACGCCAAGATCGTCATCATGGGCCACTCCACCGGCTCCCAAGACGTCCTGCACTACCTCTCCGCTTCCAACCCAGTAGCCTACAACCCTGACGTCAATGGCCTCAAGTACATCACCCGGCCCCGCGTCGACGGCGCTATCATGCAAGCGCCCATGTCCGATCGCCAGGGTCTGCAGCTAGCGTTGACGAATGCGGAGACGATAGGCGCGTACGAGCAGCTGGTGAGCATGGCGCGGATTACGGAACCCAGGACACTCTTGCCGTTGAATTTGACCGGCACGGTGGGATTTGATCCCGAGACGCCGATGAATGCGTGGCGGTTTTTGAGTCTCGCGAGTCCGGATAGTCCGCAGCATCCGCGCCAGGATGATTTGTTCAGTTCGGATTTGTCGGATCAGAGATTGTTGGAGACGTTTGGGGTGGTCGGGGAACGAGGGTTATTGGGGTATCGGTTGATGACGCTGTATTCGGGGAATGATGAGTATGCGACGCCGGAGTTGGATATGCCGTTGATGTTGAAGCGGTGGGAGAATGCGACGAATACGGGGGCGGGCGAGATCAAGTGGGATGCGCAGGGGAGTGCGGTGATTCCGGGGGCGACGCATAATGTGCAGGATGTTGGACAGGCGGAATTGGTGGAGCGAGTGAGGGGATACTTGGGGCGGTGCGAGCAAACAAATAAAACATGATTGCAGAGTAATATACATTCTGAAGACACGAAAGAAACCGGGGGTATAACACACCCATCCATCCATCCATCCATCCCATAACCCATAACCCATCCCCATCACCACCACCACCACCACCACCACCAACATCACAAGGAACCCCCCCATCAAACCTTCAACCAAAGTGTCACCACCCCCTTCAAATACTCCACAATCTCATGCCCCCCCAACTTACTCTCCCCAAACACCCGATCCACAAACGTAATCGGACACTCCCTAACCTTGTACCCCATCGCCTTCGCCCGAACCATCATCTCCATCTGAAAACTATACCCCTTACTCTGCGTACTATGAATCACCTTCTCCAGCACACTTTTCTTATACAACCGAAAACTCCCCGTCAAATCACTAACCCCAGGCATGAGCATCACATCCGCAATGAGATTCGCCGTCCGCGACGTAAACTTCCGAAACAAATCCCACCCATACACGCCCCCCTTCACCCCATCGAGACTCGCGTACCGCGTCCCCGTCACGATATCGGCGTCCGATTCGGCCTGGATGCGAATCATCTCGGGGATGAATTTCGGGTGGTGAGAGAAGTCCGCGTCCATGATGATGATGTAGTTGCCGGTTGTGAATTGGAGGCCGTGGATGTAGGCCGTGCCGAGACCGAGTTTGCCGGCTCGGGGGTGTAGAAGGATGTGTTTGGGGCCGTAGTGCGTTTGCAGTTGTTTGGCGATGTCGAGGGTGCCGTCGGGGCTGCCGTCGTCGACGATGATGATTTCCCAGTTTAGGTTGCTAATTCAGGTTATTATCGTGTTAGTGGTGGTGTTTGTGGTGGATGGTATGGGGGTATGGGGGGGGGGGGTGTACTTCTCGCGAAAGGTCCGCTCCAATAACCAGACGATGATGGGGAGGTTCTTGCGCTCATTGTAGGTCGGGAGAATGACCGAGTATTTGTTTTCGGGGGCGCCCATGGTGATGATCGCTGGAGGGAGGGGTAAGAGAGTGGATTGAGTTGGAATGGTCAAGTTGGTGGGTGGTGGGATAGCGAGCGTGAGACAGACAAGAGTCCGGACCAGAATCAGGAGGTGAAGAGGTGAGGTAGGTTGGTGGTGGTGACGCGGGAGATCCGCGGGCGTATGTAACGTGGCCTGTGGTTAGTCTAGACGCTGCTCGCTCGCTGCTCGCTGCTACTAACGAGTCACTAGTCTCGTCCATGCACGGACTCTCTACCTATACTCCATAGTCCGTCTGTATGTGTAGTCTTTATAGATTTAAATGAAAACGATTTATCATTATCATGAACAGTTACAATTACACTAACCCCATAACCAACATAAGTATAAATCCAGCGAATCCTAAGCATGCTCCTGGGGATGATCATATCGCTTCGACAACTCCTCATTATGCTGCTTCACGTCCTGCGGCGCATCCTTCGTCGTCTTGCCATCGCGATCCACGTACTTGTCCTCGTCTCCGAGCGTCGGTCGGGCTTTGTTCGATGGTTCCTGGCGGCCTTTATCGTTGGCGGGCGTGGACGAGCTCGTATCGGGAGGGGGCGGGCCTGCATCGCGATCAGCATTCATTCCGAAAGAGATCAGGAGGCAAGTAAGTACCTGGGTGCTCGATGTCGCGGGTCGGGGTGTTGCGCGGATTGTTGGGTTGCTGAGGATCCGTTTCGCCTTCGCCGCCGTAGGAGCTGTGGGCGAAGAAACGCCCGCGCGGGTAGACTACCGGGCGCATCACCGGCGTGGCTCTCGCCGCGAGTCGGCTACGGAGAAGTGCGCTCATAGTGTATTTAGATACTGCAATCGAAGATAATGGGTCGGATTGTACTTGGTGTAGCACTAATATTCAGTCTAGTAGGTAATCATAGATGGAGCAAAAGACAGATGGGCAGGCTGCACCTATATAGGGAGGCCATGCAATGACGTTGCCAACCGGTCATCGCACCGCCCCAGTTCTTAGAATTTACGGGTGCCGCCATCCTCGCCCCGCGAGACCATCATTGGAACCCCAGAATATATTATCGCGGCGGATCGCCTCAGAGCAGTAGATTCGGACAATATTGCCAGAACATGTCGAAATGCCAAACGCCATCCCATTGATGGCCGCCAGAAAAAAACAACAAGGAAATGTCCACAAGGTGCGGGCCTAACCCGCACTGTATAGTCCAAACGCCACGGACTACGATCAAAGCAGTCCAACCAAAAAGCCACCCAAATATCGGGTTCAATACAGAGATGCACGCCGTACTCAGCAAACAGTACCGGAAGCCTTCATACCCAAGAATAGACCAAGTCCAGACAATCATTCGTATGCACGTGAGTCGAGAAAAGAAATCGTTCCCACCACAGGGTTAACGCCGACGCCGTGGTCGCAAGCCACGTAAAAAAAGACGCTCTCGTTCCATTGGTCTCGCATCAGTCGGTCAAGGAGACGCAGTAGCAGACACTTTCATATTCGGCCTTGGCCGTATACGTCTGCGATGTCCCGGTGGCGGCTTCGATCGTCGTCGTCGGCGTGGGTTGAACCACCTTGATCTGCACCGTCTCTTGGGATATCGGGCCCACTTGGCCATCATCCAGAACCTGCATCTGCTGGCAGTACGGATTCGCCGCCGATGGATTGTCGCGCTTCTCCTCCATCTTGATTCGGCGGGGGTAGTCCGGGATGCTAGAGTCCCTCTTGGACTGAGAGTATGAACTCGAGCTCCCTTGCGTGGCTTGGGCCGCATAAGAAGTAGTCGTCGTCACAATAGAGCTGCTGCTGTACTGGTACTCTTTGGTCGTCTCATTGATGTACAGGAAGAATTCCATCACCGTACTGTTCCACCAACAGAACCATGGCTTATCCCCAGCCTGGGCCGTATCCTTGCGGCTCAGCATGCTCTTCACCACTTCGTCTTCGGTCACATAGTCCCGTTTCGAGGACGAGCTCGACGGGAAGCTATCCTGCGGCACAATGACCAGCTTGTCGTAGAAGGTCATAAAGGTCAAAGCCGGGCCAAAACTGAGGTCATTGGAGTCCATCATCATGGTCAGGTTTTGGGTGGGGTTAGAAAAGACGGGTTGCTGGGCACCGTAAGTGAGCGACGACGTATAGGCCGAGTCGTACGAGTCTTCGAACGTGATGTTGCGTTGCTCGTCCGTGCCACCAACAACGACGGGGATCTTGCCCGAATTGAGGCAGCCCCACGACACCCGATAGTCCGAATCGGCCACACAGAATTTCGACTGATTCTTAGGAGAGGCAGGAATTGCGAATTGGCCAGTAGGAAGCGTAAGCAGATTGGTGGGCGTAGCCGTAACCGGAGTCGCATCCATCCGGGGAGTTTCCGTCACCGTCACGATATGCGGACGGCTTGGCGAGGTGTGTTCTTGTTCGGCCGCCTTTCGGGCCCCCAAGACGCCGCCAATGATACCTCCAATGCATCCTCCCACAAGCATAACTACTCCCACCAAGACCAGCGTCCAGACCGGAAGGCCACAGCAGGCCTTTTTCTTGCCCTTGCTCTTCAACTTTTCTTCAAATGCCATAACCCCAGTGACCGGGGGCTCTTCTAGCCCTCGGTTCCCTTCTCTACTTGCCGCATTCTCCGCCACTAGTGTATTCGAGGAAGTCTCCGACATTGGTGGTCCAGCACGCTCCTGGTGGATGGCTTCATCCTGCATGATGCCAGCATCATTGACGGTCGCAAAAGTGCCTTCCACTTTGGGAACAGCATTTTCGGGATAACGAGAGTAAGGTGGAAGCTGTTCGGTGTGGCCGTCCGGTCCGATCAAGTCGCCAAGGTCGTCATCCGCCCGGTTAGGCGGTCGCTGGTAAGCTTGTTGGTTGTGTCCGGGAAAGCCAAGGGGTACCATCGAGTTATCGAGCCCGTCCTCCTCCGCCACCACATTCTGCGAGTACATGGCATATGGATGCTGCGGTGCACTCGTATCTTCCAACGGTCGGTCCATCGGCCGTAACGTCGACGTGGTGGCCACACTGGGAGAGCGACTAACGCCGACCTGCGGGTACATCGCATATGGATGGCTGGGACCGGTGGCCCCGGTGTAGGGGCTCAACGCCCGGACGGGCATGGAGAAACGCGAAGACGTACTTTGGCTGCGACCGGTGATGGAAGGAGCTGTGGACGCGACCGAGTTGCGATGCGTTAAATCCAGTCCCTTCGGGGGGAGACTGGATCGGTGGGGCGTCTCATCGAATGAGACCCGAGCCTCATCACCGAAGGGATCCTCATTCAGCTCGGCATCAGTTGGGGAAATAGTGTTGTAGGTCTTGGGCTGCTGTTGGGGTCCCGACCCACGGAGGGTGTTGGAGGAGGCACTCGAGGAGATGGATGGACTGCGAGGGGTGAGAGTGGATTGTTCGGAATCGATAGGTTCTAGGGAATATTCGTCGGAGAAGACATTGGGATTGGAGGAGCGAGCCGACATTGAACGATGATGCATCGGATCGATTTGTTGGGACGAGGGTCGCGAGGACTGCGAGAAGGAGCGAGAATGGTCGGATGATAGACGCCCAGACATGGCGTTGTACAGCCCTGTCGGGCTACCTGTCTGATTCAATCAATCTCTCCAAGAAATCGGGCCAGTCACCTGAGTCGACTGAGACCGGGTCGGGAATAGAGCGAGGGAGAGACCGAGGAAAGAGTGACAGGGGAAGGAGAGAATGTAGGGGAAAGAATGATTAGAAGAAACGACAACCCCGAGGAGATGAAATAAAAAAGGATGGGATGAGGGTAGCAGGATACGGTGTCGAGTTGGATGGGTGAGAAAGGCGGCAGTTGGTGGTGGTGGTGAGTGAGTGGAGGAGGAGGAGAGGATGTTGAATGAGAGGGAGGGATTGTTAGTCGAAAGAGGAGAAGGGAAGGGGAAGAAGAGCCGAGCGAGTGACTGCGTGGTTGCCTCAGGAAGACGCCAGGGCCACCGAGTCCTGACCGAACCGGGTTTAGCGCGGACAGGAAGTGGGAAGTGGGAAATCACCACAAAAAGTGGGTGGCCTGCTTAAGAATGTAGGATCTTCTGATGCAAGAGAATAAGATTAGTTATCAATTCTTATGGACTGTGATGTGACTGTCATCATCCCTCATACTAGTATCTATCTGAATCCATCCATGCTACGTACGTTCCCCAAAATCAAACCCATCGGGGAGGTCGATGTTCTATTTGTGGCATTTAGCTGCTGCGCCTCGCCACTACGGTTGTATTTTAGTCCTCTGTACGGAGTACATACGGGGTAACTCCTGTCTGCCGTGTGGATTACAAGCCTAGAACATCTACACAGGCCATGCGAAAAGTCCATGCGAGAAGGATCAAAAAAGACTGACCGGTATGAAACGCCGGGGTCGTTTCTTCTTCAATGACCCCATTCAGGATGATAAGGCAAATTCCCGACAAACAACCGCGAGACTAATCCAGAGACTAGAGGCCAGAGGCTAGAGATGTGACAGCCAGCCCAAGCAACTCCAGCTAAGTGCAAAGCAACGGCCTGAAACACCACACCACCCCCATCGTCGTCAGAGGCGCCTGCAGCGCTGCAGCAGAGGCGATGGTCGGTGTACTCCGGAAACCCCCCGTTCCTTGGCAGCATGGCTGACTTCACGGTTCATCCCCATCGATGGAGCTGCTCGTCTTCGTGGGCGCTTCTATCTTCTTCCATCCAATATGCTTCCTCGCTGGTCCCTTCAGATCCCCATCCTCCCCGTCACACCAACTGCCAGAAAAGCTAAAACCCGACCCGAAGACAGGGAAGCCCACAGCTACTTTGCCTCGATCGGGTAAAAATCGCCTCGAATTCGGACAACCTCCATGAGGGAGGCTAAGATGGAGGCAAAAACGCGACCAGAAAAGGCCACGACCAACCAGACTAGCGGCCACTACTGGGGACGGGCCTGAAGAAGGGATCGCGAGGTGCTGCCCGGTGGAACCCGGCGAACTAGTCGAGGTTAGAAAAAAACTCTATCTGCCCGAATCCGGAAAGGCGGGCGCAATCCCTTGATCGGGATGTGCGCAACGACGATCCGCGCATCATGCGGTAGGATTGCCGACGTCGACAAGCCCGCGTGCTATGTCATTGGAATGAGAGGTTATCCCGTCGCCGTTTGCGTTCTACGCCCGTCATACGAATGATGGTCGATGGACCTCGTGGCGTTCAATGGTCAGTGCATTGGTAGACTATCTCGGTACCATGAACGGTGTCTTATCGGATACATGGTGTGATGGTTTGGACGGAGCGACCCAAGGCATGGGCCAGCCCTGTCAGGAACCAGATGAATTTTGGTTGAAAGCGAAAAATGGGTAAATCAAAGAAAAGCAGAGATGGGGAAAGTAAGGAAGAAAACCGAGTGAATAGCTTACATTCACAGATCGAGATAACAATCTAGGATCGATCCATGGACGCTCGCAGTTGCATCAAAACAAGGACATAGGGAATATTAAATGGCCTGATGATTGGCACGTTTGACTAGGAAACTTTGACAGGCACGTTTTCGCTGCCAGCTAGTTAGATACCAGCTTTGACTGCCCTGCGCTTAAGCCGTTCCAGCCCGGAGCGGATCTCTGGTCCGGAGCATCTCGCGTCTATTAAGGGCTCCCGACTCCGATCACTACCCTGTGGATGCTGCACGATGACTTTCTGCAAGTCGGTGCACTTGTCTTGGATGTTCTGGATGGCATCCACCCAGCTTCCGTGTGCCAGGCGAACTGAGCGAAGCTCCAGCGTTCTCAACGTGCTGCCAAAACGTGTCAGCCACATCAGCAGATCCTCCAACTCCACTGTGAGGTAGGCAAGTACGAGTCTTTCGAGCTTATTAGTTTTGATGCTAGCTGAGCTAGCTAAATTGAAGATCTTTGAACGTTGTTTCGGGTCATCGGCTAGGCTGTTCAGAGAGAGGCTTCGAAGTTCCGGGGCGTGCTGCAGGATATGTGAAAGAGCGGTGCCTTTGGAGAAATCAGAAGAAAGTGCTTCTGTGACCTTAAGCGACTTCAGATGAGTCCATGCCTTATCGAGACTTTTGTGCATGGACGACTTCCCACACTCCCACGATTTGACCACTCTGCTGTCCAGTGTGAGTTTCTCCACCTGCGCGGTGGAATCCGCAAGAACTGCATATAACGCATCTTCGATATAGAGGGCCTTGTTGTTCAATTTCGGGTCTGCTCGCTGGTCTGCTCTGACAAATGTGAAACGAAGTTCTTTGCAGTTGACTAGATCTTTCAAGTCCTGCCGCAATGCCCCCATCTGGGGAGTTCGGTGGAGAGCCTCCGGGTCATAAGAGAGGCGGCCTTCACTCACCCTGTGCGCAGCATTGTCCCCGACATAGGGCACCATTACATGCAAAGACGTGGGCAAGTACGCGGTGTCCGGATTGGTCGCCAGCATATGCATATATTCGTTCTCACTGGAGGTCTGCCCGATGTGCTGCCTGGCAGACAGAGAAGCACGGATCCACGGTTTCACCAATTCGGCCATCTTTTCCGAGCAGCAGTACAGACTATGGTAGTCTGTCCGATCAAGATACCTGGCGATGTTGTTGAAGACCTCCGGGGGGAGCCTATCCAGATGTCCCGGGGTTTGGGGGGGCTGTTCGGCCTGTGGTGATCGCCGCCGTCGCAAAGATATACAGTTGCCCATGACAGCTTGACGATAGACCTATGACCTCCCCAGCAGACTCACCGGGGACCCAAGCTTGCAGCAGGGATCGCACCGGCATTTATAGCTTGATGATTCTTGCATGGATGCGATTCCCGGGGCATAGGAAACGACGTACATCAGGACGCCTGGTAGCATCCACCGTCTTTTTGTTCGCATACCAGGCAATAGCGTGTGCTGCCTTAATGCAAATCCCATGATCCCATCATCCCTGGAAATCGTCTTGTTGATGTGCAGAAGACAATGGTTATGATCGACAACTTTGTATCGGTTATCGGGAAGCGATGCTTATTAAGCGGGATCTCCCGTTTCTGCGCTTTGATATAATTGGTGAAAAGGCAATGTCCGTTGTGCAGACTGACAATTGACCATTCATGGATCGTGGCAGAGAAATACTATGGTACAAAGAAGCGGTGGATCGATGGTGGAGACTGCCATTCACCAGTCATACTGCAATTTGCTGAACACCGACAAATCCAGCCACATCAATGAAATCGAAGCGCACCATCATCTAGCCCCAAGTGGCCCACCGTTCTGAATTGCCCTGGGCGGCTGTGGAGTAGTCAGTACGACGGAGCCCGCCAGTTCTCCTAGCCCTGCACGTTGGCCAGACCTGCCCTCGGTCCACCCCCAAACAGGATCGTGAATTCTAGCCGACCAGTGAGGCCTCGACACTGCATGGTGGAACAGGCCTAGATGGCCATAAGGCTACTAGTAGCCATCTGACATCAATCTCTGGGTCCTAGATCCAGAGACCACTAGCCCAATATTCGTAACCGACCCAGCCTGTTTCTGAGATGTCCAGAACGCACACTGAATGTCCCAGTTGCGAGTGCCAAAACCATGCAATTATCCCGTGCTATCATACATTCTATCAGTAGTTAGCAACATACGGTAATTAGGGATGTGATAGATCGCACCGTCCTAAGTACCAGATTCGCCAGGATGACATGCACTGGCTGTGAGCTGTGCTGTTGCCCTGAGAAAGGGTATATTCACAAGTGCAGAAGCAATGCTTTCTCCTCCTACATGATATTCCGATTTCATAGCTTATAACGTATGGGGTAAATCCCGGTCTCATCGAGGAGTATCCCTCTATCTACTCACTCCGCACGTCGAATGCTGCGACTATTTCCGATAATGTCAGTATCTGCTCCTACCCCTCTCTGACAGCTTATTTCCGTTAAATGCGGGTTGGTATCTGCTTTTCCTCCCATTCTCCAGTCTGGGTTGGGTGGATGAGTGACAGGCTGTCTGAATGCAATATACGATTTGCAATAAGTACTTGAAAACAGTAGGACGACTTCCCAGCGAACCAAAAAAGTACAACTAGGCAGTATTGACTCTTGCATGTCAACACAGAATCCCTATTCATCCTTGATAAGGCTTCTTCGAATCTAATTCGCATTCCCTCGGACTGTAATCCAGTCCCTTTGATATCATCCCACAAAGCAATGAACCCAACTGGCCCTACCAAGCGCCCAAAAAAAAGGATACAAATATGATCGTCGCCGTAAGCTCACACATGAACGCATGACAACATAAGATAAATAAGTCACGAAACAAGAATATCCCGAGTAATCAACTCCGTCTCCCCAACCGCATGCCCCACCCACCACTTCATAAGCAAATCCATAAGTCCCTCATCATACTCCATCATATCATACAGCCTCGTTTTCTGCACCACCAGATTGACCCCATTATAATACGCCTCCAAAACCCGAAGATGCTGTGGTCCCAGGAGGGAGAATAACATGACCTACCGATCCCACAACATTAGTTCACGAAATATAGAATGCCTTGGGCCTTTGGTTCGAGATGCTGGACAGTAGCACATACCGGAGCCACCACATGCGGCCGAAGATGTCTCGTATGCAACCGACCCACCATAAGATTCACAGTACAGATCAACTCGCCCCGCGTGAGTTGGTCATCACCCGGGATATCATTCGCCAGGAGACATTTCATATGCGGAAGGTGGATGTCCATCGGGGTACGACATGTGAGCGAGACATGCCAGAAGTAATGGGGCTCGAAGAGTGCTTCGAAGTTGAAGTCGCCCCAGCTGGATCATACTTCGTTAGCACTAAACTGAAAAGGTACCGGGCATTTGATGGGGGAGGCGTACGCTTTATAGGTGATGCCTATGGGACTTGGATAGCCTCTCTGGGTTACGCGAGTCAGGGAGTTCTGGATATAGATATGCAGGGCTCGTATGTTTTGATACTCTTCCCAGGTTGGCTTGTGGGTTGGGTAGTCTGGTTTGTCTGCTGGCTCGAGAGTCTCTTGGAAGGGGTGGAAGAAGAGGGGGGCGTTGGGTTCTTCGGGTTCTAGGGATAGAGTGAGCTGTTGGATGCCTGCGTGGCTGGCCTGGGACTCGTCGATCTGGTCGGTTTGCAGCGTGGTGATGATTTGGTCTCGGATTACTCGGAGGGCGGTGCGGTAGGTTTCGCGGGTTGGCCAGGGGTCGGGTTGGTTGGTCACTCATGGTGGGATTAAAGTTGTGAGAGGAGATGGTGCTGGGTTGGAGGGTTTGTGGAGGAACTGATGGGCTGTATGGGGTCTACTAGGGAATAAGGCCGGGGGGGCGGGGCGGTGGATGCAGGCAAAGGAGGGTTGTTCCTGCGAGTTGGGGGTGTTGCGGTGCAACATGGGTTCCACCGCTAAGAATTGCAATTACCAGAGTATGCTCGTTGTACCCTTTCTCTACGGCTTCTTAATCTCAGGAACAGCTATACAGCAATGGCAAGGCAGACCGTGCTATCTGGTTTCTAGTATACTCAACATAGCTCCTTGAAAGGGGAAAAATAGGCAAAGAGGAATAGGAGCGGGTCATAGCATGCACAAGCGAATTAAACTCTCAAGGACCAAGTTCAGTGATAGTATCTGTACTCTGTAGCATCTAAGATGAAGCAAAAACAATTTAATACTGGTGGAAAGCAAAAAAGCAAAAAAGATGGGATGAGCCCAGCCCGGCTCGATCGGACAACCTTACGATCTGGAGTCGTACGCGCCATAGGCCCATTTGTTGGAATACTCTCAGTTACTTTAAAATATATAGTACATTTAATTAGGGTACGCATATCGTATTTTTCAATGTTGGGAATGGATTTGAGGGGTTGTGTATGTTTGTTCAATCTGTTTTATTATGCAATTGTAATATTATATGTTGCAGCAAATTCGTATGGGTATAATAATCCGTTATATCGTTTGTGTTCTTTGTGTCGGTGGATGGTGGAAAATATTGTCGAACTTGGTTGCTTGTCCTTCCCGTCAATAGTAGGATAGTAGAGCGCTGGGTGTTGCACCGTCTGGTTCAAATGGTATTTTGGCTTAGATCTAGGTGATGGACGAATTCTGTCGTCTTTGTGTGGGGCTAGGGACCTCGCGTAAATTGTTGCTTATAGCTGTGTTCTTCGATCTAAGAGTCTCCTCGTAACATATATATATCTGTCTGTTCCATCGAGCTGCCTTGAGAATCACATCGCCAAAGCTGGTATTCCCAAGGTATACGCCAAATATAAAGTCGTTCACATAATTAATGCCCAATACAACATCTAACCAGGCAACCAAAAGCAGTGGAAGCAATTGCAGTACCTGAGCTCAAGTCATGCCCTCGCTGGTGCAGACAATAGACGGATAGTAGCAGGCACCGTGAGGAAAATCAATAAGTGATGTAATCAGGGCCTTCACTTGTCAAGTGGTTTCTGCGCGACGCGAATATATCTGGAGACGTCATCAGCAAATGGCAAAAGAAGAATGAAGATGAAACATACAAGTTCGTATAAAATCCCCTCACACCCGATTCCTCAAGAAGCTCCTTCCGAGCAGCTTGCTCCAACTCATCCCACTCCGTTGCCGACATCACATCCAACATATCCCTCTTCATCCTCCCCGTCATACCCGAGATCATATCCGCCATGTCATACGCATACTGCGCCGCGACCCAAATGCGATGCGCGACATGATCGGCATTATCCGGGTAAAGTCTCATCTTGAACGCTAGATCCTCAGTGACCTCGAACCCCGCGTCAGTCAGTTGCTGCGGGATATCCCGCGCCAGGTCCCACTTGATGGAGTGCAGGGCGAGATACTGCTGAGCGAGCTCGAACCAGCGGATCGCAGCCGATGTGCTCGCCGTGCTTTTGCCATCCTCGGCATTCATCTCCATTAGACCTTCAAATACCTCGATCTTGCCGCCCGGGCGGAGATTTTGGTACGCCCGTTTGAAGAGGCCGGGCCAGTCTTGCACAGCTGCCATGAGCATTCGAATGTATACAAAATCGAATGGGGCAGGGGCCTCGCCGTCCTGGGCGGGGAACAACGACCAGTCTTCTTCCATGTCGGCCTCGGCAAAGGTACAGTTTGATGGAGTGTCGCCCCCGTCGGTAGCTTTTCCGGTCGGTGGATGGAGATCAATGCCTAGTACGTGCGAGTCTGGGTGTGTGCTTGCGAACCGTCGGGTCCAAACGCCTGTGCCGCATCCAAGATCGACGACACGCGGCGGTGATTGGCCGAGTGGGAATTGAGCGTGATAGAGCTTTCGAGTGCGAATGGCGAAGACGGCATGTTGACCATCTGCCAAGAGGCATAGTCAGTAGGAGGATACTTTAACTAGCAAAGATAAGATCTGCCCCGAGACGTACCGAGGCGTTGGATTTCGCAGCTGGTCTGTGGGTTGTTTGTTCCCTGTCAGTCAAGGTCTTGCATTCATCCAGTACTGAGGGTGCTCACATTATTAGGCAAGGGGTATGCTCGCTCTCTCGCGTCATCCGAAATGGCATCACTAAGGGAGTCAGATTAATGACGGGATCAGAAGAATAGCTGGGAAGAAATTTGGGTTGCTCTCACCGGACGACAGGAGGGCAGGTAGCCATGTCGGAAGCCATGTTGGGAAAGTGGACGCACGTGGAGGATTACCGTTGCAAGTGGGATGAACTTACTCGGACATTGAAGGCCCTTTTATATTCAATCCATTGGCACTGCCCCGCCTGACGTCTGGCCTGCTACCTTATGCATCCCATGCATGGCATCTTAGCGCTGACTGACGCTACTAGGCTGCTAGACTGCCCCCTAACTTGATCGCTACTCGCCGCTTACGCCGAAGGATTCGCTCTATTCTATATTATTGATTTAACCATTGATTTTCAAAGAGCTCTAGTACGCCCTAGTGACGCGAAACCGTAACCCTTTGCCCCTCTTATCTGGCTCCCCCGCGATATGAGCCCATGAATGATCAATGTCCCGCTCACGAATGGTGTCGACAAGTTCGAAGTCGAACCGTCGAAACACACACGCAAGTCCCGCTCGAAGCTCGGCCTGGGCAAAGCTACGAAGGTCAGCACAATGTTGAAGGATGTTGGTAACCTTGTGATAAGAAATTGCGCTTAACATACTGCATCCCCAAGCAGCCTCGTCGGCCATGTGCAAAAGGCATGAATACCCGGTTCATGGCGGCAACTTGATCTTCGGACTGGAGCCAGCGTTCCGGAGCGAATCTATATGGGTCTGGGAAATACTTTTCATCGTAGGAATTTCGCGTTGGGGTCATTGAAACTCGGGTCTAAATCGAAGTAAGACAAGGTTAGCCCGGAATCCAGTTATAGCCCAATCTCTTCATCTGCTGTTGCCTTGACACGGAGGGAGGGAAACTCACCCCGGCTGGGATAGTCCACTCTTTGTACTGGAGGGTCTCATATGGTGCAACCAGGCTGAGACGATGATCCGTGACTTTGCCAATCCGAAGCGACTCTTTTATCACTGCATTCTGAAAAGCATCAGTCAATTGCCAATGGTCGTCAAGCAGCCAGCTTTCTCTTCTCCCCATCGCGTTTCCGTCCTGGGTGCCAGACTCACCAGAAACGGCAGACTCTCCAAGACCTTCAACTCCACAGTATCTTCCGGATCTGGCATGACGGTTTTCAGTTCCTCAAGTAGCCGTTGCTTGATTGGGGCATTCGCCATGACATGATACGCGGCAATGCCCATTGTGCGCGCCGTAGTGTCACTACCAGCGAGAAGGATCTCAAACCCCTCGTGTGCCATCCTTGTCGGTCGCTTCTCGTCTTCGGGGAGACTACTAGCCGTGAGAGCATGGAAGAGGGTATGCTGGCGCTGGGAGACTTGCGTTGCTCCAAACTGGTCCTTCGGACCCTGGTAGCCTAGCGGGGAATTTTGTGATAGATATTCCTTGCGATGTTGCTTGGCCAGGTCAATCATATTCTAGAATTGTCCACCCACGGCCTGATTAGATCAAGAAATTACCGAGCTGGAAGAGAACATACCACATGTACCGTCAGAAGCGTCGCCAGCGGCTTGTAGATATACCTGAAAGGAGCGATAGGCAATTGCAGGGCGAACGGAATCATCCATTCGCACTGTTTCAGAATGGGATAAACCGCCGCAAAGGCCTTGAAGACATCATCAAAAGCCATCGCCTTGGCCGGATCATCAAGTAGGTCGAGACGCTCGCCAAACGAACACTCTCGCAGACTGTCATTGGACCAGCCCAGGAAGGTGGCTCGGCCGCTCACGACAGTTCCCCGACGGTGATGCTCTCGGAGTACATCGCACATATGCTCGGATCGCTGCCAGATCTTGTCGAACAGGTGTTTGGCAACAGAGGACTTGGAGAAATATGAACTGACGGGGGCGCGACGTCGTCGATGAATGTCGTGTGACACTGTCCCAAAGGCTGGCCTACGTCAACCCCAGTTGTCTTGGTTTTATCGGTCCCAGGGATCTCCAAATACTCACTTCCATCTGCTGTTCCTGCTGCATGCGCTAGGGAGGGGTCTTTATCACGGATCTATTGGCCGAGTCGTAGTCAGTCCCAGAGGAGGCAGCTTCTTGGGGACGGAGGCATACGTGCCCAGGACCAGCATAGAGGACGGTGGCCCATTCCGGGTCCTTGATATGGACTTCATCTGGTGTCACCCGCACGATAGGGCCTTGGATGAAAAGCTTAGGGGTGCCTCCAGTACGCCAGGCGGATCGTCCGAGTCACTTACCGTATCGATCATGCATGGCTTCCACCTGGTTCATGAATTCCCCGCCCTGCCCGGCAAACAGATCCTGAATACATTCCCACCAAAACGTCGTGGCAACCAATTTGGGCCCTGGAAATTTGGCCAGGGGATGAAAACAGAGTCGATAGATCACTAGCCATACCTGGTAGAGCACGAAGCTGACCACGAACCAAAGGACCAGGAAGGGAGCAACCGCCATACTGGCAGACTGAAGACAAAGGCGTACTCAGCATCCTGGGGCGTCCAGGATTGCCGTTGGCTCCGACGCTATAAATCCCTATCGCTTGGTGAATAGACGGATAGTAAATGGGTTTGGCCCCCAACCTGGATGACCATGCAGTAGTGGGCTGTTCATTCCTCGTGGTCACCAAGCAGACAACCTGAGAGGGGCATCCGCCCCCCCCGGCCTCGGCGCGAGGAGTCGTCCGATTACTCCATAGAGGATCCTAGTATACCTCGTGCAGGGTCTGATCCTTAGTTGCGCCCTGCGCATACGCCATCCCGTGCCCCCTGTCGCCGTTGCGGATCTCTGCCATTGTTGGCTGAACCCGGGCCATGTTACACTGCAGTAGTGCTCACTTTCTGCATGGCCCCCACGGCGTCAGCACGGCGCTCAGGGTGTCAGCCCGGAGCAACCGGAGATAAGCTTGCCACGCTACTTCTTTGCCCGCGGATTCCCTACTACATTCTCCTCGATTTTCTCTCGCTGTTCTCCTCAGTCCCCTCCTCAACCCAGTCTTTCTCCTTCCGTACATCTCAGAATGACCCACCAGACACCTACCGCCATTCTTATCGTCCATGGGGGCTATTTTCTCCCGCCAGCCTGGGATGATTTCAGCGCTCGTCTGTCGGGGGCCGGGTTCACAGTGTCCTGCCCGCGCCTCCCGTCCTGCAAGGATGCGCGTCCCCCCACCGCAAGCCTAACCGAGGACGTCGAGGCCGTTCGCCGCGCCACGCAAGACCTCCTCAATGCCGGCCACACGATTCTCGTCCTGGCTCACTCGTACGGCGGCGTGGTCGCAAGCGAGGCCATCACCCGGGATCTATATGCAAGCGAGAACACCAACACCAATGGCATAGTCAGCCTTATTCTTCTAAGCGCCTGGCTCGTCCAACCGGGAGACTCGCTTCCCGGCGTGATTGAGAAGTACGGGTTTCAATGTGACGTGGAATTGGGCAATAATGGTGATGGAACCGTGTTTGCCACAAATGCCCCGGCTTCCTTCTACAACGATATCGAACCTGCCAGGGCTGAGGACCTGGCCAAGGATAATGTCACTCATAACTGGGCTGCGGCTTCGGGGGCAGTCACGGGGGCCCCCTGGAAAGACCTCCCGACCTTGTATATCCATGCGACCCAGGATCTGGCCATTAAGCTTCCGCTGCAGAAGAGCATGGTGCAAGATGCGGTCAATGCAGGGGGGAAGATTGTCACAGAGACCGTTGATTCCGGTCACTGTCCTTTCTTGAGTAAGCCGGAGGAGTTGTTTTGGATTGTGCAGAAAGCGGCAAGTGAGTTGTGAGGTGATTGGATGGTGGAGGGATTCTGAAAGGCTGTGATCGGGAAAGAGGACTAGCTAGAAGAGAGAGGACGAACGAAGGATTGAACTAGCGTCATGTCAAGTCGATACCAGGCGGCACCTTCCTACTGCCAATCCAAGGAAAAGAAAGCGCTACTGCATATTACTAATACTAGGCACCTACATAGTACACTCCGCCAACGTGATCATGCATCATGCTTGACGGTCAACGATCGAGTCAACATGATCCCCTCCGTCGGGACAATGCCATCTTGGCTATCGCCATCGATGCTTCTTAGGGCTTCCGAATACGTGTGACCGTACTTAGACCGACCGCTCGTTTTGGAAAATCTGCTGCGCGAGACGCTATATAACGCGTTGAAGGGACTCGGCCCTGACCGTGGGCTGGTGGATGTGGTGGACTGAATGGACCGACGGACGAGGGGCCACAGTGGGGCGGCACTGGATGCGATCAGCACCACCCACATCTCCGTCATACCGTAGATCATCAGTGGTGCAATTTCGTCTGCAAGACGGGTGAAATAGTTAGCGAGGCGCTCAGGTAGCTGGAGGGAAAGATAGGGAGATGCTGACAGGTAGAATCCTTAACCGCTTCCAATCGACCAAATTCGATGGTCTTGATCAGACTGCACACCGCGGTGACCACACCCAAGCCCATCAGGATGGAGATGATGAGCTTCAACTTGAGCCGAAGCTGAAGATTCCAGATGATCACGCTGGGGTAGAAAGCGAGAATCAGATCCGTCATACTTCCCCACGCTGTGCCCATGTGTGTTAGAACTCAGGCATCCCAGAGACAAGGGGAAAAGTGGGATCATGCGTACCGCCGGTGAAGGTGGCCCAAACAAACGCACGGTACACCCCATTACAGTTGCCCGGCTTAGTTTGATCCCAGAGCTTGTCGGCTGGAGTGCACTGCGTGAAGATGATCGGAATCGTGCCGACGTAACAAATGAGCTGTGTCGGCGGTCAGTCACTGTCCGAATCGTGCGTGGTAGTTGAGTCGCGAGGGCAGTGGCTTACATTGACGCTAAGCGTGACGATCAGAAGCCACTTGCCAATTTTGTTCGTGTGGCCCTGAACCTCGAGAATATAGATCGCCGTGGAGAGTTTGGCGAACCAAACGGAAAAGCAGATGGTGTTGGCAGCGATCCACTCGAAGAGCAAAGCCGTGGTAAGCTTTGGCGCATCGTAGACGATGGTGATGTGGTTTCCAAGACCGTAGGATGCGGAGAGGCAGTACAGGATGACACTCGGGATCCCAAGGGCCTATATCCTCACGCCACGTTAGCCGGTACCCACACAGACTGGATATGCCGGTAGTGATAGATAGTAGATAGAGACAATCATACCCACGCAACAGTGGCCCATAGCAGCGCCGCGGCACCTTTGTTTCGGACCACATAGAAAAAGGTGTAGTAGCGCAAGGCGAGGAGGATTGTTGCTACGCAACATAATGAGACGCTGACTCCGACAATGCCCGGCCCGTGGCCGCCGTAGTAATCTGGTGAAGCCATAACTATGGTTGATCAGTCATGAGAAGGAAGACAGTGCTGGTGTTACGGACAATTAAAAGGAGTAATAGGTTGCTGGTGATATAGGGAGTATTGCACTGGCTGGCTACTTAGCCCCCACTGGCCGCTATGCACAAGGCTTTTAGGCTTATGAGAAGATGTTCTGCCCTTACTCGTAGGTTAGTTTCCCTCATGAAGCCTATCAGTTACTCCGTACGGAGTAGGGCTCGGCATGCAGTTGGGACCAGTGACACTGCCCCATGCACGCACCATGCGTTGACGCCGCCGCCCTGCATCCCGCTCAGTCAGGATTTGAATATTCAGAATTAATTTCCGAGTTCCGACTCTGCATCCGAGAGAGCCTGTGGCCCCATGGATAGGTGCCTGTGTTCCAGGCTCAGCAGGCTGACATGGAATGAGGGGTTATCCTAACCCAGGCTCACTGCCGGGCCGGCCCCTTTAGGGTTGTCCCGCATGATCCCGGAGTGTGCCTAATGCTTTGATGTCCAGAATCGCCCCCACCATGCTCACATATACTGGGCGGGTTTGAGAATAAAAAAAACCAGATTGTAGGTCCCGTACCTGGCGGACTGATGGCGATCGTGGCCAATCACCTCCCCCAGGTCGTTCAGGAGCAGCAGTGGCTGCTTACAATAGTTGCATTCTTGAAGCCAGTCCCTCGGATTTCCGGGAACCGCGGTAATCTCACGTAAGTTAATTTCTGCCCACCAAGAAAGCGACGCATATTGCTCAAAAAGGCATAATTTCTTGTCTGCGTCATTTGCTGGTTTCGCCAATCGATAATGAAAATGCGCCAGCCCACTTCGGACCTTCCGGACGGTATATGAAATGGCCCTCGATGAGCTCGAAGCATCATCGGGTTATCTGCCTCTCGATACACCCGGCGAGGGATCTATCCTTTGAGTCGTTTAGACTGACAAAAGAATGGCGCCCATCTCTCGGACCGAAGTTATCAAGAGTCTCCATAATCAGACTTTCACCATCCGCGGGCTTCGCTCAGCCTTTGCCAATTGGCCTTTTAAAGTGAACCCTTATTTGGATCAAGCCCGCCAGGATGTCGCACTTATGCTGACAAGGTATACCCCTGTCACTCCCCTCGCCCACTGTCAATTAGCACGGTCAATCGACTCTACCCCCTAGCCCGGTGCATGCCGACTGCGATTCATACTGAGACGAACGGTAGTCGCTTCCCGCACCACCCCAAGTTGCGCAAGCTGCTCGGTGGCGATTATGGACTCTTTGGCGCTACATGGTGGCCGTGTGCTGGATATAGGCAACTTCTGGTTGCTACCTATCTTTCTCTGTGGGTGAGACATTTCCTTGTGCTCCGGGCATCTTACTGGCATTGGTTTAACGTGCAAGAAGCTTTTCATGTGGGACGATGGTAAACCTTTCTGCTTTCCCTTCTCGATGCATCTGATAATCTCGTTTAGAGCTCGACTCGGACGTGGGAAGCCTTGCAAACCATTTCGATATGGCACAGGAGTATCGGGCGGAGACTCTCGCTTTTGTCCGGAACCGACTCGGTCTTGATGATTCCAAGATTACCATGATTAGCAGTAATGAAGTGATTAGCAGCTTCGACTTCATTGGAGACTCGTTGCGAGAGTCTTGCACCTACGGTATGGTTTCCCTTCTCACCGGAGGTAGAGCCTTACTTATGCGGACCACAGAACAACGGCAAACCTTTGTAGAGGAATTCTGCTTTTTCATGGAAAAATCGGAAACGGAACAGCGTCTGCGCTTGGGAGAATATCTGGTGACGATAGACGAATTCTCCCGCTATCGTCTCGGTACGAGCGCAGTGCGAGTGGTGCTCGCCATCAACCAGTGTGATCCCCACCCCATCATTTTTTCTCATGTAGACTGCATAGTTGGATAGTGTTGAGCTAAAGGCCCGGCAGGTTCTGCCATTCCACCGATCTCCCATCCTATGTCACCAAAGATGCAGACTTTGTCGCGCTATGGGACCTGGTCAATGTGAACATCTGCAAGTAGGTTGTCCCTCTGTCACTTGCATAAGTCCCTTGACCAGAAGGCAACGACCGCGCAGTAGAGGCAGCTAACACAATGGCAATCAATATATAGTGTTAACGACTTACTGTCGGTTAAAAAGGAAATTGTAAGTTATACCTACCACCATAACTCCTTTATAAAAGTGCGAGAGCAGCAACACCTGACCCGGTGCATAGGCCCAAGGAGGTGCCGAGAGCCTAGTACCCATCCTGTACGCCAAATATGGATCAGTGCAGAAGGCAGTCGACCATATCGTGGCCGGCATTCGGCACACCATCACCGAGCTTGATGCTACGGCCAAGAGGCTCCGAATACGATATTCGACAGACTTGGACGTGCTCAAGGGCCTCGAGATTTTCATCGATGGGTGCAAGTATTATTGCACTGGCAACTTGACATGGAGGTGAGCGAATGCGTTCAATATGCCAGTTTCCCCTTTGGATCCCTTGCTTATGACGGATATATCTCTTGCAGTCTTTCCACCGGGAGATATGGAGTTCATCAGGAGTCAGAACCGGACAATGTAATAATTGTACTAGGTGGAAGCGACGATTAGGAGGTGGGGGATGGAGTAGTGTGAAGCACATCCCTACTCCAAGATATTTGGCGTGTCAAGTGATTCCAACTTTAGCACATATACGTTGCTTTTCTCTGGTTTAATTTGATTTATCAGATGGCTAAGTCGAAGACTCACTTCCACCCCTTCAACAAAGTCATCTATGCCATGGCACGCAATTGATGAGGCTTGACAAAGGATGTAAAATACCTTGTTCCTCTTGGTTGACTACCAGGAGCGAGGCCACGCATAGTGCAATCTCTCGGGAGTGACTGGTGGCCAGGAGTAGTAGAAAAAGCGCCGGGACTGTCCAGTGTCATTCCAGACAGACCGATCTCGATACAGGTCCCGGACCTGTATGAACCATGGTTCTGGGTTGTACAGGTTAGTGCCATCCCTCACCGGCCTGTGCATAAACTTTCTTCAGTACTTAGCCGAAGTCGAGGTATTGAGAGCTCCGAACAATGTTATCAAAGAGGACAGCATTGACAACTGGTGCAGCGAAGAAGGCGTTGCTGCGCTGGCCCTCGTATTTCTTGAGCGCGGCTTTTATGTCTTCGCTACGCCGCGCATTCCCATCAAAGCCAAATCACTGAGGAGAGGTGTTGTTGATAATCTGCCGCAAGAGATAACATCCCCTAAGTTGATCGCAGACTGCGTCGAATGCCCTTGATTTAAAGCAGAAGTCGGCTGGACGTGTTGCTAAACGACGCTGGTGTGATGCTAGTTGCTCCCATGCTGGATGTGTCAATTCCAGAGGCAAAGGAGGTATACGACGTGAACGTCTCTAGCAGGTTTAATCCGCTGCTAGTGGAAGCATCAGGCATGTAGTGGAAACACCTCGATAGCTGCAACAGTCTATGTGGCCTGGTTAGGTACGTATGTATCGGGCCTGATACCTCATTGATGTTCCAGGACCTGTCTTAATCACACAAAGGAGTACATGCATTAGCTCGAAGGCAGCCCAGCCGCCAATGCCGGAGATGCTGCGGATTGGACTGGCGCCGCTCGGAGTGCGAGTTCTTTCTGTCATGCTGGGTGAGGTTGAGTCAAAAGTTTGACTGACTCCGGAGACACCTGTCACCTCATATTACCAGTCAGCGAGGGAGTGTCTTGATAAGATTAAGGCTGGCATGCTTGCCATTAGAAAGAGGCAGCTGAGATATACGCGATACCATTCGACTTGAAAATGCTGAACCATAAGGTCAGAGAAGGAAGGGGCGGGGGGTTGGTCCAGCCGTGACAGTGGCATGGGAGAACAGGCTACTATCGGGCTGGCACTAATGTTGGATTCACCCTATTCGATGCTTAATTTCTTCTCCTCGATGCACAAACTCGAGAATTCGCTCTGAAGCAGTAGATTTGTAGCCTACTGGTAGTGTTGCAGTTGATCAAATGATGCTGAGATTGACAGCACTAACTATATGCACCATGGCAAGGATATTTACTGACGAATAGATCAATGGGGTTAACTTAAATGAGCTATGTTATGAATCCGACAAAGAGTTCGTGCCGTTCAAACAATACTTTGTAGGAGACCTGCAGGTGCAAGTGACAGGAGACGGGGGTCCAAGTAGGGATGGATCCGTGACGCACGACTGCCTCAGGCCGCAACCGCTCTATCTCCGCCTCCGCGCCCAGTCCGACCGACCAGCTTCCCCCGATCGCTTCTCTCATATTCACCCCTCCAACAGAAGGCTTCTTGCCGCTGAAGCTTGGTCGCCATGTCGGACGAGTCGAAGCCCAAAGGCTTCCCGGACATATCGGCCAAACTGTCTGCAATCCCCAAGAAATCGCTCTTTGAACGCCAGAAAGCCGAAGCCGAAGCCAAACGTGCCCGAGAGCAAGCCGAGACCGCCGCGGTTTATGAGGACTTCGTCAAGTCGTTTGAAGATGATTCCCACGGCCCCGATCGTCATTCCGGTGATGGAAGATTGAACAAGTTTCCGCCCAAGACCCCGGGTTTTGGAGGAGGCCCTGGAAGACGCCATTTTACAAGCTCTGGCCCGCGCATGAGTGGCCCCGGCACTCTGGGTCCTCCGCCGCCGTCAATTTCTCGAAAGCGCACCCACGAAGGGTCCCATTCACAGCACCGGACTCGGGATACAACACAAGGGATACTGGGCTTTGATAACGCCGCGCCCAGTTCGGCTGCGGCGGCGTCAGCTTTCCGTGCTTCAGATGATGAAGACGAAGGAGCCGGTGATGCGAAAGAGGCTGAAAGAGCTGCTGCTAAACCTACGCTATACCTAGCATCCCTCCCTCCGGGAACATCGCCCTCGGTGCTGAAGTCTCTCATACCATCCGTGCTGACTGTGGACAATGTCAAGATCCTGCGCCCCCCGGGCCAGCCTATAACCGACCGGAAATCGGTAGCCGCCATTGTGACTCTGGCAAACGAATCTGCGGCTTCCGACATTGATAGCACGGTTAGCGCTCTTCAGAACAGATACCTAGGATGGGGATATTACTTGACGATCTCGAGACACCTCTCCTCCGCCGCTATTGGTTCGACGATGCCGGTCACTGTCGGCCTGTCTTCGGCATGCTCTCTCCCTTTTGGCGCCAAGTCGGTAGCGCCTGATATCCCAGGGCGGCTGAATCGCGCTCCGCCACCAGGGCTGCATCGTGGGGGATTTGCGCCACCATCATCGTATGGACCGGCACACGGGAGGGGTGGTCCTTCCACACAGGTTGAGGTGAAAGCACCGTCAGACCTGAAACAGCTAAAGCTGATCCATAAAACTCTGGAGAATCTATTGAATCATGGCCCAGAGTTCGAGGCACTACTGATGAGCAGACCAGTGGTTCAAAAAGACGAAAAATGGGCATGGTTATGGAATGCCAGAAGTGCTGGTGGGGTGTACTACCGGTGGAAACTATGGGAAATCCTCACGAACAGCCGCCCTGTTACTAGCCGACGAGGCAGGCCTCCGACTCCATCGACTATCTTCGAGGGTGGTGCAAACTGGGTTCCGCCGGAGGCGCATATTAAATTCGAATATACAACCCGCATGGACGAGTTTGTGACGGATGATGACTACGACTCTTCCGACGAGGAGATGTCCGATTATGAGGATGAAAGACGAAATCTGGGAGGGGCACCGCCAGCCGAGGGGCCTGGTGCAAACAAAGAGGGGCTAGGCTACATGAATCCATTGCAGAAGGCCAAGCTGACCCATTTACTTGCTCGACTTCCGACTACGCATGCCAAGCTGCGGAAAGGTGACGTTGCACGAGTTACTGCTTTCGCCATCGAGCATGCGGGTGCAGGAGCCGATGAAGTCGTGGAAATGATCGTGTCGAACATCATCAATCCCTTCGCCTACACTGGTGCTAATCCCGATCGCGAAGCAGAGAAAGGTCTTGCTCGACGAGAACAAGCAGGAGACCTGGCCAACGACAACCCGGCCGAGGAAGGGCGGGCATCCATGAAAGAGACTCTGGATCTATCTTCTGCCAAATTAGTTGGCCTCTACCTTGTATCAGATATCCTTTCCTCTTCTGCCACGAGCGGCGTGCGCCATGCGTGGCGTTACCGGCAGCTTTTTGAGTCTGCCTTGAAGATACACCAGGTATTTGAGCATCTCGGGAGACTCGAAAAAGACTTGAGGTGGGGACGACTGAGGGCCGAAAAGTGGAAACGCAGCGTTGGCTCTCTTCTGCATCTGTGGGAAGGCTGGTGTGTGTTCCCGCAATCAAGCCAGGAGCACTTCTTCCAGATCTTTGAGAAGCCACCACTCACGGAAGCGGAACTGCAGGAGGAGAGGGAGAAGGCCGAGGCCGAACGGGCTGCGAGTGCGTTTTCTAAGAACAAGAGCCGTTGGAAGACAGTTGATGAAGATGCTTCCTCCGGGAAGTTTGACCCCGGACGAGCTCCGGAAACCGATCCTCATCGGATGGATATCGACCAGGAGAATGTTGCGTCTGCAGGGGCCGAAGACTTTGATGGAGAATCCATGAGCGATATCGATGGGGAGCCAATGGAAGACAGTGACCTGGAAGGGCCGGATGGGGAGCCATTGGAAGAGGAACCCCCCGAGGAGGATAGTGGCCTGAAGGAGCAGCCTGAGAAACCAGCCGAGCCCTCCGCCCAACCAGAACCTCACCCCCCAGCCCGCAAACCCCGACCTAGAGCAGAAGACATGTTTGCGGACTCGGACTCGGATTGAGGGCATGGAATTGGAGGGTGATGTTAAACGATCTATCTATATTATAATGATGTCTGGGTACAACTTCGTTGTCATATAATGCGGATTTTAAGCGAGCCCAGAATTGAAGCCATGAACCATGCGGCATTAATGGCGTAGTCTCCTGAAGGATCCTCCTGATTATTCACCCTCCGAGTCAGAAAAGTGACAGGCTCGCTGCCTTACAGGTTAAGGCACTGACACGCCGGGAGCCCCACAATTCCCCTCGCGACGGAAATACTTTTGATGTTGATGTCAACCTCAACTCTTCCCTTCCTATCTATCCCACTTCCACTGCCTCTTCTCCGCTGTCTCTATCTCCTTTAGACCCGCAAATCCCACAACCGTCAAAATGGCCGGTAAGTACCCTCTTGCGCCATCGCTCTCACCTATGCGACGCCTGCCCCTCCCATCTGTTGTTTTGCTGCCCCTCCGTGAGGCTCTTGGGCCCCCTCGACGGCAACCACACACCGATATCCTCACACAATTGACATGATAAACGCTAACGCAATGCCTCTTACACCCAGACTTTTCGAACATCGCTCGTACGTGTCACTTCCCTCCCCGACCGACCACCCCCCGTGGAGTAGGGGATGACTTCATGCGCCGTCGCATAGTCAACCCCCCCATCCCACATCCTGGCATCCTAGATGCCCAATCGGACCCAAACCATCCTCAATCTAACCTATAACGATCCGAACAGAGCAGTTTGTGCAGTTCTACTACAATACTTTCGACAGCAACCGTGAGCAGCTGGCCGGTCTCTACGTACGCTTGACTACCACCACCCCGCAATCCCTACATCCACCACCACTAACTAACGCATCTCCATCACAGCGCAATGAGTCCATGCTCACCTTCGAGACCTCTTCCCACCTGGGTGTCCAGCCCATCATGGAGAAGTTGCTGGTTAGTCCTCTGCCACAACGCAGCATCAAATCGAACCAGATTCCTTGACTGACACCTGCGATCCAACCATACAGAGCCTTGCCTTCCAGAAGGTCCAGCACCAGATCTCCACTCTGGATGCTCAGCCCTCCATTGAGAACAGCATTATTGTCATGGTCACCGGTGCTCTTCTGGTATGTCTCCGTCCATCTTAGTACAATATACCTGTTTTGGGAGATGCTTCTTCCTGAATGTATTATTATTTGGGACTAACTGGGTTCTTTTCTATTTCAGATCGACGAGGAGCAGCGCCCCATGAACTACACCCAGACCTTCACTCTCAAGCCCGATGGTGCTGGCAGCTACTTCGTCTTCAACGACATCTTCCGCCTGATCCTGGGTTAAATGCATTGTGACGGATACTGAGGTTTAGTGTGATGAAGGAGCGATGATTGGTTGGGCCGATGGGCCTAGAGTAGGCAGTTTGTGAGATGAAGATAATGAATTCAAGAGGATTGACATGCTTTTGGTTGTTGTCGTCTGTCGTTTACCCCATTTTCTGTGAGAGACTTTCTTTTTCTTTCTCTTGCTCTATATATACATATTTCTCTTGCTTCAATTTAGTCTGATCCCTGTCGTGGATTTGAGCCGTCATTTACCCCTGGATTAGAGAAAACATCTATCTTGCTACTCCATTTTCTTAGTCTTGGGCCAAGTGGATGTGTCTGTTTTGAATAGCTGCTCCAGCAGCCGTTGTCATATTGTAGCCAAGAAGTATAGTCTAGGAAGGGAGGTAGGTATACAAGGCGTTGAAACAGCACAGATCATGCGGAACTATCATATGCATCCATCTGCAGCATTGCAATTTAACCGAACACAGCATCTGGAAATGAATGCTGATTGTCAACCCCCCTGATAACGGAATAGATGTCACTGGTCTCGGAGCAACGGGGTCTCTTCAGAAGGCTGATCCTGATCAAAGTCCTCATGTTGTCCGTGCTCCTCCACGGAACCATTTGCAGTGGCGTCCTTGTCATGCTCGTGGGTGTGACCCCGGTTGGGTCCCAGGAATTCGAAGAAGACTCCCAAGCATAGAAGCGTGCCCTGCAGGCAAGCCGTCACGATCAAGACACCCCAGGTACTCCAGCCCTTCGGACCCAGTCGGGCAGCTAGACTGCCTGCCCAGACGAGACTGCCGGGGGTCTGGATGCACATCATCGGAATGCTGAGACTTCCCACGCAGCGCAGTCGAAGGGTGGTGTAGATCTGAGGGAAGTATTGGATTGAGGCAAGGAGGGCGGACAGAATGCCACAAAAATTGGACCATTGCTGGAGCGAAGATGCCCGGGTGTAGCCGACTGCAATGGTGGTGATGAGCATAACTAGAGCGTGGACGATGCAGACACCGGCTACAATTAGGGCGGTGCGATAGGTTGGGCTGTTTTTCGGAAGATGGGAAGTATTTCTGGGGAAGAACAGAACGAAGAGAAACAGGCTGTTGGCGAGGAGGATTTCAGGTTAGTTTCAAACGGCTGCGTGGTGGTGGCCTGGTCGTTAGGGAAGCTTACATGATGAAGAAACAGAGGCACTGCGTCCCAACCTGCAGGATACCCAGTATCCCTGAAAAACAGCCCATACCATTGACGACCCTGCAGCACGCCATGTCTTGTAGACTCTGCTCTTGCGAGATGACATTTGCCAGGGCGGATGAACCGGACGTTGTTCCAAGGAGGACGAAGTACGGTGAGATGCCGAAGGAGCTCTTCATCGTGATGATGCGAACATGCTGGGGGGTGTAAGAGAGGAGGATCCCAAAAACGATGAGACTGCTCTGGTTAATGCTTGTGCGACTTGCTTGATGACCTTCAGAGTCAGGAAAAGGCAGCATACATGGACAGGATAAAGTTCTTATACTCGGGCGAGGCCAGATGCTCGCACTGCGGGTTCAAGGAATCCATGTCGAGACTGCGTACAGAGTAATGTCTATATCGAGGTAATTCTGTCACCAGACAGAGATACTGTTCCAGACAGATAAGCAGAGTCAATTATTCTGCGAACGGGGTCGTCGAGCACAGCTGGACTTTTATGCCCCGTGCATAGGGGGCGGTTAAGAACAGGCGGAGGAGGCCAGAGACAGCAGTGGGTTATTGGATTCTAAAACAACATTCTCATACCAACACACGCGCGCGTTGATTGGACCCGAAGACGAGTGGATGAATGAGATGACTTGTCACGGCTGGATTGATGGTGCCGGAGGATTATGGATTGGGGATGGGCTGGCCGGCGTTGTTGTTGTTGGCTCTCCTTATCGCCGTCTCCGCATCGCCCAAACCGGCAAGGCGGGCCCGCTCGCCCTAAAGAGTTAGCGGTAGATCATGTGCCTTGCATCGGGGTTGCCATTGGGGGGATCCTTCCAGTCGAATAACTCGACATGTCGCGGCATCCTCCGAACATTCTCTGGGTCTTGCATCTTTTACCTGACCCAGGCCGGGAGGACAAAGCACTCGGGCAGCGAGTAGGTCGTGTCCATTCACGCGGCAGCGGGGAAACCTTAGTAGTTAGTACTACTACGCTTACACAATCCAGCGGGGAAGACCATGGGCCACTCAATCATCGATGACGCCAGAACGGCCGATGGCCAGCTCTCTCCCAGCAATACGTCACTCGATGCTCATCCCGCGCCGCCTCCCTGATTCCCTTCTACGGTCACCAATAAATATCTTCATCCCGGGATGTCTGCTTCTTAATCTCTCCTGCTTAATTTCTCCAGATTATCATAACCTGCTATTGTGAGTTGCCATACTAGAGCCGGGAGCTAGAGCTAAACGAGCTAACATCGGAGAGAAGTGAACAATAACCGCAGCGGCTCAACATAGGTTCTATATCTCGCCAGGATGAAGCTACATTTGGCTTCGTGCTTGGTGTTTGCTCTGGCAACCGCTGAGGCGGTTGGAGCATCTAGCTGGTTCAGCAAAGCTGGTATGTTTACTCTATACCTTCTACAATTGATGTCATTTCATTTGGTCTTCTTCAGAGTTGCGTCACTCACTAACACACCTTAGTCTACAATAAATGGCATGAAACGGAGTTAGAACGGTGGCTTTCCGATCATGGTACGATAGAAAGCCCCCCCCCCCCCCCCCCCCGGCGTCCTCGATGCATAGCATTGACAAATCCTTTAGACATTCCCTACCCTTCTCCCGCCGATCGCAAAGATCTCGAGACCCTAGTGAAGTCCAATTGGGATACCAAAGTGCAGAAGCCCTTGGGACATGCTGCTGAGCACTCCACTGATCACTGGCATAATGCCAAAGAATGGCTCTTCGACACGTGAGTGAATGCAAGCTAGATCTAATGAACCGCGCACGTGCTAACATCTGAACAGGTGGTCCGACTCTCAGTTGAAGGCATTCCTCGATCGCCATGGCGTCCCTGCTCCTCAGCCACGCAAGCGTGATGTTCTTCTGAAGACTGCCCGTGAGAACTACGAGACGATCGCCCACAAGCTTGGGGAGGCTGTTGCTTACCCTGGTAACTGGGTTTATGAGCAATGGAGCGAGTCTGATTTGAAGGAATGGCTTGATGAGCGTGGCTGGCCAGTCCCGCAGCCCACAACGCGGGACAGGCTTATTGCATCCGTACGCCGAAATGCTCGATTGGCTAGTTTGCATGCGAAGAACATCGCCGCCTCCGCGTCTGCCTCCGCAGAAGCTGCGCAGGCTACTCTGAGTGATGCTCTGTTCAAAGCTTGGTCTGATTCCGACTTGAAGAAGTTCCTCGATGAGCATGGTGTCAAGGTGCCGCAAGGTTCTAGACGCAACGAGCTGGTGGCTCTAGCTAGAAAGCATCGCGCTTCTCTGGTCAGCCAGGCGTCTGAGGCTTCTGCCACCGTTTCCTCCACCGCTACTGAAATCATCGGTGCCGCTACATCTAGGGCAGGTAACCAATACGCCCAAGCCACCGATGACGCGCAGCTCAAGGCCCAGGAATCATTTGATGCGGCAGTTGACACCTGGTCCGATTCGCGTCTGAAGGCCTTCCTTGATGCCCGCGGGGTTCCTGTGCCTCAGAGCAGCAAGCGCGATGAGCTGCTCGCTAAGGTGAGGCTCAACGCCCACAAGGCAGCCACTGGCTGGACTGCCTGGACCTTTGATACCTGGGATACCGAGCACCTGAAGTAAGACCAGACCTACCAGCTATCGCATCTCTTGAAGTTGTGAACTAACATTATTCTAGGAAGTATCTGTCATCCATGAACGCCAAGGCTTCTCATCGCGCGGATATTACCCGCGACGAGCTTGTGAAGCAAGCCCAGGACACCTACGCCAAGGCCTCTAAGTCTGGAGGAACAAATCTTGCATCTGCTACCTCCTACATGGCGCAGGCCACCGACGCAGCCAAGGATTCCGCATTTGACACCTGGACTCATTCGGACCTCAAGTCGTATCTTGACTCGTACGGCATCCCAGTCTACCAGGGCTCTGGCATCAACGAACTCCGCGCGGCAGCTCGCCGGAACGCCCAGTACTTCCGATACGGCACCTCAAGCCCTCAGGGTACAATCTTTGCTAAGTTGCAAGATGTCAGCCAGTGGGTTCTGGATCAGTTGAAGATTGGCGCGTCCAGTGGTAGAGCCCAGGGCCAGGAAGCCGCTGAAAAGGCCAAGGCCAAGGGCCAAGAGGCTGCTGAGAAAGCTCAGGCTAAAGGCCAGGAAGCCGCCGAGAAGGCGCAGGCCAAGGGTTCCGATACGGCCGAGAGCCTCCGTGTCGAGCTATAACTCAATCTGATTTCTTGATGTTCATGTTGCCGGCTGGGCGTTGTTCGTGGGATACGACTTTATGACATCACATAATAACTGCACTATGCGGTTGAGACGGTCTATGATACTTGTTTCTAGTTGCGAGGTGCAAAAGCTGGACAGGGGAGGCTGAACTCTGGTTTAATGTATTAGTCTTTGAGAAATTCCAAACCATCCATTATAATTGTCCAATGGTACACCTGTCCTGAAATCTGGCAAGCTATAAGCGGGGTCCCAATACCGAAGATCCCGTTCCTAAACATATTGTCCCACCAAGGCATGTCTCATTCACCATCACGCTTTTAGAACAGTAAACACACGTGACCATCCCACTCACAGGTCAACCATATCAATATCCTCAAACCTACTCCATACATCTACCCTACTCAATCAATCCACTTCCCACACACACTCCAACCATACACAATCTCAACAATCCACCTCACGCACTCGCCGCCTCGGGATCCCCCTCCGCCACCAATTTCCCCACAACCAAATACTTCTCAGAGAACCGCTCCTCCCAAGACTGCAGGTTCTCCAACTGATCGGCATCCAGATCCTTCAGATCATCTAACGGCGCCTTAAGATCCTTCGTGAGCATCTCCTCATCGAAGCTCTGACAAGCCAGACCACGGGATGCGTCCCGACCAGCGAAGTTCTCGTACGGTCCGCCCTGTACATTATTTCCCATGTTAGTTTGTTCTAATTTCCTTGCCTTTCCGCTATGTTTGGGATACTGGACGGGGAAGGGGCGGGGGCATACTGGTCCGTAGAAGTTCTTCCCCGGAGTCACGTCAAAGACACGGCCCCGGACAGCGAGGTAGACGGGTTGGTTTCCTTCGCCGTTGTAGGGGAGGAGGGTGGTTGGGGTGAAGGTGCGGAAGACGACCGGGGCGGGGCCCTTGGGGAGGCTGACGGGGGCTTTGGGGCGGAGTTGGAGGTAGACGAGGATGACGAAGAGGGAGAGGAGGATGAGGTTGATTGGGGAGGCGATTGTCATGCTGGAGGGGGTTAGTAGGGGTTGATTTGGGGGGGGTGAGTCGAAGTTGGTAGGTAGGTAGGTGGTGGGAACTGACACTTCGGCGGGCGGCGGGACCGCTGAGTCTTTAGGGTGAATAGATGTTAGTTTGAAGCTTAGGCGTGAGGAGGAATCGGCGTACCTGGAGAGGACATGGTGGTTGAATAGTTGTTATGTGAATGGGTGATGTTGTAGACAGAAGTACCTGGGAGGTTGAGATGAAATTAAGATGATGACGCTGATGTCGGCGAGACGGCGGAAATCGCGATTATGACGACGTTGAGGAGGTTGGCCAATCAGAATAGGGCCAATGCGTGCGGAGACGCGGTCGGTACGGTACAGATACCGGTACGGGAGGTTTATCGGCACGTGCCGTGAATGCCTGGATGGTCAGGTATCCAGTCTGATGGAGGTTTGTTTACTCCGTCCCTTTTATGTTTACTATGGAGTTCTCCGTAGTCCGTCCTAGTTTGCTGATAATTAGTGAGTTACACTCGGATGATTAACCCAAAGAGAAGGATCATCAAACGATCAAACAGAACTGCGCCGAACCACTCGGAAGTGTCAGATCGTGCGACGGAGGATAGCGATTTAATTGCTAATTGCTACTATAATTAAGACCGCAAACATGGGGATTCTCTAATTGCGATGGAGTTTGGACTGCTCTCGACCATGGGACCGTTAAAATTAGAATGGAGGCCCGTCGTGAACTAACCGAATGATTCTGAAACAGGACCCCCCGGCGCCGGGTGCTGCTGTCAGTTGGTTTCTCCTTGTGCCCATTCGGATCCATTCTGCTCCATTCATTCATTCATTCATCCATTCATTATTCTCTTCTCTGCCTCCTGCAGGCAAACCGGTTTGTTTGAGGAGGGGCCGATTGCCGTTGGCCGTGAGCTTTCTTCCTATTATTTTCCTCCGCTTTGTCCTTCGTTCAGTGCCTGTAGTTGTTATCACAACTGACCACCGCTTTTAATTAGTACCCGCTCACCCCATCAGCTGGTCTCCTTCTTTCTCTCCCCTTCTCTTGTCTTGTTGAGCTTGATCCATCTTTGCTTCATTCGAATGACGTGCTGGCATGTCAGCTGCATGAAGCGCACCTACATCTTCACCGAATTGCTTTTTTATGTTAATCATCAACGGTTTTTGTGTCACTCCTTGCTTGGCCCTTTCATTCCTTTCTAGAAATTCCTTTTGAGGTATGTGCTAAGACCGGTCACATTCCGGACAATTCGACTCCAAGTCTAGCCTCGCGGGGTTGATACTTACCTGGGGAACTTTGGCTACAGACTTTACGCGCAAAATCCATACTGTGTAGACAAGATGTGGGGGAAAATGTCTTTCCATCGCTCGCGCAAGCCGGTGATCGGGAATCCCACCCTGATCGACATGACCTTGGATGATAGTGCCTACCGCTCTCTGTCCCCCGCTCGTGGCAGCCAGAGCACTGACAACCTGGCACATTCCAGGACTCGCCCGGCAATCGCACGGTCAGTCGTTCCTTCTTTTCTTTAAAGTGACTATCACTGGGCTCTCTGACTCGTTCCAGCAACCCTACTACGGACTCGCTCCTTCCTGCACAACACCCCGACACGGGTCGACGGGTCGCCTCCTCCCATGCTCTGGACATTGCGAGTGGTGACCCGTATCACCATCGCTCTATCAGTTTGTCACATAATTATCTCCTGGAACCAGCCACCTTTGGTCACGACCTAGGCCGACCTGAGAGTGCCAGCATTTCACCTCCGGACTCGCTCATTTCCTTCGGTCGCCCACCAGCGAGTCGCGACAGCTCGCGTGTTTCGCCAATAGAGGACGAATTCACCTACGATCTAAGCGCCGGGTCAATGGAGAACAAGGAAAACACCAAGTTTGCCAGTCAGTTGCCCGTCTTGCGCAAACGCGCCGACTCTCAGGCAGACCGGTTACAAACGCCAAAGTCCTCAAGAGGTCACACGACCAGATGGGACGACTTCTCAGGCGAACTGTCGCCTGGCGACTTGAGCAGACCTGGTCAGAATACCCCTGGCAGTGTTTCTTTTCGCACGGAGATCACAGCAAAGCCTCCATCGTCCCACAGTGCAAACATCTTTGGCTGGGGCAAGGACCATCTCAATGCCAAAAAGAAACCATCGGAACCACGCACGCGGCTATCGAAAACGGAAAATACGCTTCCACCCGGCTTGCGCGAGCCTTGGAAGGGACCTAGTGGACGATCTCCGATAGTGACCCCCATCCAGGAAAGACCGAGAGCTAAATCTCCACCACGTGTGCACATGGCGCGAAGTAATGATAGGTTGAGAGAAATGAACGGCGCGACTCCCGATTATGCTGCTGCCTGCGCTTTCGTTCCGACTGTCGTGACCACTATCACAGCTGGTGACCCCAGACCAAAGGCTTCGGAGAAGGTTAAACACGCGACAAGCAGGGATAACCTCCGAACACGAACACCCGAGGGACCCGCTCTGACCACTAGCATTAGCACTGCTGAGCCACCTCGTGTTGATTTTCCAGAGCCGGACTGGAAGTCATCGTTGGCTGATCTAAAATTAACCACCGATGATTTGGCCGAAGAGCCGGCGAGCCGGTTCAGTGCAACTACTTATGAGCCCACGGAAACAGGCAGCTCCATCGGCAGCGCGCGCGGTAGCATAGATGCCGCATCTCAGTCCACCGAACATCTTCCATCAATCATGTCTCGAAAACGCCCGGTACCTAGCGTTGTTGCGCCTGGGAAGAAGCCCACCAGGAAGCCCACGCCTTCTCAGGCCCCTGAAGCCGAACCGCCCAAGGATCAACTACAAGTTACGCCGCAGGAACAAGTTCAGAACCGCATCGAGACGCTGGAAGCTCGCAGAGACACCCTGGCGCGCCGCAAAGCGAATGTCAATACGATAATTTATGAATTAACTCAAGTGATCCAGCCGAGCTCCGTGGCTTACGACATGGCTGCCAGAGACGAAGTGAAGCGGACCGTGGCCAGTCTAGAAAGCGAACTGGCTGAAATCAAGAGAGAGGAGCACGAGATTGGTCTGAAGCTGTTCAGGGCTTGGAAGAAGCGCGACGATCTTGGGTTCGGTGGGGGCTCCAGCCTCTGGGTCAAACGGGTGACCAGTTGAACATCAGTCATGGCTTCTTGAACTCTCTTTCTGGGTATCACTTGAGCCTTCCTTTCCTTCCCATTTCCCTCTCTTGTCATTGCCATGATTATATCTTTTGCGCTATTGTTTGGCCAGATGTCCTGCTGCTGGATAGTGGCCGGGTCGTGTCTTTCAGCGTTGCGAATACCCCTGCGCAGCATACAGCAGGTTCATGTTTACTTCTTTCTAACGATGCCGGCGGGGCGTCTTTCTTTCTTACTGTGCAGTGCGCAATGATACCCTTTCCGCTTGTTGGGAGGCTCTTAATCCTAAAGCCGATGCTGGTGATTGATGATATGGATGATTCTGCGTGTTGTAGGATGGAAGCCAATGGGTATTCTGTTCTGTTCTGTTCTTTTATGGATGTTACTTGTGAATGACGAAAGGTGCATTATTGAAGAGAAATAAGTATCAAGAAAAGTGGTTGCTCAGGAAAATAGTGCTCCATGCCAATGCGAATCCTCCACGTTGCGTTCGTGGATCGTAGCTCGTTGTATCTCGTGAGAACATGCTTTGATGATCCCCATGGTCCGACTATTTCTTGCCCGACTTCTTGATGCCCTGAGCACCGGTGTTCAGGGGGCCCTTGCCCTTGGCCTTCTCCATCATCTCCTTCTTGGCCTTAGCATCTGTATAAACGGGACTGATTAGCATCGCAAGCACGAGATCTATATCGGCGAAACACGAGGGCATACCGGCTCTGAGCTTGGCCTGGTGGGCGAGGTCATCATCATCAAGCTCCTTCTTCTCCTTCTTGGCCGCCTTGAGGGGCTTGACCTTGCCGCCTGTACAGATGGTCAGTACTCTGTCGACCACGGTCAGATTTCCACAGCAATTCCGTTACCTTCTCTGCTTGCACCGCCCATTGTGTAGGTAGATAAGTGATCGAGGGAGAAAGAGGGGATAAAGTGGCGTTGCTGCGTGAGGAGGGGAAGAATCGGGCGGCGCAAAAAATCGGCTGCTTATCAGCGATTGTCCCGCGGGGAGGCACTAGCGCTGAAGGGGTTAGGGGGGAAATTCTCGGCGATGGGCTCACCGCCCGGCATCACCTCAGGCTCTCCTCCATCATTCCACCAAGCAGGTCAGTCCTCCACCGCCGTCGTTCCATCTTTCACCCACTCACCACTCATCTCCCCATCCCGGTTCCATCGTCACACAAGGCGCGGTCTATTTTCTGAACTCAGAAAGGACTACCAGAGCTCTTTTACCCCAAACAAGAACGTTAAACCACATAAAAACCACATATCTGTCTCGTGCTTTCTTGAGACAGTAGTCAAGGGCAAGGGCCGTGGCATCTTTAGCCGGTTGGACTTTCTCAAACACTCTCCCAAATCACGCGTTATCGGAAACGTTCTTGCTAACCGGACCTCACTTGTTCGGTCTCTGAAGCTGCTTGAAGAGCCAGCCGCATTTTCTAGTTCATTCACTCCCGGGTTCCCTCCTGGTGTGCATCGCATCGCAGCCATGGCATCAGGCAGGTCGAAGTCTCCATCGACCCCTTCAGAGGGTGAGATCATCGAATCAGGTTCAGAGACGAAGGCAACTACGTCGAAACTTCCTCTTAATGGCAGTCACATTAACCGTCCCACCAGAGATAGTACTGCATCCGCGACTCGGTCACCGCCCGCCTTGAGCAGGTCGCCACGCCATCGGCGATCAAGGACCAGGACCAGATCGCCATCGCGTACGCGCTCCCGTTCTCCCTACCGAGACCACAGAGGTTACAAGCGTCGCCGGGACGATGATTATGATTATGATCGCGAATATGATTATGACCATGACGACCGGCGTTACCGACACGACCCGCCCCGACGCGTCGGCTCCCGATACGATGACAGCCGATACTACGGACGAGGTCAATCCGACAGACGGGCTAGGCCATATCATGACTACGACCGCGAGGAGAACTATGGCGATGGCCTCCGGTACAGTGACGACTCGGATCGCCGGAGAGAGAAACGCGCTCGCACGCGGAGCCGGTCGCCATATCGCGAAGTCCGCAAGCCCAAGCAGTATTCAGGGGATGAGTGGGAATCTCAGAGAGAGGACAGTACTGCCTCACGGAATCACAGGAGGAGGCCTTCTATTGAACAGTCAGTGAGCGAGCGAGGGAACACCCCAGTCGTCGCTCCAGGTGTTAAACAAGATGCTGAAACTCAAAAACCTCAGGTGCAGCCAGCTTCTGCAACCTCTCATCCCCGTGGTGATAAGTATGTCGTTAGTCTATGTTGGGTTTCAATGTCAAGCTAATGACGTTTCCAGTGTGAATGAAATACCCGAGACACCAGAAGAGCACATCCCCGCCGAGCCCGTTGACGAAGCAGCCCAATTAGAGGCCCGCCGCAAACGGCGCGAGGCAATCCGGGCCAAATACCGAGGCCAGGCCACCCCGATGCGGCTGCAGGCGCTACACATTGGGGGCAGCCAAGATTCGTCCACCCCGAGCGTTGATACCGCTGCGTCGACCAGCGCTGTTTCTGGTAAGCTTGCCGCCTCGTTAGTCTAAGGAGTCATAGCTCGTTGTACTAGTTTGGAGGCTAATACCATGTTCATTAACAGAAGCAGCGCCGCTGTCGGCACCCCAGACACCTGCTGATAGTCCAGGGGAGTCGTTCACCGACTTCAAAATAGGCAAAGATGCTGATCTAATGAACAACGACGCGCCGGTGAACGGTGTAGATAAAGACGAACCATCTGCAGCTGACTACGACCCTACTTTGGACATGAAAGCGGAAAAGAAGAGGCATGGTACTGGCGGTGTGAACGAGGAGCTGTCTGCAGCGTCCTATGATGAAACGCAGACTTCCCGCCAGGACATCCTGATGCCTGACGCAGTCCAACCCCCCGAGCCTAAAGCGAAGGACCCATACGACATGTTCGCGGAAGATGACGACGACGATATGTTCGCTGAAGACACACAGGACACCGCGCAGCCGACGCATGCATCGGCCAAGTCGGCTGTCCCGCAGCCGAAGGAGCTCGACATCAGCATGATGGACAACTGGGATGATCCGGAAGGCTATTACAATGTGCGGCTCGGTGAGTTGATTAACGGGCGATACCATGTCCAGCAGAACCTTGGCAAGGGCATGTTTTCATCGGTAGTACGCGCCACCGACTCCAAGACTGGCGGCTTGGTTGCGATCAAAATCATCCGACAGAATGATACGATGAAAAAGGCCGGCATGAAGGAGATTGGCATCCTGGAGCAGCTTCACGAGGCCGACCCGGATGACAAGAAGCACGTGATCAAGTTTGAGCGGCATTTCGACCACAAAGGACATCTCTGCATGGTCTTTGAGAATCTGAGCATGAACCTGCGTGAGGTCTTGAAGAAATTCGGACGCGATGTTGGTTTGAACTTGCGGGCTATCCGGGCCTACGCCCAGCAGATCTTCCTCGGGCTCAGCTTACTCCGGAAGTGTAACATCCTCCACGCTGACCTGAAGCCGGATAATCTTCTGGTCAATGAGCAGCGCAACATTCTCAAGGTCTGCGACCTGGGATCCGCGTCTCCGGCGACGGAGAACGAGATCACGCCGTATCTCGTAAGTCGGTTCTACCGGGCGCCGGAGATCATTTTGGGCATTCCATATGATCACGCGATCGATGTGTGGTCGATTGGATGCACCTTGTTCGAGCTGTACACGGGCAAGATCTTGTTTACGGGGCGGAACAACAACCAGATGCTACGTTCCATCATGGAATGCCGTGGCAAATACCCGCCCAAACTTCTGCGGCGCGGGTCGCTGACGCCAATGCACTTCGATGACATGCTCAACTTCCTCAGCATGGAAGAGGACAAGATCACCGGGCGGTCAGTCACGCGGGTGCTAGACTTCAAGAAGCCGACGCGGGATCTGAAGACCCGGCTGATGGGAGGCAAGGAGACCCGGGGCATGACGGACAGTGAGGCGAAAGAGCTGGCCCAGTTTGTGGATCTGTTGGACCGGTGCTTGAGTCTCAACCCAGAGAAGCGGTGCACCCCGACGGAGGCGTTGAAACATCCCTTTCTGTGCCGGCCCAAGGTATGATGGATGAAGCTTCCTTGCGGCCACTCGTTGTACATATTATGTCATAGTAGGACTGCCTCGCTTTCACGATATGAATCAGGTATGCACAGCCACGGTAGACTCCTCCGTAGTCCGTACTAGTAGTTTTCGCCACTGGTAGCGTATGACAGAATGACTCGAACCCTCGAACAACAAAGGGCGGCGGATTCATCCGACCGAGCTTCCTTCCGGGGCGCGCGCAGTGGCAAACGGGGCGTTCTCACCCGGGTCCGTGGTCCACCGCGCTCGGGAGGCGACTTGACAGCCCGATCGATCCATGCCTTTCTAGAAGTCCATCCATTGCTCGATCAGCAGGTCATGATGATGAGGCTCTAGGCAGCCACTCGCTTTTACTTTACCCTACTCCACTCCATACCACTCCACTCCGTGTATCCAGCCCTATCTCTCTTTATTGCCTACATTTGCGGCACAAGATCTAGCCACTAGCGTGTGAGGAATGGGCTGGAGTGAGTCACTAACAGCCAGCCTTGATTCTTTGACTCTGCACAGATTGTGGTTGTGATGTGGAAGTGGAGCACTGATCATCGTTAGATGGGAGCAGATTCGCCTTCAATTTAACATCATCATTAGGATTCCATCGCTGGTATAGATCTCCTTCTGTGTTACCTAGTCCGTACTGTGTAGGAGTGCGATGAAGGAAAGCAAGGCGGGGTGGATGGGTGATCTATACTCATCCTAGTAATTGCGAATTGCGAATAGGATACTTTATATGTGCTACATAGTAATGTGATTAGTATAGGGTGCGATAATTCGGAGGATTAATGATATCATGGAATCATTCCTTGAATGGTGTATTTGTTTGGATCATCATACTTTGCGGTGCTATGTACCATCTTCGAGTAAGGGTGTGGGTAGGGGATAGATGGGTTGTTTGATTAAATGTACATTGTTCTATCTGTCTACTATAGTACATACCTGCCTTGTTATGTTGTTCTTAGTCGAATGGGGATAATTTATGAAAGTATTTACAGGTATATGTGCATGTGATTGATGTTATGATATGTTCTTGCGTTCATAATTGTGATAACAACAAGTGACTGGCTAGGTGAGGATGTTTACTGGGCCTTCTCTCTACTTTTGTGTCACAAATATTATGCTGTCTACTTTGAGTGATGTTATATTCCCTCTTCAGTTGCTTACCAGTAAATATACGCAGTACAAAGTATGTACGGAGTAGAACACCTATGAATGGCTGAACAAGTGGATATACATACTACTGTGGTAGAATGGATACGGTGAATAAGGCAAATATGCATAGCATACATACCTCTCCCCATCACCTACATACATACCGACATACATGTACTCCATTCTTAAAAGTATAATATGTGTCTGTACAGCACAGCCCACAACCCGCAACCCACGCAATTCTTCTCTACATAGTACACGGTATCCTATGTACTCCATACATGTACATAGCCACGCTGTACTCCGTACATGAGCCGCCTGCAGTTACTTCCACAGTACCATATACGGAGTAGTAAGTAGGCAAATATGTACCTCGGCATCTATCTAGTGGGCACCAGGTATATAGGTAATCAATATACCTAATAGGCAAGACCCTCAGCTGATATCATCTCCTACCCGTCCAATACATATTCAGTCACCGCAGATCCCAATCTCAGTGCCCGGCGCCATTGGCTGCCGAGAGGGGCAACTGTCAAAAGCAATTCCCGATATGCATAGGTCATAGGTCGTAGATAGTACATAGTACGTATGAGGCTGGCGTTTGGGCGGTTAATAGAATAGGGCGAAGCGAAAGACACCTAAGATTGATTGAAGTAGGCTGGATATTTGTTGATGGGGCCAATTGTGAATTCTCCGAGGTGGTACAGTTTGACTATCTACTATGTTCTTAAGTATGATGATGTTGTTCACCTGGGTAGAGAGTTGTTTGACTATGGAGTACGGTTGTCTGAACAATGTCTTTGGTTCAGTGGTGATGGGGCTGGTGGATCGGATTGCTTTATATAGTGCATGATGCAGCTGGAGGGTGTCCTGTTCCCGGAGTAGTGTATACAACTAAGGTGGAAAGCATATGAAAGTAGGAAAGAAAGGAGGCAAGTCCGTGCACCAGCCTCGATTCGTCGACGCGCCCATGCATGGCAACATGGACAATGCGTTCCCGCCAACCAATGGTCAGCGGGCCTGGCTGCCCGAGTCCCCACCGCCCACCCCTCGGACAGCAAACGTGGCAGCAGAGCAGCCAATCAGTACGCGCCATGGCTGTCATCCGATATTCTCGAAGCGGACGAACTGGGCCGTCATTGGCCCCGGCGCCCTTGCCTCACTTTATTGAGTTCGGTTGCACTGGCAGCGACCAGCAGCCAGCAGGGTCGCTGGTCGGTCGGTCGTTCGCATCGGGTCGAATCCCTGGATCGTTGTTCTTGTCGTGTACGGGATGATTCAGAAGGCGCCTGCTGGAACGGATGTTGTCGCTGGTCCCTTAACCTTAGTCTGGGACAGAGTCGCTGTGTTGGATATCTTCCTCGGGGGCTATCCTCATTGCCAACGGGAAAAAGACGGTGAGGTCTGTCCAGAGTGTCCATGCTCCAGCCTCTCTACCTATGGGGTCTACCTATGGGGTCTAACCTTAGTACTGTGTATGGCACTGGCAAACGGTTGCACCGTTGGCTGCGAGGCAAGGCGAGGAACTGAAGGACTCAGGTCTCAGGCAGACATGCTCGTCATTTTGGGGACGCGCCCCATCCAGCCTGCTCCGTTTGGTTCGATGTTTCGTATAGACATCCATTCGTTTCGGCTGCGAATCCTCCTCCACCACCCGCCCTTGTTAGTCAGAGCTGGTCCATGAGGCCCTGGACTCCCATGGGCAGATTAACAATGGTGGCCTCCTCAAACTTTGTCCCAGCATCACCATTTCGAGTAACCAACTGTAGGCATGTCTGTGGTGGAGTCGTGAGCTGGCAGTACAGACGACCACTCCCCTATACTACAGCCTCGGGAACTGTGTAGAAAGTGTACACGCCTCCAAGCCATGAGCCACCGCTGACTTTCTTTCCGGCTGAACCCCGGTGGTGTCCTCAGGTTTCACTCACCGAAGATCCAGCGCGTTGTGCTCCGTACTCCGAACGGGTGGTGGATTACTACGACATAGTATGACACAGTGGTTGGTACCTCTGGGTAGGAGATCCTGGAGACTGGGGATCGGTCGTGCCCTGTCACAACTCCAGAAACCATAATCAGACCGGGCGACTGACCATCATCCTTCCCTCCCGTCCTGCATTCAGAGTTCAGAACTTCAGACACGGACGGTGGGGCAAAGGAACCCCTCAACCAGTCATTTCTCCCTCCAGCCTCATTGCTACCACCCAACAAGGCATCCGGGCGCTGATACAATCGCCGGGGGGGTTGTGCCATGAGCTCATTTGTGCGCCCCTTCCTTCTTCCAGTCCCAGCGGCTGGAAGTCTGGAAGGCGACCAGGCCCCCGGACCAGCCGGCCAGGACCTATCGGGCGGTTCTTGACGAAGGAAAATGCCGCCCATCCAGGCGTGCCTGCTCAGATGACTCTCCAATCACACCCACGGGGGGCGGATTTATCTTCCCTGCGCGTCCGCTTGCAACCAATGGGGGGAATCCGCCCGGGCCAGCCTGGATGCAGTGTGGGTGGGGCCATCTGCACCCGAAAGACCTGTCACACCCACACCGCCTCCTGGCAATTCAACTTTCTCTCCTCGTCGATCCAAGCCCAGTCTGACTGTCTGAGAGGGCCCGTAAAACTGGAGAGCAGCACTAAAACCGGTACAGCCACGACGGCGGCGGCATTGGCCGTCGCCATCGGGTCTGCGCGGAGCCTTCTTTTTCCTCCTGGATGGCTCGATTGATTGATTGACTGATTGATTACTCCGTACCATTGATCAACTTCCATTCAGCACAGAGTTGTGTAAAGCAGAGCAAAAGCAGGTCTACGGTCCCGGGCGTCCAAGTCTGCCCGCCGTGCCCGGCCTTGTGACCCCTACTAAAGGGGGTGCGAGAGTTTCCCTCCACGCACTCGTGCCCATTTGGCTCCCCTCCCCCTCCGTCGTGAAGATCCACTCGACTAGTTGGTAGTAAGGAGGTTTCGCCTTGCCAGACCGTGGACTCGGACTGTCCCCCCCAGTTTGATCGTGGGTTGGTGGGCGGTGGTGGCCGTTCCTAGCCAGGCCCCAGGACCCAGTGGGTGTGATGGATGATTGATTCATGGATCCTCCCAGGCTTCCACCCACTTTGATCAGCTTACGCGGGTGGTTGTCCTGTTCGCCTTCTGGGTTTTGTTGAGGCCGCGGCCTTGTCGGTCGGTGGGGTTGGTCCGTTCCATTCCTTTCCTATTTGTAGCTGGACCCTAAACTAGTCTAAGCATCATACATGTTAGCCTGGTGGGGAGGTCCACTCCACCGTGTCGCGTCTCGGCCAATCCGGTGGCGGATCCCGCTGCAGGCTGAAGATGTAACGGGGAAGTTACATAGGGGATTATGAGTACACTGGGCGACGGGGAGGCATCGGGGGGTTCTGAGTGGTCGGGCTGTTTGAGGCGATGATTCGACTTGGACGGCTGCAGCCTCTGAGGTAAGAGACGGTCGGAGGAGGGAGGGTGGCTCTGGCCACGAGTGGTCCCAGGCTTAGCGGCAGTTGGAATGGATGATGATGCTGATGATGCTGATGATTAGGTGTTATTATTGTGGTGATTATTATTAATATTAGGGAGGATTATTTATTATTGACTTTTTGTTATTTATTTATTTTGGCATTTTTTTTTAATTTGGGTGGTGATTTTCTGGGATCCCTATTTTTCGCCCTCCCATCCTCCACTCGCTCCTCTCCACCTCTTCTCTTATCGGCCGTCCATCATCGCCAGAATCATATTAATCTTATTTTTACTTATTTTTACCTCTTCCCTATACTTTCCTTCTCCTCCCCTCCTCCTGCTCCTTCCTGTTCTCCTGTCCCCGTCCGCTTGGCCTGTTTGATCCGTTTCTTTCCTCCGACGAGTCGCCCGTCAACTCATCGATCGTCTTCCTTCCTGCTTCGCTTTGCGTTTGGTTGCTTTTCTTTTCTGCGCTGCTGCTGCTGCTGCTGCTTCTATAGTTGCCCGGCCTTTGCATATATACCATTTGGCTGCCCTCCACCACCCCCCTATCCCATCCTTCACTGCAACCCGCCCCTTTATACCTCCCCCCCCACGGCCATATTAACCGGTCACTGGCCCCCATCTGACTGCTTCCCTGGACTGTGCATCCATCCCTGGCTGTGCAACTTCCCTGGACTCTCCCCATAAGCCAAAAATAATCCTCGCCATCAGCATCACCATCATCACAAACCACCGACTCCACTACCAACCACCACAACCAAAGGACATTCCCTAGGATTTGATTGCTTCCCAGTTGACCAACTGCATTCCTTCAATGGCTCCCTGAATCAAGTGAAAAAGGAACAAGACAGGCGACCCTCCTTTTGTGCTCCCGGCTCTTCTCTTCCGTACAGGCCTTCCTAAAACCCGCCACCGGATTTTGGACCCCAGGATTTATATCGACCCCTTACAGCCGTTGACAAGAAGAACCATTCCATTCCAGTCCCCCTTCTTGATCCCTCTCCCGGAGACTCTTGCCGGTGTGCTCGAGTCTTAATTCATCACCACATCCTCCCAACCTTCCTCATGCTCATGCTACCCCCTTCTCCCTTGTACGGCATGTTTCCCCCCATGCCCCCCACTCCGCCGCCATCTCCGCCCATCGCCCGCTGCTATGCTCCAGAAGACCGTCTAGGATTCCTTTTGGCCAACCGTCTAGAACTCACCAGCATCCTAGGCGTCGGAGCCTACGGAGTGGTGTACACGGCCGTCGACATTCATACCAATGTTCTGTATGCTGTCAAGGCCCTCAACAAGACCGGGCTGGATCCCCGGCAGCTCAAGTTCCAGCAGCGGGAGATCAAGCTACACCATCTGGCCAGTCAACACCCCAATGTGGTTTCCTTGGTTCGCATCATGGACTCGGTCGACTGCACCTATGTGGTCATTGAGTTCTGTCCCGAGGGCGACCTATTCTCGAGCATCACGGAAAAGGGCAATTTCGTGGGCAATGATCCCTTGGTCAAGCGGGTTTTCCTTCAGATCCTGGATGCAGTCCACTTCTGCCACTCTTTGGGAATCTACCACCGGGACCTCAAGCCGGAGAACATCTTGGTAACGGACCAGGGCTTGACGGTCAAGCTCGCCGACTTTGGCCTGGCCACCACGGACTACCTTACGTCGGATTTCGGTTGCGGGTCCACATTCTACATGTCGCCCGGTACGTGAGCCCCATACCACACCCCTTTGCTGAAACATTTGCTGACGACGTGCGAATCCAAAAGAATGCCAGCAACCCAATCCCCGACCCATGTCGTTCTATGAGTCGGCACCCAATGATGTCTGGAGCCTTGGCGTTATCCTGGTCAATCTGACCTGCGGTCGCAACCCCTGGAAACGTGCCTCGATTGAGGACTCCACGTTCCGAGCTTATCTGAAGGACCCTTACTTCCTGAAGTCCATCCTGCCGCTGTCGGATGAGATGATCTGTATCCTCAACCGCATCTTTGAGTGCGACCCCTCCAAGCGGATTACCATCCCGGAGCTTCGCCAGTTGATCCTGGAGTGCCCGCGGTTTACTATGAACCCCATCACCCCTTGGTCTGCCCCCGGACCGGTGCCCGTTGACTATGTCAACGGTCCCGTCCCGGTGTCCGTCCCCGTGGATACTTTCCACACTCAAACCTCCTCCGTCTCTTCTGGGTCATCCCAATACTCCGATTTCTCGGATTCTGCCGTCTCGGATGCCTCGTCCTTCACCCAAGGCTATCCCGACCTCGACAGTGTGTCGTCGATGTCTTCGGTGGGACTGGATCCCGAGCTGGACTGCAAGGATGACTTCCTTCCGGATCCCCTTCCCTGCGGTGACCTCCCGGAGCCGCACCTCTTTCCCCATGCCCCCTTTACCATCCCAATTCCCGTCTGCTGAATGGGCCGACCGGGTCAAACCACCCCCCAAGGAAAGGAAAAAGCAAACAAACAAGCAAAAACAGCCACTTTAACGCAGGTCTACGATTAACGGCAATTATTTCAACATTACACACCACTGGATTTGGATCTTTTCATACACCCATTTTGGATCATCTCCGCCTTGCATAATTCCAGCGACATTGTATTATTTCCGCAGGAGGGAAGCCGAGGAGATCGATATCTTTCTGGACATACGCCTTTTTATTTTTTTTATTTTTTACCCTCTCTTTACAGTTGGTTTCCATTCCCTGGAGTTTGGACATTATACCCCGGATTGACATCCACTGGAGCTCAGCCACGGGCATAAATTGCCCCTTTGAAAACGGGTTTCTGCCGGGTCGCCGGCGCGTCCAATCCCATTGGACGGGCAGAAACCGAGGCTTGTTACTATTAATATGTTACCACTTTTGGGAGGATTTCGTGGTTTTTGGTGATATACTTGTGTGTTCGGTGTCATACTGGTGTTGGCGGCGTTTTCCTTCGACCATTGGTTTGAAAGAAGAAAAGAAAAATACCCCGGAGCTGAGATGAAGCATTGCATTTGGATTGTCGAGTTCCCGCTAGGAGTTGGATGGCACGCTGGGTCGCTCTTTTGGGATGATACCTGAGTCGTGAGGACGCTTCTCTTCTTCTACTTCTTTACTTCTTCTTTACATAATCTGTCGATAAATAGTTTTTGATTTCGGACGGAATCTCCTGATGGAACTGAGGGGATGGACGGCGGCCTGCCCACCACTGCGGGGCGCCTGTCTGGCCGTGACGGCCTGGAGTGCTCGTGCGACCTGCTCGGTGGCCGCCTTGGATACGATATCTGCAATAGAGATGAGGACTAGACGATGTTTTTTCCTTTGCCGGTATCTGACTGGGTTTCTGACACGCTTATCCAGTAAGGCTGCTGGGGCCGAGTGACTCCGGCCCCGTTGGCCACTGGCGAGCCGCCGTCTGTCCCTGCTATGCTATTCTGTAGCAGTCCAGGCGCTCCACCGGATGGACGCACAATGCAACCGTCAGCCGGCGCTCCAGCCAGCCCCTGATGGGGCCAGCTGTCGAGGGGCAGCCACCAGGCGTTCAGCAGGCAGGCCTCGACCAGTCCGGATGTCCGTCTTGCAGTTCTCCTGGCGTGACATGGCCAGCCTGGTCGATGGGACGGGCGGGATATGATACGCAGCCTTGTTTCCGGCGAGGCTATTGATGACGACCTCCTGTATTATAGTTTGATGTACTACCACTATACCACCACCTGAATGCGACTTCAGATATCGCATTCAATAAACCAATACTACCTTTGACGAATCAAATGATCCAACGAATCATATAACCTAGTCACTTACATATTCCTCCCCCCCGTCACCCGAATCGTCTCCCCACTCACATAGGAAAACAACGGACTCGCCACCCCCAGCACCGCCCGCGCCGCCTCCTCCGGAGACGCTGGCCGTCCGAGCGGAATATCCGGATACGCCTGGGTCTGCGCATCCCCCTTCCGCCCAGCCAACTGCTTCCCCGGAATCCCCAGAGCGACCTTGGTCCCGTCCGGGGTGGTAATGAACGCCCCATCCTCCTTGGCTGCCGTCAGACGAGTGCTCACGAACCCAAAGGCAATGGTGTTGGCGCGGACCCCAAACGCCGGACCCCATTCTTTGGCGATGGTTTTGGTGAGGCCGATGATGCCGGCTTTGGCGACGGCGTAGTTAATTTGGCCGCTATGTAGTTATTAGTAGTGTATATGAAGATGTGTAATGAGGGAGAGTGTAGAAGGATAGGGGGAAGGAAATAAGGAGGAGGAGGGGAAAACGACATACGCATTCCCATGAACCCCACTCGTAGAACTAATATTAATGACCACACGGGGTTCCCCATCCTTCACACGAAAGTACTTTGCGGCCGCACGGATGAGTTGAAATGGGGCGGTGTTGTGGATTGCGAGCATCGTGGCCCATTGTTTGTCTGTCATCTGTTTTCCCCATTATCATCGTCGTCGTATGTTAGCGTATATACTTCAATTATATACTCCTGTACTTAATATCCGGATATACAAAGCAAAGTGATGGTGGGGAAGAGCTCAACCAAACAGAAGGTGGCATATAGATTAAAATACCTTATGGATAACCCCATCCCAGGTAAACCCGGCATTATTCACAATGATGTGAATCTTGCCATTGCCAAAGTCGGCCGCTTTCTGGACGAGCTCGGTGATGTAGCTGTCGGAGAGGATGTCGCCGGGGACGGCGAGGGCGCGGTTTGGGTGGGTGGTGTTGATGGTGGTTGCGGTGGCGGTGGCTTTCTCTGTTTATTGTTAGTTTTGAGTTGGGGGTGTATATGGTTGGTGTTGTATAGTATAATATGGTATAGAATAGTATAGTAACGTATGTGTATGATATTGTTAGGGGATGAGGGAGGTGTGTATGATTCGTATGATTATTCCTGTAACAGGAATGGAAATTGAATAGATGAAGGAATAGGCATAACGCAGGGGACTCACCAGCATCAATATCCGCAATAATAACTTTGGCCCCCTCGTTGGCGAATAACCGGGCGGTTTCGGCCCCAATGCCTTGGCCCGCGCCGGTGATGATGGCCACTTGGTTGGCTAGGAGGCCGTGGGGGAAGTTGAGGTGTGAGGTGATTTGGGAGAGGCGGTCCATTTTCTGTATTTGTCTTTGTCTTTGTGTTCAGGCTGTTGGGGATGAGAGATGAGATATAAGAATGAAGAGAGGGATCTCGGCAGGGAGGAGAGGATGTAGTTGAAGTGAGTGAGAAGTGCCGAGGCTCGTGTTTGCCGAGCTCGGGTCAAGGTATGGATGGATGTACCTGGCGATCATGATTAAGATCGGTCAAGGTAGCAGTTCCGAGGATCAGGTAACTAACTAACTACCGATTATCTGGATGACACATCTACATCTCACCACAGATAAAATAAGTAATCATTATCAGCATCCGGGTATCTACGTACTGCACATACTATCCGACATCGCGTGCAACCACGACTCCACCATCGTTTCATATCCCACCAGGATCGTCTGCAGCCAGTCTCCCTCCAGTCCGTTCGTTCCATGGAGATCTGGTAGCTCCGGACTCATCCGTCGGCTCATCTCCACCGTTTCCTTCAGCAGCCCCAGCACCTCCTTGCCCTGCAGCAGCCGGCCTCGGACGAGGAACCGCCGGACCCGTCGCGTCTCCTCCGCACTCATCTCGTACTCGCCATACCCGACAATCATGCTATGATCACCGGCCGACGGGGACGAGAACTCATACGTGATACAGTACTCAAAGAGCTGCAGCGTAGTCTCCAGGATGGACGTCGAGAACAGCAGGTTGGTGTTGTTCTTGTGGCAACTACGGCACCGCAGAAAGTTTCGACATGCGGACAATGCAATCTGGATCCCCTGTAACATCTGGTCCAGCCGCAGATGGATGCTGTCCACCAGCATGTGCCGCAACCGGCCCACATGGAAGATGAGTGCGCTGCCGCATTCACAGGGCTGCAAGGCGTTGGGAATGTGCACGGCGAGTGGGCAGCTGGTGAGCCCCTTGGTGATAAATTCCTTCTGCAGAAACGTCGGCGACATGGAAGCCGGGTTGAACATTGGCGCGGCAGATGGCAACGTCTCCCCGAGGGGAGGATATTCCAGAGCAGGGTCGGTCAGTAAGGCCGTGTCGGCCATACTCGCCCCATGGCTATCGGGGCTGTTGGATTGACTAGTTGGACTTGTGTCTTGCGGACTCTATAGCCTGTTAGAGACGGGCCCTCAGCGGCCAGAAGGACGGAACGTACCGTTGCATCGACACCGTGGTCTGCATCATAGTTGACCCGAGGAGGAGGTTGCCCTTTCCCGGCAGGATCTGTCCACCCGGTGGTGGGTATCGTGGGTTTCTTGTCGTCTTGCAACTGCCCAAGCTTCCGCAGCGTGGCCCGGTTCTTGCTCCCCTTGGGCTTTCCCGATCGATTGGCGACGCGATATCGACATGGCAGTCCGTGGCGCAGACAGCGAATGCAGGTGTCCTTCCCCGAGAGATTGCATTTTACCTTGGACTGCCTGCAATTCTCGCAAGCCGCCCGGAGTTTGGGAGGATCTCCACTGCTGACCGTGTGTTCGGATTCGGCAAGCATTTAGGTATATAGTAGTATATGGGTATGTATAGTATATGGTTCGAGCAAAGGCCTGGGTAGTCGACAGTAGCACCTCGCACATTCAGGGTCCAAGGGGATCCTACAGCCACCGACGTGAAAATCAGAGAGAAAAGATATTCCAAGAGCCCCTTCATCGGGGCCGCCGCCCAGCACAATCTTATATAGCAAACCATCGCGCTGGCATGCAGGGCTCGTATCGGGGATTCATGAACCGACGGCAAGCGCAGATGAAGTCAGCCGTTGTGCCACCCTAAGATTTCATCTGATCCACCTCGCATGGGAGCCGTGGCCAGTCCGCTCTGGCAGCTCTTCAGCATAGTCCAACTGACCCCCATCTTACTTGTCAGAAATGGCAAATGCCAGAGTGCTTGGCTACTGCCAACCGGCCTCTGATAGGGGCTGCCCACCTCAGCCAGTGCCGCCGGGCCTGCTCCAACGTAAGAAGCCTGGAAGAATAAGCTCAGGTGCAACATCGTCGTCAAGCCCAGTGGGGGGGGCCACCAGGCCGACCAACTCTAATGCTCATTTGAATGAGCCACGGCAATGCAAGACCATTGTGTCTGACGTAGCATCCAATGAGGAGGGCAGCGCGCCGTCTAGGGTGATTCTATCGGTATGCAGGCCAGCACACCATGTGAGCTGTAAAACCGATGCGGGAACGCACCCTTATTCGCCTGCCCGGTTTGCAATGCCCAGGCAAGCGGTGAACGGCTGGTGCTGTCGCCAGACCAGACCCAGGCTATTATTTATGATCATTGTATCCTGGGCGGGTCTCCCCTAATTGGAATTTTGGTTTTTCGCGGGCCCTTCTCCCTTTCTTCTGTCCCCCAGCAGCCCATTGGTCCATGTTGCAATGGTCAGCATGTGGAATCCCAGGGTTAGACATGGTCTCGTATCAGCCGTGAGGGCGTCAGCATCATCATCATGTCATCTCTATTACTCGCGGGCACGATTAGGTTATGGCTACAGGTGGTGAATGGTTAGGGGGGAGTCCCCCCCCACAGGACTGCTTGCCTGTGCGATCCCCCAAGAAACCGCGCGGGCGAATCACTGCATGCTCCCCCGACAGCTGTCTGCAGTGCCGCTGTGTCTGTAATCAAACGCCTTCAGCAGCCCGGTCAGATGAGCGATGGCGGCGCAGACCACCAGCACATGAAAGATCTGGTGGGAGCTCCCCCAGAGATCGAAGCGGCCTGGTCGCAACCGCTCCGGGACCCGGGCCGCATAAATCGCTGCTCCCAATATGTACAGAAAACCTTGGAGGAGCAGCCAGCCGAGCCCGATTTGGCGTGTCATCTGCTCCAGTCCGTACAGGCGTAAGCCGTGGATCACGGGGAACACCGCTGACAGACCCATGCCGACAAACATGGCCGCACGGAATGGCCGCCACCGAGGCGTCCGGAAATGAGGGAAGATCGAAACCAGGATGCAGCCAAGACCAATGGTGCAGATCATCGTCCAATACAACCGTTGCAGATCGGGCATACAGTAGAATCCAAAGTAGACACTAGGGACAAAGCTGCCCACGATAAGCCCTACGATCCCAACATAGTCAAACGTGTTTCCGATGCGCGCCACGAGAGGGGAATGGTTCGAGATGGTATGGTAGGTAGCAGACATGCCCAGGCAGAACGCCGCCCCGGCGAAGAAGCAGCCAAAGGCAACCAGGTCCGCCTGGCTAGCACTCTCATACCGCGGAGCTAGTGCCCGATAGAGGAGCCCAGCCGCTGGGACGGCCAGCAGGGACGGCAGCAGGTGCGTATAGATGTTGACCGTTTCATTGTGAAGGTATGTCAAGGACTGCAAGGAGACCAAGTAAGAGAACGAAGCTGGCCGGTACCCGGTGTGGATGTGCCGGTTGTCGCGTTGCCAATGCGGCAGGTCGTCCCAGTGAAGAAGCTTTCTGAGGACGTTGGGGGGCTGCTCCAGCACCGCAGCTGCCACAGCAGCCGGCTGACTGGTGCCCAGGTCCTTCTCATGGCCTTGGGTGGGGTGACGCTGGCGAGTGGACATATTCCTCACATGCAGCATGCAGATAGGATGACAGATCCCAGATCTCCGGTGAGCAGATGGCTGCTGGACGGTCGTAGTGCTCCGTTGTCGGGCTCGTCCTGGCGGGGATGACGAGGGGAGGACCGCAGATCAAGGCCAAAGAGTGATGAACTCCCACGCAAGAGAACCAAAAGCAAGGCAGCCCCCAAGCGCCGACGACTCGACCTGTTGGCACAGAAAAGAAAAGAGTGTTGGGATTCCGCGGAGCATCCCCATTCCCCGTTTGGGACATTTTGGCTCGTTGGGGAAACCCAGTGCAGCAAACGCAACAAACACTGCAAAGTAGACATACCGGCGGCACTTCCCCGACGGGACCCCCGCAGCCGATCGGTCCCTTGGGAGTTTGGATAGCTTCATCTCAACCATGACGCAATAACCTTCATTCACTCTCTGGCGACTCAAGGTCTACCCCTCATGGCTAGCCATGCAAAGCTGGAAAAAGGACTGGGCGATCGGTTAAAGCCCGTGGCCGACTCTTTGGACCTCGTGGGGTTTGTATCCAAAGGCGATCGAAAGTATGCCCACGGCCTTCTGACCCCCATCGCCGAGTGGGGAGGTGGTCACCTGCGGCAGCGCTGACGCTCGCAGATTACTAGATCACAAGGTTCAGAAAGACTACTTTGATAAGATTGTTACCCAATATATGGAATTCTGCGCCCGCCATTTCAAGGACTTGGATGCGGCATTAATGTCACTTCCCAAGAGCGCTTCGAGCGATGCAACCAGCAATCCACCGGTCTCTTTTCCCTCCCCAACCAATAAGCCGACAGGCGATGGCAGCCCACCACCATCCACAGAGCTGTCGACAATCCTTCTTTCCCTCCGCAAGTTGCGAGAGGCGGTTTTGGCCACGGGTTCCACGATCCCGATATCTTTCTCCCAGCAAGTCCATATCTTGTCCATTCAGATCGCAATCCAAGCCCGACATCCCCCGTCATACTTTCCTTCCTTTCGCTATACCCTAGAGAAATTACACACCCCTTCTTGCCCATTACCTGACTCCGACTTGAACGACCTCATTTCATACTGGATCCTCGATTACGCCTGTCGACAAGAGGACATGGTTGCTGCTTATCAGCTACGTTCGTGCGCGCGCAAGCGGTACGGCTTCCAGTCATCGATCATAGACCGTGTTCTGAATGCCCTGGCACATGACAATTGGGTTGTGTTCTGGCAAATCCGGAACGGGGTAGATTCTCGGGTGCGCGCCGTCATGAACTGGGCTGAAGACCGCGTCAGAAGACATGCTCTCAAGGCAGTCGGCAAAGCTTATCTCAGTACTGATGCCAGGTGGATTACCGAAGGTTGCACCGGCACCAGGAGTTGGACATGGGAGAACCTGGTAGAGGCGGAGAACCTGGGTTGGGAGAAAGAAGGCAATAGAATTATCATCCGGAAGCCAAAGCAAAAACCCCAAACGAACCTTGCACCCATCAAGGAGCATCCGTGATGGGTGTTGATCTGACATCATCATCGTTGTATCGTTATTTGGCGCTTAAAAGGGCATTAGAGGAGCATGGCGTTTTTCTAGGTAGATAGAAGGTATGCTAGTATGACGACCCGACAGACATTCTTAAAATAGCGTGTGGACTTCGGAACAAGGATCTCCTCGCGACCAGAGGTGTAGGTTCCATTGCTCAGAGTTTGAAATCACCATTAGGCCGATCAAGATTGGTGGCTCCAGTGACTGGTTGCTTGGCCACCGTTTCTACAAGATCGGTCTTCAGCTTGGCGGATTTGTCAGAGCATAGCTCGTAGACAGTGGAGAGGTTGAACACCAGGCTTGAGAATGAGTGGTTTGCCTGCACCAATGACTCAAGAACCTCACGTGCCTGTTGTCCATTGGCAGGATGTTTTAGCAAGAGCTCAACGGTTGGCGCTGTGGAATTTGACTTACCTCATTTAACCTACCGGTGTACAGCAAACACACTGCTAGGTTCTGCGAGATCATGGCCTCATCAGGTCTTTGGTTCTCATTGCCAATCAGGGCGCGCCATTCCACCACTGCATCGTCGTACCGTCCATCAGCCATACTGAGAAGCGGACTGAACACGGTATTTCCAGCATCGCTTGCTCCGCCACACAACTGCCTCGCAGCGTCGAGATCGCCAATCAGGAGCAGAAGTAGGGCTTTTCTCATCGTAGTGGTCTCACTTTCCGGCTCGGACATGCGCAAAATACCGAGCGACCTTCTGGCGGCATCGAGGTCTCCCATCTCAATCAGCGCGTTCACATTCCTCATTCCGAGGTCAGACAGTCGCTCTCTCCATATATTTCGTTCATGAGGAGCCAAATCTGGCCGCAAAATCTCCCTTCGCGCTTCCAAGCCAATTTCGTAGAGTCCGCCAATACCCCTGCGCGAGTCGCCGAATCCAATGCTTTGGAGCCGAATGGCTAGGACGCGTAAGGGCCACGGTACGATGTGACGAGGATAGCTTGTGTGGTTCTCCGACGGTTCGGAAATTGGTTCTACATAATAGAACGCGGAGCTTAGATCCTCGAGCGCCTTGGATTCTTGCGCTGCAATGATGGTATTCCCCGACAATTGCAGGCATGCTAGTCGAGTGTAGAAAAGAGAAAAGATCCGTTTGATGTCAGTGGGTGAGATCAGAGAGGATGTCAGAATAGTTCCACACAAGTACGCTGCTAGCAGAAAGTGGCCCTCAGCTAGAAGCCTCTCGAGAGTAGCTAGGCTCGTAGAAAGAGATTCGTCTGACGTTGGAGCAAGGAACTCAGAACGTAGCGCATGTGGTATCTCTATCTGAGAGAGGGAGTGGTAGACGTCGTACCGGAGCAGGTAGCCTAGGTCCTTCTCCAGGGTTGGTGGTAGTTCGTCAGGTCCCAAGGGGTCCAGGTTGTTGAAGGATGCACCTGTGAATCCACCATCCTCTGCTGTACTTGACGTCGGGGACGCCGACGTGTTCACTGCTCCGGAGCCGAGTGGGCTGATAACCATTAGCATACCACTCGATGATCAAGCAGATCCCGCTGCTCACTCATCTGGCTGGTCTAGAGGGCCCTTGGTCGAGCTACGAGGCCGTGAAGCTAGGAAGTATCAGCCGCGTACTCTTCGGATTGCCGATGATACAAGCATCAAATCAATGCTCCTTACATCTAGAGATATTGCGGGTGTGTTTGGACGCTGGGGCCTCCATCGTTGCAACGACAGAGAGTATAAAGGTTATTGGTAATGGTCGAAGTCGGAGATATATGGAAGCATCTGTTTAGCGCTCCGGCTCAGGGTCTCCTCTATCTAACATCCCGGGGAGTTGCTTGCATGAATGCAATAATGCGGGACCCCCGACTTGAAAGGCGGAACGATATTTTGCCACGGGCGGTGAGTGGATCGGCCCGGACAGACAAACTGGCCCCATTCAACCGTCAATCGCATTTACTCCGCCTGGTAGTAGACAGGAGCTACAGAATCACCACCACGAGACTTTTTGCTTTTATATAAAGGTTATACTCAACGTCGCATCACAGCTACTTTACATACCCCGGACTGAACCCTCTCGACGGACCTATATCGAATAGCCTCCGCCCTCGTTCTACACCATGACTCTCGCCGAGGAACTCCGCTCGAGAAACTTCAGTACGGACCCTTGTTTACAAGACCCTTGAATTAGTACACGAAGCAAGGGAGAGCTAACCCCTCATCACTTAGGTATCTACGGACAATGGTTTGTGACTCTTTCCCTTCTTTTTGTTTGTCTATCGTCGCTCTCCGATTATGCGACTTCACAACACACCTGCGAAAATATCATGGCTGCCTGGACCAACAAAGCGCTTGGCGCTGTCTCCGACAGGCATGCTTCAATAGCCGCCTCGAACTCCACGTACATTTCGGACTGTTGCGCATATATTCCGGACGACCCCGACAATTTTGGAAGGATATTCATGGGCTGACGAACGCTGCTAACCGGCTTCACCAGGACGGGCGTGATATGCATCGTTTTGTGCCTGGCTCTCGGTATCGCCAACATCTTTTCGTTCGACGCCGTGATCATCATCTTCAGTGTCCTGTGCCTGTGGGTTACCCACTTAAATATCTATACCCTGGACTCAAAGCTCACATTCGCAGGATCTCGGGCTTAATCCTCATCTTTGCTGAAGTGCCATTCCTCCTAAGAATCTGCCCTACGTCCCCCAAGTTCGATGCCTTTATCCGCAAATTCACCACGAACTGGATGCGCGCTGCAATGTATGGCGTGATGAGTGTTGTGCAATGGCTCAGCCTTATCAAATCGGCCACCAGTTTGATCGCCGCTGCCGTTTTCCTGCTCCTCGCCGCTCTGTTCTACGCGCTAGCGGGTCTCAAGAGCCAAGAATTTGTCGGCAGCAAGACTTTGGGTGGCCAAGGTCTTGCGCAGATGATCGTTTAAGGCTGTTTATCTTAGGATATGAGCGATGAGGCTCGAGGTACGCGATCCGCCTGCCACCCAGCCATCGCAGTTGCCATTCTTGGCATGTTGCACTTGGGTCATCAAAGGCAGCAAACACTGTCCTTGTCATGCTAATCCATTAGCATACAGGCGAAAAGAGAAAACAAGAAAGAGACGGGATGAGCCATCTCTGCGCTGGATGCGCCATGATAATGAACCGACTTTGCTGTTCTTGACGCTGCCGAGCAGATTCTTGTACTCGTATAGCATGCTGTTTGAGGGAATGGGGCCCGCTAGGATTCGCGCTGCCGATGCCTTTGTTATTGTGTTTCTTTGGTTTCATTCTTTGTGCCGTATTATCCGTCCTGCTTTTGCACTTCCTGAGGCTTGCTCAAAACTGTCGCAATGAGGTTTAGATGAATCATGTAATATTTACCATTTCACACCAGCGAATACCCTGTTAGCATCCTGGCGACGAATGAACTGGACTGTTTGCCTAAGTTTGAGTATAGAGTTCGTCACCTTTGGTCACTGTGACTTCAGAAGAAGAACAAGAGTGCGGGGTTGTCGAAGCAGATAGGTCACAGTCCATAAGACTGCCCGAACCGTCGGCATAGCTGACTCAGCATGTCCGTTATACGCAGATAAGATAAGCACAACTCATCCAAGCGAAAACCCTCAAAATTCGACTCCGCCGAAACAATCGAAATCCCACACGCCGACGCCGAGTCGTTACGCCAGACGACGTGCCCCCTCTCCTCCCCACCCACCCTCGCCGACCGCTTGCCGGATAATTTCCTACTCGTCGACAGACGTTCTTCTATTGCAAAATGTCCTACGAAGAGCGCCAAAACGCGCACCCCAACCTGGGCGACGAGTCCGATGTGGAGGAGGAAGCTCTCGTGAACGACTACCGCGAGCAGGTCAACTTCGATGATGGCATGAGCGAGTTGGACAGGACGACATCCCTTGGAGCTGGTTCCCAGACGCAGGACCTCCAGGCACAGCTTGCTGCTGCCGCGACCCCGCTTGAGTACCAGGCTACCCTCGAGACCAAGTTCGCAAGCTACGACAACTACTGCAGTCTGTTCCACTACATCTTGAACTCGGATGGACCGGTTGAGCTGGAGGTTCCTTCTGTATGTATATCTTCGACTAGCAGGCGCCGGGGCAGAGGCTGTTGCACTTGATGCACACGTCGCTACCTCGTCTGCAACGTGTGCGGTGAATCTCCGTGGTTTGATACACTGTGCTAATCCACCTGTTTCATCTGACTAGTACTACTGGGCCTGGGATGTCATCGATGAGTTCATCTATCAGTTCGAGTCCTTCTGTCGCTACCGCAACCGTGTCGCCCGCAGCGGCTCCAACGAGGAAGAGGCACAGCTCCTCCGCGAGAACCCGAACACCTGGGGTTGCTACTCCGTTCTCAACGTCCTTTACTCCCTCATCCAGCGGTCGCAGATCAACGAGCAATTGGCTGCCATCAAGCGTGGTGAGGACCCCTTGGCGGTTGCTGGAGAGTATGGCTCTCGCCCTCTCTACAAGATGCTGGGATACTTCTCCATCATCGGACTCCTCCGTGTCCACTGTCTGTTGGGTGACTTCAGCCTGGCCCTCAAGACCCTTGACGACATCGAGATGAACAAGAAGGCCATGTTCGCCCGTGTCATGGCGGCCCACTTCACCACCTACTACTATGTCGGTTTCTCCTACATGATGATGCGCCGCTATGCCGATGCCATCCGCATGTTCAGCCACATCCTGGTCTACGTTTCCCGCACCAAGAACTTCCAGAAGGGCGGCAACAGCTACGACGCCATTGCCAAGAAGAACGACCAGATGTACGCCCTCATCGCCATCTGTGTTGCTCTCCACCCCACCCGCCTGGACGACACCATCCACTCGGCTCTGCGTGAGAAGTACGGCGAGCAGCTCAACCGCTTGCAGCACGGTGGCCCCGAGGCCCTTCCTCTGTTCGAGGAGCTCTTCCGCTCGGCCTGCCCCAAGTTCATCAGCCCCACTCCCCCCGACTTCGACAACCCGGCTGTTAACATCGACCCCGTCGACCACCACACCGCCATCTTCATGGACGAGGTCAAGAACACCCTGTACAACCCCACCATCCGCTCTTACCTGAAGCTCTACACCACCATGGACCTGAAGAAGCTGGCTGGCTTCCTGGAGGTTGAGCCCGAGAAGCTTCGCTCCTGGCTCCTGATCAACAAGCAGCGCAGCCGTCAGGTGCGCTGGGTTGAGGGTGGCCTTCTGGAGGGCGAGCCGGTCAACGCCAACGACCTCGACTACGCTCTGGAGAACGACCTCATCCACGTGAGCGAGACCAAGGCCGGACGCCGCCTGGTGGACTGGTACCTCCGCAACCTTGCTCGTGTCTACTAAGTCCGAGTATGCTAAACCGACCCCTTCTGTGTCCGACACACATCCCATGCCTCGAACATGGGGTATGCGTCCGGTCTGTAACTAGACCCACGAGGGTAATCAGTCTCAGCGAGGGACCCACGAAGGCACACGAAGTGCACAGAAACGGAACGAGGAAAAAGGAATGTGGTCCTGGGAGATATGATCATCAAATGGGAAAGGGGTCGGGGGATTCCCAACAACGGCCAGCCAAAAAAGTTGTGTATATTGAATAGAGTCCATCTCCATTCATTTCCCTCCCGCTCCCCCTTTTCCCCCACCCGACAAAGATTATGATTTTTTATTTATCTATCTATTTATTTCTCTTCTCCTCTTCCATATCTTGTTTTTGCTTGTCCATGCTTCTTCTCATCACTCTCAGGGGTGAAAACCACCGTCCTGGTTACGGACGGGTTGGGAGTCGACAAAAAGAACTTTTTCTGTTTCTGAGGATGATTTGTTTGTTGTTCAAAGGCGTATCCCATTATGCTTATGTTTGATTTTGCTTAACTGTTCGACACCTGGTCTGGTCTGTGCATCGAGCTGGGGGGTGGGGTTTGCACGGAACAGGAAGCATTTAGCTAGCAGGACAGACAAGGGTGTAGAATTCGCATGATGAAATAGATGATGACTTACACTATCTACTTTCAGCCTCCTTAAGGCCCATTTAGAGTGAGAAATAGGATACCTTTGAGAAGGGGGTATAGCATTACTCTATATCTCATATTCTAGTATAATACACATGTACATAGGTTCAAGGATGATGCAAATGCAAGGAAGAAAGAGGTACTACCCAAATTCATACCCCTCGCTAGGTCAATCAATTCCAATGATTTCAACCAATCAATCCTTAACATCAAAGCTAGTCCCACAGCCACAGTTACTTGTAGCTCGGGGATTATCGACAATCTTGAACTGACTTCCAATCAACTCCATGGTGTAGTCCACTGTACTACCGGACAAGAGCTCCAGGGACGGCTCGTCCATGACCACTTTGGCTTCGCCAGGGCCCGAGGATTCGGCGTCCTCTGCGGCGAACACGGTATCTTCTTCCGGGTCGATCTTGGAGGCTGCTTCCAGGGACATCATATACTGGAAGCCGTGGCAACCACCGCTGGTGACGGTGATTCGGAGGTGGTGGTAGGGGTTCTCTTCCTTGGTGATTGAGGGAGATGAAGTCGGGTCTGTGATTTCCCGGAGACGCTGTTTGGGTGTTAGTATATACCCCGGGGTTTATGTTTCGTAAGGCGACAATTGAAGGGGGGAAATAGTGCCTGGAAATAAGATATTCAGGCAAGAAAGGAGAACATGAACGGTAAATAGGAAGGGAAAAAAAGCCAAAAACATACAACAGAAGGGATTCGCTGGTGGTCACCCACCCAACTACTAACCTCCCGGCGTGTGGCTTAAGTACGGCTGAGCGGACGGGAAGCCCTGTTCTCCACACCCTGTGGTCGTATGTGCTAGACAAACGATCTTCACGGCTCTTATAGTGGCAGGGCTAGCCCGTGCTTCCGGATCATTCATTATCAAAGCGCCTCCGACTCAAGCCGTTGCCACAGTTCCGAACAGCGCCCTTCGCTGTCGTCTTCAAACCCAACTAACAACAAACGGTATATGCATGCAGACAAAAGAATGTGTTTCAACGTACTTCGGCAGCCCGAGACGAGATGTTGATCAATAACTCCTTCCCATCTTCGTCAACTCTCGGGTTTTGTAGGACCTTGGCGTCTGAGCGGATGGCGGAGGAGGAAAAGGCGGCGCGATGTCCGAAAGCATCGAACCGGAATACGGATCGCTGAGAGGAGCTGGCTCGCGGGCAAAGGAAACTCGGACGGAGGGTCGATCGTTGGCAGACCGAGTCGCAGAACGATGCGGAGAAGCTCAGTGTCGGCGTCGCCGGCGAAAATGCAGAAACCGCGGCGCGAGGAGAATGGGGGCGAGAGAGCCGCCGGGCGGCTGTCGAGAGGATCGGACGGGACATAGTTGTCGTCACTGGAAGCCTTGCGAGGATATCTGTTCGAGGGAGGCAACTGGGCTCAGGCTATTGCGCGGGTTTCGACGACCGGATTGATTATATATCGGAGCAAGCCAAGTATTGCCGTTAGTCAGAGGGTTCGGCATGACGCCATTGGTCGATCGGGTGCCGGCAAGCAGCGGCAGAATCCAGTCCGCCCGAGATATCAATCGCGGGGAACCGGCATTTCCTGGCTGATGTACTCGTAGACTAGCTTCTCTTTTTCTTCCTTGTCATACATAAATTGTTGTTTCGTAGACGTTGATCTTGGATATAACCTGCTCACGAGTATATAGTACCCCCGTCATCTCAAGAAAGCCCACGGAATCATGAGTTCGCAGCAGGCACATGAACTGGGCGTCAGCACCCCGCCTTCCTACAAACTTGATAGCAATGCCTTTACCAAGGAATATGCAGAGTCTCTCGATGCACGGGACCCTTTGCGCCACTTCCGTCGAGAGTTCATCATTCCATCTAAAACCGATCTGAAGAGGAAGACTTTGGCTACAGACGGCTGTACGTGCCATTGCGTCGTTATGGTGTGTCATCTTTACTAACTAGTTGCGCTCCGGCTCAGCCGATGAAGAGTCTGACCCCAGATGTATATACCTTTGTGGAAACTCACTGGGTGTTCAACCTCGCAGCACCCGCAAGTACATTGAACAATATTTACGGACATGGGCCATCAAAGGCGTAACGGGACATTTCCTCCCACATGAAGACCAATTGCTCCCGCCCTTTGTTGACGTTGATGATGCTGGCGCAAAGCTCATGGCGCCCATTGTGGGAGCCCTGGAGAGTGAAGTGGCAGTGATGGGCACGCTGACGGCGAATTTACATTTTCTGATGGCAAGCTTCTACTGCCCGACGAAGGAAAGATACAAGATCATCTTAGAAGGAAAGGCGTTCCCAAGTGACCATGTGGGTTTCGATTTCGATGTCCCTACGAGATCATTGCTAATTCGATTGAACGCAGTATGCCGTCGAGTCTCAGATTAGACACCACAACCTTCGCCCCGAGGATGCCATGGTTCTCATTGAGCCGGAGGACCGCAAGAAGCCGATCTTGCGAACGGAGCAAATCCTTCAGGTTATCGACGAGCATGCATCCAGCACGGCCCTTGTGCTCCTCTCGGGAATCCAATTCTACACTGGGCAGTACTTCGATATTAAAAAGATCACTGCACACGCCCAATCCAAGGGAATCCTCGTTGGCTGGGATTGTGCTCATGCAGCAGGGAATGTCGACCTGCGATTGCACGATTGGAATGTAGATTTTGCTGCATGGTGCAACTATAAATACCTGAACAGTGGCCCTGGCGGTATGGCAGGCCTGTTTGTCCATGAAAGACATGGCCGAGTGGATATGGACAAGGTTGGCACCGATGAAGAGCCCTTTCGCCCGCGACTTTCGGGCTGGTGGGGAGGCGACAAGAAGACTCGCTTCCTTATGAACAACAGTAGGCTGCCCATTTCTGTTCCCCTTGGCCATCCACTAATGACCATCGCAGACTTCTTCCCGCAGTCGGGTGCCGCAGGATTCCAGCTATCGAATCCTTCCGTTCTGGATATGAATGCGGTGGTGGCGTCCCTCGAGCTGTTCAACCGGACATCAATGACCGAGATCCGCCAAAAGTCTTTGAGCGCCACGGGATACTTAGAGCATCTCCTGCTCAACTACCCTGTCGACTTTCCCTCTGGGGTAAGACCTTTCTCCATTATCACGCCCTCGAACCCAGCAGAGCGTGGTGCGCAGCTCAGTCTGCTCTTGGAACCTGGTCTCTTGGATAATGTCCTGGAGACCCTGGAAGAGCACGGGGTTATCATCGACGAAAGGAAGCCAGACGTTATCAGAGTTGCGCCCGCACCTTTGTACAATACGTACACGGAGGTTTGGGAATTCTGTAAAATTTTCTTCGAAGCCTGCCAAAAGGCCTTGGAGGCCCGGAAGTAACCACGAGGCAATTACTTTGCTTGGATTGCCAGACATGTTCGGACTGGATATTTCGGTACATGTCGCGTTGCATATATGGAATCATCTACCTTTCGGTTTATTGGCGGGTGCACATACGCCCACGTTAATCAAGACCCTCATATAATGCCCATATACTGACTAGCAGTTTTGGGATCTGAATCAGCACATAACATGATGGGCCACAGATTGGCCCCTATGCGCTACCGAAACATAACATTAGCACTGGCTTGATCTCGAACCACGCAATATTTTGTACAATTGGCATGATGACTTCATCTATAGTGGTTATAGTTTCATTCTGCATCTCTCTCAATTGACACCGCATCGGACGCTCATGCCGATCAACCAAAAGCAAAGTAAGCCCGCTCCAACGGTTGCCGTTCCGACTCCCAAGCCAGCCAATCCGATCTCGTAGTCCTATCGCAGCGCAACGTTAGCCAAGAACAACCGTATGTCACGAGTAAGACAGATAACATACGGCAAGAGTCCCATCGCATTAACCTTCCAGATGCCCAAACACAATAACACCAGCTGCATCACAACGTAAATAGCCTTGACGCCCAGCAGTTTCGCGCGCGTGCCTTCGGTATCGAACTTGGCGAACACGGTGTTGGTGTTGATCAGGCCCTGGATGGGGCCCTTGAACAGCATGAACACCATCATGATGCTGAAGATCTGTAGGCTGTTTCCGGACATGTACATCATGATCGCGTTCATGGGGATTTGCTTCGAGGGCGCTAGGGCGATTTCCCATGCTTTCTTGAGTTTCAGGGTATCGGTCTCGACAGGTTTGGCTGGGGTGGAGGCTGCGGCTGCTTGTTGGGCACGTTGCTGGATAGGTTGGGTTATCGGGTTAGTAAGGGGTATACATGGTGAGGTAAAAGAGGTGAGATGGAAGCATACGTTCTTGCCAGTAGCTTTCCTGGAGAAGCCTGGAGGATCAGGGATGCTGGCAGCCTCTTTGGATGGGCGTGGCATGGGGGTGTTCATCCGCACGACCCATTGCGGCGGCGGAGGGGGAGGCAACGAAGTCATAATGACTGACGGTAGATAGGACCCCCAAATTTATCCCTTAGGTCCGTCTGTATGAAAGGAAGAGAAGTAGAGGAAAGTCGTGCTGCAAGCTGGAGCTTGTGGACGGGGACGACGAGGGAGCGATTAGAGTGACGATGATCCGGCCGGAATGGATGGGATTTCTCCACAAGCGCGGAGTCGGCGGCGCCCGATCCACTCCTGATTCTCACCTGCGGACCCTCGAACACCCGTCGGTGTCTTAAAAGTGGTCGACATCTGCTGGAATTTCCCGGTGATTTCCCAAGTCGATTGAGGACTTTGCGCGTCCGTGAATGAGACCAGGTTGGCACCATCTCGCCCGCCGGGCGCTTCCAGTTCCCTGAATCCCCTGACCAGACGCTAACATGCCTAGGCTTCCCCTCCGCTGCATAGAAGCTTCGGAGCAGGAGACCAACCAGCCAGCTAAGATCCGATTCCCCCTTGAAGCTCTTCGACTGCCGCGAACGGCCCCCTTGGCGTCTTGGGACCGATTTCCTACGATTCGGCGTGACAACTACGAACGGAGAGGTGAAGATCGAAGATTGGATTGTCGCCAGTGATTGTGATCCGCCATCATGAGTTCCAGCGGGGGAGATGCGAAGTTGTTCGCCAGGGTACGTCCGTCGGGGTTATTGGCTCATCTCCATGGCAAGCAATGCCTCTGGCGTGTGCTTATCTTCCCGCGCTTCCCCTCATGCCATCCTTTCCTTGTTCACCTGAGCGAGCATTGCCTTTGTCTTCCATCTGCGGGGGGCTTGGTCGCCATGCTACTGGGTTTCCCCTCCCCCTCCTGGCCGATCCCATAATCCATAACTACACCATGTTCCTCAGCGTAGTTCCCTATACAGCGCAATATGGCTCACCATTTTCTCGTTCCAAACAGGGCAAAGTCGCCGAGTTGCGACAGGAGTTGAACAGCGGTGGGAAGAAAGACAAAAATCACTCGGCCAAGAAGATCGCGCTCAAGAAAATCGTCGCCAACATGACCATGAGCAATAATGATATGGTCGCTTTGTTTCCGGATGTGATCGGCTGTATGAACCTGCCCAGCTTGGAGATCAAGAAGATGTATGCCCGAGACATCGTATCTCGTTGCGTGGTGGCTGATCGTCTCTAGGTGCTTTTTGTTCTTGGTCAACTATTCGCGGCTGAAACCCGAGATTGCGCTCAAGGCGCTGCCGATTCTCATTGATGTGAGCACGGCTCCTACCTTTGGAGGTTAGCCAGCTAATCCGACGACCTAGGATATGGATGACTCCAACCCCCTCGTGCGTGCCCTGGCGCTACGGACTATCTCCTACATCCATGTCCGCGAGTTTGTCGAGGCGACGGTCCAGCCCGTCAAGCGACTGATGAGCGATATGGATCCCTATGTTCGCAAGACTGCCGCTTTCTGCGTCGCGAAGCTCTACGAGCACGATAAGAAGATGGTTGAGGCGTCGGATCTGATTGATCGGCTGAACAGCATGCTCAAGGACGAGAACCCGACGGTGGTGTCTAGCGTCCTTGCCTCCTTGGTGGACATCTGGGGTCGCAGTGAGTCGATCTCGCTGACTATCGACTACACTAGCGCCTCGAAGCTGGTTTCGATCTTGCCAGACTGCTCTGAGTATGGGTCCCTGTCTCTGTCTGATGCCAGTCACTGACGTCCACAGATGGGGCCAGTCTTATATCCTCGAGGCTTTGATGTCCTACGTCCCTCAAGATTCCGCAGAAGCTCTGCTGCTGGCTGAACGAATAGCCCCTCGCCTGTCGCATTCCAATTCTGCGGTCGTCCTGACTGCGATCCGCGTTATCCTCTACCTCATGAACTACATTGCCGACGAGAGACATGTCACCTCTCTCGCGAAGAAGCTATCTCCTCCACTTGTCACCCTTCTCTCCAAGCCACCAGAGGTCCAGTATCTGGCACTTCGAAATGCGATTCTCATACTGCAGAAGAGACCAGAGGTTCTCCGGAACGATATCCGCTGCTTCTTCTGCAACTACAACGACCCGATCTATGTCAAAGTGACCAAGCTGGAGTTGATCTTCATGCTGACCACCGAGGAGAACATTTCCGTGGTCCTGGCAGAACTCAGAGAGTATGTGCCGCACACCTTTCGTAAAAAACCACTAACGGAGCCAGATATGCGACGGAAATCGATGTTCACTTCGTGCGTAAAGCTGTGCGCGCCATCGGAAAGCTCGCCATCAAGATTGAATCCGCCGCAAAACAGTGCATCGATACCCTCCTGGACCTGGTCAACGCAAAGATCCCCTACATTGTACAAGAGGCGACGGTTGTCATCCGTAACATCTTCCGCAAGTACCCCAACCAATACGAGAACATCATCGGCAACGTGATCCAGAACATTGATGAGCTCGACGAGCCGGAAGCCAAGGCTGCCATCATCTGGATCATCGGACAGTATGCCGACCGCATCGAGAACTCCGATGGACTGCTCCAAGACTACCTGGCCACCTTCCACGACGAGACGGTCGAAGTGCAACTGGCTCTTCTCACCGCCACCGTCAAGTTCTTCATCCAACGTCCAACCAAGGGCCAACAACTGGTGCCTCAGGTGCTGAAATGGTGTACCGAGGAAACCGACGACCCGGACCTCCGCGACAGAGGCTACATGTACTGGCGTCTGCTGTCCACCGACCCGGCGACAGCCAAACAGATTGTAATGGGCGAGAAACCCCCCATCAGTGCCGAAAGCGAGAAACTCGACGCCCGCACCCTGGAGGAGCTATGTCTCAACGTCGGCACCCTCGCCACTGTCTACCTGAAGCCCGTCCAGCAGGTCTTCCGCTCGGCGCGCACCAGACGGTTACAGTACAGCCCCGCGCTGCAGAAGCCCCAGGAGGACCCCAGCACCGCGGCCTGGCAGTTCCCGGCGCCGTCGCAGTCCAACAGCCCGACCGCCGCCATGGCGGCCAGCGCATTCCCGCCCACGGCTGCACCCGGCGACATGAACGCGGCCGTCAACGCGGCCGACAGCTACTTCAACAGCGTCGGTAGCCAGCAGATGGCTGCGCTGGACCTGGGCGGTCGCGAAGACGGGTCTGGCGGCGGCGGCGCGTTGCAGACGCAGTATGTCGTCAACCAGAACCAGCAGCAGGTGTATCAGCCGCAGCTGGCGGGTGGAGCGGCTACCGGCGAGTTGTTGTTGCTGTAATAGTTCCTTCTGTTCTTCTGTCATAGATTACCTTTCTTAATATCTGGAGCGGTCCATCATTCGCAGGCAGGGTGATACTTCTTTAGTTGTGTTTTATTCTTGTTTCTATTAGTTGCAGGTAATTATTGCATTGTTGGGCTGACTAAAAGACACTGGTTGGTATATGGGTACATCAATTTGTTAATCACGGAGGAACTGCCATCATGCAATACGAGCTGTAGAGAGTGCTTCCAGAGCACCGGCATATCACGTCGGTTTAATCCTCATCCAGCCGGGCCAATCCACCACGACTGCGCTTGATGCGATCATCCAGACCGTCTTCCTGCAGTTGTCGATGGAGACCACCCACAAAGCGACCCTTGTCGGAACGGTGTTTCTCATCTTCTTCGAGCTGCTTCTCCTCCAGGGCAGTGACTTCCGCAATGCGCTGTCGTCGAGCATCCTCCATCTCGCTTGCGTTCGACTGCATCTCTGCTAGCTTCCGCTGGCGCTCTTCTTCCTGTGCCTTGCGCTTCTGCTCTGCGTCTTCGCTGCTGGCGGGCGGGGCTCTGTCGCGGTTGTACGAGTCTCGGGGACGGTAATCCCTCCGGTCCTGGTGATAGCGAGGTCGGTCTCGGCGGTCGTCCCGTGTGTCTCTGTCCCGCGTATCTCTGTCCCGCGTATCTCTGTCCCGCGTATCTCTGTCCCGCGTATCTCTGTCCCGCGTATCTCTGTCTCGTGTGTCTCTGTATCCATCATTGTCTCTCCGATCATCCCGACGTCTGTCCGAGTAGTGGCGAGGAGACGGCGAGCGGTCCTGTAGTGATCCCCGACGGTTGGACCGATCATGGCGTTCTTCACGATCCCGATGTCTGGACCGGTACTCTTTGTCATCTCTGTCTCTGTCCCTGTCCCTGTGCCTGTCACCCTCTCTGTCTCTGTCCCGGCGATCGCGATCACTCCTCCTCTCTCTGTCCCTATCTCTATCCCTGTCATCCCGATGACTCCTCTCCCTCCTCTCCCTCCTCTCCTCAGGCGACCTCGACCGATACCGCCTGGACTCTCTATCCCGATGACTCCTCCTCTCCCTATGTCCATGCCCATCCCTCTCCCTCTCCCTC